CAATAAATACAATATCACCATGTTTTAATTATATGGAATTCAGCCTCGCGCGCGCGCTCTCTCTCTCTCTCTCTCTCTCTCTCTCGTCTCAGCAGTGTTGGCCGGGCAAAGATGGGACATGGGGCAAATCGATGGTCACGGGACTGAGTTATGATTAGTGACGCCTTACCCAACGCAGCATCTGTAACAAGATGATCCCCCTCCGCTTATTTCGTTATTTCCCTCGGGTCCGGCAGGGCAGGAGCGGTTGCCGTGGACGGAGTAGCCAGAGCTGAAGAAAGCAGCCTTGCAGCCTCAGGCACCCATCTCTGCCTGCATGTCGCTGCAATACTCCGTTACCACTTTACATGTATCTATCTGTCTGTCGCTGCAGGAGGGTCGCCTAGATGGAAAATATACGGGCATCATATTTCTTCTTAGGTAGATAATACTCAATATCCAGCGCAGTACCCGACAGTAAGATACCGTATCTTGCGCGGCAACGATTATCCCAATTCAACGATTCATTATATTGTACATGCACAGGATATATATTGTACCTATTTATTTGCCTCGCCCATCCGCAGCTGCGCCCACGGCCTCACGTACCGTAGCGTCGCCTGAGGCCCCACGCTAACCGTCTAATTTCTGGGCCGACCGCTTGACCTGACTGGGCCTGGCTTGGCTCGCGCGCTCCCTCCCTCCTCCTCCCGCTTCCTCTTCTTGAACGCTGGCGATATCTCTTCCCCAAACATCAACAGCTTCCGCCCCTCCTCCTCCTCCTCCTCCTCCTCCGCCCTCCCTCCTCTCTTCTTGCGCGCCCTTTTGACGAAAGACGTTCTCTCTTCTGGAGTGCTCTCTCGTCGTCCGCTCCTTACGCTTTCCTTCCTTCTCCCATCTCGTCCATCCCACCCGCCTGTCCATCGCTCGTCCGCCCGCGCCCTTTCAGCCTCGAATCCTTGGATCTTCTCAAAGGTCAAGGTAGGACCTCAACCCACCATCCACCGCCGAATCAACCTGCCTTGGACAATACCCCAGCCATAGATTCACTTTGTGCAACGCTGATGCCAATTGGCGTCCCTTACAGATCTTTTCACTTCTCGTTGCCTACCATTCATCTGCCTCATCTGCCCCGGTCCCCGATCTTTAGACCCTCGATTTTGTTTCCTCGGCGCAACCTTTACACCACGTCGAGATTCTATGATTTCTATTTAATTGACACACCCATCGCTCGCCGCCTGTGTAGGCTTTCCCAACATGGCTTCGACGGTGGAAGCAGCACAACACGGAGGAGCCCATAGCCACCACGGACCTCTTCCACTGCCTGCCTTCACCTTTCCTGCCCCGTCACCTACTCCTACGCCCTCATATTCTCGAAGGTCTCCACGCCGTCCTGTTTCTGCCTTCGAGCTAGGCCCTGGAGCCACCGCCCTGCCTTCGTTCTCCTTCGGGGGAGCAACCAACTCTGGTCTCGCAAGCCCACCGCTCAGTCCTGGTACAAGATCAATTCCCACTCGACCTGCAGGCCACAAGAGGGGAGCCAGCGAGCTAATCGGTAGGGATGGAGGTGCTGACTTGCTTTCGTCAAGTCCAACCAGAGGAGCCTCATCGCTTGGTCCCGTTCCAGGAAGAAAAGGGCACCAGCATCGACGTTCAGCGGCAATTTCAGTCAGCGACGTTTCCCTGATCCTGAAACCTGACAGTGTCCCGCGAGCAGGGTCGGCTCCTGTCTCGCCTGCGGGGGGTGGTGGCCAGGGTGGTGGCCAAGATCACCGGCAGCTACGTTTTGCGGAAGAAATCGAAGTCATTCCTCGACCGCTCTCCATGGTATCAAGCGAATCGTCTGGAACAACTGTGAGGGCTGGGCATTCGGCCACTGGTAGTTTTTCCTCCCTCTCTGCCCCGAGCCCGCCTAGAGAAAAACAACAGAGTCCTCCTCCGAGTAACAACACAACGGATACTCGACCCAAGACGGCGGCAGCGCGGTTGGATTTCAAGCCAGAGGAATTCTCGACAACAGACTGCCTGAGTCCGCGTAGGCATAGTTCCAATCCATTGCTTACCGACCTCCCGTCTCCCGCAACATCTGCAACCCCTTCTACCCCAAGATCTGCGTCTAAGAAATGGAACTTCTTTGGCCACGAGGATTCCACTCCCCAGACTCGTCCAACCAGTTCTGGATCGTCAAAGGAACCACGATCAATGACTGCCGAACCTTCATCTCCCCTACAAACGAGTCCCAAACCCCCCATCGAGTCTACTGAACAACCTCTCACACGACAGCCCTCGGCATCAAGGAAGACCGGCAAGAAGAAGCAGAAGAAGGTCAAATCGTGGGCCGGGTCCATTCTATCTCGTAAATCTCGACAGCGCTCTCAGAAGCAAAGTCGGAGATCGCCCACCCCGCCTCACCGATCATACGGATCAATGAGCGAGAAGTCAATGCCCGATTTGACCCAGCCGGACGAGAGTGCTCCTGATGCGGAAGCCCCCGTAAAGCCTGAGATGAGTACTGATTTCTCATCATGGGTCCCTCGGCGAGTTCAGATACAAGAGGATGAAAGCTCCATGACCCCAATCATTGACCTGGATGCTGCACTGGGCCCTTTTAATACACCTTCTGGAAGAGACTCGGAATGGGATGCTTTTCATAGAGGATCTGGTCCCATAGCAAGAGCGAAGCGAATGCATAGCGCCGCTGGAATGGGAAATTTTGGTGGCCCCGGGATGCACTATCATCGACGAGCTGCTTCTTCTCCTGAATTCGAGAATCCGCGATTCGGAATTCGCCATTTAAATTCTAGCTCTACCATGGCTGACGTATTTGAGGAAGACGAGGAAGATGATGAATGGGAAGATAGCAAGCCTGCCTCGGATAAGGAAAACAGCGGCAAGGTTGGGGATGATGAAGAGGGCTCTTCGGGAATCGACATCAAGGTTGTAGATGCCGAGGACATGCACGCCAACAAAGAAATGGACTGGACGCTTGATGAATCTTCGATGAGAGGGGTTAAGCGCAAGGGTAGTGGTTTGAGCGAGGGCGAGAGACGACAGGCGACTTCTAGTATGAAGTCTACGAATTCAAGCGCCTCGGTGAAGGATGAAGTTATTCCGGAGGAACCGCCGAGTATCGTCAAAGTCGCGGATGATGTGAATCCTCCGAGACCTGACTCTGGAGCACAGTCTTCGGATTCCACTGCAACACCTCCTCTTCAGCCTAAACCTACGAAGGACCTTGCCCCTGTCGATGTGCAGCCCTTTTCGCTGCAACCGCCCTATGCTACTCCAACAAGCCCAAACTCTATGACTCAATCCCCCTTACCATCGCCTCGCTCTCCATTTTCATACGACACGCAGCGTATCTCTACTGCTCCGTCCTCGATTACTGACGAGGGTGGGTTCCAGTCCTTATTGCTTGGTGAACCCGGTCCAGAATTGAGAATATCAGTCGATGGCGTCCCTTCTCTTACGAGCAGCAACTCCACGATGACTAGCTTTACCATTCCCACGGCGCGCACCCATCAGTTCCGTGAGGGCCAGCGTTCCGCCTCTTTGTCCTCTGCTGCTGTCACGCGCAAACGATCGAGCATAGCCAGTCTATCTCGTCTGATCAGCAGTTCCCATGGCGAAAAGAGTAAGCTTTCTATCGAATCCCGTCCTCCCAGCATCGTCGAAACGGACAAAAAGGAGAAGATCAGCAAGGGCAAACGTATTAGCCGCATGATGCAGTTCTGGAAGCCAAGAGATGCCGCGCAATGAGAAAAACAACCATGGTCTCACCAACATTTCACCGTCTACCCACTTTTGTTTTTAGCGCTTCCAAATCTCGGCTTCGATCATCACCAATAACGTCGGACTCAATGTTGATGTTTGGACGAGGAAGAAATGGGTTCCATGTGCATATTGTCCTTTTCACGAGCTCCTTCGAGTTAGCATCAGATTTGGCGCTCTCATTTTGAATGTTCTGTTGCCGCGAATTTAGCTAATTTGCAAGCATTCGAATTCTGCTTAGAGCGACACCTCTAGGGAAGACGTTCCTCATGGTCTGTCGGCATGTTTCCATTATGCATACGTCCTTGAACGCTGTTCATTTGGAAAGATGGTCGAGTGTAGGTGGACGTTGGGTTGGGTTGTTTCGAGATGACCTCGCATTTTAATGACAAGATGGATCGTCTTGCGAGAAGATGGTCGTAGCTTTTGCTTTGCTGCTTTTCGTCTGGCCTCAGGAGTAGAGGGGACATGAGCAGATCTTTACTTCGGATTTTATGGCTCTAGGGGTTATTTGCAAGGCGCTATTATCTCGATCCTGCAGTCTTAAGGGACGAGTACTGGAGTGATTGGATGGGTGGATATTGGGAGCAAGTGCAGGATACTGTACCTAGGACGTTAAACGCTCGTACCTTTGGTACTGATGCGAACATATAATGACATTGCAAATTTACAAAAGCCGTGCAGCTCTTCTGTGAATATATAAAATGCTCGATGTAGGACCCTGAATACCCCGAACCCCTTGGAATACAATGAAGACCCACGATTACCTCATGCTGTGTATGGAGTAGTGGCGGCAACTCCCGTCTGATTTTCAGCCTCGGCAAGTTCTCTCCACGATTGAACATCTCCAGCATACAACGCGACACAGCACACTCCCCAGACCACACAGCTCATTCTCCAGGACACGACCTTTAACCACGCCGACGTTCAAAAGCAAGCCTCCTTCGCCCTCCCAACAAAAACACACATATACATATCCGCCACCTTCTTCCCTCCCTCCAAACATGTCCACGACAAGCAAGCGCTCCTCCCCTCCCAGCAGCAGCAGCAGCAGCAGCTCGCGCACGCCCAGCAAACGCATCCTCACCGAGCTCTCAGCCTACGCTTCATCGCCCTCCCCACTAATCCCGGCTCTCGCGCCCCTCTCTTCCTCCAACATATTCACCCTCCGCGCGATCCTCAGCGGGTCCTCCTTGCCCCCCAGTAGCGGTTATCATTCCGGTCGGTGGCTCGTGAGCATTATCCTCCCGCCAAACTACCCTGTGGGCGCGCCGAAAATCACTTTCTTGACGAAAGTATGTCATGCGAATATAGTGTGGAAGACGGGGGAGGTGTGTCTGGATGTGCTGGGCGAGAGATGGACACCGATTCTCGGGATCGTGGGCGCGCTGGAGGCGGTGGTTAGGTTGTTGGGGGAGCCGGGCACGGATAGTCCGTTGAATGTGGATGTGGCGGCGTTGGTTAGGGGGGGGGATTGGCTTGGGGCGAGAGCGCTGGTGGGGTTTTATTGTAATGAGGAGAGGTATGAGGGAGGGTTGGAGGAGCTGGAGGGGGAGGAGGAGAGGTAGTTGGGGATGGGGGAGGAGTAGGGTTGTGTGATTGATGATGTGATGGATGGATGGGAGTTTTTTTTATATGAGATTGGGATTTCACTCCATGGTTGGCTGGCTTGGGATAGGTGGATTGGTGGTGCAGAGCCATTCATCCTCCCTGGAAGAAGGGCTGTGTATTAGATAGAAGAAGGGACCCCTTTGGGCTGGGATGGCGGCGACCTTGTCAAAGATTCTACATTGGAGAAGAGTATCAGGCATATCACACGGAATATGGAAACATCTTAGAGCATCAAGGACCATGTCTCACTCGGATGGGCAATGGGGATGCTATATATGAAATAGAGAATCTTCACACACAAAACTCCTCTATGGTGTACACAAGCCCGCCGAATCTTCGGGGCAATAGGTCATGCTATGCCGTCAACGCCTTACGCACAAGTAAACTACAAGGCCATCCCTACGGCTTTTTGATGCGAGCCAATATTCACCCCTCCCCATATTTAGCATTATTAGACCTGAAGGTGTGAGTGGTTTGTCCCGGACATCTCACTTTATTCGTTATAATGGTAAACCTACGCTGCCGTCAGTCTCGTGATGTTGGACGCCAGGACCAGGACCACATACCTTGTAGTTCGGCAAACCCGTAGCACTCCATCCTAATCTCTTTGCCATCTTTGCAAACCCCTCAGTCTCAATCAAGTGGTAGAAGGGAAATGGCGGGAACATGGCACCGTCACGATGCACCTCTGCCTTTACCAATAACGCCGTTCCCCCAACACCATCAAGTGGAACCTCCATGTGGGGATCTCCATGGTCATCAGCCATGTATGCCATCAAGGCCCGGTAGGTAGCCATGTCTGCGTAGCCCTCCAACAGAATATCATCCGGTCCCATTTGGCTCCCAAGCCGCTGAGCGGTATCGCTATCTTGCCAGCTATTGAAGTCGTAGGGTCTTTCCATCACCTGCTTCGTCTTCTGATCCTCATATCTCTGAAAACAATTGGGAACAATGATCGCCTTATCGTGTGCAGCAAGATCTTGGATCAGGGTTGGTGGTGTCTCAACAATGTCAGAGTCAAGCCAGAGGACCCACGACGTGGAGGGGCCAAGGGTGGTAAAAAGAAGGGAATTCCTGGCCCTTGACATTGCTGCCCTGCGTGCCTTCTGGTTCTCCATCTTGTGGCGCTCTGCTTCGCTTTGGGAAGCCAGAGGGGGATCAAAGTCCTGTCGCTCGATGATGATGCTAGCAAATCGCTTCTTCTCTGGTCCAGTCTTCTGCGTCTTTGTGATCTGCTCCTGTAGAGCTGCCGTCGCCGCATTTCCTTCTCGATTCTTCGGGATGATAAATGCAAGTGTGATGAGCTCGTGAGGGTAGGTGAGTTTCAGCAGATTGTCCCAGTATTCCTTGTAGAATCTCGCGAGAGGCGTCAAGATGAGGATGGTTTCTCTGTTCCCCACAGGATCGCTCGTGCTCGAAAGATTGTTCATATGGTAATGTACGACTGGAGGCGGAACGCGGTTTCCATTAGATTTCTCATTAGGCTTTCGAAAGGGAGATGTTGGTGGAGAGAGTGGGTTGGACGCCGCGCTGGCCTTTCGAAATTGGGCCGCTGCCGTCTCCGAACTGGATGGTGAAAACAAGAAGACAAATATGACCACGCACAACACCACGCCCACTATGACCGTGAGCGGGTTTGTGCGCCTGAACGAGCGGACCGGCCCCATAGCGAGCGTTGTATTGTTGGGTGTCCTGGATTCGATGGTTTTTCGGGGGGCGTCGTCTCTATCGCATCTGGCAGCCTCTGGCACGAAGATCGATCGACCCACCGTCCTACTCTCCTCCGTCGAGAATATCAAGAATGTCGCAGACTCTGAGAGTCCTTCGCTTCCCCAGAGCGGGGGGATTTCGAATGAGTTTGCGCCGTTGAGAGAGTTGGAGATGGGAGGACTCGCCGCAAGGGAAGACGTGCGAAGGCCAGCTGGTCGGTGCAGTCTCGTTCCGGTTAGGTCCAAAGCGATTGAAAGGTACGAACGAGTACGAGTGAGAGTTGGCAGCACCGAGAAAAACAATGAACTCATGCGAAATGATCCCCCCTATCACAACAAGAGTAGAATCCCAGGGGAAGGTTCGACGCACCGCTAAAGCCCGTGTAGGTACAATTTTACTTTTTACTGTAGATATAATATTGATCGGCTAGTAATCTGACTCGTACAAAGGCCCCTATCTCAGAAGTCCATGCGGCTCATCGTGTCTCGAAAATGTATGGTATTTGAGTTGGAGAATGCGTGCTCTAGGTACCTATGTTCTTCTCTCTTACATTATTGGCTATATGGACAGTCGAATGGCCCATTGTCTCGCTATATACCTACAAATACGTTGGAATCCCATAGTTGCAAGAATCTCAATCTCGCGCGGCTCTGCGACGGAGACTCGCTGGCTTCTCATTGTCCATTTCTTCAATCATCCATTACAAAAAGACTGCCACTCGTCGTCCACATATAATTGACCGCATGTCCGCTGTGGTAAAAGGGGCACTTTGTATGTATCTCTATTCGTATCCAGTACTAGCAGTACTGTACTGCAAGGTATTGAGATCTCCAAGATCTGTCACGCAAAGTCACAGATACAAAGGATAACGTCCACATCAAAACGGATTCTCTTGTACCACTGTGTAAGTGCAAGTCTGCAAAAGATTCGGAGGCGGAAGGATCAGTTGATAAGGTACTGTTATTTCTTTGATAACGGGAAGAAGAATAGAACAACAAGAATTATGATACTCCATAATACTACAATACTTGATGATTCTCAGATAATACCCGTAATGTCCAGGGCAATGATATGTGGCTATCTCCTGAGTACAAAGGCATTCTGTCGGGAACCCCGGGCGGTCCCGAGGGGAGGATTGCCCGCTCGTCGGGCCGGGCTGCGACGCGGGGTGCGGCTGTTCGAGTGCCTACCCGTGCCCCACGTCGGGACTCGAGTATCAATCCAGACCTGCTTCCCACTCCATCGGTACTCTGATTCATAAGGATAAGAGAAGAAGCAACAACAGATATCAGAGATTCCATCATGAAGGTATAGTTCTAGCACGGAAGTTAAGTCTATAAAACATAAAGCCGGCGCCCCTATCCTCAGTGTGGCACATGGTGGCCATGAAAACCGAACCCCACAGGGTTATCGCACTCTGCACGCCCAGTTTCCTCCATTGTCTTTGCATCCAAACAGAGCAGATAGCTCGTTCCCTTGTCCCCATCTAAAATAACGCTGAGGAGGAATCCCGCATCCTCCCCTTCCCTCGTGTTATCCGGCACAAAGATTGGCTCGCCGGGGGTGTGTCTTAGCTGCCTCCAATACGTCACTTCTAAAGTCTCTGTATCTAGCTTGGCTATTCCGTCGAAGAAAGATGAATAGCCTTGGTCAACCACAGAGTAGACGAAGCGCGACCTTCTTGTGGAATAGGAAGGGTTGATTGTAGGCAACTCGCCAACCGATGGGCTGGGAACTTGGAGAACGATCTCTGCATTCTGTGCTTGTGTAGGCTGTTGCTCTTTGGCCGGACCGAGTGGGACATTTGCCAGACGGTATCTTACGAGGCTCTGGCTAGTTTTGCTCCGTTCTGCTTCCTCTGCGTATTTCGAGACACCAGGCCCGGTTGAAACAAGATTCTCGTAGTAAAATCGGTGAAGGATATCAAGCGTTGGATACTGAACGAGGTCGCAGTAGATATCCACTGAATTGCTCGTCTCCGAACGCTGTTCTTGCCATGCGTTCACAGTGTGGAAGCTGAACATAGCCGGACTCTCAAAAGTCGCGACTAGACCTTTGCCATGTCTCCGATCGACGACGAGCCACTTCACTTTTGATTCCGGGTCAAATTGACCTATTGAGTCAAGGATATTTCTATCCCATAAAATTTTGATGCCATAGCTCACAAAGTGCGACGACCACACAGCAAGGATCACGAAATCTTCGGTCAAGAAGAAAGAGTGAATATAGGCAGGTGGAACTTCCTTCTCTGAAATGGTGGCCAGAATCTCAGTCTTCCCGGTTGTGAAGGATGACTTGAAGATGCGGTATGTGCTAACCGACCCAAAGTCCAGGTTATAGTTGTACAGATCCCCAGTCTCGTGGTCATACTGAGCATGTGCACAGGACAGGGGACCTTTCAAATCTGGATGGAGCTGTTGCTGTTGCGCAACCCCAATAGGTTCTAGCGTAGCCAAGTCTATTTCCTTGAAGTAGTTGGCATCGGTTCTTACAACTAGAGTGCGAGGTCCGTCGGGGTCGAGGCTCTGCGGTGTAGCCCGTGGTTGTGGTCGTAGGCCCGCAGGGTTCGTCGACACTGTGACTCCAATATTTGCCAGATATGGATCCGTATTTCGACGGGGCTCAAAAGTACACTTTATCTTCTGAAATAGACTCGTACATGGATCTCTCTTCTGGGCAAAAGAGACACAATTAAGCCTTCCTGTTTTCCGAACGTGCTCTAGAAGCGGATCGATTTGCCGCCGTGAGTTGTAAAGAACGGTACAGGAACCCTTTAGATCTGGAATAAGTTGGAACCGATGAATCTGCGTAAAGCCATCTGTTGACGCAGAGTCAGTATCATCAATTTGATATGCGCCATCTCCGCATACCGAACCAGTGGCTTGCCTTGTATGTCCCATTTACTGTATCTTCAACCTTGTAATGGCCTGGGCCGGTCCTGTACAAAGTTCCCGCAACACTTGGTGGGAGCCAACCTTTGACAGCCAGCTCGGTGGGTTCTCGCTGCTCAACGCTAGCATTGAACTTTCGCAATAATCAGCGATTGACAAAGAAAGCAGGCCATGCACTGTAGAGTTAACTTGACGTACCCCTGCATCATTCGGCCATTGCTTAAATGGCTCTCTTAAAGCTTCGGCCTTGTCATCCACGATATGTGCCCTTTCGGACGTGAAGACGCTATATACTGAGGATAAAAAGCCGCTCATGATGTCGACAACGAAAGCAAGAATTAATTGATATGCTTGCAAGCAGTGTACAGTTTCGCGGAATCAAAACACGTGGCCGCCCATGGGGTAAAAACAAAACAAGAGAAAAGCGATATATAATAATCACTACGGCCGTTGCAGTTAGATATCCTGTTCCCTATCGATCACCTGTTGTGGTGTTTGCCCCTCATCGACAACAGGAATGGATAAATCCCCGCGAGTGCATGATAACTATTGTACGGCCGTAAAGCGTTGATGAGTACGGCACACATTTTATAATGCTCGCTTCCTCCTGGCTTTCTCCACGAGCTTCTGAATTCTAGGCTTAGGAACAATGAAGTTTCATCATGATGGTTTGTCTGGATTCGCTGGACGGCCTATTATGTGTTGGAAGGGTATGATCAAGTTTTCGGGAACGCGGGTTGTATATTATTCTGCCGAAATATCGTGATTTCTTAGGAAGAATAAGCCGATTGAGGAGATTGTCAGGTGCTGTTTAGATAGAGCCAATATGTAGTAGGATTTAAGCTCTTTACTGTCGCTACAGAGACAGTAATTGTAATAAAAACAGTAATTGTGATAGACAGTAAATGTGACAGTAACTTTCCCCATGCTTTGGAGATTCTTGAATGGATGGTGTTCAAGCCCCCCTGGATCCGCGAAAAGCTCGGATTGAATGGCTTCAAGACGATGGGCAGATGAGGATTCCATGATTGCCAGAGTCTCGGTGGTAGGTAGGTAGTTCGTAATATAACAGACAGTGTGCACGCAGCAAAAGTAGTCACGACTGTCAATCTAATAAGGGTATAATGTTGTTGGAAGGCAAGGCGGCAGAAAGGGTCCAATGATGTGTAGAATACAATGTCATACTTGCAGTCCAGATGCTGAAGCTGAAGCGTGTGATTGGCCGACCCCAGCTTTTGGCACTTCCGCCTCAGACGGCCCCGGCTGCACCTTCGCCTACCCGGACGGAGGTCTTCTCCTCGCAGACCACCGGCCCTTCGAAACCTTCACCTCTTCCTGGCCCTGCTCATAACATCGACACCCAACCGCGTCGCAAGCCTGTACGCGTTGGCGTCGCTGATGCCGAAGTCATATGCGTAGCCGCTGGCAGGAGCCCGCCATTCTGTGAGCGCCAACCCTTACAGCTTGGTCCAGATCGGTTCCCTCTTCCATCCACGACTGCTCTACCTTCCGTTCTAGCTGCTGTTTGCGGGCAAAAGCACACTTCGTCGCCTGCCAGTTCTACTATTGCTTCATCGAGTACACATTAGAGATACCATCATGGAGCCCGTCCCGGAGACCAAGAGAATGGAGGAATTCAAGGGCTCTCCAGTTCCCACCCTTCGACTTGAAGAACCCTCACTCCCCGACAATCAAAACGGAGACCGCGAACTCGATTGGAAGTCTCCCGTGGTTCAAAGAGTGACAGAGCCAGAGTCGCATTCGCCATGGTCCCCCACCTTGTCCTCTCCCTCTATTCCATATCGGCCACGGAATACTTCTCCATCCGCCCGGGGACACCTGAGATCAAGGTCTACAGCAAGCCCTCTTGGAGCGCCTATGTCGCGAGCTCAGTCCATGCCTGGAGTGAACGCAGCGGGTCACTTGCTCGCATTCCCACCACAGCGTTCCTCGAGTCCTGCGGGATCTCCTAATCGCGTCCGCACCCCTAGAAAACCCGTCGATGAAGTCTTCCCGGGTCTACCAAACCGAGGACCAAGAGAGATCAGCGAGACGACCTCATCTTCTTCGGACGAGCAGACTCCGAGAGCCCCCGAGCGAAGCACTTCCCCAATTCTAAGCCTTCCACCATCCGCCACTCTACCACGCAGCCGTCGACCATCTTCTCCTCTTCGATACGTGTCTCAGCAGAATATTATAGCGGGCACTACGACTCCCACCACCCCGTCTTCGGCTACATCTTCCCCTCTATACCAATATTCCAGATTTGAATCCTTCCTCGGCACGACCAACTACACTGGGACATTCAGCTACCCTGGAGCTTTTGCATCATCCTCTGTTCCATCCACGCCCACCTCTGCCAGATCCCGAAGTCCTAGTATATCAAGTTTGGAAACCATACCAGATTCACCTGATGCAGAGGAGGCGGCTATAGAAGCGGACAAAATAGCACAATTGAAAGCTGACGCTGATGTCGCAGATGGAGCCAGTGAAGAGTCAAAGATCAAGGGCTCTCTTGAAGGTTTCGGACCCCGTGGCAGAACAATGGGATTTGGCTCGCGGGACAAACGGAAGCGATGGAGTGTATGCGGAGCAGAACACCGGGGCGACCTTAATTTGGATACGATATGGGAGGATTGAGATACAGATTATGGAGAGAAAATATTACATGTGAAAGTCCCACATGGCGTGGGCGAATTAGAAATCCCGGAGTACCCTGGTCGGCATCTCGGTCACAGCATGAAAGGAGCAATGTGCGGGTCTCTTTTCATACGATCGGCGGGCAGATGACTTTGTTTTTGTTTGGCGTCTGGGTTACTGACTATTGGGAGCGTTTTGCTTTTTCTGATATCAAGACTCCTTCCTTTCTCTCGCTACCGAGCACGATACCCAACTGCATTTTTCGGTCTTGTCGTCAAAGCGTAGCATTTTGGTTGGAGTTCTGGGGGGTGGCCTTACAGCGAATATTTGATTCCCAGCTTGTACATAAGAATGAAGCAACCGATATTCTCTCAATAGATTGACAACAGCAAAAGTTTACCCTTTCAAAAGGAGAAGGTAAGCATCAACGCCATTGGATGGTGTCTCTCTGTCATAAGATGGGTAAGTAGGTAGGTAACAGACCGCCGTGCATTTGAGGATAAATAGCCAGATTAACCACACTGATTCACTTGCTCATGCTTGCATTAATATTTGTCCGCATTTTCCTTGTTACCCTCGAGGACATCATTCAATATACGACTCACAACTCTGCTCGACATATCGGCATATATAGGTAGTTGCCCTTCAGCTGAGCCCAACAAAATTTTGATCCTACCCTACCTAGTCTGGAGGGAAAGGTTCTGGATGTGGATGCCTCCCCCCCCACGCCCCCCCACCCCTTCTTTTTTTCTTTTCTTTTTTCAAAAAAGGAAAAAGAAAGGAAAGGAGCCAAGAACATGGCGCTGCTATAAGTGGCATCGTGGAGAAGAGTAGAAAAAGGATGAGTGAGGTAGGTAGTAACCAACCATCATGGGAGAGAGGTACTTAGGTGGGATAAACGTTTTGTTGTAACTTGTATAGATAGGTATATATGTACAAGCGACCCTAGGCAGATAGATATTGATATTGACCGCGAGGCATTTACTCATTTCCAAGTTACAAGCGCCTCCAGTTTCCTTATGAACGGCATTTGAACGCCCATATTCGACGTTCGAAGCCGAATTTTATATACAAATGTGTCTATTATTGATCTCGAGTCTAATCAAAAGGTATCCTCCTTAAGCTCTCCACGCCCATTCTCTTCTTCATCTCCTGCGCGGCAGCAACACTACTCGGTACCTTGATCCCACAACAGTCACCCCAGCTGTTCATCTGATGAACATGCTTCATTCCGTCCTTCATGACGATCATCTCCCCCCCTTCGGGCTCCTCATCCTCACTGCGGACACCGAATTGTTCTTCTGTACTCATACCCTCCACTGCTGGGATCAAAGACCCAAATAGGAAGTGCTGCATCACGGGTAACTTCTTGAGGACTTCGGCAACGAACATCCGTCTCATGCCATCTTCAACTTTGGACCAGGACTTAGCTGCGGAAATGTCGTCAAGCATGGGGCTGTGCCATCGTAGACCTTCAACGTTCTTGACGCTATTGACAAAGTTTACCTGGCCCAAGTACAAGTAGTCTTGACCATACTGTTCGAGTATGAGGTTCTGGTGTATCGACAGGGGTCGTATGTACGGATGGTGCAAGAGCTGTGCCGCGCCGAACAAGAAGGGCAGAAATTGGTAATCGTCGAGACCCCACACACCGTGTGAGCCAGCCGGCTCCAGGTAGTATGTCGATTGTATTAGTCTCATAAGAGTGAGATATCGAGTAAAGACCTTTAATACAAGGGCGCGAAAGTCGGGTGTCGTGAGGATTTGAAGTTGGTAAAGACAGAGTAACCATAACATGAAATTCAGTTCGTGGCCAGAGCCATAGTCTATCCTGGTGCGATTTCCAAATGATTGTAGGAAGTAAGTGGAGACTTCAGTTATTGCTTCGTCGGAGGAAATGCCAAGTGTTTTGTGCCAGCTCGAATGCTCCTTCGCCACTAAGTCGATGAAATCGCGGAACCCTTTATTTCCAAATCGGGAGTCACCCTGACTTTCTGGCGGACTTCGTTTGACAGCATCTTCCACCTTATCAAGAATCTCTAGTATGACCGTGACGGGGCGCCTCAGATCATCGTCGGAAATTGAGGAGACAGGTGTATCTACAACTGAGTCTGTGAGGCCAAACACGAAGGCAAGCACTAGCTTATATGTTGGAGAAGCAAGAAAGAGCTCATGGTCTTGTGGTGAGAGGATACGCCTGCTTGGTTTCTGAAAGCTCAGTGTGGAGGGATCTGGCGGGGGAGGTAGGTTCGGAGTCTCAGGTACTGGAAGCGGGTTCGAAGGAGGGGGCGGCCGACGTCGAGGTTGCAGCTTTGGCAGACGATCTCGCAGATCCGGTATAGCCGCAGCTGATGGTTTTGATTCTCTTTGATCGTTTAGCTGTGCTGTACTTGAAGGCATTTTGTTGTTGTTGATGATGTCAAAGAAAGAGTGGCACAGGGAGCTGGACGTCTTAGATACGACGAAGCGGGGCAGCGGGTAGTCCCGCTTTTAGCTTGGAAACTTTCAAATGTTGAGCAAAGTTCCAGTTTGCGCAGTACTTCCCTTCACTTCGATTTAGTGAGCCGCCTGACAGGACTTCAACATTCAACATGGGCGCATCAGCAGAGCCTACGGCCATACTGTCGCACCTGCACCGTGCGGACGGTTCTGCCACCTTCTCACAAAATGGTTACACGGTGATTGGTGCAGTCAACGGGCCTATCGAAGTGCAACGACGCGATGAGCTTCCAGAAGAAGCTGCTATAGATGCCATTGTCCGACCAGCAGCTGGGGTTGGAGGTATGTATGTCAAGATCTTAAACTCAGAGCCATTCTGACTACTTGTTTTAGGCCCTCGGGAGCGACATCTCGAATCAATCCTGCAATCTACCCTCCGCCAAATTATTCTCATTAACAATTTCCCTCGAACCCTTATTCAAGTCACACTACAGATTAGCCAGACACCAGAGAACGAAACTGTAGGATCCAAAACTGTCCAGGCTGGTTCGGTAGGTTGCTATTTACGGGACTATAAACGGAGGTTGACGTTGAACAATAGAATCTGCCAATACTCCCCGCCCTCCTACAAACAGCGGTACTAGCATTATTGTCTGCCTCGATACCTCTCGCTATGACACTGACATCGGTAATACTGGCTCTCACTTCCGATGGGACCTCAAAAACTATCATTCAAAACCCGACCCTTAAAGAGCTCCAAAGCGCCGATTCAATCCATGTGGTGGCTTTTACTTCACACGGTGATCTATTAGTCGCAGAGAGCGAAGGGAGTTTTACGATCCAGGAGTGGGACGAGGTATATGAAACTGGGAAGCGCTTATGCTGTGACGAGGTTGAGAAAGCCGACGACGATATAATGCAAACCGAAGGGTTGGACGGGAAGGCTGGCGGCATGAAGACTTTTCTCAGGTCTATCTTGAAGGAGAAAGTGGAGGCCGACACCCACTGGAAAGAATAACCGACAGTGATTGATGCTTTGCCGCGTTCGGAACGTCTTGTCTCGATTCCCAGCTTCATGGAACGTCGGCCATCGCAATCCCATATAGGCCTAGCTTCTTGTGCGAAGGGAGGAGCCGTAATATGGAAAGGCATTAGACCCCAGGCCAGGGCCTGTCAAAGGTCGCTATGGAAGCATCCCCAGAGCTCGTAGGACCGGGCCGCTGAAGGGTCTCCCTGCGATACTCCGTACACATGTCGCAGTGGGCGGGATATCTAATTGGCTGTTCAGTGAAGTTTAAGTGGTCCGGAATCTCAAACGTCGCTTTGGAAAGGGGCAGCACCTCCAGAGCGAGGCGATGTTTCATCCCGCTCTCGGTCTCCAATGAAGATTGTAAACGATATGGAACTCGGGAAATGCTGAACCCTGATGCAGTACGCAGTACGTATAGGTCGTATTCGGAATATACGGAATTTTAATATCCTCTATTCTTGGGACATGGATACCCCCAACTTTTGCAGCCTTGTTGTTATCAGATGGACATGGTCAAATGGCCTTGGCAGTCCCAACTGTGTATCGAATTGTGAACCCGGTTTGAACACCCCACCTGTTGCCCCTTGCTAAGGCTATCTTTGGCCCTGACGACTCCAAACAATATGCGCCGTAACTGTGTCCTAAGTCCCGGCTGGATGGGAGTAAGTGAGCATCTTACCGCTGACCCGTGAACTGAAAACGCTAGCTTGTGACTTCGCCGTTGATACTTGAGATGAGACTCGCCTCCAGATGGGTGATCATTGACAACATGAGGCCTGGACTCCAGGCAGGCTTCGTATAAAACATGTGTGAAGTAGGTAGGTAGGCAGGCTTTAATATCAAGTTGATGAGCCCGCTCTCCAGTCCTTATCACCAGACGAACCCAACGGCGGCTGTCAAATTACAAGCAGAGCTCTGGTAGCCTGTTCCGCAGCGACCTCTCCTTTTCTTCTCCTTCGTTCAGTACTCTTCTTGGACACAGCATACTCCTTTAATACATATAGACTTTTATATCTATACAGCGTCGGTTTTCGATACACAGACTCGGCGTCCGGTTCCACGGCTTTCTCGAGACAGCCCCATTAGCCGGCGACGTCGATATCATCGCTATTTCCGGCACACTTGTTCCTCTTGCAAAGGTCCCTGCACCATCGATATCCTACCTGTTTATCCCGCCAGTATCCTTGGTGTGCGCGCAGACTTCGACGGAAGAGCATCACATTCACATCGGCGCCTCACCTACCTCGACGAGTCAGGAACTCAGTCGTATATGATATTCTATCTGTAGGGATTCTGTACCCGTGGCTCACGCAATAGGCTTCCTTGGCAGTAAGTTTTGGCAATTTTGATAAATGTCCTATTTTCCGGTCTGGAGACGTATTTGTATTGGTCCCGTCGTTCAAAAGCGTCACATCACCTTCACATTTCCCTCGCATCACGTCACTCACACTGGCGCTCTCGTGGGGAATGTTGTAACTGTCGAGTCGATATTGGGAAACGCCCATTGAATGCTCCTTGGCTGACAACCCAGCGGATATAAGCTTCGTCAACCTCTGATTATTATTACACATCGATCCTTCTAGATCCGCCGCTTTATTTGCCGCGGTCGATATCTAAGCAAGACGCCCACGACACTTCGAACCAGAACCAGAAGCCGGACCAGATACCCGTCCGGCTCGTCCTTCGTTGCCATTGCCGGTCAGCGTCAGCTTCTGTCTTTACCCCGTACTTCGTATATTCCCATCGCTCCTGGAAAGCTTCCCAAGCCCGGTCCGGTAAGCTCCTCGGCTATTACAATCTTATCGCCGACGAACCCCGACCTCAGAGGCTTTCGTACCTAGGTGCTGTAGAAATCCCAGCTCCCCAGAATGCCGGACATTCGTTCACCTCCTCCAACCCCCTCCAAAATCCATCCTGCCCTGGCGAACACATCCATTCCTCAACCCTTGGCCGGCATTGGCGAAGCTGTCCCCCCAGCAGATTCGGCGTCTCCTACCAGGTCGAATGGCTTGAACACAGCTCCGAGGACTGGAGATTCACTGCGTCGTGAACAAGCCCAGCAGACCGGGTCGCTGCATTCCTCCAGTCAACTCTCCGACGGCCTCGACCATGATACCTCCGAGCCGTTGCCCTCTGCTGCTGTCACAGTAGGGGAGACTCCCGCCAGCGATTCTGCCTTGCTGCCAAAACCACCCTCGTTCTCGTCCATAAGCTCGCTCAGCTTCCACAACCACCAGAGGAACGCGTTGTCCGTCGAATCCATTCCGCAGCAGACGATTATGAAAGCATTGGCCTCGGTGAGGAGGAATCAGAACCCACACAATTTGTCACTTGCGTCCTCGTTAACCGGTATGATTGCTGCACAGAATAACGCGGAGGTCCGGCCCGACAGTGCCACCTCTCAGAACCTGTCTGCAGCCTTATCAGATCTTGCGGGCAGGAGCGGAACCCCTTCAACTCCTCGATTCGCTGCTCTAGCTTCCCCATGTTTTTACCACCAACGGTTTGACGATGCCGTCGACATTGATAAAGTGCTCGAAGAGATTAAGGAGGACGAGTATATGTCACATTCACGTCTCATGCAAACAGCAACTGGCGTGCGAGAAGTTTCAAAACAACTCCAACGTCGTCCCATCAAAAGAGCTGTGCGCAATGTCATGATTGTGACTAAGGCCAGAGATAATCAATTGGTGCATTTGACCAAGGATCTCGCACAATGGTTGATGAGCACACCGCGATACGGGTCTGATCTCGGCGTGAACGTGTATGTGGACGCTAAATTGCGCAACTCGAAGCGTTTTAATGCTGCCGAGATGTTGGAAGCTCAACCTCGTTTCCGACATCTTCTCAAATACTGGACTCCTGACTTATGTTGGAGCCAGCCAGAGAAATTTGACCTGGTCTTGACACTGGGTGGAGATGGCACTGTGCTATTTACGTCTTGGTTATTCCAACGTATCGTTCCTCCCATTTTGTCGTTTAGTTTGGGCAGCCTGGGATTCTTGACCAACTTCGAGTATGATCGGTATAGGGAGCATTTGAACAAAGTCATGGGAGACGAAGGAATGCGTGTTAACCTTCGCATGCGCTTCACTTGCACTGTTTATAGAGCTGGAGCTGGTGACCAGGAGATGGTGGAGGGAGAACAGTTCGAAGTGCTCAATGAACTTGTCATTGACCGCGGGCCATCCCCATATGTGTCAAACCTCGAGCTGTATGGCGACAACGAGCTCCTCACTGTCGTCCAGGCAGATGGCTGCATCTTCTCTACTCCCACTGGATCGACTGCCTATTCGCTATCTGCTGGTGGTTCACTTGTCCACCCTGATATCCCAGCAATTCTTCTCACGCCCATCTGCCCCCATACTCTCTCTTTCCGCCCCATGATTCTTTCCGATACCCTACTTCTCCGGGTATCTGTCCCTCGAAATTCTCGTGCTACCGCCTACTGCTCCTTCGACGGCAAAGGACGTATTGAGCTCAAACAGGGCGACCACGTCACAATCGCCGCATCCCAGTACCCCTTCCCAACGGTCGTGAGGGCTGACACGGAATGGTTTCAGAGTGTGTCTCGAACATTTTTGTGGAATACTAGAGGTGCATTGCAGAAGGGCTGGGATGGAGCAACGGAGAATAAGGAAGAGGAGGTTGAGTGGGATATCGACACCGATTCTGCTTTCTATGGAAGTGAAGCTAGTAGCATAAGTGCCAGCCCTCTGAGAAAACAGATGAATATGCTCGGCCTAAATTAGATTTTTAACTGTCATCCTGGCCGATATTATCATGTATCTGCCAGCTATACGACTTTCGGGATAGGGTTACAAGGTGTTCATATGGGTGGGCTTTATACTGGGCATGATTAGAACATGAATACAAACAATTCTTCGCCAGTCACAAGTTCATTGAGAACCAAGTTGCAACTCGAGTATAGACTCCATAATTTCCCGCCTGTTACCAACTCTCAAAAAGAGCTCAACCGTGAGTACATTTAGACATTAATGTCAGCTTCCTACTCTACTATCGCCGTCTCAATATCCTCCGCCTTCCCGGCATGCTCCCAATGAGTGACGCGTGCCCCTTCCGTAAGCGAGCATTTGAACTCTCCCCCAAAAAGATCAGAGAAAGAAAAAGGCAACGCCACAAAAACCCTCAGAGAAAAGGCACAGCCATCAAAAAAATAAAAGAAAGATGGAAAGAGAGAATACGAATAAGGATCATCAGAATAAAAAAAAGTTCGGCCCGCTCTAGATTGCCTACATCTTTTGTCGTCGAGTCGGTATGGCGTTAGGTTCCTTATTTCTCCCCCTCTTAACCACAACATTGTCCTGACCTAAGGTACTTCCTTAGGCGCGTGTTGTGTTTGCATCAAATTCCTTAATCAAACATATAACTATGGTATCTGGTTCAGCCTCCCCTACCACACAACTCCCGTGACCGCAAGGCACGTGCAGTGAATCAATTCCTCCTTTGCTTTGAATTCCATCATGGTTGCTCAGCATTCTGAGGTTATATTGGCCATTGTATATGACCATCCACAGAACCAAAAGAACCTCACGTCCTCCAACAACAAACACAATTCTCGCAAAGTTCCTACGACGATGCAAAGAACGGAAGCATATACTTCCAGCTTTCTCTTTTGTATGTCTGCACACAACACACAGAGTAAACAAACCAAGCGCATTGCAACATCCAACTAATCAATACAAGGATTTTAAGTTTGGCCGACCATTCCCTTCCGAAAAATATCGCTAACAAATGCAGATAACGCTCTGGAAACAAGACTAGTGTTAGGGAAGGAGCGTAGTGCTAGCTACCTCCTACACCTATTGTATACTCAAGGCCTTGATTACCTTTCGCAATCGAAGACTGTTCGATACGGATAGCCCGACCACAACCCCAGCCACCAAACCTCCACCCCCAAGAGCTGAGGCGAGGAATACGACTCCAGGACCGGTGTTATCGGGCGCTGTTGATTCAGGATGGGATAATGACAAAGAAACCGAAGACTTCTACGACTGGCAGCATGGACTCTATGATCCAGCAGCTCATGGTCTCAATTGAGTGCCATGCCGAAGCCTACGCATTGCCTCGCGTCCAAGACTGCTGCCACAAGCACGAGCTCCTCCCAAAGAGAGCGAAAGCAACGACGAAGTCAACGAAGAGAGACAACATTCAACGACATTGGGTTGATAAAAGTTTGCTGCATATCCCTGAGTCGTCTACAAGTGAGAGGCAGAATAGAAGATGTTTAACGGATATGCCTAGCGGCACATACGAGGATTACCAAACTACTGGCAAGGCATCCAGATCAAAACTGATTGGATGGAATGAAATATTTATTGCTATTCAGCCTTCAGCATTTGATGGGTCTGTGATTTGGAAATGGACTTGTCAATCTTTAGTCCACTAGTTGTGGCGCATAGAGCAGACTGGAATGATCTCTAAAGAGTTGTTGAAAGGTCATATCGAAGAACTTTGACGCAAACTTGCATCCCCTTCTCCTTATCGAGCGAACTCAGGAAATACATAAGCACTTATATCGAGCTAATTCTGTTAAGAACGTCAAAGAAGATGCAGGAACAGAAAGGGGTGGCGGTCCTTAAACAATCAATCAATCAATCCACACATTTCCGGCTAACGCACATCCCATCGGCCAGGCGCCTTAGCGTCCCAGACTGACGCAGAATATACTCATTTCGTGTCAAGTCGCAGGATAATAATGCCGCTGGGCTTTCACTGAAGAAGAGAAACTTGATGGACGTCAAGAAAAGACTTCCTCGACCCACCCAGGAACTGGCATAGCGTACTGTTAAGCGAGGAGGGGCCACAAGCCTCAAGCCTCAAGGGGCCAGGGGCAGGGCGCGGACAATCCCGTTTCCTTGTTGGGATGCCAGTGGCTTGAAATTAAATGGCTTTTGATACAAAAATACAGAGACTCTGGTTTGTCAGGGTGTTGAACCAGAAGCCACAGGATCCTGCAAGCGCGCTCCTTACTTTGCCGAGGATTCGAAAAGTATGGATATCATTCTCGGTGTTGCCCTGTTGGCGTAGCTCTTGTGGACTCTGTAGTGCAGATGCGCAGGACAGCTTGCTTCTCATGTTTGGGTTATTAAAGGGCAAAATATTGTCATTCTAGGACGGACGTTGCGAGCCCTATCAAGACCAACTCTGCTATCATTGCTCCTGGGGTTACTCTTTCCTGTTCTTCAGCCTACTCTCCTCCTCTGAACACAGGAGTTACAGTGTGGTGATTCCTACCAAATTACTCCCTAGCCCTGTATTCCGTTCTACGCAGGAAATCGGTCCCAACTGTTCTTCATCCCGCTTTCACTCCTCGCTGCATTATCCGGATTTCCTTGGTGATAGGACATTTTCATTGGCTCGTTTCAATAAGTCAGTAAGTTCTGGAAGCCAATCTCGGGAGAAGCTCTGTACGGTCGCGTACTTTGACCGACAACTCCTACGATAAGTGAGAGTGGCAGTGGTTGACGATATCGACCACACCGCTGAAATTTGTTCGGCACATGCTTGCTTTTTCTCTCTTCTGATAGTCTGCAACTTGTTTTAGAAAATCACGTGGCTCCAATCGGAGATTAAAGTAAGTACTCTGTGTCTCTGACCAAGCTTGACTGACGCTCGGGCATGATTTTCGAAGTTCGAATATTGCATATCTTATGCTGTGCTCGGAGTATCTGGGCCTAACCAGCTCAATATCCTAGGTGCGGATCGCCGGTCGTTAAACACAACGGGTCTCTATGCAGAATCTGGTGAAGATTACCGTGTGCACATATGCAAGACATTACTGACCCCGACCCAAATTTTGACAGAAGAGGGCTGAAGCCCTTCGTGATGAAAAAGCATGATATGTATCTCAGATATTCGCGAACGGAACTTGTCATTGATCTGATTATGAATATTTTTGTTAACAATTGACAACAGCTAAGGTAATCGTGCTTCATGATTGCATGTGACCCGGATATGGAGGTGGCGGATACACCTCAGTTCTGTAAGATATGGTGATGGTCCTTGGCTCTGCTCCACCCAGTACATACGAGTAAGGGAAAATGTGGGGGGAGAATTCTTCTTGTGTATATTGACTTTGAGCGGGAGCAAATCCATCTTCTTTCAAGCTGGCTTCAGATTTGTTGTCAGAGAATTCACACGGGTGCCTTTTGATATCCCTGAAAAATAGTAGACGTTTCCAGGCGCCTTCCTTTGGCCAATCCTCGTTCTTCAGAAGTAGCACGAGAAAGGCATGGTCCTCGCCGGCGCGCGGGACAAATATCTCCCCGCTGCGGGGTCCGTCTTGGAGGCTTAAGTTGCATCACCCTGCAGTTGACTATCTGCAATTGTCTTTCGCCATCCGTTAGCGCCTTCTCTGACTCCTGTTCGTTGATTTCTTAATCGTGACTCGTGCTCAAAGGCCAGAGACATCGGCGCATCGTTTTCGCCGACGATTACGAATTTAGGTTGCACTAGTCCCAAAAAGGGATGCAGCGCGACTGAACCATCTGGCCGAGGTTCACATCCTCCAGATAAGTACAATGCTGCTGTTGCCATATTTATGCTTCTTCCGTCCCTTTTTTTACTTTCTTTAATTTATATATGCTAACAAGAAGTTCTTGCCTTTGTTGGCTCTTCATCTTCGCTGAAACATCGTTTCTTCGCTTGGTTACTACTTCCACCGGCCAATACTTCGATTGACATCCTGAGACTCCACGAAACAGATAGGCGTTACAAGTAGCTATCGTCGACGTCTCAAACTGCTAGCCATTGCAGAATTTGCTGTCTTCAAGAGAAACCAAAACCTCCATTCGCTTCGCATTGTACAAAGCGCACAATATCCACGCCCAAATTTATTCGCCCTATTACGCGGAAAAGACTCGCATGTGGCATTGCAACCTACGGCCAGGAAATCTTGCCATATAACAAAACTAGGCTCGGGTTTGAGAAGCAACGGTTAAAATGGCGGACATTCCGTTCAAAGCTTTAACGGGCCTATCTGCGCTATCTTCATATGTGCTTGTAGGACATATGCCCGACGTATTGTTGGTCTCTCGACCTACTTATCTCGGAACCTTTATGATGCTTTTGGTTCTGAACTCCTTCATTTGGGCATTCTGGAAGGTTATATTATACCCCAAATTTTTCTCCCCGTTAAGACATTTGCCGTCTCCAAAGGGTGGTAGTTGGTGGAATGGCCAATACAGGCGAATATCAAGAGAGGCCACCGGCGCGCCTGCGCTGGACTGGTAAGCAGCTTCTGAAACAAGTCCGCGAAGATTTAAATACTGATCCGGATTCACAGGATCAATAGCATACCACACAATGGTATGCTGCGATATTTAGGTCCCCTGAACTCCGAGCGCCTCCTGGTAATTTCTCCAAAAGCAATCGGCGAGGTTCTTACCACCAAAAGCTACGATTTCGTCAAGCCTGGACAAGTTCGCAACATCTTGGCAAGGCTCCTAGGAGTTGGAGTCCTTTTGGCGGAGGGCGAGGAGCACAAAATACAGAGGAAAAACCTCATGCCTGCATTTGCATTCAGACACATCAAGAACTTGTACCCAGTGTTTTGGGACAAATCACGAGAGGCCGTGCTGGCTATGACAGCAGTTGTGAAAGCTGATTCATCGAAGGAGGGAGAGTTGCAAGATGCCAGGAAAGACACTGCAACCTCAAAAGATACGGTCTTTGACGTGCTCGAATGGGCTAGCAGAGCAACTTTAGACATCATCGGTGTCGCTGGCATGGGTCAGGATTTCGGTGCAATTCGTGACCCCGACAACGCACTCAGTCGTACTTACAGGACAGTGTTCAAACCCACGCCTCAAGCACAGCTTCTTGGACTTCTGAATCTCTTCCTACCAGCATGGATTGTGAGAAACCTCCCCGTTAAGAGGAATGGCGAGATCGAGGAAGCTGCGGGCATTATCAAGGCTACATGCAGAAAGCTTATCCGCTCTAAGAAGGAGAAATTAGAGAAGAACGAGTTGACCGATGTCGATATCCTCAGTGTAGCATTAGAAAGTGGCGGCTTTACCGAGGAGAACCTTGTCGATCAGCTCATGACCTTTTTAGCTGCTGGACACGAAACGACGGCGACCGCGATGACTTGGGCAATATACTTGCTCTGTCTGCATCCAGAGGTGCAAACTCGCCTACGTCAAGAGATCAGAGAGAAGCTCCCCAGCATTGAAGAAGATGTAAGTGTTGATAGCCAGCAGATCGACCACATGCCCTACTTGAGCGCGGTCTGCAACGAAGTCCTTCGGTGTTACCCCCCTGTACCACTCACCCTCCGAGAAGCTGCGCATGACACCACGATTTGTGATCAGTTCGTACCGAAAGGCACTCGAGTGACCCTCGTTCCCTGGGCCATCAACAAATATGAAGCAATATGGGGACCAGACGCTAAAAAGTTCAACCCGGAACGCTGGATGCCATCCGAGGACAACCCACACAGTGCCAATGGCGGCGCATCAAGCAATTATGCATTTTTGACTTTCTTGCATGGGCCAAGGAGCTGTATCGGATTGGGATTCGCCAAGTCGGAATTTGCCTGCTTGCTGGCTGCGTGGATCGGGAGATTCGAATTTTCTCTGAATGATGAGAGGGAATATGATGAGAAGAATATGGTAATCAAAGGGAATGTTACGGCGAAGCCAGCAAATGGCCTGCATGTCAAAGCTAAGGTAGTTGAAGGATGGTAATGATCTGGCTTTCTTCATTTTCTATAACGACAGTATAGGCGGCGTCCTAAAGACAAATGGGTGTCGGTTCATACACGTCCTCTTTATGATTTATCTGAATTAGACCTGGGATCAGCCTTTCCCTGCCAGACTTAAGTAAGATGGAGCCTCTCATCTTTGTCAATGGTCTCAAGGTCACTTTGAATAGCAGCGAGCCGTTGACCTCTCAGATTTGCTGGCACGAGCGAAATCTGATCTTGCCTCCATGAGCCTGGATGATGAATATTCGTAGTTGATCAGGTCTTCTGGCAAGTTTTCTATAAGAACAAAAGCGAGAAAATAGACTGCTGTTTTTATTGACAGAGAGTTGCTTGGCAAGTTGTAAAACCAGAGCCTCCTTGTCTATTCTATGGGGTGCAAGGCTCAGAAGAAAGCACCAGCGGTACGTATTCACTCCCTTAGAAGCGATTAGGGATATATGAATCTTACGGTCACAATAAGGCTAGGACGAGATCTCTTATTCACCCTCTTTACTTTATTTCGTCAAACTACTTCGCGCAAATTCCTCTCACCTCTAACTCCATCCCAGCCAGCCCTTCAATCTCCGATCTTATCGACAGATACAACTCCTCCTTTCGTCTTCGATCTACCTTCGTTCCACCCTCGGACAAGCATCCTACAATCGTAGACTGTCTGCCCTTCGTTCTACCTTTAGTTTGTCTTTAGACAAGTCCTTTACAAGCTGTCCTTTGCTCTGCCTTTGAGCAAGCGTCGCGTGGTCAAGAGTAGATTCTCTTGACCTTACAACAACTTCGTTACTACTCCACGAACAAGTTCGTTTCTTTTCTTCCTATTGAACTAGTCTGTCCTCGTTCAACCTGCCGACTAATACTCGTACAAAAACCTTCTCGTCTGGCGCCTGTCGCGAAAACAATCCTACACTACATCTGACAATATCGAGCCTCCTTAATCCTCTACGATCATGAACGAATTCAGTTCTTCCACCGACATACCCTCGAAACAGATCGAGAGGCCTTTGTCAGCCATGAGTGGAACTGCTCAGACTGGATTCTCTAGTCCAACCAGAGACACCTCCTTGCCGCTGCCACCTCGCGGTAGCCAGCTGTTCGCGCATCTAAACGCAGGAGATACTCCCCACGACAAGTGGATCCCTATCTCTGTCCACACCGCGAAGTGTGATCTATGCCTCGTACACAACACTTCTGTCATCCAGCGTTGCACCCGATGCAACCGCCAGCTCTGTCGGGAATGCCTTAAGACTGCAAGCAATGATGGCGTTCATATCGTGAAGGAAGATGAGTTGGAGTGGAAGCCGAGACCTCGCATCACGTTGAGGCAGAAAGTCACTAGAGCAGCCGCCAACAACAATGCTGTCCCTGCTACTCCTCCAAATACGGCCAGCAACAGGGTTGTCAAGACCAGAGCTACCAGAATGACTGCTAGAAGAACGCTGGCTACTCAACGACCTCTATCAAGATATGTGAATCAGGACGCCACGGATGAGGATGAGCTTTTTGTTAGTGACATGGGAAGATCATATCAGAAGGATAGTCATTCTGATGATGGTGATGATGGCTATTCTACTGGTGACTGGACTCCAAGCATGGAACAGGGCAAGTTATCAGGACCATCTCGCAAGAAGGCCGGGAAAGGTACGCGTCGGACACCTAGTGAGATGGGACAATTCAATTCAAGAAAGGGCAAAGACAATGAGGGATCATTCGGCTTTAATCAGCCCACAGGCTTTGGAATGGCTTTCGACAAGATGACCATCACGGGCACAGGAGATAATTTTGCAGATGCCATTGCCGAGGTTGCACAGCAGAAAGCTCAACGTGAGAGGGAGGCCAAAGAGCGCGAATTCCAGCAGGACAAGAGAAAGGCCTGGGAGAACAACCCAATCCTGGTGGACTTGAGGAACCAAGGACGGCATGAAGAGGCTGAGAACATCTTCAATGCTACGTGCGAACTCGTGAGAATGCGGAGACAATTGCAGTAATGAGGATACGACAGGCTTCCCCTAGGAAGGAACGGGCAGGATAACATCACTTGACTTTAAACCCGTGGCGATTGATGAACTCACGCTACTTTTCAAGGAGTTCCTTAGGCGTGCAGGATTTCAGTTTTCTTTCAAGTGGTACAAAGTATGGCGGCGCAACGATCTCACTTGAGCGGCTGCAAGGGCAGACTCCCGCAGAGAGAATGGCGCTTTCTTTTCGGCTTTGACGTATGGGTGGATCTTAATGGTTTGGGGATGGATGGTGTTGGATGGACTGGACGCTGGAGATATGGTTCTTTGCCAAAGACGAGTGTAGCCTTCCAGAGACTGGGCTGTAGTCTCTACACACGCATCACTTCCTTTGATACCCCTAATAAAGTAATTCTTCTTCATTGCTCGCTGGTGCATATCTGATATCTTGACCTCTGTTCTCGGCGTATCTTTATGAGTAGTGTGTCTAACCCATCCGGACAGCTCTCAAAGAATTGTCTATGGAAGACAGGGCTGTGCATATGTGGGGCTCGCCTTCCCGTAATTACTACCCTGTAAGGCGGAAGTTGAAAGAAGCATTTGATTGACAGTTCTAGATGACCCCGCTACTGCTTGTCTGTCTGTGCTCTGCTCTCCAAAATCCAGATGGTGGGGATGGCAAGATCGGTGGGCGGCAGGGCTCGACAAACCATTCTGGATCTACCAAAGAGGCCTTTGACTGCTAGGCTTATAAAAGGTGAAGAGCGTTGTCGTCACATCTTAGGGGCTCTAAAGAAAAGATATGCTGGACAGAGTTGATGCGACGAGGAAGGTTTCTTTTGATGGACATCAGTACCCTGTAGTCTCTTATATAAGCAAGCTTACTTGAAATGATAGCAGATACGACAGACCGACTGTACTTGGAGTCAGTCGGAGAATTCCCACACCACGGTATGACTTGACTCATAACATGGCCCTCCCTGTCCATAGGTAGGCAGAACTGTTTATATAATGCAGCATCTCAAGATATAATGTACTGCACTGCATTGCGAGACGAGAAAAGGCTGTAGACAACCAAACCCTCGGTTTCCAATCATGGCTGCAAACACGTCTAAACCGTCTGATCCCACCTTCAGGTCCTACTCGAGCGAGCAAGCCAAGATCTATGTCGGCCCTCCTATGCGAAGGCTCTCTACGAAACGGTGCTGAATCATCATTTTGCTACGGGAGGCCACTTTGGATTACTCCTCGATGTTGGCTGTGGCCCAGGCAATGCTATTCGTGATGTCGCTCTATCGTTTGACCAGGCGATAGGGTGTGATGCCGGCGCCGCAATGATAGAAGCCGCCAGAGAGCTAGGAGGAAAGGCCGAGTCCGGATCCGATATCAAATTTGAAGTTTCTCCAGCCGAGGAATATTCTCAGATCAAAGGATTAGAGCCTGCCTCTGTTGATCTCTTGACCGTTGCAATGGCTGTGATTATTATCGCATTGAATCTTTACTTTCGAAACTAGCTAATTCTAGGAAGGCCCATTGGTTCGAAATGGATAAGTTCTGGGTCGAGGCAGCCAAAGTAGTGAAGCCCGGTGGTACCGTGGCACTTTGGACTCTTGGTGATTTCCAAAATCCATAAGTTCCACACCCATATTGCTAATTGGTCTCCAGCTTCTTTATTCTGCCGTATGTTCTCATTTGAAAACTCACTTGGTGGGTAACTAATCACTCAAGACCCTTCCACTCCCAACGCTGCAAAGGTCATGGAGATCCTGCTCCGATTTGAGAGGGAAACTCTCGCCCCTTATGAAACCCCTTCAAATCGCCTGTCAAGAGACATGTACGATGACCTGGCTCTTCCGTGGACGATACCAGCGCCAGTCAAGGACTTCCCTCAAGAGTTGTTTGTGAGACGCGAGTGGGACCGGGAAGGCGTCTTGAGCAATGGGGAGTCTTTCTTTGGCGGTGGCAAAGAGAGGTCTATTGACGATATCGAAAAGGGGCTTGCAACTGCAAGCTTGGTTACTCGATGGAGGGAAGCTCATCCAGACCTTGCTGGTACAGAAAAGGATGTTGTGGAACAGTTCGCCATTGAACTGCGGGAAGCACTAGGTCCTGACCAGTCCACACTTTCGCTAGGCAGTGGAACCGTCATCTTGTTATTCAAGAAATCCGAAGTCTGGTGTCTGATGCTTCTTTTACTCATTTCGGTCTCTCTAGGAGCTCAAATTTAACACAACGACGCCAATGCGCTAGAGCTTCATATGATAAGATCGATTATTCGAAGAAAGTTTCTATATCAAGTATTGGAAATACCTTGGACGTCCATCTGTGTCCAGTCGCCTCCTCCATGGTGGTTTCATTGTGGGTGACATCCAACCTCAGTGCACGTGATTGAGGAGGAGATCTTCCCTGGTTAGATCACATGAGATTGGATTAGACACTAGTCATGCGACTGCCAGAGAAAGATATATAACCTTATTGGAAAAAGAGACTCGTGCAGCGGAACCAGGCAGATGCTGCGAAGTTAAGACGTGATTCTGTGAAAGGGGACGGAGACTTGATCCTGTTAAAATGCACGATTTTAGTGTAATAAGTAGATAATTCATGTATATTAAGTTGTCTAAGAATACAGGTAGGCTACTGTCAAGAGTCTTTATATACTAAAAAGTCTATCCTCTAGTAGCGATATTAGAGATAATATAAGGGCACTAGGGTCCCTAAATCTTATACTTAGCGTATAAGGTTTTTAACACTCTTACTTAGCTATAATATCGCTACTATCTATAGTACCTGTTCTTTATAGAGTCTATAACTCTTACTAAATCCTAATCTAGAAACTAAAGGAAAATAACTTGTGCTAATAATATAGAAGTAACTCTTACTTAAGGTAAGGTTAGTAAGAAAGAAGATTTAACAATTTGTTAACCTATTTTCTTTAGTCGTTTCTTAAGATCCTTATTTTCTTTAGGATCTCTTCTTCTTCTATAGTCCTCCTTACTAGTCTATATTAACTTCTAATAGCCGCTTTATTAGTACAACTAACTCTAAGATTGTCGACCGTAGCCTAAGGTTTCTAGTAAAGTAGTTAAATTTAGTAGGTCCTAATAGTTTAGTAAGAATGTCTACTACTTAGTCGTTAGTAAGGACAAAGTCTACCTTTAGAGCCCCTCTCTCTACCTAATCTTAACTATAGTAATACTAGATGTCGATATGTTTAGTTCTAGTGTAGAATTAGGGGTTCTTAACTAAGGTAATAGCGCTTATGTTATCTACTAGTAGTAAGATTAGATACTTAGTAGTATCGACTTTAAAGTAGTAGAGAAGTCTTAATAGCTAGACCGCTTCTCTTATAGCGTAAGAGAGTGTAGTGTATTTAGCTTTATAAGAGGAGAGTGTAACAGTTATTTGTTTCTTACTTAACTAGCTAATTACTTCTTTATAAAAGATAAACATATATCCTCTAATTAACTTCTAATTACCTTTGTCGTGTACCTAGTCTATATTAGTATATCTAACCAGGTCTTCTTCTCTATAGAACTTAAGTCTAACATTAAGTGTATATCGTAAGTATTATATAATTCGCTTTACTACCCTTTAGTATTGTTAAGTTAGGTTAGAGGTAAATCGACTAACAGATAATATAGTATATGTAATGTCTAGCTAAGTTCTAAGTATAGCGTACATTAGAGAGCCTACTACTAATTAATACAGAAGGCAGGCTTATAGTGTTGTAGCTAAGCCCTCTTTAGCCTTAATAAGCTAACACTTCTCCTCTATTAGTATTAATATACCTTACACATTCTACATAAAGAAACTTTTTAGAAAGGACTTAATATACGCTTTTTATAAGAGTTAAATTATTTAATTACGTAGATTCCTTTTGACTTTTATGCCTAAAAAGAACAATACTAGCCTAATGTCTTTTATCTTATATTACTAAGATAACTCTGTTTTAATCTTGTTAATCTTATTAATATTAGGCCCGAAGATTAGTAGGTCGTTAATATAGACTATTAGAACTATGTTATTTTTTATAAAGACTATAGTATCCTTTAGGTATACTATAAATCCGATCTCCTTTAGGGTAGCTTCTAGTGTTTTAAACCAAATTCTTAGTACCTACTTAAGTCTATACAAAGCCTTGTTTAGCTTACAAATTACCTATAGACGTTTACTACTTGTATAGCCGGTCGGTTAACTTATGTATACAGTCTTATCTATGTTTCTATAAAAGAAGGTAGTAACTACGTTTATCTACTTAATATAGAGTCTATAGGTAGCAGTAATCGTAAACAGTACCTTATAGCTTATAGGCTTAACAATAGTAGTAAAGGTTTTATTATAGTTAACGCCCTTAATTTGTTTAAAACCGTAGACTACTTACTTAGCCTTAAACCTAGTAATCTTTCTATTAGCGTCTCTCTTAATTTTAAATACCTATTTGCCTATAAGTAGTTCTTATCGTCTAACAAGACTGTCTACTAGTTCTTACGTCTTATTTTTATTAAGTAAGCCTATTTCTTTATCTATAGCGCGTTTCTAGTAGATTACGTTTAGTAATTTAACGGCTTGTTTGTATATTATAGGCTTATCTAGTTTAGTAAAGATAGGGTAGACGTTGTTCTTAGCTAGGTATTCTACTATGTTAGGTTCTTTTAGTAGTTCTAAGATATAGATTAATTTATAAAGAGAGTTCTTTGTTAAGAGAAAGGCTTATACTATAATTCTTAGGTCTTTTATCGTTACTATAGTATACTTATTTTCTTTAGTAAAGAAGGCTATAGTGATGTCCTTATTTAGCTCTTTGTCTTTTTAGTCTATTAATTTTAATATAGATACTATATAAGTAATGTTTTATAGTTAGTAAGAAAAGCTAGGATAGTTGTTTAGGAAGGGGACTTAGAGGTCTTTTAGAAAGGACGTAGTGTTTTAGTTTAACTAATTTAGGTATCTACCTAAGATAAATAGTAGTTTAACAGGTACTAGGTAAAGTACTAAAGTTTAGTCTATACTTTCTCTCTTAAACTACTACGCGATAGATAGTAGCGTATTCTAATTACGTCTTAAGTATACCTCTAAAGGTTGTGTTAGATCTTACTAAGAAAGTCTATCTAGAGCCTTATATAGTAGAACTATCTTAGCTATAAGAGGCGCTAGGTAGTTTAGTCCTCTTATAAGTAGTTTTATTAAGGGTATTAACCTAATCTGTAGATTCTTATTAAAAATCACTATCTTAGCCTGTTCTATAACGCTAGTATAAGGGTTCTAGATACGGTAGAGGTTACTAGCTTTATAACTAATTAAGAAGCAGATTTTAGAGCGGTTATCTAGCTTCTTTAGTTTCTTAGAGTATAGTACTACCTTATACGTATAGTACCTAATTTACTATAGATATAAGAGGTCAGGAATTTTACTAGTCTAGGCTTTATATAAAGTCATGTCTTTTAATACTACCGTTACTAAGCGGTTCTTAAGATAGGTAACTGTCTATATAACCTTAGCCTATATAAGATCTAGTAAGAATAAGTTGTTTAAGACTACTCTAATCTAATCTTATAGAATGTAATTACCTTTTTTTACGACACTATTCTAACTTAGTATATAAGGGGCCGTAGGCTTCTACTAAACCCCTATTCGCTTTGTCTAGTCTTATAGAGTCTTGTTAATAAATTTACTACTGTTGTTAGCCTTAATCTAATAGATCCTAACTCCCTTCTAAGTATACATTAGGTCGTAAAAAGAGACAATGTACGACTAGGCTTTATCCTTAGTTTTTATTAGATATGTCTAGGTATATCGTATTAGGTTATTAGTAATTATTAAGTAGTAGGTACTACTATATATAGATACGATTCCTCTAGAAAATCCGAGGTCTATATAGATAAGTTCTAATAGGTTAACTATATACTATAAGATAGATAAGAGGCTTAAATTTCTAGCTTTACTAAGGGTATATAACAGGTAGTTCTAGTCTATATTAGTGTCTAATATTTTGATTCTATTAGTTATCCTTTATGTCTTTTGTACATTTGTGATTCTAAGGTACGCTATCTGTTTGTACTAGGTTTTTATTGTCTAGAGTAGCGAATTCTAAGAGGTAAGGAAGGCGATTAGAGAGTTATAGTTATCTAGATACTTAGTGTTATCCTGATTTAAGATATTAAGGCAGGTGATCTAGCCGAGTATAGTACCTATAGCTACTATCTTTGTTCTATACTAGAGTTTATATCTGTCTATAGTTAGATAACTTCTAATTCTAAACCTTTTAAAGAGTAGTCCTAAGGACAAGAGATTTGTAGACATTTGTAGTAAGTATAGTACCTAAGTAAGTCTTAGGGAGTATATACCTGTTCTCTCTTTTTTCTAAAGTATGATTTAGATAGTGCCTTGTCCTATAGTAAGTGCCTTTCCTAGGCTATTTATCTAGACTAGAGAAGAGAACTTAGTAAAGGAAACAAATAATTCTCTCTAATAGTAGATATGTGTGTTGTCTATAAAGTTAATTACCTAGTCGCGTTAGCGTAGCCTTTAGCCTACGTTAAAGGCTGTAAAGGTAGGCTTGTTTAAGTAGAACAAAAGGTAAAGAAATAGTAGTTTACTTAGAGAGAACAGAAGGTAGATAAGTAATAAGATAGCGAGTATAACTAATCTAATCCTAATTTAAAGAAAGAGTATAAGGAGAAAGAGTATAGTAGTTACTATAGTTATAGTTTCTTAGCTAGTGTTTGTATGTAGTAAGTAGATTCGCTACCTAGCTCTACTATTTAGTATAAGGAGAGGTTAGGGAATCCTTTTATATAGGTTTAACTTACTTAGCTACTTACTAGCCTGTAGTTACTACTACTTATTGTTACTTGTCGACTCTTCTGTTTTTACTTTCTTTACTTTTCTTTTTTTAGGCAAGTCTACTTCTCTTTTGTTTAAGTCCTTCTAGTTCTTCTAGAAGTAGTTAATAGTATTATAATTTTTCTTACTATAGATGTCGTACTAGTAGGACTTTCTGTTTACTAGTAAGGGGTTTTAACGACTACCTCTACTACGTCCTTAACCTTTACTACCTCCTTAGCCTCTTAAGGGCTTGTCTTGTTATCCTTAGTTCTTAATAAAGGCTTAGAAGGCCTAGAATTGTTTAAGGGAAAAAGAGTTGTCTCTTTAAGTAGTAAATATAGTAGTAGTACTAGTGCCTAAGATATTACGTTACTTTTGTTCTTTATCTAAGGCTATTTAGATAACGTTATTAAAAGAGAGGCTATTAATAGTCTTAGTAGCTAAAGTTCTGTTTGTGTCTACTATACGGCTAACCTAGTGTTTAAAGGACAGACTAAGATTATATAAGAAAGTTAAAATCTTATGTTAGGGGTTTAGAGTAAGTACCGGATCTATTACCTAAAGCTCTTAATTAACCTACCTTATCTTAGCTACAAAGTCCTTAACTAAAGTACAACTAGTAAGGTTTATAGATTAATACTATTTTAGTAGTAAGTATACTAAGTATAGTCCTTAAGGCTTAGTCTACTAAATAAGGTCGTCTTATAGCTCTATAACGTAAGTGTAATACTTTGTTTAAGTACGTAGGTTATAGTTAATACTAAAGAGAAGGCTACTAAGTACTACTTAGTTTTAGGTATTATAGTTATAAAGTGTTTTGCTATAAGCTTCTCTTAACCTTATCTAGTTAGTAGGTGTTCTTATAAGTTTAGGTTTAATAGGCTTTTCTAGTAAAGGCTATAAGTTAGCTATACAGAATGCTTAGATTACATTACTCTTTTAGATAGACTAATTTTTAGGGCCTCTTAACCTGTTCTTATCTATAAAGTTACCTTAGAAGGACAAGAGGCTTCTAATCTTTTAATCGTATTAGTCTACTATAGTTAATAGCTACGCTTGTATTTACGCTTATATAAACTGTCTTATTTAATCTATAAGTAGTTAGAAGAAGTATTAGGGCGGCTGTACTACTAGAGTGTTTATTAGAGTTATAGAAGTTCTTGTTTAGCGCTTTTAAGCCTAAACTCGTCTAGGCCTATTATATAATGCCCTTTTAGGGTCTTTAGGGCTAAAGAGAACTTCTTTACTATTAAAAGTTTAGGTACTTAGATTTTGCTTGTACGTGTTTAGAGTACTTAGTTCTAGGCTACTCTAGTAGGCTAACAGGTCTATTTTATCTAACGACCTAGATCTTATAGTTTTAGAGATCTTCTCTTCCTAGTCTAATAAGGCGGATTCGTAAGCTAATTACTCTTTCTCTTAACTTAGTAAGTCGTCTGTATTATACATGCCGTTAGGATTAATAATCCGGTTAACCTAATCTTATGTCCTTTATACTTCTATTATTGTTCGTACCTTAGGTAGTAGTATAGGCGTTTACCTTCTTACTGTACTAGGTTTAGGCTTTGTCCTTACTATTACTCTTAAGAATCTTTTGTATCTTAAATCTAGTAGTAGTAATAGTAGTAGTAGGCTAGGTCTTAGGCTCTTAGGTTTTAGGAGTTTACTCTAGTGCCCTAGCTTTCTTTTAGGGATCGTCTCTATTAAGTCTCGATAGAGTACTCTAACTTTCTTGTTAGTAACTAGAATAGTTAGAGAGACAAGACTTAGGCTATTTAGTTCTCGGCTTTAATCTCGTTTAGGTCCTTTAGACTTAAATAAGGTATTACTAAGATCGCTTTCTTCTAGATTTAACTTTAGAAATAGCCTTTTAGGCATAAGGAGTTAATAATCGCGACTTATAAGGTTAATAATGTTTAGCTAGAGCTGACCGGGCTTATAACCTGTTAAAATGTACGATTTTAGTGTAATAAGTAGATAATTCATGTATATTAAGTTGTCTAAGAATATAGGTAGGCTACTGTTAAGAGTCTTTATATACTAAAAAGTCTGTCCTCTAGTAGCGATATTAGAGATGATACAGGGGCACCAGGGTCCCTGAATCTCATGCTTAGCGTATGAGGTTTTCAACAGATCCGGCTTCATCGGGGGGGGGTCCTTCGCTTATTAGCGGATTCTTCAATCTTTGACGCGAAAATTCGCGGTCAAGGGTCTTCATCTCCACTTTACATCTAATCTGAGGTCCTATCTGTACGCACTTCGGAGTAAGAAGAACGCGCGACGCGTCTGACAGAGATTGCACAGCCCCCCTCGATCACCCCGTCGACCAGTCAGGAGTCGATCTCAAAACACACTGTCTCTCGTTCATTTCGAGCTTCGTGTTTTTGGTGGAGAGTCCACGGAAAGGCTAAGACATGCTTATTCACGGTTGAGACACAAGCTCTCAGCACTTGGACTAGAGGTGAATCAAGATAGTCGCTCGGAGAGAAAGGGTCTTTAAGGGTCTGCGGAGTATATCAGGGTCGAGTAATTGATTCGGGGGGCATATGAAGAGCGCCATGGACAGACTGAAAGACCGCGCGGAGGTACTGCTGTACAGAGATGCTATCGGACTGATAGAGGCAGATAGACAGGGTTTGGACTGGACAGTGGACAGGGTCTGAACCGGCTCTGAACCGGGTCGAACAGGGCCTGAACAGGGCCTTGACCGTTGCACGCCAGTCCTGCCCAGTGCCGCGCCCTTCATGACCATCACGAGGCCACCCTTCGCAGGGATTGCGAGCCATTAAGAGCTTTTACCTGTGTTGTTGACATTATTAACACGGCCCGCCCCCTCGACAACCGTTTCTCTCGCAACGAGGTGCAACCCGGACCTGCATAACACTGCATCGATATCAAAACGGCTTTGCGACATCACAGCTCCACGGCTTCACAGTATCGCAACTCTGCTGACGATACTGTCCAGCGGCAAGAGCACCATCTCCAGGCTCTATCGCCTTGATCGCATCGTTGCGCAGCTTTGATCGCCTCCGGCGCATCCATTGCGCCCGTCGCATCGCATCACACGAACCCATCCAAACATCAAATCATTGCAACAACACCCACAACCCCATCCATCTCCACAACCGCAAACATGCTGCTCCCCTCCGCAATAAGCTGCGATTCCTCCTCCCAAGGCTCCAAACCTCGCTACCAACCTGCGCTCTTCGCCTCGCCGCCCCTTTCACCACCACCCACCTCTTCCTCCTCCTCCCTCTCTACCATTCCTAACCTCTACTCCACCTGCCGCGCGCTACAATCGATGCTCACAGCCCCGAGCCAACTCCCATCACCACCAACGACACATGCCACGATCCCCGCACCCGCACCCGCACCCGCCTCACCATTCCGGCTGCGCCTACGCACTCGCAGAAACGAACCTCCGGCAACCGCGCCGCCCCGGAAAAAGATCACGAAGCGCACCGCGCACGCTCCTCCACCGCGGGGTCAGAACAAGCGGCGCCGAGCGACGGACGTCGAGCCCGAAGACGCGGAGGAGGATCTAGAGCGCGAACAAGAGGCAGATATGACGGATAGCGCCTCAGAAGACAACAACAACGACAGCAGCAGCAGACCACGAACGCCCAAGCGCATGCGCACCGCGCCAGAAGTCCTCCCGCTGGGACTCGAGCGTGCTGATTTCGACGCGCTGCGCGGGACGGAGACGACGGAGCGCGAGGAGTGGACGACAGAGGAGGATCGCGTGCTGGTGGAGCTGGTGCTAGAGAAGCTGAAGCTGACAAAGAGCGACTGGCAGGATTGTGCGCGCAGCTTGGGGAAGGATAGGGGGAGCGTGGGGAGACGCTGGAAGAGCCTGATGTGTGCTGGGGAGGTGGGGCTCAAGACGAGGTCGAGGAGGGGGAGGATACATGGCACGTGGAGATAGGATAGGATGGATGCCTCTTTTCTCCTTTTCTATCTTTCCTTGGGGCTGGGGTTGGGCTTTGGTGGCTTTGGTTTTTATTAGGCGTACGAGAGGGAGGTGGTGTGGGCTGGATTGGTTTGGGTTGCGTTGGCGGTGGTCTGTGTCGGTGGGGGGATCTTGGATACCTATGTTTGGTTATATCCCATTCCATATCTAGCGCTGAAGTGCGCTATGTTGGTCACTACTAATTAGTCTGCCTACATCCACGAAGTATGGTTTTAAATACATGTACTCTATCTGTATGACTTCCTAAGCACACTGATCCGACTGAGGACCCGCATGACTTCCACTCCAAAGCTTCAAAGCTTAGAGATCACCGGCCTACTACCTCGAGACTAGACACAATTGCTAGGCAAGGCCGCATCGTGTAATTACCAATAATGATTTATTGTATAACAACAGGTATCTATCGTATCTCCTTATGAACCCAACAGCTTTCTAGATCCAGCCTGCTAGACCTGTCCAGCCGATTTCCCTATCCCATACATCCGAACCTTTGTCTTTATCGTAACATTTCCACCCTACCCCCTTCCCCCCTAACCCGCGATATCTTTCCACAAACGCCAAATAAATAAATAAACAATAACCACTTATGTCCTGCACTTCACCGCGGTATCCCTATACCATATCCTTGGAGCTCTTCTTCATCTCCCACTCCGAGTGCCTCATGCTCGCCATCGAATCCTCGTACGTCCCCTCATCACTCCTAACCTCGACCTCCCTCCAGACCTGAATGCCCCCCTGCTGCTCGTCCCCACTCCTCGCAAAGCCGATCTCCTCACTCGAATCCGCCCAGCGGCATTTCCCCCGCGAATACTTGACCAGCACGGGATCCGGCTTCGCGAGATCGTCACGCAGCGCGATACCGCCTTCGGGGCCGCCCGCCGTGCGGGAACTGCCCCGCGTGTAAGCTGTCGTGCTGCCGGTTTGCACGTAGCCGCCGGGACTGGCGCTGGGCTTGTCGTCGGGGGTTCGGTCGGCCGAGGAGGATGGGAGCAAGGAGCGGAATAGGGGTCGGAGGGTGATGGCGCTCGCGGCGACGATGCCGAGACCGGGCTCGACGGTGGACCAGATGGCGACGTCTCTGTAGCGTGGGTTAGCAAGAGCGGCGAAGACGAATTATGGGGAGGTAAGCTGGGATTCGGGCTTAGCGTACGTTGTTGCGAAGAGGAAATCGTCTGTCAGGGCGAGCACTTTGATGTAGGGAACGCGAATCATGGTGGCGATTCCGGCACTGTTTGGTTCGGATTAGTCTTGCTCTTGATGCTGTAGCGAGTGATAGGAGCTTGCGGAGGAACTGACAGAAGTCCCAATCCGAGGATGGCTGCCACGGATATTTTGGTGCGCCGGTTCATCTGAAGCTTCCAGATCAGAGCAATGGGCAATAATCCCAGGACCCAATCGGCCGAAAACGAGACTGCGGAATGGGCAATACTTGCATCAGGTACCGCTGCTGGGTTGATGCAGGATCCTTTCATGCCTTTGTATTCTGTATGATGGACGCATCAGTAATTTCCTGCTTAGGAGAGTGTGATGGATTCATGAGTCGAGGTCCTTTACTCGCAAGATGCATCCATCTCAGGAGTAAGGGGACCAGCCAAGGGAATTTGATACTTCCAGGGTATCTATCTTACTTACCATTCCAGAAATAACTAACAGGCCAGCATTGAAACAAGACAAGGAAGAAATAAAAGATCGAGTAGGCGAGGATCATCGCCATGGAGCCATAGATGATAATTTTGTGTATCCGTATAACGCATAGCCTGAGAAGGAACACGGCAATCGAGAAACGACAGAAGAGAGTAGAGAGCGTGTAGAAGAGTCTGGTGATTGGAGAGTCAGCGGTTTCTGGGCAGGAGAGGGATGCTGCAGAAGGTTCCAACCCCCGGGGGTCCTTACTCGCACAGCCACCAGGCACAGAGCGCTCGAGGGAGATCTTCTGGCGGGATGTTGACGATATGCCTCCCAGTTCCATATTTCACACCGACTGCTGCAGATGTACAATACGCAGTATAGAACAACTGGGCTCGTGTTAGACAAGAAAGCATGAGGAAATCTCTCAGCCAGTAGTAAGAACTCACAATCGCGACGCAAAGTAGAAGATCGTCCGAACCCCAGCTCTTCCTGATAAATGTTTTGACATATAATCGCATGGAAAAGAAGATCCATGCGAGTCCGAGGAAAAGTCCAAGGACAGCAGCTAGATGTATTGTCAGCTTGAGCACCTGCAGGATTTATGAGGTCACTCACCAACATCGGGTCCTCTGTCTTCAGCCATCTAGACTTGAAGCAATTTTTCCTTGCACCAGCCAAGGAAAAACAGCTGCATCGAGAGACAGGAATGCGGGATGGGGACAGCAGACTCTATATGGCATCACAATTGAGGAGGTCTGATAATCTGGTTCCCCGCCAGGACTTCGTGCTGGTAAATGCCGTACAGGAACAGTCCTAACGGTCCCCCTCACCCTAAGAAGGCCGCCGATGTGAATCTCATCGGGAACTAGGAAAAGTTTCCAATCTCAGAGTCCCAGGAATATCCCCCCGCATCCTGTATGGATGATTGGTGACCTTGGGGACTTCTTGCGACCCACGACTCCACCAGGGTCTTTGGTACGCCATTTTAGGAGCCTATTATTGGGAGAAGCCCAGGACTCCAGACTGCTTCGTCCATTCAGTATTCATAATTATATGCAACGAGGTTTTGGACTCCGATATGATCGACAGTCGGCATAGAGCTACTTACATAGGGCTGCAGATCATTACTGACGCTATGCTGTGGCCCCGAGCTGCTGGGTCCTTGGGAATTTTCTGTGTCATACATTCATTCTTTGTAGGCGATGTGGAGTCTGAAGAGCATTTGAGTGTGAAGGGCACTCTTTTGAGCAAGACAAGACGGTATACCAGTTGGCTTCGTACCATCAAAGGAACGAAGTAAGCAAGCAAGCAAACAAGCGAGAAGCCCACATTCCGGCTCTCACAATGTTAAAAAAAACGAAAAACGAAACAAAAAAGGAACACCAGAGCAACGAGAACTAGTCGACCGGCCAGCTGGGACAAAAAGGAGAAAACAGCTCACTTCCTCCAGCCTTAACTATCTGGGGATGTTTCTCCGACCAGAAGAGAGGCTATATGTCGACCGCTACTGTAGGTCCCAACGGTGAGAACGAAGATCATCGAGCTCTCGTCTCCGCATACGCAACAAAGGTGGGGATGTGTGTCGCTCAGGGCCGAATACTAGATCCCCTAATGGCCGCACTTCTTCCAAGTTCCAGCGCGGCTTTCTTTCCTAATAACATAGAAGGAGGCAAATCACAATAGGGTCATACAAGAGACGAATAACGGTTCTCTACACCGACAACTCTATCTCCAGAAAGGCCTGGGTAGTAGGCGACTTGTTGACGAGAGCACGGCCTTCGATCTCATCTTATCTCATCGCATCGCATCGCATCGCATCGCATCGTATCTCATCGGTCAAAGGGCGAAGCGCCCAGCCGAGCCGAGAGCAGAGAAGGAAAAGGGGAGGCGATTCTAGGATCTAGGTGCGAGACATCTCCCTCCGATCTCTAGGTACCTTGCTTGCTATTCGTCGAGCGCAAACATTTCAGGAGTTATCAACCCTATGAAGTCATCAGGGCACCACGTTCACCAGCTTGGAGAATCTAGCTACGTCAAGCATGGAACGAAGCACGAAGTTCACAGAGAGATTGAGGCTATGGAATTTGTCCGCCAGCACACGTCTATACCTGTCCCCTCTGTTCTCGAAGTGGTGGGCGTCAGCGAGAGGAACCCCGATAATCCAAACAGCTGGTTCTCTATGAGCACAACCATGACATAATATGGAGGATCACCACGGCGCCATTGGAAGAAAAAGCAACTTTTAGTTCCTGAGCCATCCTCAGACTCTCGGAGTCTCAGAGGTCGGGGCGGGAGGGTCGGTAAGACGGTAAGAGACCCTCTCCTGGAACGGGCCTATCGTGTAAAATGGCGCATCGGCAGATCACCCAACTATCTACATACTCCAGAGTACGGAGTAGTAGTACGGAGTACGGAGTTGTAAGTACTTCCACAGGTTCCAACCTTCACCACACTGCACGCTGCACGCTTGAGCAGTAGTCACATCAACCAACACGGTTCCTGCATCTTGCCCAGCTCGTAGTTGAGCTCGCATTGGCACATGGTTGCCATTGGTTGGTCCTTCCGTCTCTCCATCAATATAGCGCGCCTTCACAAGTCCCAAGTTCCATGACTTCTCATTGCCTCTTCACGGAGTATTATACTGTCTTTGAATTCTGGCGTCTGCACTAGAATTATCTACCATTACGATTTTGTGCCGTATCCCTGAAGCACCATCACCACTGCCTCAGCCATCTCCCTTGCAAGAGATTGAGAACCGAACCCATAAAATTACACCAACGCCGTATTGCACTTTTCCATCGCTCCATCCAACGTTTACCACAGCATTTTCCGGGCTTAGAGGGCCAAGGCCATCATGCACAGTGCCAGGAGAGACAGCGTAGAGATTGCAGTCTTCGATGAAGAGGAAACACTCACGCCAGTTGGCACGGATGGACTGCTTGGGCTCGACACGGTGGCGTTCGAAGAAGTGTTTGTGCCCGCAACGAGCGTGAAGTTTGCGCAAGTGATACGGGTAGTATTGGCAAAATGAAGGACCACGGAACGGTTGCCGAAGAAAGATCCCAGACCGGCAAGAGTCGAAGCGTAATCATCGGTGTAGGAGACCTCGAAGGGATCAGAGGTAATGTGGCCATGCTTTCCCGACAGATCGCCGACCTGGCAAGTCTGTGGCAGAGTTGGGTCGCACGGAGGCGTCTTGAAGGGAGGTTAGTTTCTGTTGCAAGGAGAAAATTGAGCATTACTCACCTCTCCTCGAAGGAAGGGGTCGATATGGCCTAGGGTCTTCGTGCAGTTTCCGTCACTGGGAACTGGGAATGCATGGAGATGGTAGACTAGAAGGCGCGTCAGTGGGGCATTCGACAATCTTGGGGGAGGACATACGGAAGGGACCGCCGCTGGTAGGCAGGTTCGAGAAGCTGACTTTGAAGGAGACACCAACACCGTTGGGATTGGCCGTAGCAGAGATGGAACCCTTGATGTTGCCGCGAGGATCTTCAGGATTGAAAAACTCCCTGGTGGGCAGAGTCGCCTCGTAGACGACACCCACGGGGTTATTGTTGACGACGGTGGCATTGCCAAGGGTACCAGTGACTGGCTCGGTGGTGGTCTGCGCGCTCACACAGGCAAGGAGGGTAGCCGCGAGGGCTGATATGAGGGCTTTTGAGTGCATTTTGGCAGATTTTGTGGGGGAGTTCCCTGTATCGGACGCGGGATCGATTGTGGATGGTAAGGATGTGATAGACTAGGAGTTGGCTGTCAGTAAGAAGATCGAGGTCTTGGATTCTAGTGGCATGCAGACATATAGATGCTTACCGACAAGGGAATGAATGGGGATGAGGAGAGAAAAGATGATGGGAGAGAGAAAGTAATGTTATAAAGTGAACTTATTGAGAAACGAGTGGATTATTGTGAGACTGTTGCTCTTTATGTAGTAAACAGTGCGTTGGGCAGGGGAATGCTGCTAGCAAGGGAGACAGAAGGAGCAAATAGAAAGCCAATGGGACTGGATTCACATGAGCGTTGCCAGGTACGAGTCTACAGCGGTGACTGCGGTGACTGCGGCGACTGCGATGGCTGCGGTAGTGGCTGCGACTGGGCCAGGCCAGGGGGACTCAATGGCCAAGGCTCAAGCGGCAGCTGTAAGGCACAGAAGTCAGAACCCCGGATACGTGCGGAGGGCAAGGGGCAAAGAGGCTGCTGTCCTTTTATCATATCGATTGCTTGTTTCATTCTGCTCCCTTTGCTCCTCTCTTTCTTCATGTTTCTATATCATCATCAGAGGGCAGGAGACACATGCTTCCAACCTGCTCGTTCTTGACCTGATGATGCTCACCTAGCCATTATCCAGGTTTGCTATTATTATCAGATCGCTCCTTACGTACAAAGGTATGTTCACACCCCGAGAGGTCATAAATACCACGAATAGCTCGACCGAGGGCAACTCTAACCCCTGGCCAATGATCCCCAAGCGCTACCGATCGTCGTCTGGGTTGCCTGTAATAAGACGGCACGAACAGAGTTCATAACTTCGATGCTTGATTGAAACTGGTCAGTAGAGACACTGCCCATTCACGGATGGCCAGCGCTTCACGGCCTCCTCAAGCGCGGCATCCCAAGCGCTGCTCATTGGATGCTCGCTCTTACTTACATGTACAATTTGTCGTTTCCTGGCGTCTATGGGAGAGGCGAAGGCGTTTAGGTGCCTGGCCGCATACATATTTTAAGAACGCGGATCTTTTGTATTTCCATCTATAGTTCCAATCCTTTGTCTCTCGTTGGAATGATACACACCAATCACTCCCTGGACCTCGCTGGCCGCAGTGTTTCATCAGCCTCTCTCCCGCTGATCGATGTGCAGGGCATGAAACAGCCGACAGCCTTGCCTCCACGAACCCTTCGCAGGGTTTGCCAGGGGCCTGGAGACAAGCTTTTTGTCAAAGCGGCAGTGTTTGTGCCAAGATTGTTTGAAAGCTTGTTCGATATATTTTTTCTGTCAGAGCGCTGCTTTTCGTTTCTGGTAGAGTTATCTCATTATCCCTACGAGGCTTCTGGGGTAAAGAACGAAATGTCATTCTTCAAAAGAAACCAAAGAACGTATTCTGTGCCCCTCCGCCAATAACAAATCCTCGGATCCTTACTTGGAATATATTTGACTACACTGTAATATAGCAGTACAGAGTTAGGAATTGAATGGCTCACCCTCCCCTTTCTTCCCGTCTGCACAATAATACTGTCCATAAACACCTGGGCATCGTTATCGCCGATTCTTCACCACACATACCTAACCGATTACACAAGCACATTAACTGCTTATACATTCCTCATTTACCTTCAGCGGGTATGTAGGAGAGGGAGTGCACGAGCTCACATACCATCCCCTCACCCCGAGGATAACCTCCTGCCCACAACAAGAACCTAAGAGCTCACTCGTGGAAGAAAGAGTACCAGAACATGTATGCACGTTTTCTGGGCGCAAGCCGTGATAAGTATCTTGAGCTAAAACTTGCTTGGGTATGGTATACATATATCATCAGTTTGGCTGGCATGTTTAATGTCTCCTGCATTGCCAGAATTTGAAGGTTGGATGAGATCCAGAGGGTTAGATGAGTAAAGACGGCACTCTGCAGGTAGAATACAAATGACAAAACAGCCGGGGAGGTGTGTTTTGTCAGATACAAGTCTTAGGTACCTATACAATTCCAAGATACCTCGCAGATTTCAGTACAAAGGCCCAGAAACTCATTCTCTTATAACTTAAGGTAACAATCGACTTTTAAAAGCCAGATACCCCCCCTCCAAAAATAGGTCCCATATCCCAAATCGTAGATCTATCCACCATACCTAGGTACCGCCGTACCACTACCAACACCCCCCGAAGTTTCCCCATTGAAGCCTGAAATTCCAGGCCTCACACGGAACATCCATCGTCACCTCACCTCACCCGCTCGCAAGCTCCAGCTTCAACCCTTCAGCCTCCTCCCCACGAACGCCCAATCCAGCGCAGGTTGAGGCGCACACCCACATCTTCCCAATTTAGAAGTCTCACAAGGAAGCCTCTCAAGATGAAGCCCGTTTTTGGAGCGATGCAAGCTTGGTCTTGGTATGTCCCGGATCTTCTCTGCTCTCCCGTCTTTCTCTTCCCGGGAGAATCAATCATAGTAGCCTCAGTGCTCCTTTTTATTTCTTTATATAGCTATACCGCCGTCGCATGCTGGCAGACCTTGTTTGCCAATTGATCCACGATACTAACTGACACTCCAACCCAGCATCGTCATCTCCGCCTTCGCCATCGTGATCCTCTCTGTCATCGGCTCCCTTTTCCGCTCCAACCACCACTCCATGATGGGCTCGACCGGCGATCCCAAGGATGGTGCCGCTGTTGCCGTTACCGTCTTCTCAGCCGTCGTCGTTTACGCTGTATGCCTTCTCTCCTTCCCTCTCATCCGCCCATCTTCTTTCTTTCTTTCTGCTCTGCAACAGCGCTGACGTGACGGATAATAGGTCTTCCTCGTAGGCTGCGCTTTCCAAGCATACCTTCATATCCGCGAGAATCGCCGTGGCGCCATCACGCTGTCGTAATATGGGTCTGGGATTCGAGGCGTGGTGTTTTGGGCGTTTGGGTTTGATGATTCCGTTATAGAGATTCCTTTTGAGGTTCGGGGATTGGGGGGATAATTGATGACAGGAAGTAGGGGGTGAGGGAGAGAGGCGAGATTCTTGCATGGATGCGTGTGATGGAGAGATGTTGGATGCGTTGATATATGTTGAGCCGAGGTGGGTGGACATTCTCGGATGGGAGTGGGGTAAATATCTACCTATTGCTCATTGTTTTTTGCACATATCCCTCCAGTAGCTGGGTTTTCGAAAGTTCGACCATATCAGAACTTTGTCCAATTTTAGAAGCGGCCGGCGGAGAGGGCCGCATATACAACACATATCTGCTCTAGAATAGATCCGATACAACCCACGGCCTCTACTCCTGTCTTGCGTGCAACCATTCATTCTCCATCTTCACCCCATCCCCAAACCGGGCCTTCCGCGTTCTTCAATTCCGTGCGTGCACCTCGTGTAGCATATCAATGGTGCTCCATGTCCTCTCTTGACAAAACGATATCACCACTCCCCTTCCATCATTTAAGCTACCCACCTTTCGCTCAAGTGAGAAGCTCATCCAGAGAAAGCAGCTTCAGGGATCACTTCAGAGATATTCCATTTCCCCACCAGGTACCTCATGGAGAATTCTCCTTGCCTTCCTTGAGCATATAGACACCTTGTTGATGGCTTGAAACTCTATGCAACTCAATACCATTCTATGTCCAACAAAGCGCCCGTCAGCTAAGGATATCGTTATATGTCCAGACGATACCTACTTCTGAATTGACTGCGCAGAACAGGCCAACAATACCACAAAACAGCAAGCTCCCCATCTTCAAGCATATGGCGATGGCGGGCGCGAGATGGGTGTTCATAAATGACAGCAAAGCTATTGACAGTCAGTATCCCATCACCATCCAAGCAACTCCGCAACTTCCCAACGATAAAGAAATATATATCCAGCTTTTTTGCCCCTCGTCACAGCCTCTAATCAATCTAAAAACCTGGAGCATAGGTTTAGCTAGATTGTATGGGTTGGTGCTGCTGTGTCAAGGAGGGGACGGGTATAGGTGACTTGCGGGTATAGACAGAGAAGCCTGGAAGGCTATACTCATGTGATGATTTGTAGAGAGTCGATATCCTTTTGAACCTGGCGTTGAAGTCTTCTTGCTCGTTGTTGAAGCAGGTATGGTTATCGGTCAACTACCGTGTCCCTGAAGTTGAACTTCACATGGAAAAAGTCTCTAGACTCTCTGAAACAAGCTTATTACCAGAAGCTGCATGCCACAGACAAGTTCAAAGTGCTCGGCTCAGCATCAAAGAAACAGAACATCTGCCGTGCCACTATGTTTGAAGCATGCTTCCCATATCGGACTCTACCAGACTGGGTCTGACTTGAAACAGTGCCGGAAGGTATATTCCACAATGAACATCAAATCCCGCAGAAGGCTTCTATGTAGCTGTTGTAGTCCGTGACGGAACACCTCATCAATGACTGAGAATAAGCATAGGAGACAAAGACAGAGTACGCTGGCAGTATGTAAAGTAGGGAGAGGTAGATACTACTCCCCCTCAAGGGAAGCAGATGGCGATGGGATTTCCGTAAACTTCAAAGATAGACGACTATCTACAGGAAAATAGCATTATAATTTTTTGATACACAACTGAACATGCGCTTAGTCAATGGTCAAAGAGAAGAGCTTCTTCTTTGCAGAAAGAATATGAGAATGTGAGAATGAGGTAAGAGGGATTTTGAGGAAAGACTGTACTTGTGCATCCAGATGTCGTTAAAAACTAAACACTCGGATGTGATTACATGTATAACAACTGTAATAGATACAGTACCATGGGCCCGTGTAGGAGATTCACAATTCGTAGTACCAGAATATCACCAGTCCTTACTTTGCTCACTCGACATCCTAAATAGATACAAGTATTCTCCGAATAGGAGCCAGATTGGGAATCAAAGCTATGTGCTTGATATTCTGGATGTCCATCTTTCAGAAACGTACGTGGCACTCGCGACGTATATATCGTGAGCCACTAACTTCGATTAGACGTCCACAGTATATTTTGCTATGAATAACTAGGGCCTTAATGGCTCTTCAGTTTAATGGCCCTATGTAGCTCATCCAATGTGAGTCGATTATCAAGAGAGGTCGCTGATTGTACCAAGATTCCACGAGGCCTTTTAAGTATACTGATTTGGTCAAAAGGTATGGCAATGGTTGTCTTGCGTTCTAACCTTTTGGGCTCTCTGCTAGATGCCTCAAGGAATTTCTGGTTATGAAATGCAAATAGAGCCTGGAGTGTGAGAAGAGCTAGGCTCTCCGAGACTCTAATTGGCGGTAAAATAGCTAGAGAGTTGAGGCGGAGGAAGGCATTAAGAATATAGCATGTGGCAAGTCGAAACACACATGAACGGCAATAGATATTTCCAGGCAAAGAGTCTGCAAAGAGGTATTCTGCTGATTAGGCCTCCAAGAATGTCCCAAAAGCAAAACGGAAGGATGACTTCGATGAATCAATAACAAGAAATCTAAGAGAGGAAAGATATTTGAATCGATGCTATAAGCTGGAACGATCATGGTTGATCATCATATGGGATGGTATGAGATATCTGTGTCATGAGAGGAATAATCTTCTGCAGATATTGACATTCATCCGTAGTATATCAAAGAAAAGCCCCCAGAACAGCTGGCCTGGAACAGGTCCAGATACGAAAAGATTGATGAGCTTTTTTCGAACACTTTGAACGAACACTTTGAATGAACGAAACCGTGCTGCATGAGAACATGTCGCCCGAAGTTGGAATCGGCTTCGGCAGATGCCGTAATTGCGTTATAAGCAATCGCATGAGAGAGATATCGTTCCAGGGCCTATTCCAGGGTAAATTCTAGGCCGGGGTATAACTTCTTCCTGGCTTGATGCCCTTGAGACTAACGTCATACTTCCGGCATTATCGGCAGTATCTTACCTGCTCTTATGAGTAGACCACTATGATATCTTTGATGCAAAATACATAGACACAGTAATTATTCAATTCATTCGGTGCTAAGAAGGAGACTGTTAGTCTGAGGAATGGGCTTTCTGAAATATTCTCGAGCAATTCAACTGGCGTAAGTAAATCAATAACGGAGAAGACCGCGAGCAATTACTGTAAGTACCCCTACATTCATCAATTAATAATAATAATAATATAATCCATGTGGGAGGCGTTAGGACTTTACCCTCATTTGTCCCGTCATGCTTGAGGAACTACCAACAAACTCTTTGTATAGCCGAGGACATAGTCCAGTAAGAAAGCTTCAAAACAGAACTCTATGATCTTCTATGATTCTTTCGGAAGTGGTTTTCATCTTCATATACCTGTTCAGAGCTATCTTCATACAGAAGAATGTAGCAGGAAGGTCTGCCTACTCAGTTTGAGGCTGAGACTTGAGGTAACAAGCATGCTCTGAAGGCGCAGATTTTATTAAGTGAAAGTGTGGATGACGGATGGCGTGTTCGAATCTGCCTCAGACTTCTCTTGAGGGGCTTTGACAGGGCCCGATGGCCCTGAAAGTTCCCACTATACTCCGTCTAAGATGAGATCCGTGGAACATGATAGGGATAGTGATAGTGATAGTGCACCATATTTCGGTAATAGTGCCAATAAATAAACCGACTGGCTGGCAGACACTTGATCCTATATCGGCGGATGATGTGAAGCTGATTTCCAGCGCTGGCTGGCAATAGATACCACAATGTCGAGGGACGACTGAGTATGGCTATGTGTCTAAATATAGAGCAGTAATCGTGGTGTAATAATCTCGTTGGTAGGAGGCTGGTAGAAGGCGTTCCTCCTGCATGCTGCAGCAGCTTAGGATACCTTGTAAGTTGTGATGAGAAGTAATAAGTGCATATCAGATACTACACGAGCACGACTAGCAGAGGACCGTTGTACAATCTGTAGGGAGAGCCCCCTTGGCTTCCAAGAATAGAAATATGAAGCTCTGCTTTGCCGGAAGGGTTCCGCCCAGGATCTATGTGCTACAGTCTACACGCCGAGAGCGTTACGCTCTTACTGTATTGGGCGGGAATTGGAGTACGTTGCAGCCCGGGACCTTGCAGCTCAGCTTTTTTCCAACAGCCCAAGACTGTACTACTGTAAATTCTGTGCTTCGAAGAGGTAGTCCCTCGTGGCAGACCGGGATGATAGGAGGAGGATCTCATATGCTTGAGTCTTGACATTCTGCAATTGGGAGTGATCGGCCATGTGGAAGACTCGGTATGGAGAAGGAAAAGAAAAAAGGAAAGAGTGATGGATAGAGACATGGGCTGAACCTTCTTGTGGCTTCCTCGGTAGCTTCGGAGCCTGTATGTGGCGCGAGGATTACATGATACTCCGTGCACAGTACTCGGTAGGAGCAGAGTCTGGATGGTGAACCGTGAGAGAGACTGAGCGGAGAATAGCTGAATGCGGCAGAGGTGCGGTATCGACCGTCACGGGTAGTAGCATATGTAGAACGCACGTATATATGCTATATATACCGTGTTGATAGACGATCCCGTAGGCCAAGGTTTCAGGCGCGGCTGTATGAATAGTAGGATCTCAGACGACCAGATCAGGTGATTATTTCGGTGTTCAGATATTCGAAGAGGATCTCGGTTGGAGATTGACGCTTGACTGTTCCTTACGCGTGCAGCAACATCGCTTTGAGACTTCAACACGCATAGCATGGATGGTGTTTTGCGTGTTAACATTGGACAGTAGCACAAGGGGGAGGGATCTAAAGATATTCTGGGCCGGGAGACCTTGTTCCCTCCTAGAATGCAGATGCTTCGAAGAATTAGAGGGCGCCTTTCTTGAAGAAGCTCGGATGGCGTCGAGAAGCGAGTCTCCATTCCATCCACTGCCCTTGTAGAAACCAACAAGATACCGTGTCAGTGACAAACATATCCTAGAGTGGATAATGTCAGCTCCCATGAGCCTCGCTTGGAATGCCCCGATCAAGGATGCATGTCGTCCAATGGGCGACCCTAGATGCCTGAGATGCCAGGAAGAAATTTGAGGGCGCGAACGAGACGCAACACGTTCCGCTATGACTCGAGAGATGAGAGGGCATCCGCGACTCCGAGGAAGTGAGCACTAGAGAAGGGGGAAGGGGAGAAGGGGCTCGCCAGTAGCACCGCACTGGTAGGAGGACCTCTGTAGGAGCAAGTTGGATGTTGGATGTTGGATGTTGGATGTGGGAAGTTGGAGCCCGGAAAAGGGTATCCCGACTCCCGACCAAGTATCGCGTTATAACTTATTGCGCTTCTCTCTTCTCGTGGAGCACTACTAGTCGAGCACCCACCTGCAGGCTGCAGCGTACTCAATACTCAATCTAGAGTGGTAGGCGGCACTACTGCTACACCACCGGAGCCAGATCCGGGGCCAAAATCATCGGAAATCTCATTAGTCGGAGTAGTCGCAGCGCAGACAGATGGCACACAGATTGATCGGCGTAGTGGGTCAGGATCAAGGCGTGGGGATGGATCCGAGATCCTCGTGCGCGATCCGCGTCTGCGTCTGACGGTCTGGAAGGGTGGGCCCTCAGCACTACTACGTTGTAACTTGTAACCTGTAAGTAGTACTGAGGAGCGCTTACGTTATCAACGCACTGGATGCAGCATCTCCGTACGGAGATAGACGGTGCGGAGGACGGTCTTGACGCTGCATGGACATAAGGTACAGCGGAGGAAGAGGAAGAAAGAGGGGGAAAGGAGGGGAAAGAATAGATGAGCTCCTTTCAAAACCTGCGAGGCTTCAATGGCTAATCAATGGGTAAAGTTGGCCGGGCAAGTGTGATGATAATCCTGTACAATACTGTTAGAATGATCGAAAGAATAGGACCGTACATATACTACATACCAACTGAACGAGAGTAGCTAGCCCCTGTACCATACCCATACAGAGGGAGAGCTGGGCACAAATACGGGGCTCGCCGAAGAAAAGGGACGGAGTATACGGAGTACATTGGTTCGAACATGCCATTGCCGTGCCATTGCCATTGCCGTGATACCGGGCAATTATTCTTATCCGCATATGCCCGTCCCCAGGCATTGCCCGAACTGACGGTGCTGTCCAGAGTATACTGTACTGCTTGCTGGATCCTCTGTAGATGGACACGAGGGATATGATGTGATAATAGGATTATCAAACGGGAATAGGAGGAGGCGTGGTGATCGTTGCCCCAGAGAGGCTTGAGCAGAGGGTGGGATCCACGATCGATGCAATCAATCCTCCGTACACTAAGAAGTAGTACAGTAGTAGTGGTGGCCGTGGTTGTGGCCGCTGTCAATGTCGAATCTGACGCGGTCGAGAAAAGGGGGGAGGGGAAGGGAACGCGTTCGCTTAGCCCCGGCTGGCGATGCGAAAGAGAGGCCTGATGGACAAGGCCGACACATCCAGAATTGGCCAATCATCGTCCCTCTTCTAGGCGACCGCGCTAGCCGCACCCGGCCAAGCGCCCTCGACTATCGAAAGGCCCCATCATTGATCAGGGACCATCATTGATCAGGGAGTCGGGGAGACCATCAATCATCAGGGACCATCAGTGGGATTCCCAGCGTCCCACACCCACGCGTCTTGGCGAGATCCGTCAGCCTGTAGGAGCAACTCTAGCTCTCTTTACGAACTGTCCGAAGTTTACGTGCGTACGGTCCTTATGGAGTCCCTCTTCCACCCAGCCAAAAGCCGGGTCATTGGCTGACATCTCTCTTGTCGTGCTAGTTGTGCCTCTGTCCTTAGCACAGTAACCGACGAGAAAAGTGCGGGCTGCAGACTGCAGAGCCAGTGCAGCGCACAGTGCACGCTCAGCAGTGCAGGCCCGGCCAGTATATTGCCAGCTGCAAGTGGTGACGCGGACGAGTGCATCCGTTCCTCTTCCTCTGTACCATCGTCATGGCCCAGTCTCACCCATACAGGCCAGATTCTTCCAGAACTCAGAGGCTCTTCCATTGCATACAGTTACCAGTCACCAGCACAGCAGCTGCCGTACGAACAGTAGTCGAGAATCTACCCAGACCGTCAGGCCTCAGGTACGGTCCGAAGATCACCTACGGCCTGTCCCACTGCTACAATACTACTACTCCGTAGGCCACTACTCTCCTCCCTACAGAAGAAAGACCCTAGTCTTACTGCGGAGTGCGCTGCTTATTCTACTTCTAACTACTGACTACTGGCCGTTCTGTGTGCCCGGCGCTGTACCCAGTAACCCAGTGTTGCCAGGAGCCCCCTTGGGCCCCTTCAAACCCTTCTCGTTGCATAGGGCAGACGCGCTCCACAGACCTGCCAATCTCACCCAAGAAAAGCAAACCAAGAGATCCCAAGACGCCTAAAATACCTAAAATATCTGGAGCGTGCCTCTGTGCCTCTCTCTTCTCTCTCTCCCCGTGTCGCCCTGCTCGACGCCGTCGGAGTACGCCTCCTGTATCGTAAGTTTACCTAACTGCTCTACTCTGCCGAGGACTCCACTACAACTACCACTACTCGAGCAAGCATCCCAAGTTACACAGGCCACCAGCGAACCTTCGCTCAACCGGCCATTCATCCCGGCCTGGTTTGTTAGCCTGCCCATATGCTATGAATCCCCCCATGATGCCATACTCCATGAAGCACCGACAGCTCCGCACTATCCTTCTTCAAGGCAAGTGGTGCCAGCGCCATACGGCGTACGGAGGAAGAGGCGTCTCGAAGAGCCCCCTCGCACACTCCAGTCCTGGATGTTAGGCTATCGAGACATTGACGGCGCCTCAAGGGGAGGGCCCAGGATGCCCAGGGTGTCAGGGCATCCCATGGCTGCCATGGCCCATGTACGGAGCAATACGGACCGTCAGTAGTAGTCCCTCGAGTTGAGATATGCTAGGGCTGGACCTGGGTGGTTTTAGCACGCTCACTACTGTGCTAGGTACTTCGAAAGACAGCCTACAGAGTACAGACTACTACAGGTGCGCGTCGAGTTGATCCGCGGCGAATGCCCCAGGGATGAGAGCTGGCCTCGATGTTACCCAATCTCGTGGCGTTGCAGGCATCGCAGACGAACCTCCACACATCGGTGGTCCCAACTTTGCCTCCTTACGTCGGTCGTGCGTTCTCTCACGATCTGTAGATATGTTTCTCCTCGAGCCTCCTCATCCTCTTCGCCACCCCCATCACGGTCTATCATTTCGGGTCCTCTCTCTGCCAGATGGTCTTGAGCCGTGCCTGTTTCTTCAGTCCCCTCGAGCCATCTGAGCGGTTATTTTTTTTCCTTCTCCTCCGCCCCTTCTCACAGGACCGAAATATCCTCTTCATTCGCTGCAGCATTATACCAAGCATCTTCTAGACCCGTATTGCAAATGGCGTGAAGCCATTCTCCCATTCGTTGTCGAGGCTGTTGAACGAGCTGCCTATCCCGTCAGATATCTCGCCAGAAAAAGCCAACTTGCCAGCGTGCCGCCTCCAATTAGCACAGATTCTTACTACTACTTACTGCGCTTTCAAGCCGCGGGCAGACCCTCCCTCCCTCCACTTCCCCAGTTTTGTGTCGTTTCTCTGGAAATCATACAAGTCTTTGAACTCTGAAACCGGCGCTCATTACCCTTGGCTTCAATGTGCTTCTTACCAGTCTCTTCCCGCCGCCATCAAACGTCGGAGGAATTGTCGCGACCTGCTTAAATCAACCTCACCCACCCCTCGGTCAGCTCGATTCTCCCGGGCGATTTACCCCGAATAACGTAGGAGGCCATCGCGACAACGAGCCGACGAACATCGGAAACTTGAGGACCAAGTATTAATCGGGTGTACAATCCACTTAGGGACGTTCTCGCTTTGGAAGAAAGAGTCTGATAGGATCCTGGAAAAGAGGTTTATCATAAGCCAGATCGCACCCCCTCTCCCACCAGGTCGCACGCGCGAGACAACAGTAATTGATGGCAGTCTCTGTCCAAACTCCATTTATTCGAAGACAACATTTGGAAGTATGAGCGACCCATCCCCCTCATTCTCCACGACGGGTTCAGACTCTGGATCGGCTTCCATGGGCTATCAATATGCAACGACCTCTCCAGGAATGGATTCGTCTGGCAATGTGATGCCCAGTTTCCAGCATTTTCCCCGGAACCACACACAATCAGGTTCACCGGCTCCCACACAGTCAACAACCTCAGAGGCTCCGTCAAAACCAGCGTCCTCCCGATCGACGTCCACCCCAGATGTCCCAGGACAGGAAACAACGGACGCTGCCGCGCTTGCTCTGACGGCAGAGAAGAGGAGGAACAAGTTGGGCTACCATAGGACTTCTGTAGCGTGCGGTGAGCGCACGCTGAGATTCCTCTTCCGTGGTAACTTGCTAATCCTGTATTCCTAGGCCATTGCCGTCGTAGAAAAATTAGATGCATTCCTGCTCCGGCCGATCCACAGAACCGATGCTCAAACTGTATCAGGCTGAAGAAAGCATGTAATTTCTACCCGGTCGATCAGCAGCCTCAAGCAGAAAACAAGCGCAGGAGTTCTAGGGCTCCAAGCGGCACTGGGATCGCTTCAGAATCATCGTCACCATCGACCACGTCTGGTCAACTACCAGAGGTACCGCCTAACCTTCCTTTCTCTCACTTGAACATGCCACCAATACAGGATATTGGTGGGCCTCAGATGAACCGACAGAGGACCGAAAGCTTCTCCCCCCCGGAAAATGAAGGTGCGCTCTACTCCCAAGCATTCCATTCTCACTTCTTCTGACGAGATATCAGCTGTCACAACGCGCAACTTTGAGTACGGCCACGGGGTAACCAACTGGATGGCCCCTGATGCTTCTCCTAATACCAAATCTCAAGCAGACTTACCACCACAATCGTACTGGCGGGTGAACCCCCAGGACTCCCCCCTGACCCCCGCATTTTCTCCGTTCACTCCGGTCCCTGCGCAGACCTGGCCGAGCACTCACCCAGATGCTAGTCCAAGGGACGAACTGTCGTGGTCCGCCCACCAACGCTCCATCTCCTACAGTAACCTCGAAGGCCTTCAAGGAGGCCAGCCCCAATACGTTCCTTTTCCTAACCCACCGCATGCGCAACCTTCTTCACACTCAGGCACATACACAACGAAACCCCGGCAGATGCACACCACCGACCTGTATCCGCCCCCAAACAGCAGCGACCATCCCCAACCGCATTCCACGGGTGCCTTGCCGCAAGGCCAGTACCCGCATTGGCAGCAGCCATATCAGTACCAGAAACCCGAAACCTACGCGTGGAGCGGGCCGCATGGCGCACCATACCAGGTCCCTGAGCAGGGGCAAGCGGCGCCTCTGGGCTATGGATATGGAGATCCAGCAGGGGCGGGGTATTTTCCCCCGCCGCCTGCGCGATAAGACGCAGACTGAGAGCGCGACAAGAAGGAAAGAAAGAAAGAGAAAGGATAGGAATATAAGAAATAAGGAGGCACGCCACGAAAAACCGGATTCTTGGTGCCATGATATATATACCCCGTATGCTTACGAACTTGAGGCGATGCGGAACAGCGCTCAGCTGCTAGCAGCACGATAGATACGAGAGAGGACCCAGTAGGTTCCTCTTCAACCAACAGCATATTGTACCAAAAAGCGCACAAAACACAAGCACCTCAATGAGGCGAGTCGAACCGGGACCATTGCCACACTTATATCTTCCGAGACAGCGGATCTCGAAACCTAAAGGGGAAGAAGACAATGGGCTTTCCGGGTAGTCAAAAAGGTTTATATTATGAATAATGGGATGGGATGGAATCCGAGTTCTTCATGATAATGTGTCTGGGTTTGGGAGCACCTGTATAGCGGTGCATGATACATACGATACCTGTCTATAGAGCATATTGGATCCTGCAGAGAGCGGATCTTTGAGAGGAATTGAAGACGTATATACATCTTAGATCCATAAGCCACAGTTTCTGAAGAGATGTCTAAAAGCTCTGCTGCCTGGGGCATCAAGTCTTTGGGGTAAAGCTTGGCTACCTGGTTTTCAAGGCAGAGAGACGCTAGAGCCGTGCCGTAGGTATTTTAAGCTGGGGCGGCCCCCACCACCGTAACGACGAGGCTGCGACAACCAAGAACCTCGTCTCACGCATCCACCGCCATGGCAGTCCTCGGGCGACGTTTCGCCGGCATGTTCGAGGTATGTTCGCATGCGGGATCCCATTCCCTCCTATGCAGCATCCTAACCTAACGCTCGCTCACAGCCGCACCCAGAGAACACGCTGCACCTACGCCTGCACCGGGCACGCTCCGTGGTCCTCACCGCGCAAGAGTCCATCTCCCCCTTGTTTTCTCTGATCTATGAATCTTTCTCATGCTGACGCTGCCCTCCTTGCAGACTAGTCGAGATCCGCGCCGCGCAGCGCACGTTCGAAGGAGCGTATGTGCGGACGGCGCTGGGGCAGTTCTCGTTCGCGCTGGTGGTGCTGCGGATCTTCACGGCGGAGTTTTACGGCGTGGGCGCGCTGTGCGCGACGTATGGTGCGGCGGTGTTGCTGGTTGCTGCGTATCGGAGGTATGAGGGCAACCGGCAATTTTTCAGTGAGGTGGGGAGTGATGGGTTGGGCAGGAAGAAGTTTCGCACGAGTGGGAACGCGGTGGTGGTCTTGACGGCATTGAGTGCGGTTGCTTATGTGAGTCTGTTGGTGCTGACGCTGAGGTTGGGCGGTGAGTGATGTGTATGGGAGGGGAGGTGGGATGCTGGGATTCTGGGATGCGTGAGAGGTGGGGTCGTCGTCGCCGTGTGCTCTGCGCTGGTGGCCCGCCGATCTCGATCTCATTCTGCAGTGCTATGATATCGAGTTCGTGAGAGGGCAAACGGGAGCAGGCATAAGGCGCAGCTGCAGGGATGCCGCGGTGCGACGTACGACCATTGAGAAGGATCAAGAGAGCACGAGAGGGCCAAAGATAGAGTTGCCCGCGTCACACCCACGACGCCCGCTTGGCTCTCTCCCTGATGTTGAGGCCCAACTATATTTCTGGAGACGAAGATGCATGATGTTGAACATTGGACAGGGTTGGGTCAAAGGTAGCAGTAATGGAGGTGTTGTACTCCTCGAGGCGCCATTCGTTGGCCGCCAGGTGATCTCGTCCTCTATATATGGCAATTTGCTTCAGTTCCTGGTTGCCCAAGTGAACCCCAGATCACAGGTTCCGGATGAGCAGTTCAGTCAGCCATCTAGCATATATCACTCTCTACAAAGCAACGCATATATATTTTACGACACCGGTTCCAGGCACGTCAAGATGAGGAGATGATAATAGGTCCTCGAGTCTATTACAATTGCTGAAACGATTGCATCCAACAGCGACCATCTGGCAGATCCTGTCCGCTCGAGAAATCAGTCCCTGTTATGCGGAAATCTGAGAACTGGAAGAGAGAAGATATACTTTCAAGATTGCATCTGCTCAACGCTAATCAACAGAAGGCCGCTGGGTTACCGTATATCATCGCAGCACGCAGCACTTTCTCATTGATAGCAAGTCTCGAGCTCAGATGTGTTCGTGGTCGGAGCGCTCTGGGCCTAGTAAGTAGTAACAAGGGACAAAAAAAAAAAATTCCTCAAGGATGGACATGCTGGGAATCGAACCCAGGACCACCTCTAAGTGCAGATACCACATATGTGATGCTTGCTAAAGAGGTATTATACCACTAAACCACATGCCCATGTTGTTTTCTTGGAGTTGGGCGAAGCAAAAGCCTTCTATGCGGGGTGGGACCGCGGACTGCCACATGTAAGGGAGTAACTACCTGTCTAACGGCGAGCACCATACTCGGAAGCAAGACTGCACTCGGGCGACTTACTCAAACGGTTAAATGATGGATGCCCTGCTACACAATATTACCTTCAAGGTGGACCGACTGTTGAAAAGACTGGAGGAGGGCATAACAGAGGTCCAAATAGAGGTGAACCCGCAGGAACCGGTGTGAAGGAAGAGAGGTATATGCCTGACGGTCGTTCTAAGTTACTGACTTAGTTACGAGGAGTGGTGTAGCTCGCTGTTGCTGTCGCTGTCATTAAGGTATCACTATTGTGATTCTTATGACTATCACAATAGTTAAAAAAAAATAGAGGAAATTGTGTTAATTCAAGGGCCTGTAAACAAGGGCCTGTAAAGTAATAACGAGGTTAATTAACGACAAGAAGAATGATAATAGCGAAAGAGAGAATGTACCCTATAGACAGTACCTACATTACCTACTGCCTAAGGTACCTTAGGCACCGGCCAAAGCCCCGAAATCTTTACGCTCTCATTGGCTACATTAAAACAGCGTCTGAGAGTCGAAAGGTGAGGCTCCGGTTGCATTTGTCGGTAGAGATGAGCCTTCACTGTCTGTTCCACCACGTCGGAGAGTTTATCCTCTGTTCCCAGAATCCTCCCGAAGCCTCACTCACATCAAAAACCGAAGCTCCAAAGAAAACCCAGAACTTCGCAGACTCGGTCAATCTGACATCAACGTGATGGGGTCCATGATTCTCGTTCGAAGATCAACAGCGACAGCTAACGTCTCCATCGTTTCATCACAGTGATCCTCTAGGCTCTAGCCCGATCGCCATCGCTCGGCGGTAGATAAGCGCGCGTGTCGATGGGGATGGACGATCATGCTGATCCTTTTGCAGAGATGGGGGGACCTCTGCAGTCTCGGCGACAAAATACGGGAATCCAGAGAGCCACACTAGGTACTGACTACGGAGCACTGGATGGGCCTATGTGGTTGTAGTGGCTGTGCACTTGGGGCTGATGGGATGGGCACAGCACAGCCGCTTGATAGTTCTGCGCCAGATCGCCCGATGAAGGCACGAACATGTATCTGTGTGTCTCGCGGTCTGCCTTGGCTGGCTTTGACAGAGTCGGTAGTCGATGCTTGACTCTGATCCCCGTGTATTCTGCATCCTGTGCACGGTAGTCTGCATCCCGCAGTCTGTCGCTCATTGATGCGGCTCTCCTGTCAGTTCTCGCTTCAGCCGAGGCGCCCTGAGGAAACCCCCGTGCTGCGTGTGAAGGGATGTTGGTGTTTCTGGATGCTGGCTGGCCCCTCTTCTCTCTTCTCTCTCTTCGCTCTTTTCGCTCTTTTCTCTCTCCGTCTCGAGTCAAGAGAAGCGCTTCCACTCCTCCTGTCCTCTCCTCCTGTCCTTTCGCCCTCTGCACACAATAACCTGCGCAGGCACCTGTTCAGCCTTGCGCACCTCCCCCCCCCCCCCCCCCGTCTTCTCACCCTGCTCACAACTGCTCAACTCCGTCATTGCACTTTGCAATTCCTGTCGCTTGATTCCCATCTTATCTTTACCTGTCCCTCACCGTCTCATCCCTTCGTTTATTGCTACTGTACCTTACCTCGCCTTCTCTTCGTCCCCTTCCCTTGCCGCCCTGCGAGAGAGGCTACATCATGACAACCGCCGGGCTCTTTGCTTCTTGACCTCTCCACCACGCAAGCAGGCCTGGCTTATTGCTCTTGCGGCCTCTTATTTATAAACCCCCCTCCCCATCCCTAGGAAAAATACACATAGCCTCCTCTCACACGCCGAGTCCCCCCGCGCCATGGCCTCGACGTACAACTCCACATCTACTTCTCTCGATGCGCAGCCTCACTGCTCACTTGAGATCTCTGGCGCTTCCGACCTGGACAACAACCACCTCCCGACCCCGACTTTTGATTCTACCCTCCTGTCGCCCTTCGACTTCTCCCAGACCTTCAGTAGATCCACCAGCCCGTCAATCAATATCAACAGCACGCCCGGGGAATCATTGTCCGAGGACAGTTTTGATCTTCCAAGCGAGCTGAGCGAGTTCGACGACGAGTTCTTCGGCGTCGACTTCGACGCCGGCGTACAACGAGTAGATTCCATTCCGTTCACTCTCCCCAGTACCGTCGTATTTACTCAATCCGTCAAGCCCAATCACGAATCCCTATCGGAGACCTTGGATGCTCCGGCGTATCCTCCGAGTCCCAAACTTACGACCGTACCGAATACACCATCTTCAAAGAGTGAAGCCTTTAACCCGGAAAGCAAGTCGCCAGCCTTGCGGCAAGAATCGTCCGCCGAACTACACAATCTGCGATCTCCACCCTCTGCCCCATCGCATCCGTCTACTACTGGACGGTTAACACCAAATCACAGCGGAAGAAGCCCGACAGCTGCTACGGCCGTGGGTCCGAGCACCATGGCCCACTCCGATGACAATGTTCACCTCACTGGCTCGCAGTGGGGAATCCCGCAGCCTCAACCCCAACCGAGTACCTCTCTGCCATCGGGGCAATATGGCGGGGCAAGTAATCCCGAGATCTTTGGTAACCAATCCCCCGGGCAGCCACTGGGACAAGGGTTGCAAGCTACTGGGCTACGAGACGATGAGGGCATATGGAGATCGAATGAAAGGACTGGCCAAGCCGGCTTAGATCCTGAGAGCCGAAGACTAATTGCAAATGAGGAAGTGCCGAGTTTAAAGGAACAAGAGGAGCAACGGCGTATCGACAGCAGGAACATCGAGATTCAAGTCTGGAGATCACATGCAGGCCAGAGTGATGAGAACCTCGGTCAATCCTCGAATACTCGAAGAATTGATCCTGAGGAGGGCAATCATCTCCCACCGCTAGATGATGCCGCAAGCATACATGAGAATAGGTTTATCGATGGTCAAGTCTATTTCAACGACAAGAATACCACCCTAACTGAGGACGACAAGCTATTGATGAGCCAGCCACGCCATTGGAATGACGCTCCATCATTACCCTACTCGACGACAGCGGCTCTTCAGCCTCCGACCTCGAATGAAGCCATAAGTAAATGGAGGGCCAATGCGGATGCACTCTCAATGTCCTCGCGAGTGGCGACCTGGGGAACACGTCGCCGCAGCGAGCCCAGTTTGGCGGATATGGAATCTATCGCGGATGGTAGCTTCCTCAAAAAGCTGTCCATTAAGCCCAAAGAGACAGAACGCCCTGGATCTAACAGTATTTTTGACCAAGGCCTTGATCGAATAGCTAATATGGTTCGCAATAGAAGTGGTAGCACCATCCACAAACGCGGGAGGAGTGCCCAAAATATTGGAGAGGCCCAGTATAACAGTCCAGGAAACCTGGCTGCGGTGCCGCCGCCAAGATCCCCCAAATTTGGCCGAAGGTCTACCCCAAGCATTAACACCGCGGTGGCAAGGATGGCAGGCCCACTGGCTGCAGTCGGGACAACACATGTCCATAGTGGTTCCGTCAGCGCTACCCAAGCTTCACCTAAGAGTCCAACTCCCTTTGGCTTTGCAAGGTCTATGATTAATCGCGCTAGGAGCCGGAGTGAGCTCTCGCAGCAGGAAAGACCGGCACAGTCTGGTATCGTAGGGCTGTTGAGGGGCCAGGGCGGCCCGCCTGTTGCTAATATTTCTTCCCCTCCTATGGAAGCCGAAGCGAAACAGCAACAAGGAGAGCCCCTGGATCAGGATGAAGACGATGACGAAGATGATGAGCAGGCGGATGAAGGGGACGTGAAGATTGAATTGAATCAAGAGTCAGAACCTATTGTGCCCAATTATGATGGATTCAAAGCTCATATACGACGTCTCAACCCGGACATGGATTCAACTTGCAATTGGCTTGTGAGCAGGATTGCCCGTCAACAAGAAGTCCGATATAAGAACCTGCTCGAACTACGAGTAAAGCATGCTCAGGCGGTAACGGCTCATACCTGTCTCGCTGGACCTTTCTGCGTGGCACACGGTGGAAACGTTACTTTACTAAATGCCCAAGGGAATCCACGGGAGTCAGAGTTCAGTACAGCTGGGGCAGAATTCTCTGACGATTCAAATCCAGGAGAAGGGGCTCTCACCGAAGAGATCTTCCCTCCAGGAATCCCAATGCCTCCGGCTAGAAACCTCCCGGCCGAGTTTGAATGTCAGTTATGCTTCAAGGCTAAGAAATTCCAGAAGCCATCCGACTGGACCAAGCACGTCCACGAAGACGTTCAACCTTTTACTTGCACCTACGAAAAGTGTAAAGAACCAAAGTCGTTCAAGAGAAAGGCGGATTGGGTGAGGCATGAGAATGAGCGCCACCGGCACTTGGAGTGGTGGACATGCGAATATGAGGATTGCAGGCGTACTTGCTACCGTAAGGATAACTTCCTGCAGCATCTTGTCCGCGAGCATAAATTCCCAGAACCAAAACAGAAGACGAAGGCTGCAATCCAGCAGGCTCGTTCGACGGAACGAGCTTGGATCATGTTAGAGCGATGCCGCCATGAATCCTCGATGAAGCCACAGGACGACCCTTGCAAGTTCTGCAATAAGACTTTCAACACCTGGAAGAAGTTGACGGTACATCTTGCAAAACACATGGAGCGCATTAGTCTACCTGTCTTGCGGCTAGTAGAGGCAAGGAATGTTGGTGCCGACACGATCATCAGCCCGGTCGAACAAACCCTCACGCCTGTGACACCCACGCCAGTTAATAGGTCGAATATGGAGTCCACCACTCCGTTCCCTATGGATGATGTTTCCCCGCATACTCTCATGGTCCCGCGTTTTCCATCTGCCTATAACCAGTCGGCCTACTTGTCAGCGACTGCATCCCCAGCAACGTACGGCATGCATACACCCATTCCGCAACAGCCTGCTTACGATCCAATTCCGATGTATCCGGGTGTATTTGGTGATGAAACCCGGGCGTTTGATTCCTTAGACCTGCACGGTTATGGTGACGTGAATCAAGCTGGTAGAGGCGCACCGATGGGCACAGGATTCCCTCGCACACCGGCGAGGCAATATGGAGGCTTTGACTCTGATTTCTCTCGCAGCTTGTCAGAGCAAGGCTACAATACTCATCGATCGCCTGCGTATCCGATGGCACAAAACTATGCTGCAGGCTCTCCAACCATAACCCCGGACTACCAGACCCCCAATTCGCTGGGCATCACGCTTCCCGGGTACGGGTTTGGTTCGGCGCCTATGAATTATAGCCAAGGTCCCCAATATGTACCGATGAGTCGAGCGCAGGGAAGCGTGTCGTCGTATGGGCGTTCGCCGAGGAACTATCCACAGAATATGCCATATTACGGGCCCTCTTCATGAACCATCTTCGAAATTCTATGCTATTCTTTTGGAGTTTTAAGAGCCGGCGTAAACTGTTTGGTTGGCATATAGACATGTTTCGGTTTGCTTCTCCTAGTTGTTCGTACGAATACCACGACGTACGCGTCATGTCTTTATGTTGATGATGATGCATTGGGACGTAGGATATAGTATGAATGCATTCCAACGAAACTTCAAATCATTATCTCGAGATGCATATGATGAACTTACCGTATCCGCCCAGCCATCTACTTTTGATTTCTATCACAGAAGGCCCTCATGCTTTATATTTAAACGTTCCAGGACGTATGTGGCAATTCTTTGACTGCACCTGCCTCTGACGAGAAGGCAGAGAATCCCGCATTTTTCACTTCATCTTTGAGATCAGGGGCTTGTCACTTGAAGAAATCTACGCCAGATAACTGCTCGCGCTGTGATTGCGGCTCTATTACTCGAATGTAGTGTGGTGTTGTGCTTAGGAGACTTATCTGTCTCAGCCCCACCCTTCAGATCCTCGGTACTTGCACTTCGCCCCATTGTTATCTGCCATGTATATCAAGATTCCAATCCATATTCTCGCAACGCCAAAGCCGCGGACCAGCTGATTGATGCTTAGCGTTAACAGCATCGTATGTTGTAAAGAAGTATGCCCCTCCGCGGCTTTATCCCAGGGCTCTTCGAGTCGCCGGCGGCCCCCCGAAACACAGGCTTCATAATTAGCTCCTCGGTCGTAGCGACGCTTGCCATCCTCACCATCGGACGACTCGCTCTTCAAACAACTCCGCCCAAGACCATTCCCAGCCCGCGCACCACTCAACTCCCCCATCTCTCAAAAGATGAACAGGATGCGTTGCCCTATCCCCCTGATGTCTTCCCAGGGGCTCGCGACGTCGGGAGCCCGGTAAGTCACGTGCGCGCACCCCCCAAGACGGAATCAAGGGCTAATCGGGCTGGCAACCAGTACGGCACGATCAGAGTCTACGAATGGGGTCCAGAGAGCGGGCGAAAAGTGCTGCTGATCCCTGGGATTAGCACACCCTGCGTTTCCATGGGCGGCATCGCAGAGGGGCTCGTCGACCACGGCTGCCGCGTCATGGTCCTCGACCTCTTCGGTCGAGGCTACAGCGACGGCGTCGCCGACCTACCGCACGACTCCCGCCTCTACGCCACCGAGATCCTGCTCGCCATCACCTCGTCCCCGCTCTCCTGGACCCCCGAAGGCTTCAGCCTGATCGGCTACTCGCTCGGTGGCGGCATCGTCGCTGATTTCGCGAGCTGCTTCCCGTCGCTGGTCCGCGGCCTGGTCTTACTCGCTCCCGCAGGCCAGCTGCGCTCGCATCATTTTGGATGGCAGAGCCGTCTGCTGTACTCCAGGCTGCTGCCGATGGGGCTTTTACAGCGCATCGTGCGCGGTCGGCTTACCGGCGGCGGTGGCAGCAGCAGTAGCGGGCCCGCGAGCAGCGATCCCACGACGGCAGTCGGGGAGGAGATCCGAGGCGCGCGCGACCCGGTATTTGAGAGCGCGCCGCTGTCGCGTAAGAGACCGTGGTTGACGGTCGGGCCGGCAGTAGAGTGGCAGCTTCAAAACCACGCGGGGTTCGTGAACGCCTTCGTGCGTTCCATCCAGTGCTCGTCGATTGCGGCGACGAACGAGACGAGGGAGGCGTGGGCGAAGCTGGGGCAGAGGGAGGACAAGGTGTTGATCTTTGCCGGGAGTACGGATCCGATTATGTGAGTATTTCCCTTCTGCCTTCTCAACGCAGTGCGGCTTGGGATATCGTGAGCGGGGGATGGAGAGCTGATGATGATATGTATACAGATTGCCGCATGAGCTGGAAGCAGATGCTACGGAGATCATTGGGAAGGATAAGATAGAGTGGAGGGTCATAGACGGCGGTCACGAGTTCCCCCTAACGCGCGCAGAGGAAGTCGTGAAAGAGATCTGTGGTGTTTGGGGCTTATAGAATGGATGTTATGGTATATAGACACAGACTTATTTAGACGATTTTAGACCTAGACAAGGTTGGTTTATGAAGATAGATGATTTTGATGCTCTTCAAATATCTGCTCTTGTATTAAGCTAGAGTCCCTTTACGTCTTGATTAATAGATCATCGTGCTTCACTCTAAGATCAGCCAAGATGCTGTAATAACGGTCCGATTCTTGATATATATTTAGCTCACAGAAACCACTGCTCTATACTATTTTCCAAAAGTCTTATCAAAGTCTCGAATACCGAACCTCTGCACAGAAAACGCGGTTGATTTCCCAGAATCCAAAGATGTTGTATCTCGCTTAATGAAAGGGGTCGGTTTACATATATCCACACCTGCCCATCTAATCCCTCGCCTCTCCGGAGCAGCGCACAGACGCCCAACCCCAGCTACCTGCACTAAGTCCACACCCAACGTCTCCTCATCACTCCTTACGCGCAAAAACGCGACATCGCGTCTCCTCCCTCCTGCATTCCAACCTCCCCCTTTCCTTTCCCTCCCTCCCCCATCCCCCTCCCTTTCCCCTCCCAGGTACAAAACCCAGCAGCACCACAGACAAACAAACAGAACACAGCATGTCCACACCCACGCCCACGTCTCCCGTTCCAAAACGCATCAAGCCGAACCCGACCTCGCCAGACGTATCAACGACAATGGATTCTCCCCCTCCTTTACTGATCAAGAAGCTCTCGGAGAAGGGAAGGTTGCCGACGAGAGGCAGCGCGTTCGCGGCGGGGTATGATTTGTATGCTGCGAGGGATACGGTGGTGCCTGCGCGTGGAAAAGTGCTTGTTGATACGGATATTAGTATGGCGGTTCCGGCTGGGACTTGTATGGATGCCCCTCCTTTTTTTCATCCAATCCCCCCCCTTCCCCTCCCACCGGTCTCTCCTCTATCGAAAAAGAATCCACGAAGCTAACGTGTTATCTAGACGGACGCATTGCTCCCCGCTCAGGCCTAGCTTCTAAACACATGATCGATACAGGCGCGGGAGTCATCGACGCGGATTATCGGGGCCAGGTTAAAGTACTGCTGTTTAATCATGGAGAAGCGGATTTTGAGGTTAAGGAGGGCGATCGTGTGGCGCAGTTGGTGTTGGAGAGGATTTATACGCCCGAGGTCGTGGAGGTTGAGGAGTTGGAGGAGAGTGTTAGAGGGGCTGGGGGATTTGGGAGTACGGGGTAGAGAGAGACTTGGGGATCTGGAGTGAGTTGGGTTGGGTTGGGTTGGGTGAGGTGATGGATGGATGGATGGATGACTTGGATGATAATGGAGTTATGGTATGTATGGGAAATGAAATAGATGATGATGAATGGATATGGATTTATTTCCATCTACTACTATGATATCAATCGATTGATGCGCCTAGACTCGTCTTCGTATATTGTGGCATTATGCTCGCATGGACTTTTACGTCTTTGTGTATAGGTATAAATCCCATCTATACTCTTCCCGCTTTAAACTGCACCACCGGATTCTTCAAACAGTCCACATTCCGCACGAGTCTAACCTCCGACGCCTTCGACACCAGCAGATGCAGCCGCTTCTCATCCTTCTCTTTCCCTCCCTCAATCGTCGCATGATACCTCGCAATCTCCTCGTCCCTCTGCACTTTAGTCCTTGTCAACACCTCATGCATGCTGGCCAGTACCTTCTCCGTCGCCCTCGCGAGCGGTAACTCGGTCGCCTCCACCTCATCCCCACTCACCCACGCCTCCTTGTCCATCAGGCCCGGCGTCTCGGAGACCGCCTCGCGGAAACGGACCAGCAGCAGCGCCGCGAACATGTCGCCCGTGCCGCTGAAGAAGCAGTCGATAGCCGGGACCGACACGCCGAAGATGCGCGGCGTCGCCGCCGAGGTGCACGTCGAGCCGACGATCGAGAGACGGCGCTCGGCGCCCGACGCGGGGAAGGAGACCGAGGTCACCACGATGTGCGGGATGCGGTAGCGCTCGTGCAGCGTCGTGACGGCTTGCTTCAGGGTATCCATGTCGACGATCTTGACTCCGGAGAGCGTCCTAGGCCGGTGTGTCAGAGCCCAGAGAGTTGTTGTTGTTGGGGAGAGCTTCGGATGGACTCACTCGGCTTCGAACTGATTCGGCAGGATCAGATCCGCGTCCTTGATCAGGTTCTTGTACGCGGGCACCACATCCTCTTCCACGTAAAGCTTCCCATTATCGCCCATCACCGGGTCCAGAATCCAGAAGAAGCTCCCTGGCTTCGTCGCCGCTTTGCCTTTCAGGTCCCGAGCTATCGCCCCCATGGCCTCGACGGACGCCGCTCCGGGGAGGTAGCCTGAGAGCATCATGTTGAAATCGTCGAGGTATGACTCCTTGAGCCCTTCATAAAGATCGTTGATTTCTGCTGCCGCGACTTTCGTGCCTCTCGCCTGGCCGTATCCCAAGTGGTTGCCTGCGCATTCTGTCAGTCGGTGGAGCGAGGCTATTCCGGCTGGCGACGAACTGAAATTCACCGTGTTGAGTGCAGCAACTTCACAGCCAAGTGACTGCATCACGAACCCTGCCATTGTGTTCCCGACATATCTTTGTTCTACTTAGCGTACGACGAGAACGCGAGTCGGATCGGAGCGCAAACCCACCCATAAACAACCTTTCGGTACATGGTCAGCCTGGATCTTGTATTTGGGATAGTAAGAAGGTCCCTACATGACTTGCGATAGCAAGAACGCGTGTCTCGGGGACGGGGAAGTCTATCGACATGGTCGCGCGCAGAGGAATCGAGAAGAGAGTGGGCTCGGTGAGATGCGGGGTCACCTAAATATTAAGACTTTGAGATACATAAGAAGGCAACAGTCACAGAAGTCCAGGGGTTCGAAGTATCAGAAAAGGCAGAAGCATCGCGTGAGGGAAACACGCCTGTGAGAGATATGTAGAGGTGTCCAAGCAATTCTCCAAGATAAAGGAAAAGATGTCCGGTCTGACGTTGGACTTGGTGGGGCTGACCGGTCGGGACGGGATTTGATAATAGTACTACCCCGCGCTAATTCTTCAGGCCTGCGGAAATCTCAAAATTGCTTTATTCGACGATCTTTTGACTGTTCCAAATGATATCCATGTATCTGGCATGCCGTCCTGGAGACGGGAAGCCGGGAAGCCCTCATTAACCCCACATAAACCGACCAACTCAATTGTTCACATCCATAAAGTCAACCATCACGCCGCATGGAATATGCTGTAAACCTCATACCATCATTTATAACCATTCTATCGTGTCGTGTCTATTCCTCGTCGCCAATCTATCGATAGTGTTAGTCTTTGGATACAATAAAATAGGGTGCAGGCGGAGGAACTTGCCTTGGGAGCCAGGTAGTATCTGAGATAACTGCTTCCAGCCAGGCCGTACTCGACCAGCAGAGGAACTTCATTGGACAAGCAAAGCTTTACAGACTTAGAAAGGCCCGCAGCCTTGCAGAAGTTGACGAGGTACTTGAGGGAGAATGTCAGGGAGACAGGCTCGGTGAGTTCGATGTCAACGTTGAGTTCTGGCTTGTCGATATTGCTGTGACTTCGAAGAGTGACCGCCCCGTTACCAATATCACCATTGCAAGAGAACTTGACACCGTCCTTGGATGCCTCAATAGAGACTGCAAAGCGAAAGAGGGTTAGACGTAGTTCATAGGTCACCGTTATGGCCCAACGTACCAGATTCTGAGAGGAGCACGAGATCACCGCAGATCCGCTTGAACTCAGTAGAAGGCATTGTAACTGTAGCCGCATACTCGGTATCAGGGATTCCCAGGTGCTCTTGATCAATATCCATAAGCTTCAAGTCATACTCGCTCAGCCTATCACTCTGGCTGCTTTCGAAAACCAGGTTGAGAACATCTGGCGCGTCTTCAGCCTTGAGTGTCAAGATATCCTCGTTTCCCGCGGCACGGAGGACTTTTGTGAGAGAAGAAAGGTTGATACCGAGCGCGATGTTGCGATCGCATCGGTAAGGGGAGAAGCTCTCTGCCTTGAGCATCATAGAAACGAGGGCGACGTGGGAGTTGTCCATGGCTTGGAGCGCGAGGCCGGAGTCATTGCAATCAAAATTGCAGTCCTGGACCAGATCCTTGATAGCATCGACAACCTACTGGAGTTAATAATGCGCAGCAGTATGTTATCTCCTTTGTTACTGACCTTCTTCAGCAGGTCGGCCTGTTCGAGACGTGCTTCCAACACTTTAGGAACTATTAGCATACGACCAAGCCTAAAATTTCTGTTGGGGATATAACACAGCGCGGCAGATTGACACTTACTATTGGCAGTGATAGAGTTCAAAGTCTTAATGGAGAGAAATGTGTGGGGAGGCAGATAGGTCGAAGGGAAAAGTTCTGGTCTTGCAGCTGTTTGGGTTTTTGGGGAGAAAGAGAACGCGCATCAACGCGACTCCCCGCGCGTAAAGTGGGAAAGGCTAGAGAGCGAAAGTCGGACCAATGAGATCCTCGGATTCAGAATCAGGGGGGTTGGAAGCCGATGCGAACATGGCCTCCTCTTCCAATGTCTTGCATTTGCGAACATGAATTGAGATATTAAGAGCTCGATATCGATGGTTATCTAAGTATATTCATTTGAAACTCTGGTAGTTGGGAATTTGTCTATCAAAAACGCGACAGTACAAAAGCCGTCTCCGCACTAATTCACGAACATTTTCCCCTGAGCGGCTGAACCTCAGCGTTCGCAACTATGACTGTAACGTAAATGACCTTCTATGTTCACTGATTCATTTTAGAAATAGGTGAAGATGTTAACTGTGGTGTATATAAAAGCCAACACGGGCCATTTCATTTCCCCTCCGTGTAGAGGATCCTGATTTAATCGAGTTCCTCGTTCCACCAACTCAATGCAACACCAGAAATGTTCAGAACACCTTCACCCAAATCACAGAGCGGGCAGAATATGGCAAAGGACTTTATATATGCACATGTCTCCATGTATGCTCCATGCTGTATGTATTCTGGACAAGCAGAGGTATTATGGGGCGACGCACGGAGTTATTTCTGTTCCCATTAGTACCAAAGATAATGATTTCAAAATTCAACGTAGCAATTCCTACCCCGGTATCGAAGATCACAACCAGCAGCGTTGCAACATTTGTAACGTGCCATGAAGAGAACCGAATATTGCCTCAAATGTATATCCGGAGTTCATGTCGAATTACTAGGAGCCAGAAACTACCAAATCAGGCGTGCTTCAGTCCATAAGTTCCTCGTTCACCCTCGAGTATTCAGAATGCATCTGTGATCTAGCAACGCATCGAGCACGACCACGGCATTCAAGAATGTATTTAGAAATATGTATGAACATTCGTCTTCTCGACTCGAGGAAATCCGGTGTGGAATCGTTCATCAATAGAATCCCTGGCACAAGACCACGATCGTTATCCAACAGAAGACCGTAAACGTTGGGGACAACAGTCCAATTTATGGCTTTGGGAGCAGGTGAGGCCAAATAATCCTGAGGGAATATATCTCCTTGTCAGTGAAGGCCATTTTCTGTATCCCAGCCATTGCATGGAGGTGTTTGGACGTTTGACACCCACCTTCCTAAAGAACATTGCATGTTTTTGCACCATGTTGAATCTTGAGGATCCCAGCACACGGGTATTGCTGGCAAGATTCCCGACTTCAGGGTCAACAGCGGGCGGATACCATGAGATGAGATGCGGCCTGTCACTCAGTGGCTGTTGGAATCATCTCCTTCTCGGAGCCCCTCGTCCTGAGATCCTCGTCCTCGGCCCATGACGGATATTCCGTCTTTCACGGGTACTCCGTCATTGCAACACTGCAACGAAACGACGGGCATGACCGACAATGCAGACAACAAGATGCAACCATTGAATGTTATGTCTGTTTTGCTGGCAAGCGTCCACGCCCCCTCCTTGCCCACAACGCAGGTACGTGGAAGAAGATCGCCAACAGCCCCGGTTCTTTGCCGTTCGCGCCGCACGGGCTTGCCGAACAGGGGACACGGCAAGAGAGTCGGTCTTTGAATCTCTTCATCATTATTTTCCGTACGGGGTAGGATCCCGGTCGCTGTGTTGCTGGCAGCCTTTCGAAACAAGGCTGAGGGATGCTACTCCTTAAGCCGTGCCTTAGTAAGACGGCCGTCTGTTGTAGAGATCCAGAGAGGAGCTTCACCAGGAGCAAGGCTCAGTATACCGAAAATGAAGTCCATCGTGTCAAATTGCTCAGCTCTGCCTACGTGATCTGTCAGTTGGCGATCTGCTTACGGACGTATAGGAGAAAACCAACATGAGCCCCGCGCGTTTCAGAAATTCTGTGGGCTGCAAGTGCGCGGCGTGGAATCTGTCCCGAACTGATTTGGGTGTACTCTTTTGGCTCTTGAGGTCGTAGAAGAATAAATAGAATTACCCCGTACGGTACGGGATAACTTACAAGGTTCTGGAAATCTTCTCCGCAGTGGCCACGAGATTAGCAAAACACCAACGACCTATTTATAACTGTCAAATTTTACGTCGCCGATACATGCGGAATACTGTTGTACCTCGCGATGTACCTCAGTCCTGGCTGGATCACTAACCAGCCCTGCTCTGTTGCTGAGTACAGCCTATTCCTTTGTCGTTTCATGAGTTTCGAGATCGTGATTCAGTCAATATTTACCTGAAAAGGGGAGGCTATGTTGTCGCCTAACTGAGCCATCTCACGGAATCCGAAATTGCGCATTGCGGCCGTTCGCCATCTCACCTCATATGTGTCCTAATACTGGGCCTCTGCTGTCTGAAAGAATGAGATGCTCAGATGGCGTGAACTTGACCTCCGTCTCCCCTGTAGTAGAGTGCATTTCCAACGTTTCCATCTCCACCTAAGTATCTGCACACCCAGTCAACTGCAATAGCCCACCTACTAGGTGGGATACGGTTTTGATCTTCTTTATATTTGAAAAGATGTTACAAGATGAAGGGTATAGATAGAGCTTGCGTACAGGTCGTCACATATTGTCCGACTCGTCCCAAAAATGCTTCTAATTTTGTACCCCAAAACGCCCCTGAAAAAAACGCCCCGCAAATGCATATCAAATAAATTTACCTCCGCCTCATTGATCATGATGATGTCGTCGTTGTCGTCGTTGCCGTCGCTGCCGTCCTCCGTTGCTTACACTTCTCGTGTGCCATATGACCATTTCTCGCAGTTGTCCGTGTGAACTCGGCGCCACAGTTGGGGCATATTGATTTCGTGGCCGCGCCTGACTTCTCACGTTGGTGCCGCAAGAGGTTGCTAAAAGTAGAGAATTGGCGGCCATTGCATCCATGCTCCCAGCACTGCGGCTTGGGGCGGCTGTGTACAACTCTGACCTGATCACCAGAGTCTGATGAGCCCACCTTACTGGGAGTCTGGGCAGGATAGATGTTTTGCATCATTTGCACGTTTGGCTGGTCCATTGAAGATGCTGAGAGGGAATGTGGCCGAGACCTGTATTCTGTCAGTAAGAAAACTAGGACTGGAAAGAGCTCGATTGGAAACTCACCCAAATACTTGCATCGCAGGATCCATTGCACCAGTGTTGTAGGGCATTGACATAGAGTATGCAGGAATGCCAGTGAGATCATTTGCCCCCCTTTCAAGCAATCAATTAGCAACCGCTCTCTTGTAGCAATTTAAGCAGTACCTACATTGTAAACACCGGGCCATACATGTCAGAACCCGTATCAGACAATTGTGGTGTATACGGCGCTAAGTAGGCCGGACTGGAGATATTTGAGATGTTCGACAGATTCGGAGAGCCTTGCTGTGAGCCCTGCGAGAGAAGAGGTGACGGAGCGAGAGTGTTTGAATAATCAGAAAGACTCCTGGATAGCATCTCTGGAGAGGCCTTTGGTGATACTGTGTAGGGGTTACTAGTTGATCGATCTCTCCGCATCCTTTCCTTGGCATCTCGTCGCGCATGGTCACGCTGACGCTTCAATTCCCTCTGCTCGGGTGTGAGGCTTCCCCGTGGTGGACTAGATGAGACAGATCGGGCGTACATAGGCATGAGCTTTGTATCTTCATATGATGGTAATGCTCCCATAACCATGGGAGGACTCATCTGCTGTGGAAAGAACTGGTCGCTTAAATCGAAATCTGGCCGGTCAGTATCCCTTTCAGGATGGTCTGGGTAATGCAACTCACGAGGCCATGTGTATGTTTGACGCACACCGGCATCAAACCGAGAATCATAATTCTGAATGCCAATCGCACTGGAAAATTTGTCAGCGATGGTCTGTAAAACAGGACGATAATAAAGATACCTCATGTTTGCTGGATAGGAGTTCGACCGAGAGATAGAAGGTTGAGGATGAAGAGGTTGATGACTGGAAGTTTGTTCGGCTGGATCGAGTCTCAGTAAGGGAGTCGGTCCAGGTCGATCTTCCGTTGTGGGCAGGCAAGACCAGTGAGTATCAATGCCACCCTGTGAGAATTGTGGAAACGGTGTAAAATGCTCAGTAGTAGGTGATGTTGTGAAGGTGGAATCTGGATGTGATTTGGGATCCAGGAATAATGGAGTTGAAGTAGTGGGTCCCTCTGTCGATGTTCCTTTCTGCCCGGATGTTGAGATGGTAGGCTTTATATCCAAATCCTGGAGTTGTGACTCTGTTGATGATAGCTGGTTGTCGGAGGATTGGGATCTAGACTGGTGTGAGTCTTCAACACGTGGAGCTATATAGTGAGAGTCCATGAAGAGAGGTCGGAGGCTGTGAACGGTGATGGATTCACATACGATGGATTTAGAATTAAGAAGGAATGCTGGGAATTGACTAAGAGGAAAAAGAGGCTCTGTAGGATCTTATACACTGAACTACCAGGAGCAGGGGAGACGAGTAGTAGCGAAGTAAACAGAATACTTGAAGGAGACAACTCTATTTTGGTGTTTGACGGATTGTAGGAGGCATAAAGATCACTGCCCTCCGCCTCAACTCCACAAGGGGCACAAGGCTATAATGTACTGGGCTCCCTCAGAAGAGCAGGGACCAGGGCCATGGGAACGCCATTGGCAGATCATGCTCTTCCTGGCAGACGTGGTGGAGGATTCGGGCCCCTGTTGGTGCTGGGGGAGAGGCACATGCCATACAGTAAGGCGACGCTATTCCCACTGTGTGGGCAGTAATAAGCAGGCTCTTCAATTGCTGGCTGCTTGCTCGCTGCTGGCACGTCAAACCTCCTAGTGTGGACGGTAAGGCTCCTTGCCGCTCTCATCGTTGCTGGCCCAAGTAGTCCTGTGGAGTATCTCCGTAGCCAGGCTCCATATTAGCAGCTTACTGGCCTGCGCCGCACACGGCCACCTTCCGGCCAGCAACACCCAGTGAAGCATGAGAGAATGTGCTTTAGGCGTGCTTCAGACCGACTAAAGGGGGTGAGAGGCCCAGGGGACCGCGGTCTAAGCTTCCCGCAAGTGGGAGGTCTGAAGGTCAGAGAAATGAAGCTGAAGGTACATCGGCGCCGGGTGTACTTAGCTGTGTCCGAGAAGTACCGAAGTTACAACAGTATAGCGACTTGGCAGACACATAGCTTTCCCAGTTATTACGACACCGTAGTAGGGTCGTTAGTAGCTGTAACCGTACCGGTATGACCGTCGTGCTCCGGGGTGAAGGGTGAAGGCGAACCGTGGAGGGCAATTCCGTAGCTCAATCATGCTCATGGGCCAGCTTCATGATCATCGTACGGGGATCGTCTTGGAAGGGCAACCAGGTTCGCGATAGCGATCGATCATCTTATCGCCCCAAGGGTGCATGTTCTGTACAGTACATGTAAGCAGGAATGGCGACGATTCTATCCCCGGGTTTATCGAGAGCTCAGGAGCCCCGGACACTGAACTGTACAGCACAGTGCAAGGTTGGCACACAGCCAGAGAATATTAAGATTGTAAATATGTAGGCTCCGTTTTGGCCTGCCGATGAGAGGCAAGATCGGCTTGTTGCACCGTCGGTACGTAAATGCTAGGTCAGGTAAGATTACCACTGTGTAGACTTGACATCGTCTCGACACGATACCACGATACCACGATACTACAATAACCAAAAGTTATTTTATTAGCCAGACCAGACTGATCGGCAAACTATCCCTCCAGAACACGTGCTATGTGACCACGTCATGAAACTCGAGGAGCAGAGCAGTAAGCGTGAACGGTGAAGCATCAGACGAACCACGGGCAGTTGACCTCCATACTCCATTACCTATCGAGGTAGATTGTACCGTTGTGCGGACCAGGGCGCTTCTTGTGCTGACTTCGACACCAAGCTTTGCGCCTTGCTCAACTTTCCGAGGGGAACACAGCCGACGAGCTTTGAAGCCTTCTCGAGTGGCTCCGACAGGCCAGGTACATACATACAGCAGGGTTGCAAAGCTTATTATTGCTACCCGCTACCGAACCTCAGATCTTAGCAAGTACTACTAAGTATAAGTGGTATGCTATACTAGGTATTACTACAGTGCTGCACTTACATGTGTACCTGTCAAGCTGTCACGTTTGCGCCACCGCCTTGGCCCAGGGTCCTTGGAGAGAGGTACACGGTCCGTGTTCTAGTACAACTCCATGCTTGCCATAACCAGATCAGATTTCCGAATCTTGGCTTCTATGAAAGGCGGCGAAACAAGCTTCATCGTGCATGGAACCCCCCTCAGCAGCCGGCATCCAGACATGCTGTACGGACGTGGAGTATGAGCATATCCCGGAGTAGTGGAGTACGAGTTGCAATTCGTCCGACGTGGCCAATAGAATAAATCTAAAAATAAACCCATCCTGGTCTTTTGGTCTGTACTTATTACTCCGTACAGACGTCCAGTGCTCTCTGTAGGTACTTACTTCTTACCTATTCCCCGTGCGGTCAAGTCGTCTTCCAAAATAATATTCGTTTCAGAACTCAAAACAACCAGTCTCCAGTGTTGGTAGCCAATGGAATCCCGCAGAGGAATCCCGCATCCTGGCGGTGGCTTGACTGGGAGTGAGGATTCCATGGGATTTTGGAGAAATTTCTTGCCCTGAGCCTCAACCATCCCAGTATTCACCCACGCGCAATGCCGTTTGATCGCCGCAGGCCATTCCTTCATCCATCCTTAGCTGGACTGCGCCACTAGCTTGCCGTGGCCAGTGCTACTTTTACAGACTATCCTTGTCGCGCTCGATCAATATAAATTGTCACCCACGCCCTCGTGAGCATCGTGACTTCAACCTGCAAGATGTTAGATCGTCATCACGAGTAGTGATATGCGCCTTATGAGGGAGTCAGAATGAGCCCGCGCGATTCCGCTGCTAGGTATTGTCGCCGCTCGGTGGGCTCGGATACTGTCCGTGTTAGAATGGTCGGGATCAAGGGATGCCTGTGTGCATCATTGACGCCTTTGACAGAATGGCATTGCGGTCCACTACCGGCTAATGAAGCTAAACAGTATATTCTGACCTCCCTTGCCCTTCCCCCCCTATTGCCCGCCTTATCCCTATCTCGCCGTTGAGTTCATCACCATTAAAAAACTCCTGCAGAACCTGACTCCAGTCCTCTGTGGATGATATGATGGCAATGCTTTAGTCCTGCTCCCAAATGCGCTCTTAAGAACTCCGAAAATATGTAAGCAAAGCTTTCGTGACAATCTGTAATTGGATGATTTGGTGGAAAGTTCGCTGGCCCCTCTTCAAAGTCTTCCGTGACGAGCCTTGAATATGGCTACCTTGTCGTCGTAAAACAGGATTTCTCGCAACCTTAACCGTACCTTAGACCGGCCATCTTCAGAGCCAACGTATGAATCAGTATCCGAGTCGTCCGGATCCGAAATTTCGGACTCTGTCTCGTCAGGGTCGATTTGAGGAATCGCTGTGCCATCTTCCTCCTCCTCATCATCATCCTCGTCACTTCCATCTTCCTCGCTCCCTTCCTCATCATCAGTAATAGCACCGCCTGGTCCACCATTTGCGAGATTCGAATTTGTGACCTCCGATCCATGGGCCTCGTCATGAGGCCGATTTTCCAAAATTTCAAAGCATTTATGGGAAATACCCATATAACAGAGCTCGACCTCAGGACGCAAAACAATAACGTCCACAACCTGCAATGCCAGTTCTCGAGGATCAAATGCAGGTGTTACATGATCTGCTATAAAAGGAATGTTGAGAGAACGGAGATGAGGGATTTGAGGAAGACGTTGCAGGAAGTGATGCTGGTAGAAGTTAGTCAGGACAAGAAACTTTTTGGACAGAGAAAGTATTTCGAAAGAGACGGCATACCCAGTCTTTATAATCGATTGCAATGCTTAATTCACGAAGACTGCTCATCCGCCCACTAGTAATAAAGTTGAGGACATCGCGATTTGGCATCCAAGCTCTCCAACGTACGCTATCGGAAGCACTCGCTGGGCCTCTTGGGATCCGGTCGGAGCTATCTAGCATTAACTTGCGGAGGCTTGCTCGGTGTCTTTTCAAGGGACCCCGAAAAATGGCGTCCTGTGAAAAACTATTAGCACTTCTTACAGTGAAAGTATAGTATAATGATAGATTGGAAATTTTCTTACGATTGTGACATTAGTTGTGGAAGAACGTCTCCGGTCTTGTAAAAACAGGGTTTCGAGAGTGTTAGGAGCTAAGGTTTCTTTCAAAAACGAAATAAGGGCAGGAGAAGCGGCATCCGTATGTATCTTTTTCAAGTTCAGATGATACTGTAGAGATACGCCGGCTCCATGCTTGACAGACGAATGGCTGGCACCGAGTGGCGTCGGCAGAAAGTGTCGTCGAAGCATGATCCAGAGTCTATCGTGCTGAGGACAATCCAGAATCGTCAAGTTGGTCAATACAGGCCAGTCAAAGGCTTTTTGGAGTACAGCTATGGAGAGAGAAATGCGCTCTAGCTCCAATGTCTGTAGTCTCAGTTTGCCATCAAGCCTATCCCTTTCAGAAGAAGAGCTCTCGGAGAAATGCGATTGCCTTTGGCTATGCCCTGGCGACCGTCTAAGGGGAGGCTCTGTAGATATATCTGATAGCGCAGCGGTGTGGGTTTGTCCGTCCATCTCATTTTGCGAGACGAGGGTTGCCAGGGGCTCAACATCAGGTGGCGTTGGCTCTACTTCAGCCGACTGCGCAAGTGGTTGACTATTCAGGTTCAAACCAGTTGAGTCATTCGAAGGAGATCCGCTATCGATACTGAAAGCGACTCCATGGGTTGCTGTGACCACCTCACTGCCTGTTGAGTCCTGCTTGGCAAGCCACTCCGCTTCTGTAAGGTGGGTTTCGGTCGTCTCTGAAGTATATTGCTGGAGGATACCTCCATTTTGGATGTCCATCGGTGTCGTTATATTGGATTCCATATGCGGAGCTGTCGGATGAAGAGGGGATGAGGTAGCCAGGGAAGTACCCATAGCCTTTTTCTCGGTCTTCGCTTTTTGCTTTTTGCGAATATCAAACACTCGCCCCAAGAGCACCCCTAAAACACCTCCTAGTCTTCTCTCTCCAATTGTACTTGCACCGGGCCATGTTGCTTTGTGATCAACTTGATGTAAATCTGGCCCATCCCACGCTATCGCAAAATCTCGGTGGACTGCTTTTGCAGAAACACCTACTCGCAATTCGCGCAGGCGATCCTTTGATTTCGCAATTAAAACACTCATCTCATCCAGGTAATCAATTTCATCGATATCTAGCACAGACAAGCTTCTTAAAGGGGGCAGGACGCTCAAAGTAGGATATTCTACCCTACTTTGAGCGTAGGAAATCGGGTGAGGTTGGGTCTGTGCCGGGATATAGCCGGATGGAATAGTCCAGCCTATCGAAGTCAGGGTACTACCAGCTGTTGCGCTATTGGACGTTGTATTTGAGGTTTGGGTGGGGGATAGGTGTGCTGTATCTGAATTATCATGCCATCGGACCCAGACTCGCTCCAGTCGAGGTTCATGGTTTGGATTCCTACTCTGCAAAGAAGACAGAGCGAGCCAGACGTCTCGCAGAACCCCAGTAGGCATATCCCACACAAAAGTCTCGAGATTGACCATCCTCGCTACAGCAAGAGCAACAAGAGTTCCTAGCATTTTGCCACTCTCTTTAGTTATGAGATACTCCTGTACCCAGTCTGCGGGACCATTCCCTAGAGAGAACTTTCGGGTGTATTGAGGATATTGGTTTCCAAGGCGCCGTTGGCCGTTCCGTACTCCTGATTGGACTTCGTGATTGCATTGCGCGGTATTCGGGGCGCCACAATTTGTGCAAGTAAAAGATTGGCCTTGAGCGTGGTCCGTAAATACGTCGCCCATGCAAAGAGTAGCAAGGCCATAAGTAAGGGCATCGACACCAGTTCTCGGATCGGTCGTAGCGTGTGCATCTGGCCATACAATGTCGAAGCGCGAATAGATATGAGGTATGGCAAGGTTGTGAAGGGCGGAATGGGTTAATGCTAAAGCTGTCAAATCATTCGTATGGGTTACCTGTAGTATAGTATGATCAGAACTTGTCTAGAAGGGCCTGGAGGATCAAGCTTGAATGATCAATAAACGTACCTCCTTTACTATTTCCTTCAGCACATCGATAGGAAGATCCAGTAATCGAAGCGGCCCCTTCTTTTCCATGACAGCAGTCCATTCTTGTTCTTTGTCCTTTAGTAAGTTAGATATCTTGGTCCTCGCATCAATGCCAGCTCTCTCAATCTTCTCAGAAGAAGCTTGGCACCCTGGGGCGGCCATCTGATGTCCGGAACCAAGATCTGATGGCTTCGAACTGTGGGCAGACTGTGCTGCTGTTGAGGTTCTAGGCGCAGATACGAGCTGATCGTCTGGCTGTGATGCAGTGTCGCTGAGCGTCTGGTCGGGACTTGGCAGGCTGGTCGTCATGATCTGTCGAGGTTGTGTTGTTGGGATGAATGTGGTGATCTGACGTGGTACTTTCCCTCGCAGCCCGAAACTGAACAGGGCATGCTTGATACTCGAGAAAGCATGCGCAAGGCCAGATGAATGGGAATAGAGCAGAGAAGTGAGGGAGCTATGATGGCCTCTCACCTTAGTAGCTTTGGAATGGAGCTCGACGTGAGCGCTGCGTCCCCATGGATCCAGAGAGCTTAGCCTTCCCACGTTGAATGGTCAACCAAACGAACGATCGCCGTGCATCGACCGGGCTAGTCGTTTCGGGCGATTCAGTCACGTGATATCTATATTGACACACCTCCGGGTTTCCCTCCCGTTTTGTTTGCTCGGCAACTTTGACTTATGGATATGATTGACCTGAGACTTTGGATACAGGTCTATCAGACAACCCCATATTGTACCGCGTAATGAAGCTAATTTACGTGGGCGGTAGACAAGCCTCGGTGGGTAAGTTATAGTACTCTGCCTTACCTAGCAAGGATTGGACGCCGGGTGATTTGTTAGGTAAGCGCCTTGTCACACGGGGCGCTTGTGTAGGAGGATGGCTTGTCGTCCCTGTCCCGCCTGTCCCACTGTCCCGCGGGCACCGCTGCAACTCAAAATCAATATCAAAGAACTCGGCTTTGAAGACACGAAACGCGCATGACAGTGCCCTCCTTGTGACGCCTGCTCGAAAGCACTCGTTCGTTCGTTTGTTCTTCCGTCCATTCATTCGTTCCATCCCGTAACTGACCGATCTTTCTCGCCCAGTCAGGGCAGGAAGGCAGGATCACATCGCAGCAACGTTTCTTAAATAAGGACTTCACCCTCTTCCTCCGAGCTCTGTCACCACCCCTTCCGACCTTTAAGCACCACCCTTGGCCAGCATCATGTCATCTGCCTCTGCAAGTTCTCGGCCAAATATAAACAAACGCCTCAGTAGCCTCCAGGGGACTGAGCAACTTTCCCGCAACACATCTCGAACCCGGACCAAAACCATCAGCTACAATGATGCGTATACCTTTGCTCTCAGAGCCGCATATCTTCACCACCTCCTCCAGCCTCGGTCAAAGAGAAAACAGTATGTGCCGGCACCGAAGCCCACGAAGAGAACTGCTATGATCGGGGAGTTGTTGCAGGAATTCTCACCACTCAAAGATTCAAAGAGCGCCAAATTCCCCCATGGCTTCATGTCACCTCTGGAAAAAAGGATACAAGGGGTGTTAGTTGGCACGGAGAGGCTTCCAGGGTACAATGATGCTGCTGTCAAACGGACTTTTGCAGAGGCGTATACCGCCTTTACTGAGCAGGGCTTTCGGAGACGTATGGACAAGGAGAGACGAGTAGAAGATCTCGTCCTCATTTTTTACTCAAATGCCACCAAGTCCTTGCAGAAAGGCAAGGGCCCCGATGATGATTCTTGGAAGCCCCTAGTCGACCGGCACGTTGCCCTCTTTGTCAGGCTGATCAGCACCACTTTGAAAGACATTGGTAACGACAAAGACCGACCCGAACTGATGAGTCGATTATCGACGCTGGAGAAAAAGCTGTTGACAAATGACCAAGACCTCTTTATCAATTCAGCAAACGGTTCGGGAGGGTCAACCGTTGAGGTTGTGACCCCAGTCAGTAACGATGTAAAAGATATGCCCATGGTCCTGACTGTGGGCAGAATATTTGGCCTTAAAAACTCTCAGATTCAATCTGATATTGATGCAAACAAGAGCATTTGGACAGAGGAAGCTGCACTCGCGGATATCAAGTCCTACCAGCATTGCCTCAATGCTCATACCAAACGAACTCTTCGTAGTGATGATTTTGACCTTGAGGAGGGGTACCAGGCGTGGAAGAAAGCAGAAACACCAGAGTTATCGCAGATGATTGCCGAAATCTTGCAGGCCAGACCGGAGCTCGTAAAGGCATCATCTACAACCAATAAACCTCTGCCAGCTATCCAAACACCTTCGACTGAGGGAGAACAAGCCTCCCCAGAGTTGGCCAAAACAGTCTCAAACCCTGCGAGCCAAAGGCGGTCACTTATCTTTGACCCAACCATAGAAAAGAGCTTTCTGTATTTGGACGAAGACCCGCCAAATCGAACGTCCCTTGAGGAATTGTCGTACACGTTCATACCACCAGATCCGCGAGCATACTATCGATCGATTCTTCTGCATGCCATGACCTTCGATCTGCTCCATGCTCCACAGGCAACTGATGGTCCAGCTGCGACGGCACCCCTTTCTCAGGAGTCTATGGAGCTCCTAACGGAGTTGTGTGTTCGCTGGCGGATACCTCAATTTTCTCGATTTGTGCTGTTTTTAGACGTAGCAGCTCAGAAGTTCTTGGATCAAGAAATTGGTCCTGATGAACTAGATGCTGCCTTCGAGTTCATCAAGAAACCACCACCAGAGACCAAACGGACGAATACACATTCTCACTCCGCGAGTCTATCGTCAATTAATCAGAGCTTTTGGACTGTCCAAGATTTTGCTTTGTATCGTCAAATACTCACGAACTTACACGAAGCTCTTCTACGCGACCTCTACGATCTGCTACAACACTGTTACGAAACTAAGCCTCCTTCTCCAGGACCTGTTCTGTTCATTCTGGAGAACCACATTTACGGCGATCCTTCTTTCTCTAAGAACCCAGATGAACATCACGTGTACGTGGAACAGTTGACCGAAGGCCTTCGTTCCAAAGCTGCAGCAGTATACAGAGGTTATCTGGAGGCTGAAGTACCACAGAACCAGGAAGAGTGGCAATTCTCTCATGTTGTTAAGCTCGGTAAGTCTGTCGTGAAATTGTGTGAGAGGATTCAGAAGCGGTATAGAAAGAATCCCGACATTATGGGAGTCAATCCCTTGACGATACTTGTCGAAACGATGTTTCCAAGCTTTGAGAATGATGCGCGTGATCTAATCGAACGGATTCTTGTCGTGGCCCAAACGAAGAACTCGGAAGTTGATTTGGAGGATGGATTCGACCTGTACAGAGAACTTGTGGAAATTCGACGGATACATCATGCCGCTCTCCCCGATCAGCCCTTCGCGTTTCATATCGAGGATCTCCTCGCAGATTTCGTTTGGAGATGGATTCGTGTGGCCGATTCAAAGATGATAGAACTCATCGATCAAGCCATCAAGCAAGATCAGTTCCAGGTTCGGTCAGATAATCCTGACCGACCGGCCACTGATGATGAACGCCACAGTGTGTCTGTGATTGATATCTTCCGCTTGTTCAATCAGACTGCGGATCAAATCTTCCAGCTCAATTGGGATGACGATGTTCAGTACGCAAAGTTCATGACTGCTTTGTCGAAATCTTTCGGCATTGGCCTGGCAAGGTATTGCGAAGTCATCGAACAGAGATTCTCAAAAGAGATGGACAGGCTGTCTCCTTCTCAAGTGGCAGCTGCTACACAATCAGCACAGGAGAAGTGGATGCAGCTTGCAAAAGATGTCTGGAACAATAAAGAGAAGATCGAGCCCTTCCAATTCTATCCTGAGGTAGGTTTGGTGCCTGCGTGTTTCCAATTGCATGTAACTAAGAATCCCTCAGTCTTTCGTGAAGCTCAACAATATCGAATATGCCATCCAGCAATTGGACAATCTAGAGAAGACCATGAATGTGGATGCTTGTGCTGAGGTGTTGGCAAAAGTTGCACCACCTAAGGAGAAACAACGAAGGCCTTCCAAATACGTCTTTACAATCAAGATCGTCGAAGCAGAAGAATTGAAAGCATGCGATACAAATGGGACGAGCGACCCTTATGTGGTGCTTGGCGACGAATATCAAAAGCGCCTAGCTAAAACTAGGGTGGTGATGAAAAACCTCAATCCTCGCTGGGACGAATCAGTTGATATCACGGTGCAAGGAGCACTAAATATCATAGCCACAGTTTGGGACTGGGATACATTCGGCGATCACGATTACGTTGGGAGGACGTCGTTGAAATTGGACCCAACCCATTTCAGTGACTATATGCCGCGAGAGTATTGGCTAAATTTGGACACACAGGGTAGGCTCTTATTGCGAGTCAGCATGGAAGGAGAACGGGATGATATCCAATTCTACTTTGGCAAGGCGTTTCGCTTATTGAAGAGGACGGAAAGGGATATGACACGAAAGATTACAGATAAGGTATGCCGAATGCTTGAGGTATTATGACACGCGGCTAATTATCTACAGCTTTCGCAATATATCAATGCGTCGTTGTCCCTTGATGCTCTAAAGTCTCTGATGTCACGTGGTGGCATTTCTGTAGCGTCAGTAACGAGTTTATGGAAAAACCGCCAATCTGTTGCACCGGCCCTAACCACCATGGATGTCGAAAACGCCCTCAAACCGCTATTCACATATTTCGATGAGAATTTTGCTATCATGAAGCAAACATTGACAGACGCATCCATGGTCATGGTTATGACTAGATTATGGAAGGAGGTTCTCCTAGCTATCGAAGCTCTGTTGGTCCCTCCCCTTTCGGACAAACTTTCGAACCAAAGGCCCCTTACACAACAAGAGCTAGACATTGTATTCAAATGGCTAGAACTTCTCTTCGACTTTTTCCACGCTCGGGATGATGAGACGGGCGAGGCAATGGGGGTACCGATCGATGTGCTGAAATCGCCTAAATACAGTGAATTGGCATCTCTCAACTTCTTCTACTTCGACACGACAGACAACCTTATCCGAACATCTGAACGAATGGCAACCGCAACTGCCCAGCGGGCACAAGCACAGCGCAATCGTCTTTCTGCGCCACCGAGTCTGGGGGCTTCTTTCGGCGGTCTCCTGGGATCCGCTTCGATGAGACGGACGAAGAGCATCATGCTAAGTCGCAATCTGGGAACGATGAAGAAGGCCAAGGAGGAAAAGAGGAAGGAAGCTCAAGCAGATCCGAGCGATGACATGATCTTGAGGATTTTGAGAATGAGACCTGAAGCAGCGCCGTATCTCAGGGATAGGAGCAGGCAAAAGGAACGTTTGGCTGCCGCGGCTGCAGCAGAAATGATTGTTAGACAAAGTCTTGCCGCTGGTGGACCGAGATTTGGTGCAAATAACTTGCCCCGACGTTGAGTTGCGTTGCGTTGCTATAGGATGGGCATCATGGTTTGCACTGTACAGGCGTTGGTTGATGACATGTAATGATTAACGATGGGACGGACGGGTCGGAGTTAGAGATACCATTGCTATCGATTGAATAAATGTTCTACGACGGATAGTCCATAATAATGATGTATGTATCCTCTTGGGATCTTGGGACCGATCCTGATTCCTGGGTCGGCTGTTCCCTCCCAGCCCCTGATCGCTAGGTCAGTATGGTTAACCCACGTGGGATGTCCCCACCTCCACGCCACGTGATTGTGAGCTTCTCCTCCCGCGTCCTTGGAAAAGAATGATTGTCCAGACTTTTCTTTTCATATAGGGCCGAGCAAAAAAAAGGAGAAAAATGATCTGTTTTTTTTTCTCCGCCGGTAAGTACCTACCTAGGTAATCAAGAAGTCCACACAGGACCACAGCCCTTTTTCGCGAGGCGCCTCGACGGCTCACCACGATCCGAAGTGCCGAAGTTTGCAGAGACACGGAGCCGGAGGGACAGAGCCACGAGAGGTCAAGGCCCACAATGCTAACCTTATGGCTTGCAGCGCTGGCTGGCCGGGCGGTCCACATTTATTGGACCCCTGATCCCCCTGAGGGCTCAAGTTCAATCACTCTAAGTATATAAAGCGGGCCTGCAATATGGAATACCTTATATTGTTGTTGTTGTAATATTACGGAGTAATGATTCCGAAGTACCATGTTGGTTAAGGTATGGAAGAAGTTACTTACCTACACGTGAACTAGCTCATATATCATCAGCCAAGTGTTTTACCTTATAGACCGGTTTCTTGTGCTTGTAGTTGTACCTTAGGCTAATAGGTAAGTCACCTATCAAATGATTCCCCCGTACCAGGTACTTGACACCGAAGGACATACCTTAGGTACAACGCAACGTACTTACTTATGTGTCCTTTATGCAGGGTTTTATGAATTTGATATTGGCCCACTCGATTTCGATAAAGCGGGCTGCCCCATCTCGCGGTTCTCAGCAACTTTATTACGATAGTCCGGTCTGATAACAAGGTGTCATTACAGAAATTACAACCCCGCCCACCACCAGTGACAGGTGCCACGGACGTCGGACACCAGCCCTCGCCGGTTGGGAGGGTCTGAGCCACCGATTACTCGCAGGAATAGAGAGCACCAAGGCCTTCCTGAAACTGGAGATCGCTGGCCTGACATCATACGAGGGCGGTCGCCGGAGAGATATTGGCGGGAGTAAATGCAGTACATGTACATGCGCAAGCAGAGTGAGGCCGTGGGTGTAGGGAAAGGGGGGGCGCAGGCCTACCAACGCACCCTATTTGCGCCTCGAGTTTCCCTCTTCGTATTTGGGGCTCGTATTGCCGTATTATTGCGGACGGGTGCGTGTTTGTCACGGTGTCTACCTAGATACGGGGGACTGGAGGGAACTGTAGGTAAGTACCTTGGGTAGTGTGCCTCGAAACGAGTCGATGCTAGTTGTAGTCGAACGGTTGAGGCTGATCGCTGCCCCGTCTGGTAGAAAGAGGGCCATGTTGGCTAGCTATACATCGGCGCCCCCCTCTCGATACATCGGCGCCCCCCTCCCCACTATACTAGCCATATTCGTAGGCGGTAAGCGACTGTCCTTTACCTCGCTGTCGCCCTACCTCGCTGTCGCTACCTTACTATTGCTCCCTCTCTATTATCCTTCTTTATTATCCCCTATTATTCTGTTCCTATAGGCTATAAAGAGAGCTCTCTATAGCCTTAAAATCTATTTCCTTATGTGCTTTTTTAAGCAATTATTTAGGCCTTTTTTAGTACTATTTAAGTACCTATACTTCTCGTTAAGCTGTTTTCCGGGCTGTTTTCCGACCTGTTTTTTTACTGTTTTTTTGCTGTTTTCTTACTACCTTTATAGTATGAATAAACCTATTGATTAAACACTGTTTATTAAGTAAAAACAATAATAAAATCAACATGTTACAGGTCTTCTACTACATACAAATCGCGTGTAAATAAAGACCGTAAAGGACTGACAACCGAATTAGTATTCCTTGGTGGCAGAAATCCTAAAAGGGTATATAGTGGGGAGGGGGGCGCCGATGTATCGAGAGGGGGGCGCCGATGTATAGCTAGCCGCCATGTTAGCCTTCGCGTATCTGAAACGTTTCAGCTTTTGTGCCGTCCTTTTCTCGCGAGGCGACGGTCAAGAGTTCATGACTCTCAGGTTCATGAGTTCATGTTCATCCAAAGTGCAGTGCCAGCAGTGGTCGCACGAGGGATGCAGGGCCCAGGAGGAGAGAAACCTGGGGTCGATCGAAAGGGGGCGGTCCTGGCCCTTTGGGATTTCCGCCATGGAACAGCGCTGGTCAACTACCGTGGTTTCAGGGTTGTATTTCATATGGGGACGGACGACTCGTGGGCGTGCAACTCAGGTAAAGCTTATCGTGTCGGGGACTCTGTAGTGGGCGCCGAGTAGGGGATCCGAGACGGCAGGATTCATCCAGTCTCAAAAGGCGCGGGCAAACACATTGCGTCCAGAGGTGGAAGCATGGAGAGGCATTTTATATGTCCCTCTCTCTCCATTCCCAGGCACGGGGTCAGCTGCCTTTAAGCAGCTCAAAGATGACAAAAGCATGCCGTACTCCGTCCCCAGCAGTCGCAGACGTTTACTCCGTATGTACAGTACCTACGGAGTAAAGTCAGTAAGTAGTTGTGTAGTTGTATGAAATCCACCTCGAGAGAGGGATGTTCTTGGATACCTGTGATTGGGCGGATGGGGCCCCTCTTTCGGACGTTCTTGGGGCTTTGCAGCGGCAGCCAATCACCGCGCGCGGCTGCTGATAGATGGGGGTGTGGCGTGGCCGGCAGAGGGAGTGTTCCAACCCTGGGCCAGAGATCCAGAGAGCCCAAGAGCCCAAGAGCCAAAGAGGGTAAAGAGGTAAACTGGTCAAGAGCCAAAGCAAAGATCCCGAAGAGACGCCAATCCACGCCAATCGATACCGTGCTACGGCGGACCGCAGCCACCCTCCAGTCCGTCCCAGTGGCCCTTTTGCCTTCACTACTGTCCCACTGGCAAGTACCTTAACCTGCCAGCCTCGGTATGTCCGCACGCTTGTGTCTTATGTCCGCAAGGAGGTCTCTTCTGTGTCCAGAGTCCAAGGTACCGTTCGTCGCAAACTCGAGCCTCCCTTCGATCCGTCTTTGATATATCGTTCGGCGCGCGGTGCTGTGTAGCTGTGTACTTAGGTACCTAGGTACGTCCTTCTGCCCTTCTGCCCTTTGCCTTACACGCTTGGCCCCTTCCGTCGTAGCGCCTGAAGGCCCGCACGGCCCCCTCCCGACCAGTCCAGCTCTCTCGCTCGATTGTTCCCCGTACCTCGTATCTATCAACAACTTCACGAAAAGTCGATCCAGGACGGCCATCAGAACGGATACACGCCCCGTCTGTCGGCTTACGCTCCTTTCCCTTGCACCTATACCCCTTGGCGGCTCCTCGACCTCCTTCATACGCGCCTGCTTTGTTTTCCGCCTCGCTCCCTAAGCGGTAGGTCGGCAAATTCGCTTCGGCCTGGGACAGCGCGGTGACGAGGAAGGCAGCCGTCAACTTTCCTCCCACCATTTTCGTCGGGACCGTGTGTGTGTGCGTGTGTGGGATTCAACACCTTGGGGCTTCCGTTGTGGCATTTGTTTCTCGGCAGGATAGTAGTGAGTGATGCCTTCGTTCCGTTCGCTCGTCGATCTACGCCCTTGCTAGGGCCTTGGTGGGTTGTCCTCAATACATCCCTTTCTAACATCGCTTGGATCCTCAGCACAAATACGCTTGCAACCTCCATCATCCCCCATCTACCGTGTCCTGCTTTTGCCCACTACCCGACGAGACGAGACGGAAACTTCATGCCTTCATGGTAGTGTGCGGATCTTAACCTACCATTTCCGCCAACCCTGGCTGTACACCTATCAGCAATGGGCGACGACTCGACCCTCGCGGCCACAACTGCCATCCTACGATGCCTCGCGGTGAGTGGCAGTGTGCCCCAGCCAAATATCCAGAGCAACCAGGGAGTCAAGCTTCCAGGACCCGATACTCCATCCAAGCATGAACTCGAACGCGAGATTGCGGCGCTAGTTGCCCGGGTGCAGAATTTGGAGGCGAAAGCCAACAACCAGGCTCAATCCGACACGCCGAATGAGATAGGCGCTCCTTCTGCTTTTGCCGATGTTCTTACTGGCGGAGGAGGAAATCGGAATGCGCGGAAGGCTGCATCACGGCAACAACTTGTTAATTCGTTACTGGCATCCCGAGATGCTCCTGCTGGAGAACGACCGCAGAAATATACCAAGCTCACCGATGAAGACCTCGAGACGTTACGAGAACATGTGGACGACCAATCGAAGCAGCTTGATAGCCAGAAGTCGGAGTTGGCAATGGTGAATACCCAGCTATTGCACCAGAAGCAGCTACAGGAAAAAGCTCTCAATGTGTTGAAAGTTGAACGCGTCGCAGCACTCGAGAGAGAACTCAAGAAGCATCAGCAAGCCAACGAGGCCTTTCAAAAAGCCTTGCGGGAGATTGGAGAGATTATCACTGCTGTGGCAAGAGGTGACCTGAGCAAGAAGGTTCAGATACACTCGGTGGAGATGGATCCTGAAATTACTACTTTCAAGAGGGTAAGTACTAACCCAAACTAGCATTGTCATTCTAGGCTGACTGCTGTTCCATAGGTCATCAACACCATGATGGACCAACTTCAAATATTCTCCAGTGAAGTCTCTCGAGTGGCTAGAGAAGTCGGTACCGAAGGTATACTTGGTGGGCAAGCGCAGATTGTAGGGGTCGATGGAACATGGAAAGAGTTGACGAATAATGGTAAGTCCGTTTTCGAACCTAGGACCGGAACCCAAGCAGCAGCTATCGTTCCGTTAAGAAGTTGTTCTGGTGTGTTGTGAACCACCCAGGCTGACATGCTATAGTAAACGTCATGGCCCAAAATCTCACAGATCAAGTCCGAGAGATTGCTTCGGTGACGACGGCCGTTGCGCACGGAGATTTGACTCAGAAGATCCAGAGACCGGCGCAGGGCGAAATACTACAGCTACAACAGACGATCAATACCATGGTGGATCAACTGAGGACTTTTGCTGCCGAAGTTACACGCGTAGCCAGAGATGTCGGCACGGAAGGCATTTTAGGCGGCCAGGCAGAGATAGATGGAGTCAAGGGAATGTGGAATACCTTGACTGTGAATGTCAACGCTATGGCTAACAATCTAACGACTCAAGTGAGGGACATAGCTATGGTGACAACTGCTGTAGCGAAAGGAGATCTCACCCAGAAGGTGCGAGCTGAGTGCAAGGGTGAGATCAAGCAGCTCAAGGAAACGATCAACTCCATGGTGGACCAACTCCAACAATTCGCACAAGAGGTTACGAAGATTGCTAGAGAGGTCGGCACGGAAGGCAAACTAGGAGGCCAAGCAACGGTGCATGACGTGGAAGGTACCTGGAGAGATTTGACTGAAAATGTCAATGGAATGGCCATGAATTTGACAACCCAAGTACGAGAGATCGCAAAGGTCACAACTGCCGTGGCTAAGGGAGATCTGACGAAGAAGATCGGGGTCGAAGTACAGGGGGAGATGGCATCTCTGAAGGACACGATAAATACCATGGTGGATAGATTGGGAACGTTTGCCTTCGAGGTGAGCAAAGTCGCTAGGGAGGTCGGAACCGATGGAACACTTGGTGGCCAGGCCCAAGTCGACAACGTTGAAGGAAAATGGAAAGATCTTACAGAGAATGTCAACACCATGGCCGGCAATCTGACGTCTCAAGTTCGAGGGATATCGACCGTCACACAGGCTATTGCCAATGGAGACATGAGCCAAAAGATCGAGGTCGAAGCTGCGGGTGAGATACTCGTATTGAAGGAGACGATTAATAACATGGTGGATCGACTGAGTATCTTCTCGAATGAGGTACAGCGCGTGGCCAAGGATGTGGGTGTTGATGGTAAGATGGGCGGCCAGGCTGACGTTGCTGGCATCGGCGGTCGATGGAAAGAGATTACTACAGGTATGTAGTCGCCGCTCTGGAACACTCATCTACTTCTCAATGTATCTGACACATTACAGATGTCAACACGATGGCAATGAACTTGACTGCCCAAGTCCGAGCGTTTGGCGACATAACTAATGCAGCAACTGACGGCGACTTTACTAAATTAATCACTGTCGAAGCATCTGGGGAGATGGATGAACTGAAGCGGAAGATCAATCAGATGGTATTCAACTTGAGGGATAGTATTCAGCGAAACACAGCTGCCAGGGAGGCTGCCGAATTTGCCAACAGGACGAAATCAGAGTTCCTTGCCAACATGTCGCACGAAATTCGAACACCGGTTAGTCGCCTTTTCCTTTTCTCCCTCTTTGTCTCCTCTCTCCTCCCCACCTCCTGAGCGGCGAAGTTGTCCCTGAGAGAAGCGACGACGTGATGCTCCCCACCTGCAATTCATCGCAGGACTTATCTCCTCTCGTTCCATGGTCTACTGTCCAGGATTACTCGACATTCTCCAAGATCCTCGGAAGTAGACGACCTCTTTTCTGGACCTCATCACTAGCCCTTTTTCTTTACCTCTTTTCTTGACCTTGTCACTGATTACAAAAAATATTAGATGAACGGTATCATCGGCATGACGCAACTGACTCTGGACACGGATCTCACCCAATACCAACGAGAAATGTTGAACATTGTTCATAACCTCGCGAACAGCTTGCTGACCATCATCGATGACATTCTGGATCTCTCGAAGATTGAGGCCAACCGCATGGTCATGGAGGAAATCCCCTACACCCTCCGAGGGACGGTCTTCAATGCTCTCAAGACCCTTGCAGTGAAAGCAAACGAGAAATTCCTGGACTTGACATACCGTGTAGACAGCTCCGTTCCCGACCATGTTGTTGGCGATTCCTTCCGTTTACGCCAAGTCATTCTAAATCTGGTCGGCAACGCCATCAAATTCACCGAACATGGTGAGGTTTCATTGACTATTCGAAAGGCGGCGCAGGATCATTGCGCACCCAACGAATATGCTATAGAATTCTCAGTAACTGATACCGGTATTGGTATTCAAGCAGATAAGCTTGATCTTATCTTCGATACTTTCCAGCAAGCCGACGGATCCATGACGCGGAAATTTGGCGGAACTGGTCTTGGACTGTCCATTTCGAAGAGACTGGTGAACTTGATGAGAGGTGATGTCTGGGTAAAGAGTCAGTACGGCAAAGGAAGTTCATTCTTCTTCACTTGTACAGTCCGACTTGCAACCTCGGACATATCCTTCATCCAAAAGCCACTCAAGCCATATCAAGGGCATAACGTCCTCTTCATTGACAAGGGAACTACGGGGCACGGCAAAGAAATCAGCGCAATGCTTGAGCAGATTGGCCTTGTACCCGTAGTGGTCGATTCTGAGCGCCATCTGAAGCTGGCCCACACGGACGCAACGAAAGCGGCATCAACGTACGATGTCATCATTGTGGATTCGATTGAGATGGCGAGAATGTTGAGGTCGATTGACGAGTTCAAGTATATACCGATTGTTCTCTTGGCTCCCGTAGTCCATGTCAGTCTGAAAGCAGCCTTGGACCTTGGTATCACGTCATATATGACAACCCCCTGCTTGACCATTGATCTAGGCAATGGTATGATCCCAGCGTTAGAGAATAGAGCTGCGCCGTCTCTAGCGGACAACACCAAATCTTTCGATATTCTGTTGGCGGAAGACAATATCGTAAACCAACGTCTGGCAGTCAAGATCTTAGAGAAATATCACCACGTTGTGACGGTTGTCGGTAACGGCCAGGAAGCTCTCGATGCCATCAAGGAAAAGAGATATGATGTTATCCTTATGGATGTTCAGATGCCAATTGTGGTAAGCACCACAGGGCCCTACCCGATTACAGGATATTAACAAATAGTTAGGGAGGATTCGAAGCTACAGCCAAGATCCGTGAATACGAACGAAGCATCGGAGTGCAGAGGACGCCCATCATCGCCCTCACCGCCCATGCTATGCTTGGTGATCGAGAGAAGTGCATCCAAGCACAGATGGATGAGTACCTCTCCAAACCTCTAAAGCAAAACCATCTCATCCAGACAATTTTGAAATGCGCAACTCTTGGCGGCGCTCTCCTAGTAAAGGGTAGAGATGTTCGCCCTTCTACCAAAGACGAAGCGCCTTCGCCAGCGGCTTCAAACGGTCAAGCCGCGCCTTCGCCAAGTCCTTCGCAGCCAAGCCCCTCGCGCTCAGGACGGCCGCCTTTGGAGCCACGGCCGTACACAACGACAGGCCCTATCACTCATGGTAGCTTGGAAAGTCCCGAGCTGGCAGCAGGTGATCAAGAAGATCCTCTAGCGAGGGTGAGTTGACCTTCGGTCGCCAACGCCGCCCATGTGCTAAGCTAGAGACTGTAGCTTCTCGTGCGGGCCCATAGCAGTTAGTTCTAAACCCTGGCTGTCGTACTGTGCACCATGATCTCATTCATCGAAGCCCGTCTGGAGATTCTCCACGTTTTTCCGAAGATACCATCATTGCGAGTTTTTGCACCTACATTTGTTTACCAAGGCGTCCTCTGTAACTTCCCCGGTTATTATTCTATGGCGATGGCGTTCTTGGGTTGGGATTCATTCGAGGGATGACCAATGCATCAAGCAACAGCATTGGGTTTCCATAATGGCGGCATCTGCTTTTGTGCGTTCGTGCTGCTGTATCATGCCGTGCTGTTGCGATCTGGGGTCCTTCCCTCAGTACCATAGTATACGCGAGTCTTTCAGGGAACAGAGCTGGATGGTGATTCTTCTGGCCGATTTTCTCCTACGAGAGCTGATGGAAAGAGATGAGTAAATGAATAGGAAACAACAACATATGGAATCGACGCTCGTCATGATCATCTTCAAATCACTTCTTGAGTCCTGTCTTATCCGAGTCCTACGTGATTTATCTTGCTGTGGAAATCACGAATTGCTCGCGCCCGAGGGTGCATAGGATTGGTCCTGTTTGGCCTTTGGAAAAGGGGGGAGGAACGGAGGCGACCAGTTATCAATTGCCAGAGCAGGTATTCAAGTGCTCTACCTGCCAGCATTTTGATAATCTATTCTCCGTATTGTTACGCCGCTATCTCTGTCTACGAAAGCCGTAGGAATATCCGAACATTCCTTCAAACCAAAGACCATTGGGCTCAGGAACGACATCAGGCCCGATTTTCCGTCCCCTTCAGCAGCCAGATAAGCCTAAGCACGACCGCATTAGTCCTCGTTATCGAGCCTCACAGTTCTTCGGCTGAAATTGAAGGAGCGGAAATTAATTATTCGCGGATTCTGGGGCGGATTCGAGCAGATAGGATGCTGGTGGATGTATTTGTAAGATTCTGCGTGGCTGGGTGGAGAGCCTTGGGACGACTTGTATAAGAGTAGCTGAGATAGTTGGATTCATAATGATTTTGCTTTTTGTCGTTGAGTTCTGGACTCTCTCGCTAGCATTGGTTTTGGTCGTGATATCCACCCCGGGGGCGGCCCAAAACTCCTAAATACAGAAGAATACAGAAGTTTCCAGATCATTGATTGAGCTATTGTTGATTCGGGCACAGGTATATCTACCGGACGAGGTAGGTTTAGATAGTGATTTCAGTTTACCCAGATAGTTATGAAAATAGGTATCTGGAATCCTTGTGCAACCATCTCTGGGACATCACATCCTTATTCCTGGATAATCTTTGGTTGTTTTTAGCTGCAAAATCAGGCCTTGGCATATCGTCAGACTCATTACCAATATCTGACGTTTTGACGTAACTCCGTCACTGTTACATAGAGGAAGGACCTACCTTTGGTCATAAATGTATGCACGAGACCCTCATTTTGTGCTATTTGGAGTAATCTTGTATTATTCAAGGGTTGGCCTAAGGATAACAGTAGGTGGATGAAGAAGGATGAAACGTATTCCGGAAAGAATTGAAGAGCATTGAAGAGACTTGAGGGTTTACAAAAGTGCCATGGCGCTTTATTCAACGATCTATTCTACCTACCTTAACTACCTCACTCCTTAGTACCTTAATTCGATGTGTACCTCAAGGACGGATTAAAAAGGGGTGAGCACGTGATACGATTTCAGGGGGTCTTGATCGGAACGTCGGGCGTGCTCATGCACTCAAAGTGACAATGCAACAACGTCCCTTTTCTCCAAGATGCAGCACAGCCAGCCCCTATCACATGCCTTAGACAACTGGTTGTGAAAGGTACTTAATATCCTCCTCCAGAGCCCCAAGCAGTTGTCCAGCGCCGAGAAGTGTCCTTGCTGACTAAGTAAACAAAAGCGACCCGATAATCGATCCCGCCAGTGCCATCTCAACCCGTACCTCGTACCAGGAACGTTTTCCCCGTCTCACGATTCGAACTCCTTGCGCAATAGACTTACCCCAGCTAGATCGCCAATCCCATGGTACCCTGATGTTTCAACGCGTTCCCACGATTCCTCTCATCGCATTTGCATCCCATCCACGAGCTCTATCTCTCGGCACCCTCGCACTACTTACGCGACGCGCCCATCTTGAATGTCCGGCCCCGAGGCCCCTTGGAACCATAGCAGCAGGAGGTGTGAACGGTGACTGGTATGCAGACGGCAAGGCTCAAGGCTGAATCGCAGGGTCGAAAAGCAAAGGTACTTCCCTCTCCGACAATGGGTTCGGTCTCGCACAGCAGCACGGGACTGGCCCTGCTTGGGAGGACCTGAGACTTACTTTGTGACAGCTTGCCAACTCGTACCATGAGTTATTGGAGTATGTTTTCCTGCGCTTGGAATCTGTCAGAAGACTGCCTGCTAACTTGCCCTGCTCTGCAGAGAGTTCTCGTCGAAAGAGCTGCGATCAGTTGGGAACTACACAGTAGGACGCTTGATCGGGAAGGGGTCCTTTGGGAAGGTTTATCTTGCGACACATAAGTTGACAAATGGCTCAAAAGTCTGTCTGAAGAGAGCGGAAACGCCGGCTGTAGTTCTGGGCTAACCCGGCTTGCAGGTTGTCCTTAAATCCGCGAACAAAGGAGATTCGAACCTGGCACGAGAAATCCATCATCATCGACAATTCATACATCCCCATATTGCGCGCCTCTACGAGGTCATTGTTACCGAGACTTTAGTGTGGCTTGTGCTTGAGTATTGTCCTGGTATGTTGCGCTGGATGTGAGATCGTGCCATTGCTAATAGCAGTCTGGCAGGCGACGAATTATATAATTATCTCGTCAAGAATGGCGCTTTACCGGTGGAGAAGGTTCAGAAAGTGTTCACACAACTAGTTGGGGCGGTGGCCTATGTTCACAATGCATCGTGTGTGCATCGAGATCTAAAGCTTGAGAACATCCTCCTGGACAAGCACGAGAATGTTAAGCTTTGCGACTTCGGGTTTACAAGAGAGTATGAAGGGAAGGCCAGCTATCTACAGACCTTTTGTGGTACGGTCTGCTACAGTGCCCCTGAAATGCTGAAAGGGGAAAAGTACGCCGGAGAGAAAGTCGACGTCTGGAGTTTAGGGGTTATTCTATATGCCCTGCTATGCGGCGAGTTACCTTTCGATGACGACGATGACAATGTTACGAGGACCAAGATCCTTACCACCGAACCCAAATGGCCAGATCATCTCACCCCCGACGCTAGATCTCTGCTGAATGTTCTACTTTCGAAGCGACCACTTATTCGCCCATCATTATCAGAGATATTGACTCATCCTTTCCTAGCAGAGCATGCGCCGCAACAGCAAGCTATCCTGAAACTTCAACGACCTGCACCGTTCACAACGCAATTGGAGAAGGAAACACTGGAACGGATGCGCAGCGGCGGCGTGGATATTGATCAAGTGATTGAAAATGTCTTGGCTCAACGTTGTGACGCACTGGCGGGGTGGTGGGCCCTTCTTATAGAGAAGGAGGAGCGCAAGCAGAGACGACGAGAGCGTAAGCGCAAAGAGAAGGAGGCCGAGAATCGAGCGACATGGAGGTTGAGTGCATCAAGTAGTCGCCTCGAACGTATGGCCTCTACACTACAAGGGGTTGACGAAGAGGGCCAAAAAAGCGTTAGAGGTAGCGAAACTCCTAGGAGTAGGGGAAGAAAAGAGAGGCGGAGTGCACACTATCCAGAGCTGGTCCTTACAGATCTTCCAGGTCTACCAGAACATTCGCAACTACACTCACCGGTATTAGCTTCACCTCCGTTACCAATAGAGAAAGATTCAGTACGGTCAGCAAGTTCGTCGCGGCATCGTCGACCCATTCCGCCTCCAAAAGAGGGGACCATACGAAGCGCTCGATCTCGCGGGAGCACATTACAGCTCGTCACTACTAATCCGGACCTTCTTTCAGCACATGCAAACGGCGTAGTGCAAAGTACTCCGAGGCGCAAGCATCAACATGCGTTCATCAACCATTTGGCTCACTGGAAACAATGGCTTCTAGATTCTGCTAAGCGGGCCAAATCACCAGGCAAAAGGGTAAGCAAATCTACACCAGATCTTCTCCACAAGCCATTGGGCATCTCACGAATCAATGCCACGGAGCCCGGCCCACGACCGGCAACTTCTAAAACACCGACACAAACAAGACCATCATTGAACACGGGACCGCATAGCCACCCACCGGCGGGCCTCATATATAATACACCCAACAAACGACACTCATTATCGCCATCTCCCCTAACACCACGGTCTGGCTTTCGACGGTCAAGCGCTGGCCTGGGGGGGCGCAAGTCCACTTCATCTTCAGTCTCGTCAATACGTAGTATCCATCATCACCATACACACTCCAAAGCCTCCTCCACCTCCTCCAATGGTTCAGAATCCTTGAGTAGGGTTTCAATCCCCCGTAGCCCTCACCCTTCAGTCAAAGTCCTTCCAGCAACACCCACCACAAGCGCGTTTCCTTCGAATATCCGCGTTGTCCGTCAAACGCCTGTTTCTTCCTTCAACGAAGGCGTCTGGGGCAGTTCTAACCTCGGATTTGGATCCAGCGCTGCCGGAGGCTTAGTCTTCGCCAAGCGGAAGAGAAACATATTCAAAGGACCCATGCTCAACACGTCCTCCCCTACCTCAACAGGAAATGTACCCTTCAGCCGGGCAGCCAGCCACAGCCGGAGCACGAGTCTGACAGGGAAACGGAGTGGCGAGATCATCGAGGAAGAAGACGAGAATGAGATAGAGGAGGTTGAAGCGTTTAGCCCCGTGACGGGGGGAGAGGAAGTCGAAGAAACAATATACCCACCAGCAGAGACGGACGCCAAGGTAGTAGAGGCGCCCCGAGAGCTTGATTAACGAACTGTACATATTGCCATGAATGCCTGATGAGTGGGAAAACGGGGCCCGCCGGCCTCCCGGTGTTAACTGTATGTAGTGGCTCATTTTCTCAACTGTATATCCCATTCAGCGTTGTAGCATTTCCTGCACGGGGAACGCATCTTTTTTTTTTGTTCTTTCTTCTTGGTATGGAGTGCTTCCTGTGAGGCCTTCAATACATAAATAGGGCTATTATCATCTTGCATGCAGAGATTTCGACGGAACTGTATATGGTACATGTACATGCCCACCTGCATGCGGGGATCGTTTTTGGTGTCTGTTATTTATAGTAACGAAAATCCGGTGTTGGAAGAGGAGGCGTCTTTTCTACCGAGATGGGGCAGATCTCAAAATCACAAATGGGTCTTTAGAATGGGTAACTAATTTTACAATTGTCCTCCCGCCCTCTGGGCAGATGGTGGATATCTTTTACTGCAATATGTTTCCGTGCCCCTTGCTATCTCACAATTTTTAATGCATCTACTATGAATCTAGGCGGCTCCTCACTGGCCGCCATGGTCTTCTCGTACGCGGGGTCATCTTCTCTTATGGAAAAACTGTAGCCATGTTTCCAGTATGTCCTCGTAGGTACTAGTGCGTCTCTCCTCATCTTATCGAGTTTCTCTTTTTGCTGTATACTGATGCACAAAGCAGGGTCGAAGCTTTTTAGCCCCGGCTCCTTCATTGTTGCGAGAGCGGCAAGACCGAGGTAGGAATGATATATATCTGCTAGTGATTAGAAAGCGCTATGAAGTGCCCTGCATGAAGTGACGTACCTGGTGGGCTCCCAGGGCTCTTTCCAAAACCCCCAATTCGGTGCTGGGTTTGCTCAAATAAAAATCGGCGTATTGGGCCGGGTTCTATGAGATTTCCACTACCGATCATCTGTACACAATCAGCAGAAGCCTAACCCGCCATGAATGATGCACATACATCAAGACAAGCCGTAACCCAGAATGAGTAGCATGTATCAGCCTTCTTATTACAACGGCCGTTGAAACCGACAAACTCACTCTCATTGAGTGATAGTTCGGCTAATGAGAGGGGTTCTGCTGATGAGGTCTCATCCTCCTCTTCATCTTCTTCCATTGTGTATTTTATCTGTCTCGAGACTAGCCACCGAACCATGCCAGATAAATCTGCGAGACCCGGTAATTTGGCAGTCGATGCTGTGCCAGGCGTCGATGAGGAGATAGTCGAAGGATCTGGGAGTCGATTAAGGAGTGATAGGGCTGCAATGGCACAATATGTATATCCAGCTGCAGTGGCCGTGAGTCAATATCCTGCAATCTCTGGAAGGGGAAACTGACCATGCGCCTCATGCTCTGAAGATTCTGAGATTCCACCGTCGTATGTCTAGCAACGTTAGCTAGCCAGGACTTCTCCATGATAGATGGCTACTACCTGCCCGCGCCGCAAATGATCCACCATCTTTTCCACATCAATATCATCTTTCTCTTCTTCCTCACTCACTTGATCTCCTGTCAACGCCCACCGAACTGCTGCAGCAAGATAGCAATACCGCGTATCATTACCGCCCTCAATAATTCCTTCTTCAGTGATGAACTCCCCGAAGCTGCCATCATCTCTCTGCAATGTCTTTAACCACCTCAAGCAATCGCGCCGTCTAATCTGGTCCAGCCTGCCAACAAAACCCAAACTAAGTATAGCAAAGAAGGTCGCGGGCAGATTCGCCGGGTCCATGAGCTGCTTGCCATGCCCCACGTCAACATAATACCCATCTGGATACCGGTGATTCGGAGACCCGCAAAACCCACCATTTGGATGCTGGCATTTTAGGATCCAGTCCCGTATGTTCGCACGTTCCTTATCGGGCAGTGTTTCAACGCCCGCGCCTAGGAGATCCAGAGCAGAGAGGATGAAGAAGCCTAGGGTCATGCGCGATGAGTCGGTGGAGGTGTAATCTGTAGGTAGCAGAGACTTTAGACATCTACGCCAGTATTTGATATGGCGCTCTGTATCGAGCTGTGACTCCCCCATCTCATATCGGTGATTGGGGTTGGTATGGTAATCTGTTGTCGTCGTCGTGGGGTTCTCGTTGTCGGCTTTGCCCTGCTTTGTTTGGGGTATGAGGAAAGTAAGGCGATTTACCTAGGTATCTTTTAAACGGACTAGCGGCCGCGTCTATACCCCTGAAAGTCTCGGAATCCGGGGAAACAATACGCCTAATAAATAGCAGCTAGCAATGGCGCATGGTCCGTGCGTTTGATCTCGCGACTCAAACGCCTCTTCTCTCTTTGCCGGAAACAGTGGAGGAAGATCAAGCTCACAACACCCAAAAGACAACAGACCAGCCTATCTCTCCATTCATCTGAACTTCATCAACCGCGAAGATGGGTCTTATTTCAGGAGCAACTATCATCCGATCCATATCTCTCTTCCACATCACTCTGGGCTACTTCTTCCTCACTTCCCCCGCGACAGTCGCGGACCAGTCCCTAGTTTTCATAATTGGAGAGGCCATGGGCATGGCAAGTCCTTCCTACGATCTCTGCAAGCCAGCTCCTAACATTTCCACAGCCATATTCGCGCGCCTTCGATACTAAATCGCAGCCCCTCGCCTTCCTCGCAGTTGTCCTTTTCTTCGTAGGCGTCACCGATCTGGTCTCCGTCTCGCACCCGGAGGAAGTCTCCCTGTACCACTGGGGTGCTCAAGGTTACTCTCTCGCGCTTCTGGCTTTAGGCACCGTGGCTAATGTGTGTGGATGACAGCTCCGGTCCGGCTCGCGCTCTTCGGCGCCCTCGCGATCTACTCCTACGCGTTCTCGTCCTCGTCGCCTCTTTACGCGTCGCAAAACTACCAGAAGAGCTCCTGGGGCGAGGGACTTAAGAATAGGGTAGTGTTTACGTGGGCCTTCTTGGAGATGATGACTTGGTTCTGGGTCTTTGTCACATTGAGGGAGGAGAGGAGGGAATGGGCCATTCGCATTCAGCAGAAGCGAGCTGCTGAGGAGGAGGAGAGGATGTAAACTATGATGTCCTTACGCCTCTAATTTTATGGATCTATGGTTTAGACGACCTATTCTTTTTGGATTGAAATGCATTGCTGGTCTACCTGCTGGAAAGTGCATATGCTCGAACCCCCTCGCTATGCAGCCGAATCCAATGGCACTGCGTACCACCATGACGTTTGCTATCTATTCCTCTAGTCGAGAACCTCAAGCCAATCCGTCAATCTAGGCCTTGGTGGGAGCTTTGAAGTACGAGAAGCCCACAACCGAGTCTCGCCAGCTTTCAAGAACATGGCCGGCCCATTCCTCCAAGAAGTTTTCATCAATGATTTCCTTCAGCGAACTAGCGATAGACTTTGGCTCGTCGGTGCTATCACCTTCTTCTCCTTGAGAGACCATTTCCAGAACCTTATCAATCCAGCCGCCCTCATCGAGCCCCTTTTTAATCGCTGTGGATTTTTCTATCACGGTCTGTACCAAGCGCTCCGCGACGTCACGTGTCTTAAGGTTCGCGTCCTCTTGGGTTTTATAGACATCCGTCTTCGTCTGCGACAGGTATGAAATGAATTTTATGACCGTGGTACCAAGGTCGTAGGCCATGTAAAGCGAATGAAGAGTACCTAGAACGGCCAGCGCCTCGTTCTGGATCTTGGCGACGTATGCTACTTGCGTTTCGAGGGCATCATATAAGCTCTTATTGAGAACCTCTAAATTGTTCTCAAAGCCTGGTTCGGACCACTGTTCACGATCGCAGACACCAAGAATGATATTGGCCATGGCATCGTTCGCTCTCATGGCTAAAGCCTCACTATTTGTCAGTCCCGATTGCTTCGTGCTTGACTCGTTGAGCTTGGTTTCCTTTTCGGGGCTGTCGTTGAGGTGCTGTTTGAGCCACAATCGAGCTGTGGTGTTTGGCACATCAGAATTTACATCTATGGCCATCCTCACATTCTCTGCCACGAGATTTGCGTGAGTCCGGAGAGCCTACGTCACGTTAATTACTGAAACTTGCCATGCGGGATTGTCTTACAGAAGGGCCCAATCCATATTGGCATAATTCCCCAAACCGCACGTGTCCACTGGCTTCGAAGTTTGGAAATGACTCGTAGTCATTTGTGTCAGCAAAAGTTGCCTGGGAGTCTTCCGAATGTGATACTATCCAATGTAAGTTCTATGTTGCATAAAACCGAATGGCTTGACTTACTAAAGTCATCGTATCCATGTGAAGAGGTAGTCAATGCAACACTTGGCTGGGTCAGACGAGAGATCTTCCTGCTCTCGACGACGGACATGGCCGCGGACATGCTGTGGGATATACTCTCATCGAATTCCTTGATTTGAAAGATTGAATTGTAGCTGCCGTTTTCCAAAGATAGCCAACAATTCTTGCTCACATGATCGCGGGTCTTTCTGTAAAGATTTTGCTGCTTTTCGAAATGTTCGATAGGACTGAGAAATTGTGAGGATCCATGGATGTTACGGCTGAAGGGATGCGGATGAAAACTAGAAACTCTGTCAAAGAGAATATATGACAGTGTATCAAGCTGTATTTGCTTGACTCCTAGGCGTTGATATGCTCTCATAGCCAGTGATCCGCAACCAAGGTGCGTGTACAATCTGACTAACATCAGCGATATCTGAAAGTTTGACTTTGAGTGCGACCAGGCATATTCCAGAAGTGCGGTAGCCTGTAAGATATAGGATATGCTGAGGTCGTTGAGAGATTCGATCGAACTGCTACCGTTTATAAACGAAAGCTTAATTAAGCACATGGCTGCCAAGATACATAGATCATCAGCGGGGTGGCGGTCTGTTGGGAGTAAGGTTTTCGTGATATGACTATCATCCTTAGTTACCTCCCGGTATGATTGCATGAGACTTTGTGCAAGTATCTCTACACAGGTGCTGCAGTATGCACCGCATTGTTGGTAACAACCCTTGCATTGGAAATTAGTCGAGCCGGGCTGATATTGTGGGCTGCGTGTACGTTCGTATTCCGGAACGCTGCTCGTCACAAGATATATCAGTTTATATCTGTTGATCAGTCTAGTAATTTTGTTGGCGGTGGTAAACTAAACTTGTCAGTAGAGCTTGGACAAGATGTGATTTCTGGACGCATCAGAGAACTTACGTCTTCGTCTGAAGGGCGTAGCATTCCTCGAGATTGAGCTTTCTCATCTCTGAGCCTGTCTGAATCTCCAAACAGGGTATTGCCCGTCAGGACCCTAACCAGTTGCACGCGTTCCTCAAGTCCCAAACGCTCTGCGAAGCGTCGGAGATCATTGTAAGCGGTGGTAGCCTCGCCATACTTTTCTAAGTATGTCAAAAGGAAGGGTATTCTTCCAGAGGCTTCACCTTCCACAAAAGAAGAGCCGTTTTCGAAAGAAAGCGTGAGCCATGCCAGAGAAGCATTTCTCTTCCAGCTTTTGTCGACCCCGGAATTCGGGTCTAGGTGAGCTTGTATTTCGGCTTGTACTTCAGCTATTATCTCTGCCCCGTTGCTATGTTTATCTTTTAGTCGGCTACAGATAGAAATGGGTGGTATATAACTGACTCTTTTTGGAACAGCTCGAGAGCTGATTTGATGTATGCTTCCCATACCACCCAGTCGCTATATCGTGACTCGGTAATTTGGCCAGATGCATTCTTTGTACGTGCCCGTTTGAGCAAACTGCCAGTCAGTTGAAATAACTCCTGCCATTGCTCGGCTTGCGTCATGAGTTGCAATTTACTTCTCCAGAGAGACCATTCGCCTTTGGCGATAATCGACTCAGGTCCAAGATAGGGGTCCTGCAGATACTCCAGTTGTGTCTCTTGCTTGCCATATTTTGCAGTAACTAAATGCAGAAGAAGCAATTCTTGTGGCGTATGGACTGAGCGAATTGGGAGTTTGTCCGAACTCTGGAATAATCAGTATGTTGGTACAGTCGATATGCCTTCCTTGATACTCAACCTACCCCGGCTTGTGTAGTAGCAGCAGCAAGCTTGCCAATCTGAGCTAGAGCCAACTTTCCAAAAATGCCGCGCTGCTCTTTTGGACAGTTTGGAGATTTCTACAGATTAGATTAATACTATGGGTATGTGTAGTACCAAAACTCACCGAGTACAAGACTGTCATGGTAATGTTCCAAAAGACAAATTCATGTTTATTAGGGAAGTTCTTCTCAAGACTGATGGCAATCTAAGAATGATGAATTAGGATTCTTTGCATTTATGGAGCCGAATGGGGTTTGGCTATTGATGCCAATGAAAAAGAGCAGAAGGCTAATAACATACTTGTCTGGCATGATCTAAATCCCCTTCTGAGAAGCAAGCTTGCAAGCATTTCCGGCTGAGAGATTCATCCTTGGGCGATGACTTAACACTCTGTAACCGTAATTCGCCGATGATTTTTCCCCAGCTCTCTTGCGGGTCTGGCACAACGCTTTTCAAGGCTTCGTCGTACAGGTCTATGGCCTCTAAATCCGTAAGTGGCGGTTTTCGCGTCGGCAATTCCTCCAGCTTTAGAAGAACATTGGATTTTTCGGCAAGGGATGGTGATAGAGACCTGATATAAATCTTGAGGGCCTGTGATCTGGTCAGCCAGGACCTTGTGTATATCGTTGTCACGTGAGCCATGCCCACAGATCGGTCTGGGGTTGCAAATGAGGCTCAATCACCTAGCGCCACCACGTACCTCAAGGTAGTCAGTTGGCCTCTTTGCCAGCCTCTTGTCGACGAGTTTTAAGGCTTGTTTCAAGTTATTGGCTTCGATAGCATTCCAAATTGGGACGTCTTGACGGTCTTTCACAAAGTTGTGCTCCGCCATCTTGGTGGTCCCTCAAGTGCTGTAAATGATCAAAACTTTGATATATGCTCAGACAACAAGAGTCTGAGCCTTCTTATAATGTAAATAAGGTTGAGGCCTCAAATTTATTGGTCTCTGGGTCAGATCTATTGATCTCTGAGGGGTGCAAAAATGTGAAAAACAACACTCGCGGCTTCATGCGCCGAAGCGAGGGACCGCGTAAAAAGGGAGCTCGCGAGCTCTCCAAGGACCAAGGAAATCAGAATAGATCGATTCACATCACGAGCGTACTTTTCGTTCATGAATAATAGATTGAGTTTATTTCATTTGATGGTTCGAATCGGATAATAGACTAGGTACATACGGTTCTTCAAAGGCTGTGGTCCTTTGGAAGATGGAATGACCTCTATTAGTAAAGGCTAGGTCGGGATGAAGTGGTGAGCATCCGTAACAACCTCTGACACTTCTTCTAGCTATCGTACAACCACAGACATATTATACAAGTCTGACAACACCCAGAAACAAGGCTACCGCTCACGAGAACCATGATTTCCCCTCCTTCCTTTTCGCTTCCCTCCGTGCCGTGACCTTTCTAGTCAGTGATCTCCATCGATCAAGAGAAGAGAGGTCTCAATACTTACCCACTGCTGTTTGCAGTCCCTATATGCTCTAGCAATCAACAGTCAGCAACCTTTCTTCTTGCAGATGACTTAAACCCTCTGCAAGGGGCGTCTGAAATGGGGAAAGTTGAGGGCCCGAGGGAGGACCATGATGCGCAGCATTGGAAGCGAGGAACAAGCAGGACTACTCACTGGAAGTAGTCGGTGCACAACTCTCTATCACCACCATTTCGATGTAGACATCTCAAACTCCTTGACGCAGCCTCTTGGCACGGGTCAAAGTACTCCCCTGGTCGTTTGCTAGAAAGGCGGGTCAGCGGCAGGCCCTCGGGCAAGGGGGATTCTCGTGGGAGGGGAAGACCTTTCAAATTTCTTGCTGGTCTCAGGATCCCAAGGGGTCTCCCCGGGGGCATCGGTTGAGGCCATGGGGCAGTGTTATCACAGTCCAATATCAGATATGGCGATTACGGAGTGCAGGAGGGGATATCTCGATGGATGCTCGGATTATTGGACGACTGTCCAAGTGCAAGGCTCCCAGGCCATGACATCTGTCGGAAGCTCGCCTAGAGTACCTCGTCAGGCTAGCGTGGCTTGCCGTGCGTATCGTTTCAATCTAGATACACGCAGTGCGTTACCATATTGTAAGGTGTCTATGTACTTTGTACCTAGCACATGTGAAGTACGTTATGAGTATCACGGGCAATGTTGGTCGTCGAAACCCTCGGGTTCTCTATCGCGCTATATGGAGCTCTGAACATTACAAGCGGATACCTCTTCCTAACACCTTCCTGCTTCATCCGGAGACCGGGGTGACCCAAGAGTCCAAGAATCCAAGCTACCTTCGTCGCCCGTGAGACCACTGCGCTCTACGAAGTACTCCTGTCAGGCATTGGCATTCCTAATGGCCCTGCAATCGCGATGCCCTGTCCTAGACGCGGCTTGCGGTACCTATGCGATGCACAAGAGATGGTGTTCTGGACGTCTTGAACATGTGATCCCACTTGTGGAGACACGTATGTACAGTAGTAGGATCCAAAGTGGAGGGATCCGAGAAGGGTGTGGAGGGCTAGCCTGGCCAGTGGCCACCGACTCAGTCACCAAGACTGGATTCGATGACCTGATAAGGGAACCATTCACGGATGCGCGAAAGAGGCGTGGCGTAATAATGAATCAGTCATGGCAGTAATGGCCGATAACGCTGTCTGTCGTAGAGTCGTCACAAAATGCCGTCCCATTCTCTTTGTTGTCAAATATAGTGATTTTATTCTTACGAAGCAAGTAACAGCAGAAGCAATAGAAGGATTCCATAGCAGCAACAACAACCATGAGCACCACTATACCTACCTATCTCGAAGCCGGGGGCGCTCTTTTTGGCGAAACCTGATATCATTCAAAAAGTGAAGGCATTTCGATTTCGGAGCCAGTAGTTAAGGCACTTCGTATAGATCGATGGTATCATCAATGCAGCCAATCGCCATTGTCGTCCCCGGAATCTTTCAGAAAGATACCCTCTATCAAACGCCGGGGATCTTCAATTGTCGAAAGCATCGAGGAATGAGGAGGCTAGTTCTCCGTAAGAGGCCTCCATGCTGAGGCGCGACCTTTGTTGAAGCTATACTTAGATGGCGCGGGAGGGGTCTCATTCGTTGGCAAAACGCTCCATTTGCAGGAACAGTTTCCATGCAGTGCCTCGGGCTGTCGCATCACTCTGCATAGCAACCGACCACTACTGGTGTACTGCTGCATGCCTCTGTGTTGTGCTGGTCCGTGATCCTGGTCCAGCCGTCCAGTAGTATCGTACTAAGTACCAGATCTAGACACACCGATCGGCCAGTGCAAGATACAGTGACGCTTCGACGATAAGGCAGTTGCTTGAGGAATGACTGTGTGCAAGAGATCGTGGAACCCTCTCCACATCTTTTGCCCCAGGAGGCTTCAGAAGAATTGAAATTGCTGCAAGAAAGGTGTGGAGGAAGCCAACAAGGGGCGCATAGGATCCGGATATCAAGGACGTATGGGAATAACGGTTCATCGCTCCGTAGCGCATTGCCCAGGTTGGTTTGAGTTGCCTATGTTGAGAAATCGAGAGTGACAGAGTCTGATGGGCTGTGTGTGGAGATAGGGCGTCAAGGAAAGTGGTTCAGTCAGAGATATACAGTGTAAGGAACCCTTGACACCGGACACCAACGGACCATATTATATCTGTCGTTCGCAACTCCATCGCAAGAATATCTGAAAAGAATATCAAGGAGCAGCTCCCACACTACTTCGAACACCCAACCTCTGCTTTCAACTTTCATAAAGAACATCAATCAACGAACTGTAAGTCAAACGCATTGCTTGTACCGCTATCTCGACAGAATGGAAAAACATAATGAATATTTCACCTACAACCCTAGAGCCCCTTTCATCATCTTTAATGGCTAGCTATATCTCCTTGAGATGTTCGCTACCTTGGTCGCTTCAGACCTCACTTCCTCATCCCCCATTCCGTCGCTTGACGACCCAGGCTCAACTCCCCTTTCAACACAGCCACAGTTTCTGTAACTGTGATCTTAACTTTGCTTCAGCAAGTCCAATTCGTTCGTGAAATGCCCTGACACATTTCAGTATTACTCGAACAAGATGGCGACAACGGATGTATACCCCCATGGGGCTTCAGACTCTCACTTTTCCAAGGTGATTAGCTCTCCCATGCTGAATCCATCCCCAAAGGAAACCCAGGAGAGTCTCAAGCGTTCTTTCGCCAAATATCTCGCCGCGGATAACAGCTCCCCAGCCGTCGGCAAGTTGTTTGATCCAAGCAAACATCTCTCGTACGAGGAACCCGAGTATATTCATACCATGGAGGACATCGGTTTCCCTGCCAGCAGCGGGGTCTCGCCAGTTGCCGTGTCCGAACCTTTCCGCCTTTTCAGTGAAGAGGCTATCAGTATTATGAGGGAGGAGATCTTTGCCAAGGAGGTCCTAGAGAAACACAGCTATAGCTCCGATATTGCTCAAAAACAGCTTCGTGGTTACGCTCCGAAGTGAGTTCTCCCTTCACGTGGTTTTCATATAGAATGATGCTTATCCAACAAAATTTCAGGCATGCCAAGTTCATCTTCGAGGCCTGGAAACATCCCGAAACACTTGCTATCATATCCAAGATCGCTGGAGTCGAGCTTGTTCCAGTTATGGATTATGACATCGGTCACATCAACTTGTCCGTCCCCGGGAAAAAGACCGAATACAACAGCGATGCTTTGATCGCTGAAGATGACGACACGGCTATTGTGGATTGGCACAGAGACAGCTATCCTTTTGTTTGTGTTCTCATGATGAGTGATACCACAGGCATGGTCGGAGGAGAGACAGCCTTGAGGACAGGTACCGGGGAGATCAAAAAGGTCCGAGGTCCACAGAAGGTAAGGACAGGCTTCTAACATAGGGGTAACAGGAGGCTGATGTCGCTTTAGGGATCCGCCGTCGTCTTGCAAGGTCGTTATATCGATCACCAGGCCTTACGAGCATTTGGTGGGCAAGAGCGCATTACTATGGTCACATCTTTCCGACCACGCTCTCCATGGATTCGCGATGACACCGTTCTAACAACCGTCCGGCCCGTCTCCAATTTGTCTGATCTCTATGGCCAAACCGTTGAGTACCAGCTAGAGAATGCGGAGACGCGCATCCGACACATGCTCAAGAACATTCGCGATTCAATGAAAGCCGGTGCCACGGATGTCAAGGCAATCAAATTCTTCCTCGAGTTCGAGATCAACGCATTGACACACCTTAATAAGGAGATTGTCGAGGAGCATCTTGTCGCGAAGGGGCATCTGAAGGAAGTATGCGAGGACGCAGCCAAACGCAAAAAGGTCGAATAAACTTGAGATAGTTGGTTGAAGGTGGAATCTACTATGCAGCTAGCACCAAGGGCGAGAGGTGTTATATTCGAAACGAATTTCTTTGAGCGTGCCCATTGCTTTTTACTGCGTAGACGCTTTCCTTGACAGCGAGTTTCTGCACACCTGCATTCTTCTTTTGACAACGATGTTGCATTCAGTTTCTGGATACACTCTTTAGTTAGCTTTGCCGAGCAGTTTGACATTCAAAGACGATTTTACTCGGCTCATATTTGCTCCCCACGCCGTGACTGACGATCATGATGATCTAAGAAGGCCGAAGCGGGGAAGCGAGGCTGCAGAGGCTTGCCACGTATCACACACAGTGCTGAGCTCTGGATATCACGGCGCATGTGGGAAAGAGAGAAATTAAGTGTCCATTGTTGAAGCATTCTGCGTTGAGACGGTGCCCAATCCCCCTGACAAGAGCCTGAATTGCCTCAGGAGTGGCGCGAATGGGAAGGTCAACAGGAGGGGACGGGTAGGGTAGTAAGTTCCTTGACCACACTGGTGTGAGCGAGTGAGTAGCAATTACCACAACCGCTTTATGCAGAAGTTGAATGTTTTTTTCGAAAGAGAAGAATCAATCGATGGGCGACCGACTTTAATAATAAATAAGAAAAAACTTCCCAGGCCCAAAGACCCCCACGCCAGATCTCGCAATTCACTCTCACGCTTGCCGAGTGGTTGTCGGACTACGGTGGCCGGTAAGGCCGTGGCAGCGACTCAACGCGGCTCGCGAGAAGATAGCAGGGCTGGCTACCTTCATGAGCAACACACTTCATTAGCAGGGCCGCGCTCAGACTGGCACGCTTCCACGGAACACAGCACTCGATCCGTGGGCCCGCCATCCCTTGATCTTGTCTGCAATTTATCCCTGTCTGTAGATGGTCTGCGCATTCATCAACATCCCTCACTGTCAACGCACTCGCCGTTCCCGAGACTCGCCCGTTTGACACTGGACCCCGTCATACCACGTCTGACCCAACCCAACTGAACCTCACTATATCGAGAAGTCATCATGGCTCCTTCGATTACGTCTCCGAAGCCCGCAACATCCGCAAGGACTGGACTGCGCCTTGGCAGTGTATCGAACAGCCGTGAGGCGACCCCGACGGCGGCGAAGCCAGGGCCAGGAACAGTAGCCAAGGCTGACGCCGATGTGAGTTTGAAGATATATATGCTTTCTACCACCATCATGCTGACCATTTTGTTTAGCTTACTTCTATCTTCAAAGCCGATCTCACGAGTATCCGAAGTTTAGTAACGTGCTCCATCTGCGACCAGTTGCTCTACGAACCGTGGACGTTGGGCTGTGGACATACATATTGCTACTCTGTTAGTAAACCGTCACCTTGGGCTTCCAGATGGACTGGGCTGACCCGCTACAGTGTCTGTGCAACTGGTTCCTTCCCAATAGAAGGAAGAAGACTTGCCCAGAATGTCGTAATTTGGTCAAGCAAATTCCGTCTCCATCCTTTCTCGTAAGTCAACGAAACTAAAGTGAGAGCATTTTATGAACTATTACTGATGTACTTTACGTTAGGTGAAGCAACTGGTCGAGATCTTCATCAAGCGGAGCGAACTGATGCCATCCGATGAATCTGTTGAACAACATCAAAAGAGGAGAGCTGAAGAGACAGGAGACGTCGATCGAGATCGGAATAGCCCCAAGGGTCTTTTCAAAGGTGCATTCCCGCCACCCAGCAGAGATCTCATCTTTGATGAGCAAGACGGTGTTTTGAGATGCCCCCATTGTCTCACGGAACACGAAGGGGGGCCAACATGCCAAACTTGTTTTCTGCCAGTCGAAAACGGATATGAATTCAGCGACATGGACCCGGATGATGTAGATGATCTGGAGCTTGACCTGGACCTAGAGGACGAGTTCGCTGGTCATCACCACCACCACTTTTTGGAAATTCCCCATTTCGGGTTCCAACACTTTCACCACCAACACCTCTATCATCATGGCGAATCAGTAACATCGAATTCCGATAGCAGCCACTTTAATGAGGATAGTGACGTTGATGACGAGGACAACGAAGACGAGGATGAGGAGGAGGACGAGGATGATGATAGCTCATTACGTGACTTTGTCGTGCCAGACGACGACGACCCCGGCTCAGTATCTCGCCGGGAATCGACCAATAATCCTAGACGCAGGCGTCCTATAACCATATCAGATGATGAGTCGGATGAAGGTGGTGTGATATCAGATCGTAGGCCAAGACGTGCCGGCCGGGCAGTGGGAAATCCGGGTTCTGCCCGACACTCGGTAGTTGAATTGAGCAGCTCGGATCATGGCGATTTAAACGAAGAGGCGATGGTGCTACGAGATGCCGGATGGAGTCCTCTAAGCCAGGAAAATGATAGTGACATTGAAGAGGCGGTACCTCGTAGATATATCTATGGTGCTGACACTGAAGATGAGGATGGTAGCGACACAGAAACTATTGGGAATAGAGATTCCTACGACGAAGACGATCGATCTCGGAATGAGTCTTCAGCAACACCACAATACGAATATGCCCGTTATTACGGCGGTCCTAGCTATGAAAGCGAAGGCGAAGATGAAGATGAAGGCACTTCAGAGGCAGGTCAGTCCAAGGCAACGGACCTAGATGGAGATACCGAGATGAGCGCTTCTCCTGGAGCATCGAGGACAAGCCGAAGCGTTAGCCTCGATACAGATGAAGGTTATGGCTATGGAACACCGACGCCAGGGAGTCGTAGTGCTAGCGTCAGCACGGGATATGGTTACGACGCGGGCGAAAATCTTGGGGATACGAATCAAATGTACGAAGTAGGGGAAGACTCTTCAGACAGTTCGATACGTCCACCACCTAGACGGATACCGAGACGACAGCAGCAGAACATACGAGTGCAACAATATGATCCTCGGATTAGTATGATATTTGCAGAGCATCAACAGAGCATGAGGGGCGTCCAGGGACGCCAGGAAAACCCAAGCGAACTGGATGATGAGGCTCTAAGAGTGGAACCGGCCTCTAGAACACGACGGATGGCTGCATATCGATATCGTCTGCAGCCACCACGACGGGCCGATCCGTTAAGGAGGTCTCCTTCAGCAACTCGAATCATCTCATCTCCAAATAGAAATACTCGTTTGCCTCGGCAGTATCAGCGCCGAAATTAAGGTGGTTGGAGATATGGGGGTTATTTTGATACGGGTTTCCATATGGAAAGCATAGGAGTTAGGGAAGAACAGTAGTTAGGCTGCTATGGGGGCGTTCAAGTTTAGCACGGCTTACAACTTAGAGATTATATGGAATACAAAAGTTATGGCTAAATGACACTATTGGAGATGCTAATGATCTCAAACTCCGAGTCTCAACCTCTTCCGTACTTATGCTGGGCATATACTTTCCTTACTTTTATGTATTCTCCCTTTGGCGGCCTTCTAGCGGCGGATCTCTGACCCCTGCAAGGAGCTAGGCCGATGAGCAGCAACACTCATATGGGCCAAGGCCCTCAACCCTCTCTGTTCTCTGAGTATCTTTTTCACCCTTCATACTGTGTTTGGTGAAAATGAAGCTCTTCTCCGTACCTGCTTTGCTCCTGCTGGCCAATTGGGTGCACGCCAGCCATCCAATTGGGGCGCAACAGGCCCTCCTCGACGACGACAGCTCTTCTACCTTATCTGTCCTGGAGCTCCACAAAGCACTGATCGAACACGAATCAATCACGGGCAACGAGCAGAGCGTCACGGGATGGCTCATCTCCTATTTGGTGAACCAGAACTTCACCGTCGAGGCTCATGAAGTCACTCCTGCGACATCATCCCAACGCGCGCGAAAAAACATCTTGGCATACGTGGGGCCGCAGCGCAAGACCAGGACATTGGTCTCATCACATATTGATACCGTGCCTCCGTTCTGGCCATATGAGAGAGTAGGAGACGAGATATGGGGTCGTGGGAGCGTCGATGCGAAAGCGAGCGTAGCCTCGCAGATCACGGCGGTACAGGAGCTACTTGCGGCCGGCAAGATCGGTCAGGGCGATGTAGCTCTCCTGTTCGTCGTAGGAGAGGAGGTCGGCGGAGACGGGATGCTCAAGGCTAATGATATGGGCTTGAAATGGGACACTGTTATATTTGGGGAGCCTACGGATCTGAAGCTTGCCAGCGGTCACAAAGGGATTATGGGTCTCGAGATAAAGGCAAAAGGAAAAGCCGGGCATTCTGGATATCCGGAGCTGGGGAAGAGTGCCAATAGCATGCTGATTTCTGCTCTGCATGCTCTACAGAATGTCGAGCTGCCTTGGAGCGAGAAATACGGAAACACAACGCTTAATATTGGCAGGATTGAAGGTGGGGTGGCGGCGAATGTGATTGCTGAGGATGCATATGCAAAGATCTCAATTCGTATTGCGGATGGGACTCCCGCTGTGGTCGAAAAGGTGATATTAGACACGCTCCAGAAGACGGGCGAGGAATTCGATGTGACCTTCAGCCAGGGCTATGGTCCGGTTGATATCGATAGTGATATCGAAGGTAAGAGAGCCCCCCTTCCTTGGTTCTCGCAGCTACTGAGAAGTTACAGGCTTTGAAAAGATCATTGTTAACTATGGCACCGACATTCCTAACCTCAAGGGAGACCACAAGAGGTACTTATATGGCGCCGGGTCCATTTTGGTTGCCCATTCAGACCATGAGCATCTGAAGGTATCAGACCTGGAGACAGCGGTGGAGGGTTACAAGAAGTTGATCGAGCACTCACTTAAATAGTCGCATAGCACAATGATCATACTGTGACGTAGAGATATCTTCACTTCATCACACTGCAAATCACCAATTTTGAATTCTGAATCTAAATGCTACTTGAACAAGGGGCTTCGAGCAATCTCCAAGAAATCACGTGCCCAATATATCGACCTGGCCTTCTCCTTATACTCTCCAATGTGAAAGACTTCCATCCCTATACGTCTCATGGTCTGCATCAGACTGCTTTTTCCATCCTCTGATATGATTATCCCAATTACACCATCACTCACCAAGCACTCGATATCAGTTCCTGAATCACCAATATATACCACTTTGTTCGCTCCCATATTCCACGATCTTTTCAGATCATTCATGGAAGCAAGCTTAGCATCCGAAGTTGCCATAAGTTTTCCGGGTATGCCTTCTCTTGTCTTCGGCCCCTTCAAAACCCCGTCCTCATCCGGTTGATTCGCCAGAATCCTAATCTCCTCGCTCTCCGGTCCTATAATTGAGCCCAAGACCCCTCGAATAAAGGCGCTTGAGAAGTTGACCGAAACCACTCCCCATCTTGACTTTGCACTCTTGACGCTTTCAATAAACTGGCTAAACCCTTCCCGCAATATTACCTCTCCATTTTTCACAGCCTGGCTTCCGAGTTCTTCCCATTTCTCTTCACTTATGCCTTTGAAAATGCGGGATTTGCTCACGCGCTCAAAACTCCTTTCCTCTACTTCCCTTAGACTCCTGTAGAACTCGACTTCTTTCTCGATCGTGTTTCTCTCCTCTTTGGGGGGTTTGTACCTTCCGACATGAGTCTCGTAGTCTTGTCCATAAGCCGCAATGATTTCCTGCCAAGCTTTTGTCATATCGTGTCCCTTTTCCTTGTGGAATGAGAGGGCCGACTTGAACAGGAAATCAATGGTGTCTTTAGTTGTAATTGTGCCATCGAAATCCAGGATGAAGGATGCCGGCTGAGAGATAGGATCCATGGCCGTCTGGTGAAAAGTGAGTGCGCGCAGGGGAAGCCAGACTGCAAGCAGGAGGACGATAATATTGTAGCTCTTGCCAAAACTTTCCAAGAACGCCATTGGGAGGTTTAGTTGGGGGTTAGAGGCATTTCTTCACTTTTTGTTGCGTTGGGAACAAGAGAAAGTCTGGTGAAAGTGGAGGGAAAATATTATTTCGGGATATGTTGCGACTTACGTCAGTGAAGCTCCGGAGCACCTGCCAGGGTGCCTCGCCTTACCTTGGGGTTTAAGCTGCCTCTGAAGACACAGAAAGCGAAGCTATACAGAATGCTGAACAGACTCCAGGAAGTGCCTTGTTGTTTTCCTCTTTGCAGCATTTGCAAGAACGACCACAAGGACGACCACTGCTTCTTCGCACCCTGGTTGCAGTCGCCATGGAATCAGGACCCCTACAGGGATGAAACATAAAGTCGCGCCAGCCTTATATAGCGAACTGTGACGCCGCAGACGGTTGGACAAGGTCCACGTATAAAACATCTTAATTGCGTGTACAGGGCATAGCGGCGAGCGAGTTATCCTGAGATTGTAGTTCAATCCTAACCTATATTTCACAAGAGCCAAGAGCCAAGACAAATTTAATAATAGAGGTCTGGCGATCATCACTCTTCATCTTCTCGGGGGCACAAGTAAGACCCTGTCGCTCTGGAAATAGAACACAGTCAGCAAGTAGTAGACAGAGGACGAGAGAAGCGAACGCAAAGTGTGTGGAGTCGACTCTTGAAGAAGAATCTCCTCCTTCTACAGAGAGTATAGTATAGGTACTCTGCAGTACTGCGTTGAGCGGAGTCGTATACACAGTAGGGCCTTGTGCTGTACTCCACGTGCATTTGCTGTGACGCTCTTTTGCCAGTTTCTGGCGCGGTCCCTCGTACTGTAGTGAGTGCTCTGAGCCCTTTCGACCTTCAATATTATTAGGCCCTTATTCTAGGTCCAGGAAAGAGAATGCCATCTCAGATATCCAAAAAAGTACCTTACAGCACGCGACGTCTTGCCGCCTCCCCCCTACAGCAAGTATCAGACGCGATAAGATCGTCTCTTGCTTCAGCCTTCTCGCTTCCCCCCATCTGGAAGCCCATGATTACATAGACACCCAAAGGAGGATCACCCGCAATCCGGCGCTGCGCCGTTGTCTGCCCCATCACAGAAACGCCAGATCGACGTCAGGCTTCTCGGGCCACTCACCTACATAAGCCCGACAAGTCTTGTCGTGCTATTTCACTTATTTATATATTTATACTTCCTCGTGTTGCTGCCTGGAGATCAGGGCAGCCAACACGTAAGCGCACATCTTCGCGATACGAACTAAACCCCCCCTCTCCCCCAAATTCGCTGTCGATTGCGATCAGGTACGGTCAGACCTCGATGTCTCCTAGCCGTCGCAACTGAATCTCGGGGAGCGCTTCTAACATCTCCATCTCTCCCAGGTTGATGAAAGCAGGCGGCTACATTATCTTCAATCAGCCCAGTCCCAAGAGCCTTGCGTGGGCAATTGTTGGCCCAACTTCTCGTCGGCGCTTAATTCACGATCGGTCACCTTCCCACGCGCGAAATACCTCTCCTTCTACAAGTTCGGAGTGTTTGCAGATAGGGAGAATATTGCGACATCAGGCAAACGGGCTCCGAAAGATAACTGGTGTGGCTATCGAGGTGTTGGTCAAGGAGCCTTTCCCCAAGTCGCTTCTTCACGACGACGGTCAGACACGTACGGGTATCAGACGGCGCGCACGTCTGCGTTCGACCGGTGGAAGCGCCATATTCGCCCAGTTCTCAATAGACCATCAGGCCTCGAAAGCTCTCTCGAACTATACCATTGCGGCTCTGTATAATTGCTGGTTGACCTCATCGGTCAAGGATACTTTCAGCCGTTACGCATAGCCTCAAGGCACAGCCACCGACCGCACCATTCGGGACCAGATACCGAAGCAACGTTCGACTTGAGTCAACTTTACCGTGTTCTAAGAACAGCAACATAGGCCGGGATGGATCAACAACGTGGGAGATCTCCGTCTGTGGGGAATCAACAATCCCATATAAACCAGCATCACTCGCCTCCCCCGCATTCATTTCAGGAGGATGTACACTCGGTTGGCTTGGGACTCAAGGTTGATTCACCAGATCCAGGCAGCAACACCCAGCAATATCTGAACTTCAATTCGAACGACGTTTCTTCGTATGATAACAGCGAATTTCTCAACCAGCAGGGACAATCATTCTCGCAGCAAGACCAACAGCAAACCAGCTTCACTCAAGAACTCCTAGGTGCAAACCTCTCTCCAAATTTTAACGACGGAGACTTCTCCCTGTTTTCTACCCCAAGTGGTCAGGGTGATCAGTTTGATCCGCAGTTCTTCATGAACGAACTTTCTCCCCGGTCGGCAAACCCGTCCGTCAACCCAGCTGAACTTGACATGTCTTCACCTCCGAGCCATACCCAAACGCCCCCTGGCCTTCTACAACCAGACTCCCGTTCACCTTCAATACATCAATCCCCGGCCTTCAACCAGGGGCCGTTTCAGGCATCGCCTGGACATTCTAGGCATGCGTCGTTAGGCCCAGAAAGTGCGGCATTCCTGCAGGGAAATCACGTTGACTGGACCATGATGCCCCCACAATTTCAAAACCACCGAAGAGCACCATCAGAGTATTCTGAAGTCTCTGTTTCTTCTGCCGCCCCTTCGCCAAATTTGGCTCAGCAAGATGTTTTTGACTCGTTAGAACACCGCCATTCACCAATGCAGAATCCCCACGACCCTCTGTATCAGGAGGTTCTTGGCATCGGAGCCTTCTCATTATCAGACCCCCATAACGCAAGTCCGCGCACAGGTCTAAGTCCAGCACATAGCCCTGCGATATCTCCTCGGTTAGGTCCTGAACAGCTCCCGAATCCTAATCAATCTCCATTCATGCTAGGAATGGACAACGGTTTTGGACAACCACAAAACATATATGGAGGTCAAAACCAAGAGATTATGCAGCCTCAACACAATGGCGGATCTATTGATATGGGGGAAGCGCAACAGATGGTCCCACCACAGATCAATGTCGAATTTGCGCCAACGTCCAGAACCAATAGCTTTGAACCTCCTAAGCCTTCTTCTTTTGACCAGGATGCTTTGATTCCGCCTGAAAGAGGTATATAAAATTGATACCCGGTATCTTTCAGAAAGCTAACAAAACTAGGCCGCCGTCGTAGAGCTGTTTCAGATCCATACAACAGTGTCTCCAGCGTTTCTCGTCCACACGACCCATCAAGCTTGTCGCCTAGTCTTAGTTTGAACCGCTCCGTTGAATCTGCTCGTTCATTATCTCCAAATGATCGTGCGGACGCAAGTTCGCCCAGCCGGCGCCGACAATCAACATCATCGCTGCCAAATCGAGACTATATCCTCGGGCTTGCGGATCCTGAATACCAAGCTGCTAGCTCTGATAATGGCAATGCCAGACGTGTCCAAAAGCACCCTGCGACATTTCAATGCACTCTATGCCCAAAACGGTTTACCCGTGCCTACAACCTGCGTTCTCATCTCCGCACCCACACTGATGAGCGGCCTTTTGTCTGCACAGTTTGTGGGAAAGCATTTGCACGTCAGCACGATCGAAAGCGTCATGAAGGTTTGCATTCGGGAGAGAAGAAATTCGTATGCAAAGGAGAGCTCAAACAAGGTGGGCAGTGGGGTTGTGGTCGTCGCTTTGCACGTGCCGATGCGTTGGGTCGGCATTTCCGTTCAGAAGCTGGCCGCATTTGCATTAAGCCGTTACTCGATGAAGAGGCCATAGAACGGCAACGATTATGGCAGGAGCAAAGGATGCAGAACATGCACAGTATGCAACCGCCTCAGCCAATTGCCGTGGGTCCCAATGGCTTCCCAATGGATGCCAGTGGTAATTACACACTTCCTGCTGCCTTGCTCGCTCAGTACCCCGCGCTTGCGACACTGAGCTGGCCAGACTTATCACAAGGAGACGTCGGCATAGACGATGATCCGAGTGGCCGAAGTAGCTTCGACGCTAGTGGCTCTGAGTACTACGATGAAGGCGACGATGGTGGCTACATATCGAGCGGCCCCGGCCCTCAACAAGGCTACGAACACGGCCAGATGAACGAAATGTATAATGGTTATTCTAGTGATATGGGGACCCGCTAAGACGTGAACTCTCTTGCTCTTGTTATGGCTTATTTTCTTTTTATTTTAACGGCCGGCATCATATATAGATTTCCTTTGTCGGGATTAGTTTTGGGCGTTACTTAGATACCACTTCGCTTTGCTCAGAGGTCATGGACTCATCTGTCGGGCTTTTGTATTCTTGGACGGATTTTATATAGATTTTATGGCTACCCGGGCATCATGCATTTCATAGCGCCGTGATATATGTTCAAGAGTGCCTACCTATGCAGTTTGATTATATGCGTACTCCACACTTACAGAGTGTAGACAAGTTTCTCGCTGCTAACCTTGCCCTCGCGCATAGCGTCCATGCCCTTCAAGATGCCATCGAAACCAGTTCCGTACTTGTTGACCGAAGGACGGTGCACCTTAATAGCACCCTTCTCTAACAACTCCCTAGCCTGCTCCCACCACATCTTACCGAATTCAAAGTCTTGGGGTCTAGCCGGCATGTCCGTGGAGCCGAATTTGAAGTACTCGCCGACGACGGTGTATCCCAAGGTGGACTTGAGCTCCACCTTGGGGTTGAGCTTCTTGGTGAGCTCGGGGTCGACGGGGAGCAGGGTGCTGTAGGTGCCGCCGGAGGAGCTCATGGCTTCTAAGCTGATCTTGGTGCTGTCACCCTCAGAGATGCAGTCAAAAACGTAAGCCAGCTTGTCCTTGGTGAGTTCCTTGATATCCTTGCTGCAGGTGGGGGATCTGTAGTCGAAGGTGTGGTCTGGGAAAGATTGTGAGATTTATTATTTTTTTTGGTTTTTTTTGGGGGGGGGGGGGGTTGGGCTTACCGGCTCCCAGGCTCTTCACATATTCGAAGTTGCGGGGAGAGCATGTGGTGATGACCTCGCAGTTGGACAGCTTGGCGAATTGGATGGCCAGACTTCCAGTAGCGGTGCTGCCGCCGTAGATCAGGAGAGGAATCTTCTCGGCGGCGGGTTTGGTGGGAAGAGGAAGGCCCAGGGATTGATAGAGACCCTGACCGACACTAGAGACCGTGAGACGACAGCCGTCGGATCGGGAGTATGATACTTACGTTGTGATGCCCACACCGAGAGTAGCCGCCTGCTCAAAGCTCAGGTTGTCTGGGATCTTGATCTGGATATCACCCTTTGCGGTGATGTAGTTTCCGAACGCTCCATCCTCCTTGTGCACCTCGTTTCCTCCGTGGGAAAAGCCGGCAACTCTGTCCCCCTTCTTGAATCCCTTTGTGACCTTACTTCCAACTTCCTCCACCACCCCGGCATAATCTGTCCATGAAGTCAGCAGCTGCGTCTATGGACTAGAGGAGTATGCAGAGAGTTGAGATATGATATGCCAAGCAACCAGCTAGACATGCTTGACTGGCAGAGCAGGAGCACGGTTCGGGGAGACATACCACAGCCAATATGGGTTCCCGCGGTAGTGAGGAAGTCTACATGCTTCCAATCGGTGGGGTTCAGGGCGACGGCCTTGACGTTGACTATGATATAGTCGTCCCGAAGCTTGGGAATGGGGACCTCGGCAGCCGTGGCCACGCCCTTGTCCTTCACGATAATTGCGGTATTCTTGGACATTTTTTCGACGGTGATTACAAAATAAAGAATGGAAATGGATCTGGTACTTATGGAGTGGATTGAGGGGGCGGGGAGGGGGAGGGGGAGGGGAACGTATGGAACATTCGAGGACTCGACTTGTTTATGCTCTTGGTATACTACCTCCGTTTGATTTGTAATGGTCCGTCTTCACAAGCATCATCGATGGGCGCGTCACCGATATCCGTTGGAATATCATTACTCTTGCTGCTGCGGGCAGAGCGGCCTTTTGAAGGCTGGCTTGTTGAGCAGAGGAAAGAATTTCAATCCGAGTCCGAAGTCTTTCCATCCTCATCGCTCTTCGCGGGAGATTTTACTACGAAGGTAAGCAGTGGGAGTACCTAGGTACCTAGGTACCGGAAAAGAGGGGTCCTCGGCAGGTGATATGGATCACGTGACGTCTTATAGAGGGGTAGGCTAGGTGCCTAAGGTATCAAGTCAAGTACCTGAGGTGAGGTACATACAAGGTTCTTTACGCCGGGTTAGGGAGCGGAGTGACAACGAGTGACAACTGGCTGATGAGTGGGGAAGAGAACTATTCGAGAGGCCGTTCAGCATTCAGCATTCAGCATTCAGCATTCAGCATTCAGCACTCATCAATCAGGAATCCGGAATCAGGACCCAAGAGAGGGAAGACAGATGACAAGAAGGTATCATCTGCAACCAACCTTAACTCAACAGCTCTGCTGATGCTCTTTGGCCTGCCCAGGCTGGTCTACAGTGGCACGCGCACACGAATCACAAACCCCGAGCCCAGTCGCCGACTCGTGAATCGTCACAAAGCGCAAGATGCTGCTCTCTCCTTGGTCCTCGTTGGTCCTCCCTGGCCCTTGGGCCCGTTGCCACACCACTCAACACAATCCATAGTGCTCCCTGCACTCGTCCGTTTCCGGACCAACCAGCATCATTCGACGATGATCCTCCTGATGCATAATTGAATTGTTTCTTACTATTCGCTTTCCGTTGCTTTCCCCTCCGCCGATGGTTTTGCACGCATCTGACGACGAACTTGCGGTGAAGGGACGCCGCGGTGGGTTCTACTGGTGCTAACAGGCGTAGCTCCAGCCTTTTAGCTTATCCGCGCCCTCCACGATCTCCCCGAGTCCCCGTAGACTCTACTTTTAGAGCCCAAAATGCTCCGTCCCCTCCCGCCTGTTGTAATTCCAGTGGTTGGGCATGCTAGCAGCCGCAGCCGGCCCAGTAACGTCAGAAGGTCCCACCTCTGTTGTCTTTCCCGCCTCTGTCAACACCGCGCCAGGTAATACTAACCAGGGGGCCTTCTTCGCATTGTAAACATTCCCGAGAAAAAAGAGGGAGAAAACCTTCAAAAAAATACTTGACTCGCCTCAGAGGGTGATGGTGTATCGCATCGAAGCACGGGCAGGCGCTGAGCCCTTATCGACTATCCTCTGAGTGATACACAGCAAATAATCCCGGGCCGGGGTCTCAGTCTCAGTCTTCCCTGTGGCTGGTGTTTGGCGAGAGCCAAATATTTCTCCCCTGTGACCATACGCCGTACGGAGCAGGAAGCACGAGTATCCTCTATCTGTCCCTCGGTGGTCTTTATTGCGTATATCCTTCTTTCCTTTGTGGATATCCTCATATCCCTTGTCCCCCGGCGGCACGTCGACTCCATCCGTCAACGTCTTCTACACATTTACTGCTTTTGCGCTCTCTGCCATCTCGACCAGCCTCCTCCCGGATTCCCATAGCTTCGATGAGTCTGAAAGCTATCCGCGATCACACGAGCTCGAATATCCACAATGGCAGCGGTCGAGGGTTTGTTGTATTGCGGAGGTCACCCAGGAAACGGATATGGCTTCGCGACGACCCAGCCTTGGACGATTGGGTGGGATGAGAACGACACGCGGATAAGGCTGAAGCTCATTGCGAGGGCATGGATCGCAACGCGAAGCTCATTGAAGCATGGAGGCGCATATCAGACAGAACTGGTACGAGAGCGGCGATTTTTCTACATTCTTCGAAATGACATGGACATTGTCGTGCAGTAGCGGCTGGAAGCCTGTACGGCGGACAGCGGTGAGGACCCTACAACTCAGATCTCTAACGGCATCTCTAGAACACACCTCTGCATCTGGCCCCTGCCAGGCCCCGCCCTTGGAATCGTGGGCATTTGAAAGTCCCAGAAAGCTACATTGCCTCCCCTCGCCACGTATCGAAGCAGGATGACGAGGTGGCCGACCTGCACGACACCGATGCCCTTGCCAGAAGGCAACCGCATGCCTCGATAGACACTGGAACTACCCCTCTCTCCTCGACCGAACCGCAAGACGAGCAAGCACTGTTTCGTGATCCAACCATGGCTGTATCAGTAGACTTTGAATCCCAGCATGGATTCAAACAAGCTGCCGGCAAGAAGGCGAAGAAAGCGGCCAAGCAAGCAGCGAAGATGAAGTGGGGCGACGAAGAAGACGGAGATGGCAACAAGGACGGCGGTGAAGGCGACAAGAATGGGGATAATGCTGGAGACAATGCTGGGGACAACACTGGGGACAAAGGCGGTGATGCGGGGGGAGGTGACGATGGCGATAAGAAAGACGAGCCAAACGGAGATGCAGCCAACGAACCGACTCCCGAGGATGATTGGAACAGCTTTGTGCCTCCAAAGTCAAAGAAAAAGGGCAAGAAGAATAAGGCAGAGGAACCCGTACCTGCAGCTTCCCCGCCTAAAGACGAGAAGTTCGAGGCATTCCACGACATCAAACTGGATGATACCGGCCCTACGCTAGACCTTAGTTTCGACACACCTGCTACGGATTCGAAGACTACTAGTGGTTTTGGCACATGGGGCAGCAGTTGGAATACTGGAGCAACGAACTGGGATTTCTCTGCCACAAATGCAACGGCCGATCCTGCGACAGATACCAAGAATGACGCTGAAATTGATAACCCTTGGAGTATCAATCGCGGAAAGCCAAAGAAGAACAAAAATGGATTCGGTTTGGGGTCTACCGAAGAGGAGGAACCGCTGAAGGATCCAGATCCGCCAGAAGAGAAGAAGGATAATGACACCATGGATTTTGGTTTTACTTCACTGTCTAAGAAAGACAAAAAGAAGAAAAAGGGAGGTCTTGCTGATATACTGGACGTGCCTAAAGAGGAGCCCGCTCCGGCGGCTGAAGAACCTGCGGAAGATGATTGGGGAGGCTGGGGAACTGCCAAATCGAAGAAGAAGGGGAAACAGGATAAGGAGCCCGAGCCTGCCAAGGTAGAAGAAGCAGTGCCCGCGGAGGATCCATGGTCTTTTGGCACTTCCAAGAAGGACAAGAAAAAGAAGGGCAAGAATGCCATTATTGAGGAAGTCCCAAAAGTCGAAGAAAAAGCTCCAGATCCCGAACCGGAGCCAGAACCAATAGCCGACGACGGCTGGGGCACCTTTGGTACTTCTAAGAAGGACAAGAAGAAGAAAGGCAAGAATGCCATTATTGAGGAAGCCCCCAAAGTCGAGGAAAAGGCCCCAGATCCCGAACCCGAGCCCGAGCCAGAACCAGCAGCGGACGATGGCTGGGGATCCTTTGGCACTTCTAAGAAAGACAAGAAAAAGAAGGGCAAGAACGCTATCGAAGAGGTTCCAAAGGTCGAAGAAAAAGCCCCAGAACCTGAACCCGAGCCAGAGCCAGCAGCCGATGATGGCTGGGGATCCTTTAGCACTTCTAAAAAGGACAAGAAAAAGAAGGGCAAGAATGCTGTCGTTGAAGAAGCCCCAAAAGTTGAGGAAAAGGCTCCAGAGCCTGAACCTAAGGCAGAAGAACCAGCACCCGCCGACGATCTATGGTCATTTGGCACTTCTAAGAAAGACAAGAAAAAGAAGGGCAAGAATGCTATTGAAGAAGTCCCAAAAGTCGAAGAAAAAGCTCCAGACCCTGAACCTGAGCCAGAAGCAGCGGCCGACGATCTAGGGTGGGGATCTTTTGGCACCTCTAAAAAGGACAAGAAGAAGAAGGGCAAAATCGCCGAGGTCGAGGAGCCTCCTAAGGTCGAGGAGAAGGTTGAAGATCCTGAGCCTGAGGTAGCAGCGGCTACTGATGACTTTGGCTGGGGCTCAATCAGTACATCGAAGAAGGATAAGAAGAAAAAAGGCAAGAATGCGGTGGAGGAAACACCCAAGGTGGAAGAGAAGGCCGCAGATCCTGAACCAGAGGCACCTGCTGACGATTTTGGTTGGGGCCTTACTACCAAAAAGGATAAGAAAAAGAAGGGAAAGACAGCTGCCGAAGAGCCTCCAAAGGCCCCGGAACCCGATCCGATCCCGGAACCCGATCCCGATCCCGAGCCAGCACCCGTTGAGGATGATATCTGGGGAGCTGTCTCAACAAAGAAGGACAAGAAGAAGAAAGGAAAGGGGACCACCGAGGAAACGCCAAAGGCAGAAGAACCTCCAAAGGCCCCTGATCCGGTCGAAGATGATATGGGTTGGGGCTCAGGTTGGGGTAAGAAAGATAAGAAAAAGGCTGGAAAAGCCGCCAAGGATGCCTCTCCTCCGCCCGAACCAGCCCCAATCGCCGAAGTGCTTGAGCCAGCCGAGAATGACGATTGGATGAACTGGGGCCAAAAGAAAGACAAGAAGAAGGGCAAGACAAGCTCGACTTCAAAAGCTCTGGTAGAGGTCAAAACTGAAGACCCCGAACCTTCCCCGCCAACTCCACCACCTGCTGTTCCCGAAGTTGGTGACGACGAATTCTTTGATTCCTGGGGCACTTCGAAAAACGACAAGAAGAAGAAGGGCAAAACTTCACTGGATGTGGATGCAAATGATTCGATCAAACCTGATGCCATTGAGGAGCCCAAGGCCGACGATATCTGGGGAACTGCCTCAACAAAGAAGGATAAGAAAAAGAAAGGCAAGAACATGCCGATTGAAGTTGTCGACGAACCTCCACCGCCTGATCCTGATCCCGTCCAAGAGACAAAAGCCGTAGAAGACGAGTGGGGATCGTGGGGTACCGCGAGCAAGAAGGATAAGAAAGGGAAAGCCAGCAAAGGCGTCGAAGCACCTCCCCCGGCACCAACACCTCCAGCCATGGACCTCACAGAGCCCGAGATCGACCCTTGGGACATGGGGACCACAGCCAAGAAGACGAAGTCCAAGGAGAAAGAAGTTGCAACCCCGGCTCCCAAGCTCAGTAAGAAGGAGCAGGAAAAGGCGGACAAACTGGCCGAAAAAGCGAGAAAGAAGGCTGAAAAGGAAGAGGCTGAATTAAAGGCAGCCGAAGCCAAAGAAGCTGAGGAGAAGGCAAAAGAGGCTGAGGAGCAGGCCAAAGCAGAGGCTGAGGCAAAAGCTGAGGAGGCAGCCAAGAGTGCTCCGAAACTATCGAAAAAGCAACAAAAAGAGGCCGATAAAGCTGCTGCCAAGAAGAAGAAAGAAGATGAGGAAGAGGCGGCTGCAATTGCGCTCCTCGCTGAAATCGAGGCCAAGGAGCTCGAAGATCAGAAGGCCAAAGAAAAGGAGCTTCTTGAGGCAGCCAAGGCGACCAGGAAAGACGCCAAACTCAGCAAAACCGATAATAAGAGCAGTAAAAAGTCTAAGGACAAAGATAAGGACGAGGCAGAGCCAATGAGAGACTTGGCCAAAGAGCAGCCCGTCGTCGCTGACAAGAGCGAAGCCTTCAGTTTCTGGGGAGCGACCAAAAAGTCGACTAGCAAAGTTGCCGAGGCGTCCAAGAAGGATAGTCGCGACGCGACTGCGATTGCTGACAAAGCAGACCTTCCAGAAACACCCGTCCAAGACAATGACACGACAACAACTTCGAAATCAGCATCAAATCCGCCGAAAGCATCGGGCGTGACGAAGAAAGCAGTTGGAGGAAAGATTGCTGATAGATTGAAAGCCTTCGAGCCGCCGAAGGAAGTTGCCGAGCCCCTGCCGCCCCCAACACCACCGAAGGAGGAGGAGAAACAGAAATCCAGCTCCAAATCGCAGAACGCGTACTCCAGTTCGAAGAAGGCCAAAGAGATTGTTGCGGAAGAACCTCCGTCGCCAGCGAAATCAGTATCTAACGACGTACCTGGCAGCTTCCCTGTTGACACCTTTGATGAAGATATAGTGGACATTGTAGATATGGCTGCTGTTGACAAAAAATCTAGTAAGAAGAGCAAATCGGCAAGTAAAGACAAGGAAGCGCCGAAGAAAAAGGAAGAGCAAAAGAAAAGCGAAGAGCCAGAAGAACAGTCCGAGCCTGCTGCTCTACCCACGCCTCCCCCAGAATCCAAACCGTCAAAGAAAGAGCGTCCTCGAGTGGTTCGAGATGGGTCTTCCTGGGGCGCATGGGGTGCGGCTCCCCGCAAGGATGAGAAGAAGTCATCGAGGGATTCAAGAGAGGAGAGGAGGTCTAAAGATTCCGAGATGAAGCGCCCAAGAACATCTCGGAAGCCCTCAGAAAGGGACGAGAAGGTCTCCTCGAAAACCTCCTCATCAGACAGAGATGACAGGCCACCGAAGTCGCGAGGGCTCTCAGCAATGTTCGGAAGCGCACCGCCGGTTTCGAGATCCAAATCCGTGTCTGAGAGGCGAACGAGCACTAGCGGCAGGACGAGTTCGCGACGGCAATCAGTAGCCGGAACGGGTCTCATATCTCCACCGCCGGATGACATGAAGAGTCCGCCGGAAATGTCGTCGAAAGCAGCCAAGATGCTGGGTGTCACCCCAGAGAAGCCTTCTCGTAGCAAATCTGAAAGGAAAAGCAAGTCACGTGGTGAGTTTCCGTCACATATTACGACTTGGCTGTGCAGACTGACACTGTTAATCAAGGTCTTGATGACGACGATATAGTAATGGTTGATAATGGTGATGTTCATGTCAGCCAAGAGAAGGCGAGCCGCAGGAGAAAATCCAAGGTAATCCCAACCCCAATTTTCCATCCGCCTCAGCGGTTCAACCTGCCGTACCTAGGTATCGGCAGGACCCATCTGGCAAAGAGTCACGTGCTAACACCAGAACCATCAAACAGGCGAAAGCAGATGACGATATTGTCATGGTCGATGCCGGTGGTCCCTCAGAAAATCTCGGCGGGTTGAGACGGTCTGATTCGAGCGCCAAAAGGACTGGTTTGGGTGGGATGCTTGGTGGATTACTTTCGAAACCTCGTCCGGACAACAAGCGTCGCAGCACTGCTGTAACCGATGATGAAGGTGCCCGAAGTCTGAGACGTGAAGATCGAAGAATCAAACGGCTAGCAAAGGATCGTTCGGAGCCTGATGATGCGGATCGAGACGCTATCATGTCAGGTGGAGCTGCTGAAGTGGATCAAGAGGCGAGGAGAGAAGCTCGACGCGCGAGAAGAGCTGAGAGAGAAGCGGCGGAGAAAGCGGCTGATGAAGCCCGGAGAGCGAAGGATGAGGAAAGAAGAGAGCGTCGTCGAAGACAAGAGGAGGAGGCGGAGGCTAAACTGCGAGAAGAGAAAGAGGCAAGACGCGCAGCGAGACGTGAGCGAAGGGCCAGAGAGGAGGCCGAGCGACTGGCAGCTGAGGCCAAGGAGCAAGAACGCGCTGAACGGCGGAGGGCAAGAAGGGCCGAAAGAGAATCTCAGATGGTTGGCGGACTGTCCAACCCGGATCCAGTGCGAATAAGGAAATCCGATCGAAGGAGGTCTTACATGGATGGGCCCACCGACGATGATGAGGAGCGAAGACAGAGACGAGAAGAGCGACACCACCGTATGCGCTCACATGATGCTCCAAGAACGAGGACTCGTCACAAGTCAGCGCCGGTCGTTGATGGCTATGTCGACTCTCGCAGTGGTAGCAAAAAGGATCGTAATCACGAATTTCTCCCAGCCGAAGGCCCAGTTTACAGAGACTCAAAACGCAGGAAGCCTGCTTGGCCACATTCCGGTACTGATTCATGGGTACAAGATCATTCTGATGCGCCTCCCCCACCAGAGGATAAGACTCCTGTGGAAGAAGGCCCAGCAGATGACACGATAGCTGACGAGAATGTGCGACGACATTTGAGAAAGACGCGGCGGCTATCGAAGTACGATGAAGATGACCGTGAAGAGCGGAGGCGAAGAAGAGAATCCAGACGCGCCGATGGCATGAAGAGCTCTGAAGGGAGCCAGGGTGACGTCCGAAGATCCAGTCGTAGAGACTCTGGCTTCATTACCGCCAGTAGGGAACCCAGCGCTCAAGGAGGGCTCTTCAGTCGGTTCAGAAGGATTGCTGGAGTCTAATGGTGGAGGGTGAGGAGATTTTGCTATTTGATCTGATGTTGATGTTAAGATACCTGTTTGGATTTTGATCTGTAGACCTTCAATACCTAGGCAGTGGGCGCATCTTTGGGGATCACATTTTTACCATGCAGTGCATTAGGCAAGGTAAATCTACATAATAGGTGGTGGTGGTGGTTCTTGTGTTTATAGATACCCTATACCCTATACCCTATACCCTATCTGATACCCGAGAGCTGTTTGTATATATGTTGCCTTTAATTCTGTAGCTACCTAGGCACTCCACCTACCTACCTATAGGTATCTATCATCGTGACCAGAGAATGCCTTATGTTTGTGTGCGCATCTGTCTCAGTACCTAGGCAGGTACTGTAGTTTCTGAACACGTGATTCTGCGTTTCGCTTTGCGCTCTGGTCTTAATGATTAATCTTACCGAAAAAGGGCAATAATTCCTTTCCGCGTTCAACGAGTCCGTGGAGAGCGCAATGCCGACCTCAAGTAGATAGGCTCAGGCGATAGCCCACAGCGGTCCTGACATCCAACGACACGACTCCACTGTCTCGCCCACCATGGGGCAAGTTGCCCAATCCAGCGAATGGAATCATGGGTCAAGAGTCCAAACTCCAAAAAGGGAGGGCTGCGTGCTACGCTGGATGCAGTATATACTGTGGTACTTGCTATCATTCACGGAGGCCTGGGTATCTATCTGCCTTTTCAATTATCGTTTGACCAACTGAATCATTTTGCCTCTTCGAGTCGTCGTTGCAGTTGCAGCCTCTTATACTTGTCTCTCACATCATTCCCCCGCCTACCTTTCCAGACCTTGTTTACGATAAGACGTTTCCTTAGTCCTTGTTTTCTTAAAAGCTACCTCGGACTCCTCATTCTCTTGCTCAGATCCTGTACGCTATCCAGCCTGAAGTTATTCAGGTAGCGCGGGGTGGCATTTCGTCACAGGATTAATATTACCAGGCGCAACCTCAACGAATACCTGGGCAGTAGCCATGGACTTCTCATCCTTCATGCCAACTGCGTGGCTTCCTCCTCTTGCCATTGGGCTTCTCTTGTCCTCATTTACAATCCTGGCATTGAGCAAACGTCAACGAGATACTCTCTTGAGCAGGTTCCAAATCCATCGCCGACGTGCTTCCGGAGCCTCCACGCCACCGCGTTCCTTCTCCCCTGGCAAAAAAAGTTCCATTCGAGGTGATACCAAGGAACCTTCCCCATCAAATGTATCGACTCCCGACTTCGTGAACACTTTACCGCCATCCAGGCGATCCGCCCTGGCTGAGCTCGCCAAAGCAACCTCACCCTCGAACCAGAAGATCTTGCTAGGCACCGAACCTTCCGTAGAGTCGCTTCTGAAGAATGCTTTGCCATCTAGTCGTTCATATGACCTCGAAAATGACACCACGAAGTATACACCGACTGGGTTTTCTACAGAAGAAATCAAGGCCATGGGCGATTTCCCGGCTTATGATATCTTGAGTGGCGTTCCTCTTCCACAACCATACCAGAACTTCGATCCAGAGAAGGCTCTTCCAAGACCCTATCGACCTTTCAGATGGGCCTATCACCAGACAATGTGTAAGTTCAATTCAACCGTGCTTCTTTAGAGCTCCTTCTAAAACGTCAGTAGCCTTGACGAAAATGGAACCGGATTGGTGGCTGGAGGTTGAGAATACCTACGCCTCTCGAATCAAAGAGCGCAAGGAGCTTTTTAAAGAACACGGGAAAAAGGTGCTGGATTACTTGCCTGGATCTGAACTTGCCTGCAAGGAGCTTATGGAGATGTGCCTTCAATTCTACTGCGCCCGGTACCCTACCTACTTCTCACTGTCGGCCGACAAGAAGACTTTCTACAACGGCCTCTTGAAGTCAGAGACGGATATCAAAAGTATGCATCCATTGCATGTACTCCTGAACAACATACCAGAGGACTTTGCCATCGTGCTTCGAAACGAGACTGATGGCATGTACTACTTCCGTGCTGGTGTAATCTGTAGCTCATTGGGCTGGAACGTCAGCACAAAGATTGGCATGCAGCTAAAAGACATCCACAAACCTATCCCGGACTACAAAGAGAAGATGTCATTTAGCATGGACCGATTCTTCAGCAAAATGCCTACCAATTCTCCGATACAGCGTGGTAGCTGGGGGCTTGAGATCGGAATGCCCCTGTTCATGCCAGCAGGCCATCCTCATGAACAGCTTCGCAAAATCCAAAAACAGGATCTGACAGTTGACGAATGTCACCTGAGAGTTGACTGGCAAACTCTACGACGGTTACCTTTGAGTGCTGGGATTGTCTTCAATTTCAAGGCTTTATTCACACCTCTGAGAGAGTTTCGCGACGAGCCGTATATCCCCTCCCTTCTGCTCAAGATTATAAAGGAGGGAAAGAAGAGTTTGATGCAGTACAAGAACACATGGCACGTGGAGCATGTATTCATACCTGAGTTGGAGAAGTATGAGAAGGAACAAGTCGCTAAGGGGTTGGTAAAACCGACAAATGCAGGTGAAGAAACTTGGACGGTCGCTACGCTGGAGGAAAGCCCCTACTTTCCGGGCTGGGAGGAGAAATGGCATCGCCAGCAAGGCTTTTGATCGAGGATCTCTTTAGAATCTGTTTCTTCAAGTCGTAGCTACACACACTCTGGATGCAGCTCAATTGCGCGGAGACCAATAGTCACGAATTGGGAATGATACATGAACGATGAATTTCCTTCAAGGAGTGAGATAACGGACCCCGCATTCCAGACTCATAGCTAGATCCCAGACTGTAGTACAAACTCCAAGATCCCTGGAGGCCATCGCCGGTTTTCGACCACCAATGATCGATGATTTCATTTATACGAAATTAGGTTGCCTTGAATAGTAAACAACCCTACGACCTTTTCGCCTCTTCCTCTATCGCTGATTCGTAGATATTTCCAACTACATTGTGACGACCCAATGAATGCCAGGCATGACACAATGAACCTCGCCGCTGAGAGGGAGGCAAAACGGTCGTCGGATAGATCCCCGCAATCGAGGAAAAAACAATATTTATATCCCTACCGCTAACAACCGCGACACGCCCCGCATGTGATATAACCAAGTGAGCTCTTAATCACTAGCACAGACGCCGTGCTTCTACATCCGTCTTCGTTGACGTGCAGCTCGGATTATTTCTGAGACGGTGCCGATGGATTAGTAGTACCATGAGATCTTAGTACCGAGCCACCAAAGCCTCCTCCGCATTAAAGCCACTTTAGAGCGAAGTAGAAGGTACCTGCACGGCGCTTTTGTCGTCATCTTGGTAATTCCTGCTAGGGATTCTGTCTAAATGGCTTGCGAGGACCAGAGGATGGATGAAATTGCTCTAAGGACTTTGACGGCTTGAGGTTGAATGAAGGTATGTATCCTAAGAAGTGAAGCCATTGATAGTTTACGAGCTTGTACCACAGACTTCCGGGGGACACGATCTTTTCGGCAAGAAAATTTACAGTACTGATTATCTTACTATGGAGGTTGCATGTCAAGGCTTCCAGCCTTACTATGAACACCGCTGCCTTTGGCATTAAGAAAACACTTCATTGATCGGAGACGGACAACCCTCCGAAGAAAGCACCTCGCAACTTCAATTTGACAAGAACAATGTGCGAAATTTGCATACCTCAGTGTCCTGAGATTTATTCACCACCGACATATCCGCCACCATTATATGCCGTCCTCCAATGCAACCAGCTTGCGTTTACGACTGTCAGAGTGCTTCCAAACCCCTAGTGGGACCAGATCACATATTGCCAACACCCCTGCCATACGTGAGCGCCGAGGCAAATAACAACCAAAGAGGATCCCGTCGCGCTGCCACACAACTCTACTCAGTCGGGAGGGCATCGTTAGGGGTGCAACTCGTCCTGGAAAGACTCATGATATATCACCTATCCACCAGTGCCGCAACTGCCAGCCAGGAGGTGTGCAACCAGATTTCCCCGGTCCACTAGAGAAGAACTCCGTCGATACTTCGACATCGACCGAGCCCCATCTCCTGGTTGGAAAAAGAAACCTTTGTGTCAGGCGTGACAATGAATCTGGATTCGGCCTCTAGTGCCAGCTCCGGCCCTCCTCCGAACCAGAGAAAGGAGAGAGGTATGTATATTGTTGGGGCAAATGCGCACCCTTTCGCAATGAGCTGGTTAGGTGTAAGATGTAGTTGATCCTGGAGGATTACCCTCAGGAACACATCAAGTCTTACTGCCTATGGACCATATCTTACACCTCGTGTTCAGTTTTGTACTGACTCCCACTTTGCAGGCGCAATCGCCGCACAGGTGAGCTTCGATTTTGTTCGCGACAACAGGAGATGTGATCTCTAGTATCAAACGATAACGGGAATACCTAAACTTTCCAAACTGTTCTGTACTGCTTGACTGACCATAATCTTGAAGGCCTGTGATACTTGCCGGTCAAGGAAGCAAAAATGTGACGAACAGCGACCAAAGTGTGGCCTGTGCCAGCGGATGAAGCTAGAGTGTAGGTACAGGGAACCGCAACCTACGAAGTAAGTACGGAAGCAACTTTCAAGTAATATATGGAGCTCAGGGGACACCAGTGGGTTTGTGCGGGACTTACTTAGTGTTCTCCAGGAAAGATAAGACTCTCGTTGAAATACTGGACCGCTTGAAGAGCCTGGAAGGCAAAGTTGATCGGCTACCCACTTTTCGACCACCTGTTATGTCTGGCTTTGGACCGCCGCAGCCATCTCCTGCCAGTCAGCCGTCGTTCAGTTATGAGACTGATGAACTGTCGCCCTTTCAAACTTCACATCGACCGTCTCAACAACCGAGTCCCAGCGGGATTGGGAGGAATCAACCATATCGCCACACTTCTGCAGCTCACAAGTTGCTAACGTGGCCTGCCATTCAGCAGCTTTTGTTGCAATCTCTACCGTCGAATGTGGGAGATTTAAAGAGCCTTGAGCAGGAAGGATCAGCATTTCTGATTGGAATCGAGGAAGGAACGCCGGGTTTACCTTTAGATGATGCTTTGCAAGATAGACCTTTTGTTGGCATGCAGTCGCAAGCAACCAGAACCTCTGGAGGGGCGCGAGTGATCTTCCCAGCCTTGACCCACGACGTAATGCAGCGTTTGGCAACCCATTATTTTGACACCTTCAACCTTCTCTACCCCTTATTAGACAGGCAGACTTTCCTCTCAGACACTCTGACAAGAGTACATACCGAAGGGTTCGATGGGGATACAGACTCCGTCATTGCACTGCTTGTCTTTGCCCTTGGAGAACTCTCAATAGAAGGGTCCTGCGGTAACCCCATTGAGATCCATAAAGGTCGTCCCAGTGGTATTAGGGGCGGAACGGCAACAAGGCCCCCGGGTTTGGCGCTCTTCAATGAGGCAAGGAAACGCATTGGATTCGTGCTGACAGAATGCGAACTCGAAAACGTCCAGATCTTCTCTTTAGCAGCGTATGTCATCTCCCTCTATCGTCAACCCCGTGTGGTGAATACCGAGGCTCATTTGTCCGCTGGTAGGCTTTATTATCAATCTTGTTTTCACCACGTCGTAAGTGAATTTCATTATTTGCAAGGAAAAGGCTCGCTTGGGACTCATGCACCGCAATCAGGATTTCTGGAGAATGGCCGTGTCAGCGTCTCTGGCCTGTAAAGTATTAGTCACGTGGTATGTGTTACTACCTACCTTGTCTCCCAGAGTGTTCTGCTAATTGAGCCTCAGTAAACCGATTGACTGGAGTTCTCCGAGAGGAGATCTTGTTAAGCGCGCTTATTGGCATTGCGCAATGATGGAGACGTGAGCCCTCTTCTTTTCTCCTTCTTCTCAATGAAACATGCCGAGCAACGCCTCACCAATCGCAGAGGGCTCTATCTCGAGCTTGACTTGCCGCCAACTGGTCTCGTAAACATCGAACATCGAGTAGGCATTCCTAATTTCAACAGCCCCTTCTGTGAAGCAGATGATAGAGCGAACCAATCTTCACATTTCGAAGCCCATTACGCTTCTCAGGTTGCCCTTCGACGGCTGTGCGTCAACTTACACCGGACCCTCAACGATTGTAAGTTACCCCGGTTGCAGTTGGATTCACCTCCTAATATATTGCTAATCACATTGCAGCAGCGTCTAATAGTAATACGCCTTCCTCATCGACCAATGACGACTTCGGCGGACCTACATCGAAAGCCCTGGACCAACTCTCATTACAATTTACACAATGGCGGGCGTTACTTCCGCGGGATTTGCAGTGGGCCGAAGATGATCCTGCTAGCTTTCCAACCCCTCAACCAGCGAATTTCGGGGTTTTCAACCAACCGCTGGACCCGAACCTGTCGGCCCGCACTGGTCACTCTAGCGTCCCATTGTTCACTGCAGACTTGAACAGTGAGCCAGTACATTACCCGTACGTCTATGATATACAAGTGGCTTTACTGAGAACGAGGTATTACTACGCAAAGTATATGGTGTATCGACCATATGTGTACAAAGCTCTGCACTTCCCCGAACTGATGACCCAGGAGGATGCGGAAGGAGCCGCGGAATGTCTACGGGTACGTACAGCTATATAATCTGAACCTCATGAAACCTGCTGATGCCGAATCAAGTCGTGTCTAAAGTGGCCTTTGGTACTTTCTCCCACCTCTCGTCGTAAGCGACTGGTACCATACCTCTTCTGCTGGTCACAGACTTTCCTGGGTATTCTCCTCATCCTGCAATTGACGCAACATAATCCAATGTTGAGAGACATACGGGCACAATTCTGCGGGCCGAGGTTCGAGGCCGAAATCGACCAGACGGTAGAGACCATGATTGATTGGATCAGAGATCTGAAGAGTAGCGATTCAATGGCTATGTGGTGTTGGAATGTTTTGCAAGCTATATATCACCTTGAGTTGTGAAGGCTGATGAAAGATAACGACAACCGATATGATATACACGTGTTATGTGTGGGAAAAGGCGTAGAAGGGACTTACATGAGAATATCTAGTCATGAGGTGTACAACTGCGGGTAGCAGAGGAATGGCGTTTCGACACACCAGCTGATTAGAGCGTTTCCGGGTACACTTCTTCAGGCTACTTACACATCCGCGATGAATAGCATAGATGCTTAAAAGTGACATATTTGATGACCTATTAAATCGTAAGATATCTAGAAATCTATAACTTGGACTTCTTCGCAGCTCTTGGCTTCACGAATGAATCACCCAACAAGTAATCCGGATAATTCGATGCGCCCATACCGCCTGGTGAACGCCAATTCCCACCATCAATAACAAGAACTTCGCCATTAACGAAGTTCCCAGCATCGCTAAACAAATACACGGTCCCGTCGGCAATCTCTTTCACAGACCCATATCTCCCCAATGGGATTTGCTTGAATGCAGAACCAGCTGCTTCTGCCTCTTTATTCCCTAATCTATCCATACCTTCCGTGCCCGCAATTGGGCCTGGCGTGATAACATTCGAGGTAATTCCTCGAGGTCCGTATTCAATTGCGGTTGAGGCTGATAGTGCGTCGACACCGGCCTTAGCTACAGCAGCATGTGCTTGTAATGGCATTCCTGTGAAATGGAAGGAAGCAGAGATGAAGATGATCCTTCCACCAGTCGAGGAGTTTGTTGCTGTATTTGGGTTCTTGGCAGCAGATATGAGAAGTTGCGGGAGCGTGGCTTTTAACGTATTGAAGGAGCCTAAGGTGTCGATATCAAGTACCGCCTTGAAGGCGTTTGATGAGAGGCCAGCAATGGGAGCAAGAAAGTTTCCTGCTGCTCCGGCTCTGTTACTATTGTTAGTATAATCTCTCGTCTCATCATCCACATCCACTCCTTGGGACAACTAAGATTCCATACATGACAAAGTCGATACCACCCAACTCCTTTACACATCGATCAACCGCACTCTCCAATGTCTCAATCTTCCGGACGTCTACAGCTCCAATGCCAATGACCTTTGCTCCTTTGCGTGCTGTCGCTATGCTTTTGGCCATCCTCTCTGTCTTCTCGACATTTCGCCCGATAATACAAGCGTTCGCGCCTAGATGAACCAGAGCCCGGACCTGCGCACTGCAAATTGAACCCGCTCCACCGGTGCAGAAGACGACCTTGTTATCTGGAAATTGAGAATCAGCCGGTGAATGATAAGGAAAGATACGGGAATGCTACCGAAAATGCCATCTTTCCAGACATTTGAGAGATACTCTGATCTGGGGACGGCCATGGTGTCGCCTCGTCCGTAGCACTCAAGGGATCAGTATCTGGTAATTGATACTGGAATAAGAAGATGTCAAACTCGACAGTCGATCTTCTCAATGCTGGTGAAAGGGGATGGAGCAAAGAGGCCAGGAATCGTCCCCCGAGGTACCACGCCGCACCTGAATATCTGGGGTAAAGAGCCTCGGCTCGCTGATTAGTAAACTGCCCCGTAGGCCTAGGGTCGCCACAGGCTGCCAGGCACACAGGCAGTCTTTAAGGCACCAAGATATTCGGGATCTTTCATTGGTCCTTACCCTCGCTGACGACGTCAAGCATTCTCGATCACTGTCGTTCGAGCCTCATCACCATTTCTTTTCTTTTTAAATCTAGACAAGACAGAGACTCGATTCGTGCCCTCTAGACTAGAGTGTCTGATCTAGAATCATGGCCTTAAGAACGGTCGCAACTCTGAAATTCGTGGGATCTATCTCACTGGGCCTCCTCACCGTATGATACCCCTCCAAGCCGTCCCGAGCAAGGTCTCTTCGATCCGCAGCTCCTATTCCGCAACTTGCCCTTGATCTATTTACAAAGCTGATACCGAGCCATCGCAGGGCCTCTCATACACCCTCAGTACTCTCACTCTTCCAACTCTCCTCACCCTCCCCTCCGCCACGAGCGCGTCGCGCGCCTTCGCAGACCTCGCCACCGTCTCCCTAACGCATGTACGGGCTCTCGCCGGAATCTCCAGCTCGTCATTCTTGCTCGCCTATTTCCTGTCTCCTCGCAATCAAAAGCACCCTTATCTCCTCTGGACGACAGCCTTCGTTGCTTCCTCGGGATTTATGGACTTGATCCTGCGGCCTTCCTCTACCAAAGCTATCGCCGACAGCCGGACAGCTCAGAAGACAGGCGAGAAGAAGGGGAAGGCCAGACAGATGGATGCGAGCTATGAGGTGCTGGGACATGATAGTAACAGCGAGGGGACGGTAAGCGGAGAGGAAATGGAGGAGGAGGTGAACGGTGAGGAGGTCAGGGGACAGATGGAGAGCTTCATGACGAGCCAGATTGCGAGGACGGTTGTTGCTTCAGTGGGATTTGCGATGAGTGTTATTGGCATCTGGGGCGATGGGGCGACGGAAATGGTTTTCATCGAGATGTGAACAGGTAATGGATCTCCGGAGGAATGGTGACATGACTAGGTGAAGCGTGACATAGGATTGGTGCTATTCATGACTAGGAGTCTGGGGCTGCGTTGGTAATTTGTTGTACCTGGGAGAGCTCTGTTCTTTACTCAAATGCTACAAGCGAAGCCTAAACATTAGAGGCTTATATGTCTGCTCTTCCCCTCTTGCTTTTTGAGACTTGGTTGACTGGTGCCAGTATACATATCATTCGTCTTCATACCTGCCTGTGCCGACAACCAGAAATCTTGCTTGTGGGTTCTTTGGGGTTATGGTCGTGTAGATATTGTCCCAGTAATGAAAAATCAATAAACTCATGCTTTTCTCCCCGGTCATTGATGCCAGGGACTTTTGAATGTGTTGAACAAAGGATTGGCAACGATTGCAAGGGGCTTAGTAGCTAATATCTATACTCCAATTCTAAGCTGGCTATCCTTTTGCCCAAAATATCTCCAGCCGACTTTCCATAAGGTCTCATCACATGCATGGCAACACAAGGCTAAGACGATGCGGAAGTAAAACCGCTCATCCCCCACGGTGAGCAAGTTACTGCCAGGCCGGGTGAACTATTCCAGGTGAAGCGCAGTTTGATACCCCCGCATCTGTTTCGAATATCTCACATTGCCCCTCACTAGGACGTTTAGGATGCCATTTCAAGGGATATCAAAGACGTGTTGATCGTCCACAACTTGCGAGATACAACTGCCTCGAGATTTTGAGCGCTTACCTCTCTGCAATGAACCAATTGCTCAAGCTTCGAAGGGAGACGACTTTCGACTCCCGTGAGTCCCGTCGCTCAAGACGCCGCTGCAAATGCAAATGCAAGGACCCCGCTTTCCCGTCCCCCATGTTTGCATGTCTCATGAACAGTGCTCAGGGTGATCAAAGCACGAATTTCAGAAAACGGAAATCTACCGAGTACAGCGTACAGTAGTAGTATCTTCCCTTGCGAGTACTTACATATACTTGCCTAAGAGGGCGGGAGACCAGGTCTTTTGCTGATCAATGCACGTCTATACCAATTGCATCTCTATACCAAGAGGTGTGCGGCTCCAGGGATTCCAAATTCCCGCGAGGCGTTCCTAACGGCTGTGTAAAGGGTCCTTTCTTCAGGGTCTTCTTATATTATAACCCCCCCCCATTATTGTTCTCTCATGCGCGCTTTGGCTCGGCTCTTGGCCTGATGTCCCTGGCATTCTTCAAAAGAACCCAACTACTAGTTCAAACATCGGAGCCCACGATCGCCGTCGCAGCTACTGCGGAAGAGCAAGCCACCACATGGTTAGTTGTGAGCTGAGGAGGTCTGGGCATAAGTAGTGGCATAGGTAGTGAGTGGACTTTGGCGTCTTGAGCTAGCTTTGGAGCCGTGGCGGCGAAGATGTTGGTAAATTGGACCCATTTCGAGCACCACGAGATCTCGCACCATACCACGAGGGATGAAGAATCGGATCTACCCGTGGATTCTCCATCAGCTTCGTGTTCGTGTCGTGGACTTGTGTTTTCGCGGTAAGGTGGGCGCGGGTTTGCTTTGTTGTAGCTAGTAAGAAGCTAGAAATGACGCAGTAGGCAGAGAAATTTAATATATTTTTTCATGCAGTTGACACCTGGCTCCACATCAACCGCTCAGATATGCTTTCGTGTCCCCCTCCAAATCCCCAATTCCTCATCAGCAATTTCATACCTCCCGCAAATCTTTTGAAGATCCCGCTTATACCTTCTTGACTCCTCAAGTCAAAAGACCCCTACTTCATATTATCATGCTATAAAGAGTGGTGTAGCCAGTTAAATTGTCAACGCTGGAATCATGGCCGGCACCCCGTACTTTTGGGCTGGGGAAGGGCGCGTGACTTGCTTATGGGGTACAAGGTTATCTTTGATATATGCAGCCTCTCCGTTGGAGGTGTGCCGATAACTACTCCATATAACGCCGACGAGGCTCATAATCCACGTTCTTAACACGCTGAGAATCATCTGATCAGCACATGCAAGCATGATTCGATGGATGAAGCAAGTATCGGTACGTGAGATGTATGATTGGATATATCTCGCGCCATATAGAGAAACTGATTCTCCAGCTCCTGGCCCTCGTCCTGAACTTTCCTGGTTCCATCAGACTCCCTACCCCGTTTCCCTGTATTCATCACACCATCCCAGTATAGTCTCATACTCCCTCATTCTGTGCCAACCTAGGGTATCGGTACAATTCTCGTGACACGAAGTGAGGTCGTAGAATTAGTGCATAACAGAAGCCCATCGTATCCAAAACATCCGTGCCATTTGACTCCTTGCTGAGCCTCATCATAACTCATGAGTTCCCCCAAGTCAATGAGACGAATGGCGAGTATCAAGCGACTGAAAAACGTAGCCTATCCAATATATGTACGGAATATCGTAGTCTGAGGCGCATCGTGTATAACCCATGTCATGTGAAATTATCTAGAGCATAATGGACAGCGGCCTGGCACGAGAATGTATCGTTCGTGGGGACTTCTAGGACAACTATCGTCCTTCTTGCCGTCGAGTGAGGTCCTGAAAAAATGAAACCCTGGATCTATACATGAAGTATAGACGTAGAAGTTCTTGGTGTATTCGCACATCGCAAGGGAGGTTTAGGTCCGACTATGGCTGTCTGTACACGCAAGTCAGAACTGGATACAGGTATCCGCCATAAGGGAACAGAACGAAATTATATACCTTGGAATACACATGTGCTATCAGACCGAAAAGCGTCAGGGTTTTTGGAGGTCCAAGAGTGACAGCGGGATAGAGTGTTGGTGACGGGAACTAGTGGTTCACGGCGTGCCACATGCCTTATATATAGGAAATTGAGTTTGAAAAATAACGATGCAAAATATAATAAAAGAAAAAGCAATGAAAAGAAATTTAAGATATAGCGGTCGTCCTTCTTGTTGGGTACCACCAAGCGTTACTTACGTGAGAAGCAAGGCCTGGACCATGGGCACCAATTGCACCAAGTGCTGTGCAACTTTCGAGCTTCGAGGGCAGTAGATATGCAACTGAGCGGGAGGGTGCGGCAAGTCGGGCCAGCATCGAAGAATGAGCGGGTTGAGCTGCGAGGGTGATCCGCCGCTACTTGGGAGCTCGGGCGACGGAAGGGCAGCGATTCAGCTCTCCCCCATTGAGGTCCCAGACACTGGATCCCTGGCCGCTCCTCTGAGGGGTACCTTGTGGGCACGAATATGTGACATCGTGCCGGTGGGAGAGGGGCACCGGGGCGGCCAGGTGGAGGGGCACGAGCGGAGTCGTGAAAGCAACATGTAGCAACCGCTGGCAGGGAGAAAGCGATGTTTATATCAAAAAGGGCGTTCCATAACACACAACGTAGACGTTACTTTCTCCAGGGTACTGGGTAGTCCGTAGGGGGGTGGCCTCGAGGGTTGGTTGAGCGGTGCGTGGAAGAGGTCTGTCCGGAGCTTCGAGGGATGATATTCATGATATTCAACGGGAGTTGTGGTACACTAGACTTGATGTGGACTAGGAGACGGAAACTCTGGGACTGACGTCGCGCAGGTGAAGACAAAGCAAGGTACGGACGCTGCACTCTTAGGGTTAAAGGATTCTACTTCTCTTACTAACTTGACCCTCAAGACGTGCATCTTTCTTCCCGCAGTGCGCCTTATCTTACCTTATCCGGCTATATCTCCGTCGTCAGAGGGGAGATGGCGGTATCAAAAGTGCGAAACGCAAGGGTCAGACGGGCTTGGACGGCCCTTGAAGCACACCTACGGAGTAGAAGTACGGATAATACCGACATATGTACCTCAGTTACATGATCAGTCAGAATTCTCCCCGCGATCTGATCGATAGAAACGTTTTGACAGCTTTGACAGCTTTGACCGTCGATCCTCTTGCGGTGGCGTGGCCAAACGCCGCGCTCTGACAGTGTGGACTACATGGGCTATATGCCTTCGAGCAAGAAAGGCTGTGCAGAAGGCAGATACAGAATCTGTCAGGTTCAGGTTCCTGAAATGACACAAGCATTCAGGCTGCAGCAGGAGACCGCAATCATATTATCCTTCTTTGCCTTTCAATCGCTTCGCTCATTTCTCCTTTTTCTCCCTCCCTCTCCCCTTTTCCTGTTCGCCTCGTTTTTATTTTTATTTCTATTTCATATTTTTATTTTCTCTTAAGTTTCTGTACTTTCCAAACTTAAACTTTTCTTATCCACGTGTACTCAATCTATTCGTCATGCGCCGTCTCCGTTCTCAAAGCGTACAGCACCGGCAACATCATTGTGTGTGGCTAAACCAAGATGTCTGTCACAGGTGGGAAGATCTCCACAATTTCACCAGTGCCATCTCATTGCTCCGCAGAACGAGGGCCCAAAGCGTTAAGTTTCACCGTAGTGGTGGGTGCAAGCGCAATGGGCCAGAGTGCCGTCTTATTATACATTTCTACTTCAATGTTGGGCGCGACGCCATGGAGACTTGCAATCACAGTTCTTATCATAACATTTTGTTGCAAGGGACGTCTTAGATATCGACGTAAGTTGGTGAAGTTATCATAAAAAAGGATCCATTATCGAAAGCTTTCATTCTAGAGGACTGTGCCACTTTATCACTTCCCATTTAGTTTCCCCCTGTTGGCTTACCTGCTTGTGGTTGATTCTCGCTGGGAAATCTGAGACTGATATTCTTGAAAATAAAGTTTGGGTTACGATGCCGGCAAGTGCTCGGGCGATCAGCTCAAGGGTGTATCCCGTGGTCAGACGCTGAAGATTCAAGCAACCTTGCCCACAAGGACAAGGACCCAAAATGCGCAAAGTATGGAAGACAATTGCATTCAGTCGGAAATGCGACCCAGCATGTTGTGTACCTTACATGGGTATTGCCCTGTCTCAGCATGGAACTGCAGCCAAGATTCTCGAAGAGTAGCAAACACAGTGTTCGGGCCCAAGCCATTGGCACATTTCCAAATCAACGTGGTCATAGCAGGGCCAATGCGGCCGCTAGACCGCCAACTATCTCGGCTCCATTTCCCATACTTTGACGACCAGCATTTGGTTTTACTGAGGCACTTGACGTGGACGACCCAGACGAGGTGGACGCGTACGTCACACGGTTGGCAAATTGGTTACCCCAGAAAGACTGCAGAGGTTTCGCGCAAAATCTGAGGCCGATTCTTGATCAGTAGCATCGCATTGACCAGCAAGGCAGCCTAAATTTTCGCCCAAAAGTTAGAGCTCGAGCAGATGCATACAATATCCTGGGCAGAACATCCACCGATGGACGTGCCAGATGTGAATTGGTCAACACATGATCTCTACGCCCAAGAGTGTCAGCATGAGAATTCAAGTCACAGTGGCGGAGGATCACTCTACCGCACATGCTAGGATGGGGTGGTGTATTTTGAAGGACCGGGTCATGGAATTCGTCCCTGGTATGCAGTCCAGGTATTCTTGACTATCTCAACTGATTGTTGTTAAGCACGATTCGATACTTTGATGATCTTGAGAAACCGCAAGTAGCGACATTTGAACACTCTGGCTTGAAATACGACGCATCTGGACCGGCTTCCATCATTCTGATCCCACAACCAAGTGACGACCTAGATTATCTTCTTGTATGCATTTCCTTGTCATTTAAATTACGTTACTTATTGACCTGGTCAGAACTCTGTGGAAACGAGATGTCATTCTCGTCGTTCTTTCGCTTATCTTAATCTCCACGACACCCCTCGGTCCCATCCTTGCTACAACACGTTGACACTTTCTTTTTACTTCCGTCTTAAATTCACAAATATTGTTATTCTTACAGGCTACCTCTTTCTTGGTGTAGGAATTGCAGGAGAAATATTTGTTCCGTCCTCCAGAGTATGGGGGAAAGCCCATTTGTCTCTTCTCGGGACCATTATTTCTATATTCTCAAGTGCCTGCGGTTGGAGACTTCTACTTCGTTCACGTGCATACAATTATACCCCTTTTTACCATGAAGTTGTTGATTCTGATAGTGGCATGCTTTTGCAGAAGGGAGGCAAGCGTATGGCTCTGACAAACCTGGCAGTTTATGGCGGTTCGGTTTTCACCCCCGTTCTGGTCGGCAAGATCACCCATACCATCGGATGGCAATGGACGTTCTACTTCGTTGCCATATTGTCGAGCGCCTGCCTACCTCTTGTCTTCCTCAGGAAACTTCATACCGTCGCTCTACACCTCAACCGACGCCAACACACTAAAGAAGAGCTTTCTGCAGACACTTTTACCTGCCGATGGCAGAAAATCAGATGAAGGCTTTTCAGGTTCGTAAATTTCACCATCCTTCTGTGTCATATATCTGGCGCTCGATTATCGGGGCAGTTGCTGGTAAGTCCATCACTCAGGATCCATACTCGCAAAACTAATTTCTCAAAGCATCTCTATATATCGTTGCCGCTCATCTTAAGTCCCCCCCCAAAAAAACCTCCTTAAGATTCTAGAATAACAACAATTAAATTACTAAAACGGTTTTAGTGACTGTTAGAATTCCAAGTTCTTACTATTGGAAATATATATTGTCTATATCGAAAGATTCTGACGCAGGTTTTCATTTCAACCAGTTCATCATTCATAAAAAGTAAATGGTTTTCCAGTCCTTTCACTTTCAGCCTTGATCCGCGCCCTCGCCTCCTCATTCCCTCTCTTCCACATCTCAATCCTCAACAAATGCGCCGCGTCGAACCGCTCCCTCCACCATTTCTCAAACTTGGGCAGGGGTCTCCCCTTTCCGTCCTTCGGTTCCCCAGCCATCTTCCTTATCTCCTCGAAATATTCCTCGAAATCGGGATACAGGGCTGTGAAGGGTACTCCATCACCCTTGTATGCAATCCTGTCTTCCTCCCACTTGATCTGCTCTTCAATAGGAGGGAGTGTCACTCGACCTGCAAAGAATCTGGCTGCGAGGATAGCTTGCCATTCGAACACTTTGAAAGTGAACCCTGCTGCTATTGCGCCCACGAAGCAAAGGGTTGGATCCTCACGCCAGAAAATGTGCTGGTATAGATTCGGGAGGCGGTTGTTGCGGATGGTAGCCTCAAGTTCTGGCAGGAACGGGAGAGTCCACGTATATCCTGTTCCAAAGATGATGTGGTCTACATTTTCCAGCTTCGTACCATCCTCAAAATAGACAGTTCGCTCATTGGTCTCGCGGTTCGAGGTGATGTGGGTAATGGGAGGACGCCGAAGTATATTGGGATGCTGGAATGCGTAATCAAAGAAATATGGGTGGTAGCGCCCTCGAACGACACAATTCAAGGGGGTCTCGGTGATATCCGCGAGAGCGAAGCTAATATCCGGACCTGAGATGCTTGCCCCTACGACAATGACTCGTTTCCCGCGGTATTTCTCAGGGTTGCGCCACGCTTTGCTATGTTCGACGCTGCCAGGGAAATTCTGAGAAAGCTCCGCGAGTCCAGGAGTCGCGGGGATAAATGGAACGGTATAATGCCCTGCTGCTACAACAACAGCATCGAAACTCTCGGTCCACCATTTGTCTACTTCATTATCCAGCGGTTTCCTCAGTGTGAGGACCCACTTGCCGCTCTCCTTGTCCTTATGCACCAACTCTACCGTTGTATTATAAGAGACCAAATCTTGATACCCCTTTCTGTTCAAAAGGTCCTGTATATACTTTCTGACCACTTTCCAATGACGGAACGGCGAGTCCTTGCCATGTCTTGAGATATTGAGAGCAGTTCTTTCTTCGGGGAAGGGTTCCTGCGAGAAGGACATTGCAAATGAGTCGATGTTCGTCTCCAGGGTTGGATAAATTGACGTCTCCGAGAAACGGTATTGGGTGTTGCGGGGAGCTGTAGTTGGAAGCTGGGGCGGAATTGGAAGAGGATCATCTGGCTTGCGCGCAGCAATCTTTTCGAAATCCGGTATTTGTTGGACTTGATCTTCTGGGTCCCCGATCCTAGGGAGGATTAGAATCGGGTTTGAGAAGGCTGAGGGGTACTAACCAACATCCACCCGCATTCTCTCTTCTTTCGAACAGCCGAATGGAATCGAAAGCCTGCTCTTGTGCTAAAGCATCCACGGTTATGGCACCTGCTGGGCCTGCGCCGATGATAGCAATGGATTTGATAGGAGCCATGTCTACTTGAATAAGCCTGCCTCTTCCACTTAGATATTGAGAGCACCACGAAACCACAGATCAGGAGGGGAGACCAAGAATGCTCTGTGTCATTGACGGCTTGACTTTATAGGAAGAATACATGCTGTTCTGGCAAGGTACAAGAGGAGAGACTAAAAAATAAAGATGGAGGCTGCCCTGGATGGTGCAATACTTGCAGCACGCCTTCTGATGGGTCTTATCTACCCGCCCCTAGTCAGAGACCCTAGAGGATTCGGGCAGAAGGGTAGAGAGCAAGAGAAGACGGAGAGAAGCGCAATAAGCAAAGATCCCTATGGAATGGTCAATCACTGACATAGAACAGATATCTCTATTGATTTGACTGATGTTCGAGGGAGTTGAAGTGAAGTCGGCGCGCAGCCCAGGTACAACTGATACTGGATGAGCTAGACCTATGTCTGATTAGTGATTAGAAGAGAGAGGGGAGACCCCGCTTCGCGCTTCTCCGTCCCACCGTACCGGGGGGTGTCTCCATGATAGAATCGAGTGGCTTTATGAAAAAGGCCCCTCGCTAGAACAGGGGAGGACACTGGTGAACCCCCTTCCTGCTCATCCAAATGATAAATGCAGGTCAACGAGCAGTTGCGCGATCTCATTTTCTTCTATCCATTTCCCTGCCAATTCCTAATGTATCAGGTATTGCCCCGCCCGAGAGGACGCGTGAAATCATTGTCGTCTTGGAGATGCGCCATGATGGGGACAGGATAACAAGAAATGCAATAAAAGAGCAATCAATATTTAAAAGGGGGGCAGAAGTATCGAGGAACGGTGGTTTAGTACAGTAGATTCCATATGAGGATATTCATAAACCTGTGTTTCCCTACGCATATGGTGCTCACGCTCCGCCATGCGTGATTTGATATTCTCCATCTCCAGACCGTTTGACCAAATAATCGTACATTCCAGAATTCCAAAGAGCCACCCGCTACTCAGACCAGTTCCCTTGTTCTCTCCAGCATGCACAGTTAGAGGATATTCGCAAACCCATCCGAGCTTTCATCAATACTGACGTTCCTCGTGCCAGCCTGCCCCTTCTTCTTCAAGTGTAGCAATTCTCCAGCCAACTCCTCACAAACGTTCGACGCCTGCTCATCCCCAAACCAACGGCACAGCCTCTTAGCCGCCTCTCCAACCCTTCCGGCATCCCTCTCATCCCCTAATACACTCGACTCGCTTTCTCCCTCCTGCTCATCACACCCACGGTCCTCTCCCTCAAACCCACGAACCACGATTTCACCCCATGCATATAAATCCTTCATGGTGCGCACGGCAGCCGCTTCGGCTCTGTGGGGAGCCATAACATCTCTCCTTGCTTTGCGCCAGACGTATGTGGAGATCACCGAGATGTTGTCCATTAGCGTAGGTCCTCGTCCTGCACTAGGTGAGGGATACGGGTAATAGCGAGCCCCTTGCTCTTGGCGTGAGCGGCGATGGTGAGGTTTCGCGACGCGATGGCTTGAGGATTGGGGGATGGAACGGATGTAGGCCGCTGAAGCATCGAGACACGTGTGGTAAAGGGTCACGATGAGGAAGTAGCGTTGTTCCGCAATGCTAACTGGAGGGCGGATAGTACTGGAGGAAACCCCTGACGCACTAGGCAATCTTGGAGGTGGCATGACATTGAAAAATGAGGCCTCGGGCTCCTGGGTGGTTTGTACGTGCCTAGTTCCTTGATGGCCCATTCGGGTGCAGTCTTGGTTCGGAGGGTCCTGGCAAGACGAGGTACGGCCCAACAGCGAACTGATGTTGGGAAGAAGACAGTTCGAAGCTGGAACTATTGTGGTGTGGTTACTGAAGCCGGGGGCTGGGTTTGTATTAGAAGCCATGGATGGAAACCCACTATGGCAAGAACAAGTGCGATCCATCTCAACCTGTTGTTCTTTCATAGACCGATTGCTGGGGGATTCAGCACTTTGGACTGAAGTTGTCATTTCTTCATCGGTTGGATTGTCATGATTGTCATCAATTACCGTGACCCCGTGATACCTATTTCCTGGAGGTGATGGATTTGCTCGAGTGTGGGTACCCATATTGATTAAATTGGACACCGCGGTACGATGTAGAGGGCGAGGTGTAGTCGGAGGAGACCGAGGAAACTGGGTGTACGTGTGACGTAGATGATCAATTGAAGAAGGGGCGTTGAATCCGTGGCGTATACCGCCGAAGCCACTGAAGTTGTTGATATAGTTAGCGTTCGGAAGAGGAACCCTGGGAGGCTGCATGTTATTGGGCAATCCTTGGAGCAGATTCCTATCGTCTTCCGGGTCTCCTGCCATGCTGTAGACTGTAAATAACATTTGGGCGAAGGGTGTACAGATCAGGATGACTGGTGGCAATTTTATGGTGATTAGAAGAAAAGCAGAAGGCACGAATGTTTTGTAGGACGATGAGCTGAATCATATATGGGAGCCTAGCTCCTGAAAGAACTCTTCAAGAGTTATCTGGATATCGCTGGAGATAATACTGAAAGGCAAGAAATCTATGGAACGACTCGGATGATGCATGGAACCACCAAAGAAGAAAAGCTAGAGACAGTTCAAGGATGGAAGTTCTACCAAAAGGGTATGAAACATCTGTGCTTTGATTTCTCCCTACTTCTATGCGTTCCAAATAACAACTCTTCCATCAACACCACTCGCTGGACGTCGTTAGCCTATTCTTTAATCTAGATTCTGATTGCAACTTACTGCTGAATTTTCGAACAGCACCACCTGAGCCCTCGTAAACACGGATAGTGCTGATAGTATTCTGATGCACAGTCTTCAACTGCGTGTCATCTTTAGTCTTTCCTTTCAAGTCCATTTGCTTGAACATATTGAAAGCGGTCTCTTCCCGGGCATCTCCGGGTCCAGCTCGTCCCTTCGACTCCAAGGAACCGGTAAGCTGCCAACCTCTCTCATTGCCCTTGAATCTATAGGCCTCGCAATCATGTCCTGCAGCAATAATCTCACTCTCGCCATTCCAAATCAGACTCATGAAAGGCAGCAGTTGGGTGCTAACGCTAATGACTGCTCTCGGAGGCTCATCAGCCCCATTGGGGTATACAACGGTAATACTACTGTCGTGAGCTGCGAACGCCAGCGCATCGCCACTAGGAGAGAAAGAAACAGCATGAACCCAGCCAGCCGAATTGTTAAGGTACTCTCCGCAAACCGTGTTAAAGGGCAATCGTTCTCCCCATACACCGGGCTCTGGTCTTTCATCTACACCCTTAATGAAGCTTGAGAACACTCTAGCATGTGCATCGGTGGAGCCAGCTGCCAAGAGTACCGAATTGGGATGCCATGCAACGGTGGTAATTGTGCTTCGAATAGGCTTCTTGATATGCTTTGAGACCCACCAATCGTTCTCTTCTTCGAAATAGCATATCGCGATCGCTCTCGCCCCGGATCCCACGGCGAATTTCGTTTCGGAAGGAGACCAGCGAACAGATGTTGCCGCGCGATTGATACGGAGCAGGACAAGTGTTGGCTTGTAGCCAGTAGGAGATGGTTCCCATACAAGCGCGTTCCGGTCTGTACAGGTTGTCTGTCAGGCACGGCAAGGCAGTCTTCAAAATTGCGGCATACCTTGAGAGCAAGTCACAATCCTTCCACTTTTCAACGCAATATCAACACTCGTAACAGTCTTATCATGACCTTTCAGCTCGTCTTTGAGCTTGAACCCATTGCCTGTGCGTGCATAAAGTTCGACACTTGTGTCCCGTGCAACAGCCAACGTCTGCTTGTCGGCAGAGAAGGAGTGATCTGCGATTGGGTGGTGAAAGAGATGGTGAACCTCAGGGGAGGCCATTGCCGGTGTCGTTGGATGATAGGAGGAGCTCTCTACTATCAAAGTGCTGAATGAAAGTTGTTGTTGACTGAGAGTCTGAGAGTGACGACAAGCCTGGAGAGGTGTAGTGGGGTTGGTGCCTGAGGGGCGAGATCTACCCTAGCTCGTTCTGCCCGTATGTGCCTTTTAGGTAAATTTCTGAAGCTGTAGAGACGGCCGACCTTCGAATCCAAAGGAGGCGCAAATCCTCCCTCATAACGCACTTGGAAATATCTTGACATAACCCGTCATTTGCCAAATATTTCTCCGATAATGGCTGCGACAGCTACTAGAGGAGCAACGGCTCCTGGATCTAAGGTCTCCTCGAAAGCTCCCACATATCCACCAAATCAGACTCTCTATATCACAAACCTCCCCTCCTCGAAAATACAGAAGTCCGATTTGCGCATCTCGCTCTACACGCTTTTCTCTACTTATGGCCCAGTTCTCGATGTTGTAGCTCTGCGAACTATGAAGATGCGCGGCCAGGCTCACGTTGTTTTCCGAGATATTCAAACGGCGACTCAAGCCATGAGGGCACTACAGGGATTTGAGTTCTTTGGCAAAGAAATGGTCAGTACCTGATTCTTATTTCTGCCCCTTCTCCAGCTGTAGCTGGCGACGATGACTGACCGGGCCTCCTTTTAGCAAATCTCGTACGCGAAGTCGAAGTCTGATACTATTGCAAAGCTGGACGGGACATTCCGTATGCCATCTGCTGCTGCGGGCGAGGTTACTGCAACAGAGTTGCAACAGAGCATTTTCAATGCACCGCCTTCTGCTGCAACCACAACCACGGGACAGACTGGTGGCACCTTGAAGCCTCCTACAGGAGATCAAGCGCCTGAGGGTGCAAGAAGCCCGACTACGAGTGTGGCAGGTCAGAAAAGGAGGAGAGATGAGGAAGATCATGAGCCAGAAGAGGATAGTGAAGGCGACGTTGCTATGGAGGAGGATAGTGACGACGAAGAATAGGGGTTAAAATGGATGATATATGCATTACGAGGCGTTTGGAGTTGGAAGCGATTGAGTCTCACATTGGTCTGGCACTTGCAACTGAGCCACGGATGGCTAGAAGAGGATACCAAAAAGTGAAGGGGGAAATATCATTTCCAAGAATATATCACGAGCACCAGATTCCACCCATCATCCCATGGCGGTGCACAACGTCTTGAAGTACCCTAAACATTCGAAACACTAAATTAAGACTGGCGAACAGCTCTATTATCATTGATTTCCCGCGTCATCTATAGCCATTTCACGGGGTACCCACAGTCCAACGCAGCCTCCAACTAAACCAAGCCATACCATCAGATAATCCGCGATTGGGCAATCAAAGTTCTCCATAGCTTCTTTCGTCTGACATGGATGAATAAAGAAGGATGGAACATCTGTAATTGGGTGCGGCTATCGATGCTTGTTACTAATGCGATATGGGATGATTATACTTAGGTAGAAGTCTTACTGCAGCTGATATTCCTCCAGTTATACCCGCCGCGCGGAGTCGACTTTTAAACTCGTCCGGTACGAGGTACCTATAGACTGAATCCAGGTCAAAGCTTGGCTCGCCCATTGGAAGGTCATGTAGTGTGAACCACAACGTAGGCACGTTGTAAGTTTGGTGTAAATGGATTTCATAAGTCACGTATGGCTGATGAGAATACAGGGCGTATTGTGGAGGAAGACCTGGCCCTGGCGGGACAATCGAATTTGGCCGCAGAGCTTCCTACATATGTAGATTAGTCCAAGCTCTTATAATAACATGTAAACCAACACTGACTTCATCTGCGTCTTCACTGCGGCTATCTATCTCCATCTCACATTCAGAAGTTGAAACATCACCACCCAGCTTCTCAAGGGCCCGTGACAGATCATCTTCATCTTCAGGAAGCTGGATCAATCGAAGAATCTCAATAAAAGAGGCCCCCGTTGTTGCAGCTCTCCTAGGACGGATCTTAAGCATCCGTCTTTTGGGCCCTAACTTTGCTCTGATATATTTCTGATCAAAGAAAGCGCAGGCAAGCTCAAACTCCTCTTGAGTGAGGAACGGCCATTGACGGTACTCATCGTGATGAGACATGGTGAAAGGCAAAAGGCAAGTCGTGTTAGACAGGGCCTTTCTCAGTGGTCATTTGAAGGAAAACGCGAGCGATGAAGTTATTCTCAGGCCAAACCTATCCTTACCCCCGAACTCACTGCAGCAACCTCTAGGTCCATTAATGTAGAAGTGGATAAATACTTCACTGCGACCTCGCTCAATATGCCTGGGTATATGCTTGATCGAAGTAAAAGTAAACGCGAAGGAGGCTCCTTTTGATTTGCGTAGTCATCAGATACGACTCCGGAAATAGGAGTCGGTGGGCAAGGCTGACGACGGAAGTGTCTCTACGTCTCGGTAAACAGGGGTCCTTCGATACAATTGAACGGGCAACGTGTAATATTCAACTGCACCTTAGCAACCAACTTCTTGTTGACGCTCCTTCATTGTGCCTGTGCTTACAGTCGCTCCTTACAGACATGGTCCAGCCTATCCAATGAACGTCCGCGATCCCTTCGATCTCCACCGTTCTCCCGCTTTCAACATCATTCGAGGGACCGCGAGGCAAGCCGCCGCACACGTTTCACAGAGGGTCAGAGAAGCTGGTGCACAAGCCATAGAAGCTGGTACGCAAGCCTTGGAGACGGGGAAGCAAGCGGTCGAAGACATGTCATCCTTCTCGATACCGAAAAATGTACCCTCTTTCACAGATCCGCAGCGAGAAATGGAAAACAGAGCCTGGGGAGCTTCGGGAATGACAGCAAGATCAACCCATGTACATACGAACGGTGGCGTAATCAGTGGCATGCAAGATAAGGTGGGAACCTTTTTTGAAAAGAACAGGGATCTGCCGATGTATAAAGACAAGCCTTACTCGTACGCGTCTTCCCGGAGGCGCCAACCGCTGTGGAGGAAGAAGAGGGTGCTGGGCATCGGCGCAGTTTTCGTTGTTTTTGTATTATACTTACTGGGGTTCTTTGATTGGAACTGGAAACCGAGGGCAGAGACAGGGCCTCAGATCGACTGGCTGGGCCGCAGGGAGAGAGTCAAGGAAGCATTTACTTTGAGTTGGGATGCATATGATCGATACGCGTGGGGTAAGTGTACTCCCACTCAGACATATCTGGAACCTTACACAAGATTACTAACAACCATGTGCGCAGGGTATGATGAATTCCATCCAGTGTCAAAACAAGGGAAACAGATGGCGCCCAAGGGGATGGGATGGATTATAGTGGATGCATTGGATACGATGATGATTATGAACCTGACCAGCAGATTGTCGCATGCAAGAGAGTGGATGGTCAAGTCCTTGACTTATGATCAAGATCAAGAAGTCAACACTTTTGAGACTACCATTCGGATGCTTGGAGGCCTACTTTCCGCACACTACCTGTCAACAGAGTTCCCGGATATGGCACCTTTGGCTGATGATGATGAAGGAACAGTAAATGAGGACCTCTATGTGGAAAAAGCTAAGGATTTGGCCGACCGGTTGATGGGAGCTTTTGAATCACCTTCGGGAATACCCTATGCCAGTGTTAACCTGAAGACCTTGAAGGGTATACCCTCTCACGATGATGGAGGAGCCTCCTCTACAGCCGAGGCTGCGACCTTACAATTGGAGCTGAAATATCTGTCAAAGCTTACTGGGGAAGAGTACTACTGGGTCAAGGCAGAGAAAGTTATGCAAGTTATTGACGACAACGGTATGGAAGATGGACTCCTCCCGATTTACATTTACGCCAACAGCGGCAATTTTAGAGGCAACACTATTCGCCTGGGAAGCAGAGGCGACTCGTATTACGAGTATTTAATTAAGCAGTATTTGCAGACATCCATGGAGGAGCCAATCTACAAGGAGATGTGGGACGAAGCGCTTGCAGGTGTTCGCAAACACCTGATCACGTACTCGAAACCGTCCCAATTCACAGTCTTAGGCGAACGTCCAGCAGGTCTAGATATGCCTCTGTCCCCCAAAATGGATCACCTAGTATGCTTCATGCCAGGGACTATCGCCCTTGGAGCCACTGGAGGCCTCAGCCTCGCTGAGGCCAAGAAGCTCCCGACTTGGACTTCAAAGAAGAGTGAAGAGATGAAACTCGCGCGAGAATTAATGCAAACCTGCTGGGGAATGTACAAGATGATGGCTACAGGACTTGCTCCAGAAATTACGCACTTTAACATCGATGATCCTCCTCTCCCTCCCTCCGCGACTCACAATCCACCTGCAGCTTTTAACGAAAGCAAAGATGCTGAATGGCGAAATGACTTCTATGTCAAAAGCAATGATGTTCATAACCTTCAGCGACCGGAAACCGTGGAGAGCTTGTTCTACATGTGGAGGATTACTGGGGATGTAATGTATCGGGAATGGGGATGGGAAATGTTCCAGTCGTTCATGAATTATACGGCTGTCGAGGATGGGGGAGGATTCACAAGTCTGTCGAATGCGAATGTTATCCCACCGGTGAAAAAAGACAATATGGAGAGTTTCTGGCTGGTAAGTTTTCACACACTCCTCCTCTGCGTACTAGAAGTGGTCTAACCAGCTTGCAGGCTGAAACCCTGAAATATTTCTACCTGCTTTTTTCACCCAACGATCTGCTCCCTCTCGATCAGGTCGTCATCAACACAGAAGCACACCCGTTTCCGCGCTTCACACCCGGCCCATTATTCAAGACAGGCTGGAAAAGAAAACCCCGGGACGCAGATGGAAAGATCCTACCCGAACCAGCAAAGACCACTGAAGGGGTGGTTGCGGTGACCAAAGTAGCGAAGGTAGAGGAGGTGAACAAAGGTCACGATGCTTAAAAACCGATTATAGGGGTAAGGGCTATTAAATGGCCGGTAACGCAAATAACCGTATCTGTATCATATACTCAAAAGTTCTTACTATTGACAGTTTCTACCGGCGATTCGTTCTGATCTTGTGTGTCGAAGCTTCCAGCTCTTCAAACTGTCCCGCATGCCATCCATTCGCGGGTTGCCGGATATTTTGATCTACATTCTCAACCACCTAGCTGAATCTCAGCGTTCCAATGACATTAGAATAGCGAAGCTGGATACCTCTCCAGCTTCTTGAATAGCTCATTCGTCTCAATGATTCGTGGAAAGTCGCCTAGCAACGAGGGCCTCCTGAGAAATTTAAATCCAATCATGGATACCACCTACCTTAACTGTTCCCCCTGTTTCCGTAGGATCGAGCAAAGGAATTCAGCTGTGTCGCGTGAGCCGAGCCTTATCTGAAATGAGGCTCCCAAGCGACGACTTCTAGAATAATACCATTTTGGGACTAATGCGACGGGGTATCTAATCTAAATATTAGCGCCAAGCCCACAACGGTCACATCGCGTGACATCGGGCGGCGCTGGGCAAATCAGATTACCTCAATGCAGCCTGATGCTGACCGACTACTCCGCGCGATAAGGCTTTGCCTCTTCTGAAACTGGACCCCAGTTCGGATTCCAGTGTCAGCGATGCGATGCTATGTATACTACAACACCGCCATCACCGCCATCACCGCCATAATCTCCATCACCGCCATCACCGGCATCGTCACCATCGTGACGTCCCCATCCTTCGCGAGCCATGGTTCGCCGTCGCCATACCCCGTCGCCATACGCCGTTGCCACCGCGAGGCCCAAAACATTGTCGATTCCGTCAGGCTGCGCCAATTCAGCTACTGTGCTTTCAGGCTCGAATTGAGACCCGGACAACAGCGTGGCATCATCTAGCTCCTTGTCGCCATAGCCATCATGGGCCGTAGCGATGATATTGAGAAAAATACCGTCTCGAACAAGGAGCCTACGCCGTCGCCAGCCTACAGCCGCCGCTATGGAGGGGAACCGATTTACGAGGAGAGGACAGAAATCCAACCCAGCCTTACGCAGCGATTCTTTGACAGCTTCAAAAGGGACCCGAACCTCACCGTTACGCCGAAAGGGGCAATTGGCGCAGACGGACGGGTATTCAATCATGAAAATGCGGCCGCCGCAACTGCCAACTCGCCTTTGGCCCGACGGCTTAAGAGTAGACATCTTCAGATGATTGCCATTGGAGGATCCATTGGTAGGTGCTCCTTTGGAGACTCTCCACATGCAAGTCTGATTGTTCACAGGCAGTGGTCTTTTCGTCGCATCTGGACAATCCCTATCACAGGGTGGCCCTGCGTCGTTGCTCATATGCTTCAGCCTCATTGGGATGATGTTATACTGCACGGTACATGCTCTTGGCGAATTAGCCGTGCTGTTTCCTGTTGCTGGTTCATTCTCAGCGTACTCTACGCGATTTATAGACCCCGCATGGGGCTTTGCTATGGGCTGGGTATTAATCATCTGCCTATTAAACTATAGTGCCTGTGCTAACAGTGGTGGTAGAATTATGCTATGCAGTGGTTGGTTGTTCTACCAATCGAGATCATGTCGGCATCTATCACTATCGATTATTGGGACACTACTAGAAGATACGACCATGCAATCTTCGTGACGATATTCCTCATAGTCATTATCTCCATCAACCTGTTTGGTATCAAGGGATACGGCGAGGCCGAATTCTGCTTTTCACTTGTCAAGGTTGTTGCTGTTATCGGATATATGTGAGTTGTTTTGAGCCGATTACTACTGACACAAATTGACGTTGCACATAGTATCCTTGGTATAATATTGAATTGCGGAGGCGATCCAGATACCGGATATATCGGTGGCAAGCTCTGGCACGATCCTGGCGCCTTCCGCAACGGCTTTAAAGGGGTCTGTAGCGTGCTGGTCAATGCTGCGTTTGCTTTCGGCGGTACGGAATTAGTTGGTCTTGCAGCTGCTGAGACTGCAAACCCCAGAAAGTCTTTGCCGACAGCAGTCAAGCAGGTCTTCTGGCGCATCACACTCTTCTATATTGTTTCACTTACCCTTGTTGGCCTCCTCGTCCCATATACCGACTCGCGTCTTCTGAACAGCGGCCATCATGATACCTCCGCATCCCCGTTTGTCATCTCGATCAAGAACGCGGGGATCGAGGTACTGCCGTCTGTCATGAACGTGGTGATTCTTATATCCGTGTTATCGGTTGGCAATTCGTCAATCTTCGGTTCGTCTAGAACGCTTGCGGCACTCGCAGATCAGGGCCAGGCGCCAAAGATCTTTGGCTATATCGACCGGAAAGGACGACCGCTTGTCTCTATTGGCGTTGCTTCTGCTATGGGTTTTATCGCGTACGCTGCGGATTCTCGCTCCGAAAACACTATCTTCGCCTGGATGCTTGCCATATCAGGGTTGTCTTCCATCTTTACCTGGGGCACTATCTGTCTCGCACATATCCGATTCCGCCGGGCATGGAAACTGCAAGGGCACAGTCTCGACGAGCTCGCCTTCCGATCCCACCCTGGTGTAATCGGGTCATGGTTCGGCTTCATCTTCAACTGCCTCGTCCTGATGGCCCAGTTCTGGGTCGGTGCGTGGCCGATTGGATACGAGAACTTGACAGCGGCGGGACAAGTACGCAGTTTCTTCTTGCAATATCTGGCGGCTCCAATTGTTCTTTCGTTCTACCTCGGGTTCAAGATATGGACCCGTGTTTCCTATATGCGCTGCAAGGACATGGACCTGCAGACTGGCAGGAGGGAATTGAACCTCCCCGAGCTACTTGCGGAAGAGAGGGCCCAGCGTGCTGCTTGGCCGAAATGGAAGAAGGCCTACAAGAGGGTTTGCTGAATGATTGAATGAATATCATGCTTACGTGGCGTCCTGGTGGTATTGCGTATTAAAAGAAGGGACATGAGGCTGGAATAAGGGACAGGCGTATGGTTTTACGACATATTTTGGGTTTAGGGGGAAAGGGGGGGTGTTCTGGAAGGGTAGTTCGTCGGTATTTGTGTAGCATGACGGGTCAATGATGGGAGTTCTGGCTGTTTTGATGGGTGGATATGCACAGATACCAAGTGGGAGAGGACCCACAAGAGACCAAGCTTACCCAGAGCGATGCAGTCAACCTATTCATTGTTACCGTCAGTGGCACTCTTTGTGAAGTTTTGCCACTTGAGATAGGTACCTAGGTACCTTATCATATGTGCCATCTTTGGTCGGGTTTGGGTGAGGCTCAGCAAATGGCGGGTGCTCGGGAGCACTACTGTATGTTCTGGGCACGCTGAGACGGGTGGTCTTTGATCTACCTCACACAACCGACGTAGGCCGAGAGTTGATCTCTCATCTGTCTCGATCGTGGTGGGGGGGTGTGTGTGAACCTCGGAGGCGATCGATGCTGTCGAGTCGTCGACTCTTCTGGATCATTTCTCCGTGCAAGCTTTCCCGCGATCAGGGTTTGAGCGTTACTCCGCATGTCTCCGTGGACCAGACGGAGGTGCTCTCCGTAGATGTAAGTAACGGCCAGGACAAGGGTGCAAGGGGGTTTTGCTGTACGTGACCGCCGGTGGCTAATGCTACCCACTTACCCACTGCGCAGGGCTTTTTCCCTTTCTACGTCGCGCCTTTTTGCACAGTGGAGCGGTGGCAGCATCTGATTGGCGGGTTTGCGACGGATTAGGCGAGATTCTGGGTGCTTAGTCAGGCGGGAGGCTGGAGCGGGGCGGCGGGGGGGATCAGGGCGGAGCGGGCATAGCGGTGGTGAGGGGAAAGAGCTGGTTGATAGAGATGAAAGAGGGTGAAATAATGGAGTAAAATAAAATAAAATAAAATACAAAGGGAAAAGCAAAAGTAAAAAGCTGTAACAACAACAACAACAGATAGGAATCAATGGGAATCACATCTGCTAGTAACATCTGCTAACCACCACCACAACCACAAGCCCCGAGCAGGACCAAGGAAGAACCAACGCCGCCACACCCTCTTCAACACAACCACGGCTCTGGTTGGACGCGGCCGGGAGAAGAGCTACAGATGTCATTGTTAGGCTCGGTGGATTAGCTGCCGCTTCCAGGTTGCTGTCCGATTCCTGACATGTAGACTTTTGGCCCTTGCCTCTTCTTTTCTGATGATGCATAGCTCGACGGCCGGAGATGCTTGGGCAGCTTGGCTCAATGGCTCCAGCTTCGCTCAATGGCTCCACGGCGCCACGCGCTCGGAGATGCCGCCAGTGCGAGCTGAGAGATAAGATCTCCCCCACCGACTTGCTGCACAGCACCTACAGTCCCTACAGTACTATTGTGACATACATACCGTACAGGACATGGATTGGATACATGGGTTTGTTGAACACCCGCGTACTAGTCACTTTCGCAGACAGCTCCCCTCTTTGTCTTCTTTAGCTCTGCATCTCGGCGGCCGGCGATGCTAGAACACCTTGGTTGTCCACGGTCGACGGTCAACGGTTGAAAATTATTTACACCCACAAAGTCCCCCACCTTTGCTCTTTTCCCTTCTCCTCTCCTCTTCTTCTCTCTCGCTCTTCTCTCTGTCCTCAGTCCTCTCTTCCCTTTTCTCTGTGTCCCAGTGTTCTCTGCGTGCGCTGCCTTGACTGTGCAACTGACTGCGTCTGACAACCAACTTGGACCCGAGCTTCACAACCCCTCCCCCCACCAACCCCCCCTGCACAAGCTCTTCCGGGCTCCAACGTATTCGAGATGCACTCCAAGCAGCTGCTTGCCCTCGCATCCCTTGCGTCCTTGATCCAGGCGCAAGAGACTGTTCTCGGCGTCTACATCTTCCACCGTCATGGTGACCGCACGTCGAAGAGCTGGCCGCCTGCCTCCCTGACGGATCTCGGTTACCACGAGGTCTTCTCCTCGGGCCAGTTCTACCGCGATCGCTACATTGATGCCAACGCCTCCAACCCCATCTACAACGTCAGCCCCAACCTTGTCAAGAACAGCCAGTTGAATGTCCAGGCACCGGTAGACACTGTCTTGCAGAACTCGGCTTCTGGCTTCCTCCAGGGTCTCTACCCACCTGTTGGAGCTACCCTGGGCAGCCAGACTCTTGCCAATGGCACTGATATCGAGGCACCATTGAACGGCTTCCAACTGATCCCCGTGAACGCGGTCCAGTCCGCATCATCCAGCGCCAACTCAGAAAACTCGGCATGGCTCCAAGGTTCAAGCGGTTGCAACAATGCTATTGTTAGCTCCAACAACTACTTCTACTCGGAGGAGTATCTGTCCATGTTGAACAAAACCGCAGACTTCTACCAGAGCGTCTTACCAGTGATCAACACCACCTTCACCTCTGCTCAGGATTCGTTCAAGAACGCTTACACCAGTAAGAGATCCCGTGACCTGGAGGTCCAAAGGGAAGCCACTTACTGACATATCTTAGTCTACGACTACATTCACGTCTCTGAGATCCACAACTCGACTATTCCGTCCTCTGACCTCCTTACCCCGGAGGTCTTGCACCAACTGCAAACCCTTGCCGATAACCATGAGTTCAACTTGGCATACAATGCCTCGGAGCCGATTCGTGCCATTGCCGGAAGCACTCTGGCTGCGCAAATTGGTAAGTCTCCTTTATGCGGGGTTGGACACCCAAAGCCCCAGGAATCCTTCCGCTAACGCTGAATGATTAGTGCAACAACTGAACGCGACCATCACTGGAAAATCCGCCCAGCAGGTTGGAATCCAATTCGGTGCATACGGCTCTTTCTTCTCCTTCTTCGGCCTCGCCCAACTCCCTTCCGTGTCCGTCAACTTCACCGGAATCGTCGACTATGCCTCGTCGATGACCTTCGAGCTCGTGACCAACGCCACCGTCTCCCAAACCTCCTACCCCTCCCCTGACGACATCTACGTCCGCTTCCTGTTCGCCAACGGCACTGCGGCCGCCAACCCCCTTTCCGAATACCCTCTGTTCGGCCAGCAGCAGAGCCCCCTCCCCTGGAACACCTTCGTCTCCGAGATGGGCAAGATCTCCATCGGCGACCAAGCCTCCTGGTGCAAGGCCTGCGGCAACAGCTCCGGCGTGTGCGCCTCCGCCGACACCGCCTCCTCCACCGGCGCCCAGTCCTCCAGCAAGTCCTCATCCGGCAGCGGCATGTCCCTCGGCGTCGCTGGCGTCATCGGCGCCATGGTCACCCTCGGCGTCATCTTCGGCCTCGAGGCCCTGATCATCCTCGTCGGTGGCCTGCGGCTCGTGCCTAAGCGCAGACTGAACATCACCACCGCCGCCGTGACCCCTGTTGCCAAAGTCTAATTTTCATCTGTTCTGTTATGTTTTGAACGTGAGGGGAGCAAGGAAGAAAGCCAGGTCGCTTCTACTACGCCGTCTTAGTATACCTAAAGTATATATCTAACTAACTAACTATCGAGTCACGAATATACAAAATATATTGCTAATCCAAAGCTTTCTTTCTTTGTTTCTCGTTACGCTGCGTGCCTCGGATATAAAAATATCCACTTCCCTCTTCCTATCCCATCATTCAAGCCCTCCTCATCCTACGGCCATCTCTTTTTTTTTCCTTATCCGCCGCTTTCTCCACACCATCCCACTTCTCAAAATGATCACAAGAATCTTTATCCCGTCCCAAATTCGCCGTCCGGATATCCCACTTAAGCCTCCGCCGAACCCCGTGTTCTCGTCCTCCAATCTTTTATATCTAGGTAGGTAGGTGCATTTTATTCAAGACGAGAGAATTATGCCAGATGCCCGATTTCACGTCTCTACCCACGTGACGCGCCGCGATCCCCGATCCTCGTGTGCACACACAAGCCCAGCCACGATCTATCCACATCATCCCTAAGCCAGCAGCATGGAACAAGCCCATACGACCGGGGGGGGGGGCTAACGCCATGACTATGCATCCAAGTGCTCTCCTGCGTTGCCTCGCCACTAACATGATTTGGAGAGACAATAATGTCAAAGTCACTGTACCGATGATGAACTACCTGGAAGGACCGAAAGTTTAACAGTAACAGCGATAGTAACAGTGACAGCGACAGCGACAGCGACAGCGACAGTGACAGTGACAGCGACAGTAACGGCGACAGCGACAGTAACGGCGACAGTGAATCCTACTTACCTCTTCATGGAATCCGTCCTGCGAGTGCCCGGTTATGCGCCAGAACAGCCTCGAATTGATGGGCAAGCTTTATGATCTCTGGTGCGATGGTACCTATTGGCTGTGTTAAAACAGCGGCGCGCAGTGCCATGAGAGGGCCATGGCTCCTTCTCTGTTTCTTCCAACTTGGAAGAAATGTTGCAGGAACGAAGGCGAGAGGGTATGTTAGACTTTCGCTCCTTCTAGGTATTACCTACCTACCTAGGTACTAACACGATCATGATTGTTGTCGCGATTAATCATTTCAAGTAAAAATCAAGAGATTTATATTAGTTAAAAGGCCTGTAAAGTAAGAACGAGGTTACCTTAACGACAAGAAGGACAACAGTGACAGCGACAGTAACAGTGACAGCGACAGTAATAGTAACAGTGATAGTAATAGTAATAGCGACAGCGACAGCGACAGTAACACCCTAAATCCTACTTAGCGGAAAAAGTTGAAGCCCCGCATCGTGGTAATGATATTTGGACGCTGTTGATTTGGGGTAGAGAGAAAAGAAGAGGAGGGAGAGATAGCGCGTATGTCAAGGTAAACTTTCGGCGGGGGAGCTTAGATCACGTGATAGAGATTTCGAAAACCGAAGGAGAGCGAAGTCTGTTTTCCAAAAGCAGGAGATGGATGGATTCGGGGTATTCATTATGTTTATTCTTATATATATATATAATTTTATATAGAGAGAGAGAGGAACATCTTTTTGAGACAGAGAAGAAGGGGAAAGTTTCAATCTGAGTCATTCGGATATCGGACATCGATATCGGGATGAGTCAGGGTATACATATACACAAACCTTAAACGCTCCGTCGAGTGTTTGAAATTTGCCAACGCGCAGCTACAAGTGAGCCGCGGATTGTTGTTTTCCGTTATATCGCGTTGCGTCTCCATCAATCTGAACCTTCCCGCTGTTGAAGAAAGGAAAAAGGGGGAAAAAAAAGAAAAACAAGAAAGATGTCTTCCCCCAACGCTGCTGGCCTCCACGATCTGGACGCCTCGCAATTGCGCATCACGCCCACGACCAGTCTTCGCACTGTGCCCGAGCCGGACTCGGCCGAGGTCTGGGGCGTGAAGAGCTGTACCGATCATATGGTGACGGTGACCTGGACTGATGATTACGGCTGGCACGCCCCGGAGATCAAGCCGTACGGCCCGCTGACGCTGATGCCGACGGCGTCGTGTCTGCACTACGCGACGCAGTGCTTCGAGGGCATGAAGGTGTATCGCGGGTTTGATGGGCGGCTGCGCTTGTTTCGCCCGGAGAGGAACTGTGCGCGCTTGGTGCTGAGCTCGACGCGGGTGGCGCTGCCGGCCTTTGATCCGCGCGAGTTGGAGAAGATCCTCAAGGCCTTTTTGAAGATTGATGGGCCACGTGAGTTTTTGTCTCTGTGATGGTCTTGGGGAGGCTTTGATGGCTGATGTTCTCTAGGTTGGCTGCCGAAATCTAGACCGGGAACCTTCTTGTATCTCCGACCGGCGATTATTGGGAACGGGGAACAGTTGGGCGTCACTTCGCCCTCGGAGGTTCTCCTGTTCATCATCGCAGTGCCATGGCCGGATCTCTCAACTGGTAGTCCGCCTGGTGCACCACCTAGAGCACCGGGCCTGAAACTCCTTGCTTCCAAGACCGAGACTCGTGCCTGGCCAGGTGGGTTCGGATACGCCAAGGTAAACTAATCCTCTCCTTGATCTTTTGCTCACCGGCAATGCTTGGATCCTCCTCTCTTTTTTTCACATGCCACACAATGGCACCCATACTCCATCTTTCTCTGAGCTGCTGGAAGGAGAAGGAAGAAACACTAATCCTAAATTCTCTAGGTTGGAGCGAACTATGGCCCAGCGTTCGTCAGTCAAATCGAAGGACGAAAGAGCGGCTATGACCAGATCCTGTGGCTCCTGGACAACCAGGTTACCGAGGCTGGCGCTTCGAACTTCTTCGTTGTTTGGAAGACGAAGGAAGGCAAGCTGGAGCTTGTCACCGCGTCTTTAGATAGCAAGATCATCCTTGATGGTGTTACCAGGAGAAGCGTCCTGGAGCTTGCGAGGGAGAGGCTGGTTGAGGGCTCAGAGCACCTGACCTCCGAGGTAAAGGCTCTTGAGGTTGTGGAAAGAACCTATACGATTTTCGAGCTGGAGGAAGCGTGGAAGGAGGGACGACTGGTGGAGGCTTTCGTGTCTGGTACAGCTGTGAGTTCCCCAAACCCTTCTAATGACTGAGTCCCTTCCAATGATTGAGCGCAATGCTGATAAACCCAAGTACTTCATAACTCCTGTATCAGCCATTAACTACCGCGACGAGGATCTTGATATCCCAATGGGAGACGGGACAGGTGGGCATTATGCTGGGCTGTTGAAGAAATGGCTGAAGGATATCATGTATGGAAATGTTGAGCACGAATGGGGCGTTGTTGTGGACGAGGAGTAAAAAAGTGACGGGACGGTCTGGCAACCCGTATTATGAAGTACATGCACTTAGAATGAAACCCAGAAGAGGACCATTACAATATCTGTTATGTGAAATAGGAGGTGCTCTATAGATGTCCGGGGTTATCAAGGACGGGAGGGGAAAGCTTAGCGCGCGAGCCCCTGTCAACCCACAAACTCCACCAAAGAAGCTACCACGACACGCTGATCTGGCCGCTCAACTCTCCAAGTTGAACACCACCAACCCTCTCCCACTCCGCGCCCCTCAGTCTCTGTCAAGATGGGAGACCAGACCTACCCTCCGCTCAACGAGCGTCCCATTGCCAACACCATCTGCCTCTTCGACGTTGACGGCACCCTGACACTCGCCCGTCGCGTACGTTTCGCATCCCCCTTCCCCTCCCCTCCCCTCCCTCCCCATTCCAAAAGAAACCCACAACTAACCACATATCTCTCTCTCCTTGCAAACAGTCCGCCACCCCGGAGATGCTCTCGCTGCTCTCAGAGCTTCGCAAGAAAGTCGCCATCGGTTACGTCGGCGGGTCCGACCTAGCCAAGCAGCAAGAGCAGCTCGGGTCCGCCGACGTGCCCGTCACCACGCTCTTCGACTTCTGCTTCGCCGAGAACGGGCTCACGGCCTTCAAGTCCGGCGCGCCGCTCGCCTCGACCTCGTTCATCCAGTGGCTCGGCGAGCCCAAATACAAGACCCTGGTGAACTTCATCCTGCATTATATCGCCGATCTGGATATCCCCGTGAAGCGGGGCACGTTCGTCGAGTTCCGTAATGGCATGATTAATGTTAGTCCCATTGGCAGGAACGCGACGGTCGAGGAGCGGAACGAGTATGAGCGCTATGATAAGGAGCACAAGATCCGCGAGAAGTTCGTCGAGGTCTTGAGGGAGAAGTTCGCTGATCTGGGCTTGACGTGAGTTTGGTTCTTGTGGCGTATATTGATTGGGGGGGCGCTGGCTTATGTGTTTTGTGTTTAGATACTCGATCGGTGGCCAGATCTCTTTCGATGTCTTCCCTGCGGGCTGGGATAAGACATACTGTCTGCAGCACCTGGAGAACGAGGCGAAACAGCCGGGCGGGGTACAATACACCACTATCCACTTCTTTGGCGACAAGACGTACAAGGGGGGTAATGATTACGAGATTTATGAGGACCCGAGAACCATTGGGCACTCCGTCACGAACCCAGACGATACAGCAGCTGAGCTGAAAAAGTTGTTCAATCTCTGACTGCCAGATCAGAGGGGCAGTGGAAGCATGCTTTGATCACAGAGGTTCAGCGTGTTTGAAGAAGTTTGCTTTAAATCATCAAGTCTTATCTCTTCGCTTTATGGAACATAGAGGAGACCAAAAAAATATCCAACGCTTCCCTACAACTCCCTCTTCGAAATACTCCAATGTTGATCAAGTAGATTCGTCATTATCAAGCCTTCAGCGGCCAAACTCAAGGCCTGGGATTATTACCGGACCATATTTTGTCGGAGGGCTAAAGCCACCATCCCCTTGAACCACAAAATCCACTGCCAGACTCAACTTCGCTAGACCTTGCTGGCCACTATGCATGCTTCCGGCGTATGATGTTCCTGCGATGGCCTCTGGATCATATGCTACAAACGCCACGTAATTTCGTCTGCCCATCAGCTTCTTCAGTTCTCGTGGGCCGCCGCTGGTATCGGTTTGGAAGATCTCCATCATGTCTTCCTTCGTATCAGAAACCTGATTTGTCGATTTCTGCCCATTTAGCGGCACGTATAGCGGTTTCTGGTTGTGGAGCATCTTCAAGACATAAGATGGAGGGGGAGCAGCCACGACAGCCGAGGATATCACTTGATACATCGTCTTGTGGTCGCTTGGGTGGCTGGGGTCGTGGACCAGACCCGCACCGCAGCAATTGACATCTAGATAAAGACTGTTAGCGATTTCGCTCAAATTATCCCGCACTAGGTCTACTTACCTCCAGAGAGGAAGGTCATCCGAATTCCCTTCTGATGTGCAATACCCTGCAAGGTCCTGATCAAATAGGTCCTTTCGAGGTCTTTCGATTCGTGTGTCCACATGTCTCGAAGCTCATCAGCAATATCAATGTCTCCAAAGGTATTGAGAACGCCGCCCATGAGACCGGACTTGCCAACTGCTTTCTTCACCGATGAAAATCCTGATGCTACAACCTCCTTTCCTCCTACAACCCCAGCCACTGAGCTTGTGACTTTCCCTAGGAGGTTATATGTGCCGGTGACAGCCTTCTTACCGGTTGCCATTGTGTGGGCAAGGCTTTCGACTGTGTCTAGACGTGGATATATGATTGGCACTGATACCATCCAGATACAATGCTGAACGCTTGGAGGAAGAGTCGCAACTTTGGGGAAGATGCCTTGGTATGTCGGGCCAGCTAACACTTGGCGTTGATTGCGCTCTGAACGGCAATCTGGTCCGACTACTACCACTGCAGGCCCCAGATACTTGACAAAGTGCCAGCCGGAACCAGTAATTGTGAACAGATCTGTATCTGTACTGACATTTCGAAGAATCTCGAGAGTGGTGTGGTGCTGAAAGAGTAGATACATCTCAATTCCGATTCGCCCAATATTTCTAAACATATTCGAATTCTGCATATACTCTGGATAGGAACCAAAGCCATCGAAACTGGATAGTGTGAGTGGAATAGCGGGATATGGGGACAGATAGCCAACTTACATGTCATGATCATTAATCTGAAGGATGTGAGGGATTTGTGCAAAAGCTTCTCTCAGATAGGGTTGGTCAAAATGGCTGGTATAGTAATGGAAATAAGCATGAGAAACATCTTCTTCATGTCTTGCTGTCCAAGCCGCGCTCTTCCGGTTGTCTTTGCCACTCATGGCAAGCCATTGCTTTAGAAGGGGAACATCCTTCCACAGCCTATCTCCGTATATCTGGTCACCTAACCCGAGCTGAACGTGGAAGCCACCACATTCTACGTTCTTTTGCAGTATATCTTTCCACATAAAACCGATACCTCCAAGTTTAGAACGCTCATTCAAATTGGTATTCAAGGCGAAGTCATTGCCAGAGTGTGCAATGAATCGCCAATTTGTCTCGTATCGGCCGGCTACCAGGAACTCATAACGAGTGCAACCCAAATGTGAAGTGATGGCATAGGTCCATTTGTCACTAGGACCATCACCCATTTGAAGGTCCACATCATAGCGGTAAAAGACCCACCTCTGGTGTGTATATATTGGAGCAGGCTGAAGCTGACGAGGGTTTGGAGACAAGTCGACACTTTGATGAATGTGTATCGTCGGAGGTTGTGGTGCATCCGTGACCAGCATAATGGTTCCTAGCCATACACCCCTCTCCATATCCATATTGACGTACCGCAAATAGGGACCGAAGTACACTCCATTTGTAGGAGCGACCTTATACATATCTACACCAGCACTGGGTGGTGGCCCCGAGAACCCGGCCGTGGTAGGGGTCTGAGAAGCCATACTCATTATACTTTCTGCATACCCGGGGGTGTGTGGCGGGAAGCCCGGTGAGCCTAGCGGGGTCTTGCCAAAAACGCTCAATCCTGGAGAGGCTAAGGGGTTCCCATAGGTTGAAAGGGTTGGAGAGAGGGGTGTAGCTTCATGACTTAGAGACAGAGGGGTCGGTCCCTTGGGGAATTCCCATTGAGTTGCTTGTGTAGGAAGATGGATATAGTAGTATTGACCAGAATTCTGATCCAAGTGAGCAATCCAACCCTCTGGGAGTGGAGGTGGCGAGGCCGGACCAGCATTCTGGAATGGTGATGAGTTCACAGCAGCCTGTGAAGAAGAAGCTTGGCCATTTGGTTGGGGACCGGCAATTTCCTCTCTTGGATCGTTTGCAAATGCTGGATGACCAGGATGCTGCAATGCAGGCGAAGTTAAAGGGGAGGCTATATTTGGGCGGCCTGCCGCACCGGTAGCAGCAGGTGTGGCAGCTGCGGTAGGGCGCTTTTCGTTAGGATAGGCTTGAGAGCTACTAGAACCACCTTGTGGGGTCACACTAGAATATGCTGGCGGGGGAGAATGCGACATATGCAAGCGCTGAAAGTCTTGCTCAAGAATACTTGTTTGCGAGCTGAAGCCGGGCCTCATTTGTTGCTGCGCTGGAGGAGATGATGAGCCGGAAACCTGGTTTGGTCCTTGGTAAACCGTAGGGGGCCCATGTGGTTGATTGTCTGGAGATTCTGTTGGAGTCCATGGTCTGGGAATATTCTGTGGCGCTGGTGCAAGGCCAGGAGATTGTGGCAATTGCGGCATGGGGGGAGTTGAATACTGGTTCGCTCTCTGTGCAGCTGCAGCATTTTGTGCTTGAAGACTGCTCAGCGTTGCCGTCCCGGCAATACCGGCCGCCGCATATCGAGCTTCAATTCCACCACCAGCATGATCAGGAAGATCCACAGGTGTTTCCGGTGGCGGGGGAGAGCCTCTTGTAGCCCGTGTAGTAGATGTTGAAGCAGTTGACAAAAGTCGATTCATTGCGCCAGGAGTAGGTGCAACGAGGTTAGAATCCGCTCCAGGTTGGCCATTAGGCCCGGACCTTTCCGGAATGGGAGCAGGATAGTGCGGTCGATTGTTTTCAGGGTACGAGCTTGCGCTGGCATTCGACGGGCGACTTGTCCCAGCTGAAGGCCTTCTAGGCGCTTTCGCAAACAGCCCCTCCTTGTCAGGAAGTTCAGGACCTGGAGATTCTGGCAGGGGCTTTGGCGCAGTGCCCCGCCTCTCAGCTAACCCGGGGCCTCTCTTATCAATTGGGCTGGTTGTGAGTCGCGGGGTTGTATCGTTCAATGCTCTCCTGCCATTTGCCGTTGGCCGGTTCTGATTGTTGATGCCCCCCGAACCTGATCTGTCTGGTGTTATCCTCTGATCGTCTGGGCGTGAGGCATAGTGTGTGCGAGATTGGGGCGGAGGGTATTCGTAGAGATCTTCGTCGTCTGGATAGGGTAGCGGGTTTGCAGAGCTCGATGCTCCAGGTGGTAGTGGAAATGTGGGCTTGCTGGATGAGGGCGGATAGTTGTAACGACCGGAGCCAGTTGAGCCTGCTCGAGGTTCCGGACTTGTTGGTTTGTTGATTCTTAAGGGCTCGACAGTAGGGCTGTCTCCGCCATTTGTTGAGGGCCTCGAAAGGAAGAGCTCCTCGTCAGGCCTTCCTTGACGAGCAGCCATCGTCAGGTCAGGGACGTCGAGGCTCCAATAAGGTCCCGCGAAGTGGCGCACGCAATGTTATTTATAGGAAGGTCGACAGGTAGGGCTAGGTGTGAGGCACTGAAGATCGCTGCGCAAGAAGGCGGGGAAGGCGTGTTAGGTGTCGGTCGCCTTTCTGCGGCCGTGGTGGAGGCCAGAGCTGGAGTTGGTAGCTATCTCAATGTGCAAAAATGAAAGGGAGGCAAAGGATATGAGATATGAGACGGAACATGAAAGCACAGGAGAGCTTTCGAGATTTTGGGAATCAGCCGACGACGAGATGGGGTCCAAAGTGCCTCGTAGACGCCGTGATGCGCCTGAGCGAACTGCAGGGCTGGGCAGAGTGCCGTGATTGGCGGGGAGCTGAGAGCGCTGGATGACTGGTCCAGTAAGCTGCAGCATTGATGGCCGTCGACATCCCTGGCCGGGCGGCTACAGAAGATTGGCAGACAGATGTGAGAGACCAGACCCTTGGACATGAACGCGTGGATAAAAGAAGTGCTGTGGTAAAACAAGAAAAGGTTACTTTACCGCCTGGACAGAGGAGATGGGCCATTGTGGAGCCGTTCATAGAGCCAGGACTTGGATGAATATCAAAGATCAAGGTGGTGAGGCCGTTCATACGCCGCTACGCGTACGAAGACGGCAGCTGAGAGAGGCAGCTTGGCGAACATGACTGGGAAAGGAAACGAATCGTGGACTCCATTGAGCAAGCAGAGCATCGGCACAAATGCAACGATGTCGAGTCCTCAACATCATGGAATTGCTACAAGATGAAGACGGGGGGAGGAAATGCCCAGAAAAGCGCGTGGGAGCGTCCGGACAAAGACAGCACGTGAAATTACATAACACACCGGAAAAACCACCTGCGGGATGTTCCGTAGCTCGGCGGCGACGGGCCGCGCAGGAGCCAGGCCCCAGGAACGCGTTCGAGTCGCGACTTCATCCACCACTTTACGCGTTCGCGACTCTCAACTTAACCCCCCCGGTTCCCCCCAACTCCCAGCTTACCTTCACTTTCCCACGCACCACCACCATCTGTCGCAGCTGCTCTCTGTATCCCTCAGCATAGCAAGAGCAATTCGACCATGGCCTCTTCTGTATTGGGTAAACGAACTAGGAGCTGCTCTGATTCAGGTACGACCGAAAGAAATTTTCCTTCCCTGCGGCCGACAGCTAATCCTTCGTCACCAGCTTCGAAAGTATCTTTATCACGGCCCAAACGCCAAGCGCGCGCAGATATTCCTGATGACGAAGATAACAATCCCTTCTACATCAAGAGATCGTGCTATAAAATCGAAGATGACGAAGACGATCCAGAGGGCGTGGACCCTCACTCCGACTTCTTATCCGCCAAATCAACACCAGTCAAACACGTCCTTGTCGATAGACGCGTTGCATCGTCTCCCCTGAAAAGCAGCCGAAACCTCAGCATAATTAGAAACAATGGTCAGTACGGGATTCTGGAGTATTATGGGTTAAGCTGACGACGCGCAGATGAGAACACGGCACCAGTACAGACTCCTACGCCTCAAACTCCTCGACACAGAGACGCCCTATCCAAGAGAATACCAATTACTCCCCGGCATCGTGTTATGGTTACTGGGAAAGCCTTGACTCCTCGCACACCTCGGACTCCGTCAACACCCAGCGGAATCACTTCGACAGTTTACAGCCAAGCTCGACAATTATTTTCGCGCAGTACCGAGCCCGGACGCCTTGTCGGGAGAGATGATGAAAGGCAGGAATTAACTGGATTTGTCGAGAATTGCATAGCCAACGTGTCGGGAGGATGTATTTATGTCAGCGGTCCGCCTGGAACCGGTAAGAGCGCCATGGTCAGCGAGGTAACCGAGGCAATCGAAACCTCATCTGCCCTGAAAAGGTCCTACATCAATTGTATGAGCATAAAGACGTCTCGGGATCTCTGCGGAAAGTTGTTGGAGACACTATGCGAAGATCTGGAAGTTCTTGAGGGTGAGGAGATCAAGACACTCCAGGGCGTGTTCCTTCCGAAGAGAAAGAGCAAGAACGTCTACATGGTCACCTTGGACGAAATCGACCATATTCTCACATTGGATTTGGAGATTTTATACAATCTCTTCGAGTGGTCATTACAGAAGTCTTCACATCTCGTCTTGATCGGTATTGCGAATGCGCTGGACCTGACGGATCGATTTCTTCCTCGACTAAAGGCTCGGAACCTGAAACCTCAGCTACTCCCATTTCTTCCATATACCGCATCTCAGATCAAAACAGTGATCACCACTCGGCTTAAGTCGCTCGTGCCAGCGGACAGCCAAACACCAGATTACGTCCCGTTCCTCCACCCCGCGGCAATCGAGCTATGCTCCCGGAAAGTATCTAGCCAAACTGGGGATTTGCGCAAGGCGTTTGATATCTGCCGGCGCGCAATTGATCTCATCGAAGCTGAAACTAAGCTAAAATACGAGCAAAACTTGGACGAGCAGATGCAACCAGACAGTCCATCAAAGAGACCACTGAAAGAGAACATGAATTTGTCGTCAGCAGTTGGTCCATCGCCAAGCAAAAAGATGAGGAACATGTCGCTGGCCCAATCCCTTGCGACACTGACAGTTGAAACTGCTCCACGAGCAAGCATCGCCCATGTTAACAAGATCACATCGACTACATTTGGCAACGGTGCCAGTCAGCGGCTCAAGACTCTCAATCTCCAACAGAAGGCAGCTCTGTGTGCATTGGTAGCACTGGAAAAGCGAAAGCGGGAAGCGGCGGCGAACCTCCTCGCAACACCCTCGAAATCAAGGAATGCGGCGCCGACTGTCAAGGCCCTCTATGACGTCTATTGCATGCTATGCACGCGTGACTCGATACTCCATCCGCTCACAAGCACGGAATTCAGAGACGTGATCGGAAGTTTAGAGACGTTGTCACTGATCAGTGCCGTCGATGGGAAGAATGGATCATTTGTAGGATTAAGCACCCCAAGCAAGAGGGCCCGGAAATTCGGCTCAGGGGCTGGTGTGGGAGACGAAAAGCGAGTGGGAAGTTGTGTTGGCGAGAGGGAGGTTGCGCAAGCTGTAGAAGGATTGGGTGCAGGTATCCTGAAGAGTATCCTGAGTGGCGAAGGCCTTGATTGAGAGAGTGTTTGAGTTTATTGCATAGCGATGGTTTGGGCTGCATTGTATAGAAGGGCACTTGGATGCCCATGCTGGAGTTCGGCATGCACTAGAAAATAGAAGCATAATGATAATAAGATAAGAAAAACGGGTTCCAGAAGTGATGCATCGTGTATGATAGATACCTTGTAGCTGAAGCATTATAGATTCCCTCCCATCCACGAGAAGAATCGCCAGGCAGAGGACCGCTCAACACAATGCCTGAAAGATGCCATCTCTTGCAATAGGAGAACATCACATCTAAGCCATAACAAATCTATTCCCCATCCCCCACCATCCCTTCCCTAAAACTCCTCAACCAGAACCAAGCAGAATCTAAGATCCTATATAGATAATGATGACAAGATAAAAACCACGACGACAACCATCTAAATACCTATCCAGAACTTCATCTCCGTCCTCGTCGGACGTCACTCAGCTCCCCTTCTCTCCTGACTTGATTCTTTCCCGTTACTCGACTCGTCCATGCGTTGCAGCTCCGCCTCATCGAAGCTAGCGAGTAGATCATCGATCTTTTTTTCTAAGGTGGAGAGGTGGGCTTCGAGAGCCTGGGCGGTTTTCTCGCCTCTGTTGGTTTGGGGTTGGGGATTAGTTTGTTTGTCTATTTGTTTGTTTGTGGTTGTTTGGTTGGGGAGAGGGATGGATGGGGAGAAGGGATGGATGGGGATGGGGATGGGGATGGGGATGGGGAGGAGGAGGGAGATAGATAGATAGGGGGCTTGGAGATGAGAGGGTATGATATGATAGATGCCCCTTCTCGCTCTGGCTCTCGTCCTCTTATGGATTTTGGAAAAGAGAAGATTGGTGGGCTATGGATGAATGCATAATGCATATAGATGAGAAGAGGAAAGACTTGCCGTGCTACTTCTGCAAAGGCCTGGGTGCCGAGGGGAGTCAGTAAATGCATGTCTTCTTGGGTGCTAGATGGGAGGATTATGAGATGAGATGGGCAACATGAGATGGGCAAGATGAGATAGATGAGATGAGATGGGCAAGATGAGATGAGATGGGCAAGATGAGATGAGATGGGCAAGATGAGATGAGATGGGCAAGATGAGATGAGATGGGCAAGATGAGATGAGATGAGAGGGATACATAGGGCTTGGACTAAGCTCGGATGAGAATTTGACGATTTACATATGGCAAAGAGCCGGCTCTGATGAATTGCCCATCTCTGCGGGGAGCCTGTCTCGCGCTGAACGAAGAGAGAGAAAGAGGGCCTTGACGCGAGATGAGAGAGCAGCACGTACCTGGGCCAAATCGACGGCATCTGAAGACTCGGAGCCGGTTCCCGATGCGGAGGAGGGGGAGGAGGAGGAAGAGGCCATGTCTGTGGACTACTGGAGTGCGCGTGAAGCTGGTGGTGGGATGCGCGGGTTTCGCGAGACGGACAGCGGCCCTTCAATGGCATGGAGCGGGTGGGTGTGTAGCTAAGATAGGTAAGGTAAGGTAGTCTCCAAAAACCCCCTCGAAACGCCGGGTCCCAAAATACCTTATTACCCTTGCAGAGCTGCAGAGTTATACAAGTCACTGGTCAACCATCATACCCAGGGACGTCTTCTGTACGTACAGGATCTTCTGGGATTCTTAATCATATGCCCTGCTTCTGTGCTGTCACTGCACTGCCTCGACTGGCCCATCACAGAGAAGCGAGTTCTACAGTTTGAATCAGGTCCCGTGAAACAGTCCAGAAAGCAGAGAAAGCAGAAATATTATTATTCCATTACTTAAAACCCAACGGCTAACTCTGGGACTGTGCCCCATTATTCTCTCGTCTTATTCGTCCGAGGTTATTATTCCCGGGGACGGTCCCCTCTGTAAACTCTATTGCTCCACCCGACGCAGCTTCAGCATTGGTGTCGGGACTGGAGAGGATTAATAAGAAAGAAACTTCGGTACATACTACTACAGGGTCAGTCGTAGACTCGTAGGTCTTGTATCCTTTCGTGTGTGTGCCTCAGACCGCAATCATAATCCTGCCCAGCGCCCGCAGACGCCCGACCAGAACATCGGGATTCCGAACAGCGGCTTTGTCTCAGCGAGAGTTCCGCAGCACGGGGGCCCCGAGGGCAGCAGCAGAGAGCCGGACAGAGGATGCCACATATCTGGTATGGCGTGACATGGTATCCTCTCTCAGTTTGATATGTCCGCTGTACTGTCAACGTCCCTGCAGGCCATGCCGCCCGTACATGAAATGGAATACCACACCGCAGAGGAGGGTGGTTCGTCCGTACTGGGCACAGGCAAAGGTAAATGCAAATGCAAAAGAAGGATTGGAATGGGAATGGGATGAGATCGACAGACCCTGAGCGGTGGCAGCGGTGGCAGTACGTGGTGGTCGATGCTGAGCAGCAAGTTGAAAGCGTCTTTGTGGGTGTTGGAAAGCCCACTCTACCTACGTACAAGTCGTGTCATCTTCTTCGCACCCCACCACCTTCTGCATGGTAGTCCGTAGTTGGTATTTAGGTAGTTTGGATGATGGAAGGAAGATAGATACTCGATGATGGATACTTGACCACTTGAATATAAAGATAGGGAGATACAAAGACACAAAGATATAAAATCATAAAAACAGAAATGTAAATGTATGTAAAAATAACCCCCCGCCCCGCCCCGCCCCGCCCACACCACACCACACCACACCACACCTCTCTCGTCGTCTCGGCTTTCCAGCGCCAGGAATCCGCCCGCAGCGCCCAGCGTTCCCAGCGTCTCCCGCCCGTCTGATTGGCCGCCCCCTTCCCGAATCTCGCATTCTCGCATTCTCGCATTCTCGCATTCTCGATGGCCTTATGCATGAGATTCGAGTTTTCCCACTCTTCCATTTGCCTTTTAGTCTTCCCCCTTCCCATCCCACATTCGCGTCCCATCCCAATCCCATCCCATCCCGTCCCAGATCGTCACGAACCGACCGAAACCTCCCTCGTCTCCCTCGTCTCCTCTTCTCTCCTCTCCTCTCCTCTCCTCCCTCTCTCTTCCTCCCTCTCTTCTCCCTCCTCCTCCTGGTCCCTCTCCCGCCTTTCTTCTCTCTCTCTCTCTCTTCTCCGTACACATACAGGCACAAGCAACGAAGACGCCTTTCACTTCTTTTCCTCCTAATTGTTCAATCCCCTTGTTCTTCTCTTCCCTACGACTCCCCCTTCTTTTCCAATTCGGCCCACCCGCCCGCAAATCCCGATCAGCTATTCTAGCTTCCAATCCTCTCCCTCCTTCAGGCCTGCCATCCCTACAAATCAATCAACCGCCGTCGTCAACATCTTCCTCCCCACCTCCAACCCCCAAATCTCCCTCTCTCCCACTGCTCAGAACCCTCCCCTCCTCCCCTCCCACCCCCCCACCGATTTGCCTCCCGAATCGCCCTTCTGGTTCTCCCTGTAAGTCTCGAAATTTCCTATCGGCGCCCCCGTCCCACTTTCTGCGGGCACCTCTGATATATCTCTTCCTCTCCTCGGCGCGTGTCGCTTGTCCGGGCCGCCCTCCCCTCCCTACGTTGCAGTCCCCGAGATCCCGCTGCTGAGGGCCGCCATGGCTTGATCGCAAGAATGGCATGGCATGTTCAACTGCCCGCCTTCACTCTGTCCCATACATCAGTCTGCAGCGACCTCCCCCAGTACCTCCTGCCTGACCCCCAGCACAGATCATCCCCATCGATACTGGTCCAAACCCCCCCCCCCATCCCACCTGAACCTCGAGTCTACCGAACAAATCCATCACTAGCACCCCACCGCGGTTTTGGTCCCCTAGCTGGTTTGGCAATAGACTCGAGACAACGACGTGGGATATCCGACTCGTCAACCACATCCGTCGCATGCTCGGGTCTCGAATTTCTCTTGGCCTGGAACAGCGTCCCTTTTGGTTTCCGCCACAGTGCGACCCAGCCGTCGATATATTCGCCCCTTTCGGGAGGGTGAACACCCATATCCAAGACATCGATGAGTCTTCCACCATTCTCGCCCAGAAACCTCCTCCCAGGTACAAAATACGTGGAAACGCTCTACGCTCCGCCGAGACTGGTCAAGTACCCCGAGAGCAGTCTCTTCGCGGGAGGGTCGCAAAACCTTCAACCGGTCTCATAATTAAGAACCCTAGACGAGTCCCTCCAGAAGCAACCTGTATGACTGAATTGAGAGAAATATTCGCGGAGCTGGGGATCTCTCACTACCTCAATGACTTCATAGAGCAGGGCTTCGACAGCTGGGACACGATCCTCGACATAACTGAGTCTGATTTTGATGCGCTTGGTGTCAAACTTGGCCACCGTAGAAAGCTCCAGCGCAAGATCGCCAACTCCAGAGGGTTATCCTCAGACCGCGCCTTAGGTTCTCCTACTCGAAATACCCCAAGCGATGATCGACAGGCAGAAGAGCACAAGGGAAACAGCGCGAGAGATGGAAAAGAGGCTGGCACCGGCACCGGCAGCGGCCCGCATGGGGCGAAGCGCAAGTACCGACGGCATCCTAAATCAGACGAGAATGCGCCCGAAAGACCACCCTCTGCATACGTGATTTTCTCAAACAAAATGCGTGAAGAGCTCAAGGAGAAGAATCTCTCCTTCACCGAGATAGCGAAGCTGGTCGGGGAGAATTGGCAGAGTCTCTCGCCGGGCGAGAAGGAACCATACGAGCAGCAGGCTTTCACTGCCAAGGAGAAGTACAATGCCGAACTTGCTGAATATAAAAAAACCAGCCAGTTTAGGGAGTACTCGCAGTACCTTGTAGAATTTAAGGCCAGGCAGTCAAACCAGCAACAGGGTATGTCACAAATCTTTGTAGTGAGCAGCATCACATTAAGGTGCTGGCCTTCCCAGACCTCGCTAACATCTGCAGTGAATGACTTGGAAGTCACCAAACGACCCAAGCTCGAGAACCAGATGAGGACTGTGAGCAGCGGAACGACGAGCAGCAGCACCAGTCAACAAGGCAGGGATACCCCGACTGGACGCGCGCGTGTCGAACCGCCTGCTGCAACGAGCACGGGTCAGTGGCCTGCGCATGACGACCGCCTTTCTCCTGCAATGGCATTGCCTGTCGGCCAGACAGGGAAAAGCCTGTCACCCGCTTCGTCTTCCGGTACACTTCCCGGCTATCGTGAAGCCATCTTTGGTGGCAGCTCGCAATCGCTTCCATGGAGAGAAGGCAATCGGGATGAAAATTCCATGTCCCTTCAGCAGCATCGTCGAGTAACCGGCATTGGTGATAGACAGAGTTACCCGGGTCCTCCCATGGCAGATTCGTTGAATCCGACTGGGGGTCTGCAACATGCCCATCGAATGGTGCAGGGTCGTCCGCCGCCGCCGCCGCCGTCTTTGATATCGGAATCCACAAAGTCATCTGGATCGTCTGCCAGCACGAACTCTCCAGCATTCTTGACTCCACGAACGCCATTGGAACCCCATTTGGAACGGTCTCTTCCAATCCCCTCTCTATTCCCACAGAAGTCTACTGGCACTTATGAAAACCAGCTTCCGCCACTAAGGGTGCCATCTTTGTCCCCCCAATCAGCAATGCTCGGCTCCCAGAACTCTCCAAATAGTACGTTGCAGAAAGTTACACTCTTAGACATTCTTAGACATAGCTAACAAAACCCCACCCTAGACATCCCTGGCATGCAAGATTTTCCAACCTCAATGCCCCCCATGCGTGGCTACCCGAACATGAATTTACAGGAGAGTGGTCCAGCCGATAACAACGATCCTAGAATCCGTGAGTTTGGTTCTCCCGAAGATAACAACTTAGATCCTGTCAGCGCTTTGCTGAGAGCTGGTGAGATCGTCAACCAGAAAAGTAGAGGTCCGCCACGAAACTAGAAAACTTCCGCCACCTAAAGTAATCTATTATATTACGAGATCGATAAAAAAAAGCCTTTATATTCCAGCTCTATTGTTCATACGGGAGGAGTGCTGATGTTCCTCGATATCTATCTATCTATATTCGCTGCGTTATGGAGGGGTATATCTGCCGGTGTCTGGTTGGGGGTTTGGCGCTTTATATTGTCCAGTTCCGGTTTTACGCATGGCATGACGGTGATGATTCCCGCGGGTCGTTGGTCAACTTCTCTTAAGATGAAGTTTCGTTCATCCCGGACGCCGCAGAGGTGTAAGGACGAGGGTATCTATATATATATATGGTGATTTGCCCATATTCATCAGCAACTGGCTCCGATTATATCTTGAAATCCGACTTGTGTGCAGATGATAGATACGTCTTCTCCCCATGTGAGATATGCGTGAAGCTACCAGTTCATCTCGGACATTCTTCCACCACAGCGCTGCGTACAGTATCGTCATGGTGTTGCGGAGCCGGCCGGATCTCCGCACTGCTTTATCAGATCAGATCAGATCAGATCAGATCCTTATTATTGGCGCGCGCGTGTTCCCTCGTACAGTGCGGCTATTACGTTCACATGCTCTGACCGAAAGTTTAACACACCCTGCGTGGTTATCTAATACGGCAGTTGAACGTATCCTACGTGCCGCTGTTTGAACACAGCTTATAGGTAAGTAGGATTTAAGATGTCACTATCGCTGTCGCTGTGGCTGTTACAGTTACCTTTAAAGGCCTATAAAGTAATAACGAGGTCAGTTAACGACAAGAAGAACAATAGCGACAGCGATAGTAATAGCCACAGCGACAGTGATAGCGACAGTGACGGCGATAGCAACACCTTAAACTCTTATGCTCTTATTGGTTGAATTAAAACACAAGGTACGTTAAACTATCAGATACCAGTACAGGGTATGTTAGACTTTCAGCCGGCCAGGATGAGAGGATGTAATGCCACTACCTTATCGACAAGAATATCGACAAGAAAACGGAAGTAATCCAGCGTGAAGAAGGTTTGAGTTGCCCTATCAAAGCGGCGGGGACAACGCTTAACCCGATTAGATAAGCATTGCGGGGTACGAAAATATTACCGCATCTGACCGCCTTCCCACCAGGACATAAGGTACCTTAGGTTAAATCCTTTTTTTACTTAGATTTGCAGACGCTCAGAAGGAATGCCTCTTTCTCTCGACAGTTGAAGAAGGGCCACCGTCTTTAGAAACATCTCTCCTTTGCGCGTACGATTCCCGCGGGTCTACCACGTCTTTGAAAACCACGCTAGATCCGCCAACTCTGGACGAGATGGCGGGGCTTGAAGCCATCAGGTATGAGAGGGGTAAGCTTGAGGTCCTGGACCAGCTGAGACTCCCTCATGAGTTTGTCTACGACCAAGTATCAACGTGCGAGGAGGCTTTTGATTGCATAAAGTCGATGAGAGTGAGAGGTACACATGGAGATGAACCAGCGCAAGGCTTTGCTTGCTGAAAATTACCCAGGTGCCCCCGCCATCGCAATCGTGGCAGCGCTCGCACTTGCCGTGGAGTTGTTCCACAGGAAAGATGGTAAGAGACAAAATCTCGTAGTCAAGATGTTGGCTAAGTAAGCACAGGTGCCAAAACGAAGGACGAAACTCTCAAGTTCATCAATGCCCGCCTTGACTATCTCAAAGGCAGTAGACCCACCGCCGTCGACCTCTCCAACGCCATTAAGCTTCTCAAGACGAAATCTCAAGATGCCGCCTTGGCCTCCAGCACCGCAGAGCAAGAAACTCAGTGTGCCAATATACGACAGGCTTACATTGAAGCGGCGGAGAAGATATTGGAGGATGATCACACTACGAACTTGGCCATTGGAAGATACGGGGCGGAGTACCTGAGACGACAGCACGAGCCCGCAACGACTCCCACAGATGAAAAGGAACAGTCGAGATTTTATACCACGAGCCCTCCTGGCACCCAAGGGCTTCCCCCAAGGACATACAGGAAGCTGAGTGTCTTGACGCACTGCAACACGGGGTACGCCATCCCCCTATCCCTCGCCAGCTCTCCAGAACTCAAAGCTAACCCGTCGCAGATCCCTAGCAACGTCTGGTCACGGCACAGCGCTAGGAATAATCCGTAGCCTCCACAAGATGAACTACCTCGACCACGCCTATTGCACCGAGACTCGGCCGTACAACCAAGGCTCGCGCCTCACCGCCTTCGAGCTCGTCTATGAGAAGATCCCCGCCACGCTCATCACCGACTCCATGGTCGGCGCCCTCTTCGCGCGCAAGAAGGAAGAGATGAACATCTCCGCCGTCGTCGTCGGTGCCGATCGCGTCGCCCGCAACGGCGACACCGCCAATAAGATCGGCACTTACAGCCTCGCAGTCCTGGCCAAAGCGCACGGCATCAAATTTGTCGTCGCCGCCCCGACCACCAGCATCGATCTCGAGACGCCCTCGGGTGCCTCGATCAAGATCGAAGACCGTGCCAAGACGGAACTCACGCAGATCAGCGGCGCCGTCGTCGATGCCAACGGCCAGGTTGACGTGACCAAGACGGCGCGCGTCGCGATCGCCGACCAGCGCATCGATGTCTGGAACCCCTCGTTCGACGTCACGCCCGCCGAGTACATCGACGCGATCATCACGGAGCGCGGCGAGGTGGTGCGCAGCGCGAAAGGCACGTTCGATTTCAAGACCATCATGCCGGAGCGCTGGAAGGCGCAGGTGAAGGAGGGCAGTGATGAGGGCCAGGCGACGCAGCTGAGTCAGGTGTCCTCCAATGGGCTGCAGACGCCGAGTAGCAGCGTGCTGAGCGAGGAGAGCGTTATGCAGTTCCAGATGGAGCATATCTAGACGATGGGGACTGTCTCTTTACATGGCATGGGCATGGTTGGTTATGATGAAAAGAAAAGAAACAAACAAATGAAAAAGATAAAAAAAATAGAAGTCAAGTGGCTTAGACGGATGGATATTGGATAAATTTTCTCGATATCTTTATATTAGGAAGCATAGAGTATCTAGATCAAGTGATTAATTGCTCATGGGAGCGACAGGAAAGATATTGACGCTGCTAGACGGACTACAGTACGTCGCTTACGAGCAAAATAAAGGGGCTGCTACAACTTCGCAATCGATGACTTGGGAAATGACCAGGCTTGAATGGGAGAGGTTGAGATAGGAGGGTCACATCAGTTTCACTTTGCTGCAGAAATATATCAAAGAACCATTTTTTTGTCGCTCCTAAAATACATGCTCGGAAACCATGTGCTGGAACAGTTACTAGTAAGGTGGTGGAAGTGAAGATGTTTAATGACGACCCTTTCGGATGCAAACATCATAACCAGACCTGCCAACCCCCCGTACCTTGATACCATTTCACGCCAATGCATCCCATTCCCCTCTCTACGAGGTGCTCCTTGTAGAACGCTTCGTAGCCTCCTTCGCTTGCTCTGTTCCCGAAGCCACTGCCTCCGCAGCCTTGTCTTTGGCATTAGTAGCCGCTTCCTTCGCGCTGCCAGTAGCCTTCTTGGCTGGGGCCGGGGAAGAGCCGCTCATGCTGACAAGACCGACGATGACTGCGATGATGGTAACGGCAAGAGCGGCAAGACCACCAGCAGCCTCAGGAACGAACTTGATAGCTTGGATGGGGTCGTTTTGGGCGATAGTGAAGAACAGGTCGAGCTTCTCCTTGATGTAGAGGACTGGGTCATCCATGAAGACGAGATCGGATGGGGATCGGGGTGGCTGCTTCTCATCTGGCTTGGGCTTCGATGCGAGTTCAAGTTCCTCTTCAACGGGGTGCTTCTTGAAGAAGGTCTCGTTAGCAAACTTCTCAGCGTCCTCGATTGAGTGGCCGATGTAGATGTTGTCGAAGAGGATATCGCTCTGCATGGTCCAGATCTCGTAACCAATCTAATTCATGTCAGCAAGGTCCTATGAGTAAGAGTCTCATCTAACTTACGGCTCCCATAGGCTCAAGGTTAGCTGGGGTCTTGTCCTCGTAGTAGTCTGGGTTCTTGATCTTGCGAGGAGCCCACGGGCCCTTGTATGCTGGGTTGTCAATGTATGGTGCGGTCCACTTGCCCTTGTAGGCTGGGTTCTTGATCATTGGCTTCTCCCACTTGCCGCATCCTGAGACCTCGTCACACTTGGGGTTGGGGACGGATGGGGCCACCCAGTCTCCATCTTCCTCATCATCCCAATCCTCTGGCTTTTCAGCCTCTGGGTCGGGAATAGTGAGAGGTTCGTTCTCAAGCCAGTCTTCTGGCATAACAGCTTCCTCGTCGACAATCTCAAAAGGCGCATCCTCATCCCAGTCTTCTGGCTTCTTTGCATCAGGGTCTGGAATGCGGGCCTCATCAACCCAAGTGTCTGGCTTGGTGTCCTTGGGGTCATCAATCTCCTTAGGGGGGTTGAAAGCGGGAGTGAAGTCTTCGAGCAGGTTGGCCTCCTTAACTTGCTTACCGTTCACCTTGATCACGGCAGTGTTGTTGGGGTGGATGATCAAAGTGTAGAGCTCGGATGTCTTGACAATCTTAGCCGCTGGGGGGGTCTTCAGATGCTTCTCCTCATATTCGCCGGTCTTGGGGTTCTTGTGGTTGATGATAAGATGAACCTTGTTGGTGGATCCACACTTATCGGGACCGAACATAACGACATAAGGAGATGCGTTAGAGAACTCATCCTGGTGGAGAGCCTTGTTGTCGCGGAGGAGTTTCATGTAAGCACCACCACATTCAAGACCATCTACATCCGAATTAGAATGCGACACAATATGTGCTCATGCGACTATACTTACTTTGAAGCTTAACCTCATATTGAGCGACGAGGGTCTTGCCCTTGTTGTCAATCTTCTTGGGGAATTTGGCCGAGATGGCATGGTGAGCAGCTGCGTTCTTGACGACCAGGCCCTTGTCACCCTCCATACCCTTGAAGACATGGGGCTCCTCTACCGCCCATTCTCCAACATATGCCCACTCCTCTTCCTTGGCAGAGCCCTTCGTGTCCTTCTTGGCATGGGATGGCTTCCACCGTTCCTCCCAGTCGTCTGTGAATTGCTCGATGAAATCGGCCTTGATGGTTGTGGGCTGCGTAAGATGTGGTTAGTCAATTGCCTTATAAAATATCATACAATTCTTGATGAGAGGTGTTAGGTGGGGAGGTCTCCTGGGTACTGACAGTGAAGGTTGGCAGTTCAATGCCGGTAGAGGTAGCAGAAGCTGAGGATTCTGCTGCGGAAGCATCGCTGGCTACACTGGAGACAGAAGAGCTAGCTTCGCTCAGGACAGACTGGGCATCTGCATTGACGGATCCCGCAAGCAGAGCCGCAGCGGAGAGAGCAGCTGCAGCGTGGAAACGCATAGCTGCAACAGAAGAGAACAGATCCGATCGATCAAATTAAATGAAAGATAAGAAGAGTCTACTGTTCAAAGGAGACTTGCGAAAGGTAGGGGGGTTCAAGCTACCAGAGCGTGGGAGGATAAAGAAGAAGAGACGCGAGGTTGACAAGATGGATTGTTGTTATTTAGCTGCGCGGGAGCTCCTAGGGAAAGGTGGCCTTTTCCCTGCCAGAGCTTCTGCGGGATTCTGCCGCTGCGGATGGAGAAATGATGTTCCGTCAGGAGAATTGTTAGTCCGTAAGCCTAATCCCAGGACTCCTGTACAGTTGTTTGAAGCACGGTATGAAAGGCCAGCAATATTGGAATAATTTCTCCAAGTATTCACATCCTCAGACCCTTCAATGTACAGCAGCAACTGGACAGCTTGGACAGTGTCTGGGGAGGCAATCCGCATTGCTGTTTCCTCCCTGTGATATTCGAGAGCCGCGTTGCCCTTAGAACTCTATTTCCCCACGTGGGTAATATGCATGTCCAGGTGGGTACGGCTATCGATTGCGAAATCACCGAAATCTTCTTGCAACTCCATGAAAAACCTCCACTACGAGCACTCACGCATACACGCACACATTATACAGACTGATATCCCCTCCCCTTGTGTGCGATTTCAAAGATTTTAGACATGGCACCTGTGGAAAGTTCCCAGGAGTCCGCCCACGACAACAATGACCATCTTGTGAAATCCGACGACAGCCAACACCCCGCAAATCTCATCCCCGAGCTCTGCAGGAAGTTCTGGACCTTGGGATGGGTTACTGGCACTGGTGGAGGAACAAGTATTCGAGACAAGTATGCGCAATTCCAGAACCGCCCAGCTGGATGAATGCTTACTGCCTGTAGTGATCTCGTCTACCTTGCTCCCTCTGGCGTCCAGAAAGAGCTCATGAAACCCGAAGATATTTACGTCCTTGAACTCTCCAAACAGACAGATCCCAAGAAGCGCGTCTACCTGCGCTCCCCGCCAACTCTCAAACCATCACAGTGCACCCCGCTATTTATTGCAGCTTTCACGAAGCGCAATGCTGGATGTTGCATTCATACCCATTCACAATGGGCTGTCCTCGTAACCCTTCTCCTCGAATCTCGGCCCCTGAATACCAACGTCTTTGAGATAAACAACATTGAGCAGATTAAGGGGTTTGGGAAGGGATACCAGAAGCTGGGGAATTTGGGCTATCACGATACATTGAGAATTCCCGTGATTGAGAACACTCCACACGAGGAAGATCTCACAGAGAGCTTGGAAGAAGCTATGGATAAATACCCTGACACATACGCGGTGCTTGTAAGACGGCATGGTGTCTACGTCTGGGGAGAGACAGTGCACAAGGCGAAAACGCAATGTGAAAGGTAAGTAAACTATTCCTTTGGGTCATGATCTTGTCGCTCACGCCTTCCCTAGCCTTGATTATCTTTTCCAATTAGCGATTGAGATGAAGAAGCTTGGGATCCCCTGGTTGAGCGATATTCCCTGATCACAGGGGCACTTGTCTCATCTCATGGGTACCCATTACTTTGACTAGGAGAGGAGAGCGGATCGATCCATGGTGAGGACGGTATCAATACCAAGAGCTTCTTTTGGCATCTTGTGTCATTTATATTGTTATTTCCATGTGCTTCATACCCAGAATATTCCGGTTCTCCCACAATGCTCTCACAATACACCGAGGCTTGCATGGACGCTTCCTCAATATGAAGGCAGTTTAGCTCTCTGTTACACTGTAAATGCTCGCCTCTGGCTTATTACGATTCCAAACGTCCCACTTCATCATACTTCAGAGCTTCATGGATCCTCATAGTTTGAGGAAGAAATTGTCTATCTGAAAAGTGATCGATGCCAATCTCTCCTGAGAATATCTGAAACGCTCTATCAAAAAGTTCATCTAAAAATTTCCGCCTGAAAGCTTCCAAATGCCTATCCATGATATGTTATCTCCCTCCGTATTCCTTTTCCTATCTGTCTACCGATGGCCCATTCCGGCGTCGATGAACTCGACGTAATTCTGCCATTATCAAGCTTGCCACAACGTACGATGCTCCGGCATAAATCTGTGGGTAGAGAAATTCCCGCTGAGCACCTGGGCGCCTTATATATAGTCCAATGACTTCAGAGACTATTGAGCAAATTGATTAGTTAGTTCGATAATCATGACACTCTTTGAGTTACTTACAAGTTGTTGGTAAAATGATTGCTATCCAATTTAATGATAGAAGTGATGGCTGGTCTATGAGTCCAACTAGTTCTGCTGCTACAGGGCCAACTGTCTAAGAAAGCGTTAGTCACTTACTTTCCAGTCACGGTAAGAATACTAACCACCCAAAAGACACCAAATACTGGTCCATTGACAAAGGTAAATAGTATACAGGTCCAGTAAGACGTCGCTGGCACCCAAATCGCAAATATGGATAGTCCACAAAGGAGCGTTAGTGTTCCGGCAGTCTCAATGCGACCAAATCGATCACTAATAAGACCGACAAACGGTCGCCCTATAGCTGTTCCTAGATTGAGGAATGCGGTAACGGAAGCCGCCTGGACATCACTGAGTCCAATAGAGTGTGCAAAGTCTGAAAGAGAGAATAGCAGGACAATGTGTCCTAGCATGGAGATAAATGCCCACCAAAGAAGCAACCAAACGTCGTAGCGACGTAACAATTTCATATCGAAAGCACGATTTTTGGGCAGAACGTGCTTGTTGCGACTCCGTATCAAGCATGTTGCGAGCAGGTTGATGGTACCCGATACTGCACCTATTACTCTCATTGACCAAGCCAGACTCAGATTACTGATCATGACTCTCGCCGCAAGGGAGAATATCAGCCCACCAATCCCTAAGCCTGCGGAAGATACGCCATATACCAAGCTGCGACGCTTGTCGAACCATTGAGAGAGAACACTCATCGTTGGAATATATAGACACCCTACTCCGAAGCCAACCAGGATTCCTTGGGTGAGAAACAATTGCCAGATCCGCTTTGCAAACGATGCAGTGATCAAGCCAGTTGTTTGCAAAACGATGCCAACCAGCATTGGGATATGGATGTCGAACCGATGGACGAGCTTCATTACAAAGGGAGCTGTCACCATTGCCATGGAGAAGTTCAGACTGCCGATCAGAGCATAGTCTATAGTCGTGCCGTCGACAAAAATGTCGTTGTTGACATAATAGGAGAGGTAGATGCCGTATGACTGTTGGCTTGGGTTTTAGCACTTGTACTCTGGAAGGAAAGGGCTATTCTGAAAAGGGGCTTACACCAACGACACCCCAGGTGAAACAATTGACGAGGAAGCATGCAAGGACGCAGACCCATCCATATCCACCATCTGGCACTTCATCTTGCTGTTCGACGTCTTGCGACTCAACTCGTGAAGAACCGGTGTCTTGCGACTCAACTGGTGAAGATTGGGTGTCTTGAGATTCAACCTTGGAAGAACCGGTGTCTTGAGACTCAACCTTTGAAGAACCGGTGTCTTGCGACTCAACCTTGGAGGATTCGGTGTCTTGCGACTCAACCTTTGAGGATCCAGGGTCTTGAGACTCAACCTTTGAAGATCCGGTGTCTTCGGCCTGCGGGTTAGGCTTTGTACTCATTCTCATCACCTATCAGACAAGTTATGTGAAGAAACTGTGTCTGATCTTAGGTAGTTGTGGATATGGATGTGGTTATGAATGTGCTGTACAGATAGATCTATAGATCCAGAGGTAGTCGAGATCTAGGCAGGTAAGTGAGAAAGAACCTAGGAGAAGCAGCCTGAGAAAGCGAATCAGTTCCTATATCAAATCAAGAGTTATCACTATTCAAGTGAATGGGGTTCTTTGTTCTTGTCACTTTTCAAAAGCCTGCTATTGTCTAGATCTATATATTGGTATTGTCACTTTTGAAGCTATTGTCAATATAAGGAAGGCATGGTCGTGGACAATCTGATGTTGTAGATGGTATTCCTTTTCAAGCAATTGTTAATACCAAGCATAATACCAAACAGATTTCTCCACGAAAATGCCACAAGAGAGGCAGTACAGTTGCTGATATCAAGCTTCGTACTGAACAGATCGAATGGCAGGTTTTAAGGGCTTGCTGCCAAGCAGAGCTAACTCGCATACGATTCTAGCGAATGAGTGTGTCGTAATTCATTATTATACATTTGTTTTTCTAAGATCTATTGAATTTTGAAGCTATTGTATTCTATATACAATCTTTGCCTAGCAGGCGGGTATTATTGGGAACTGACGAGCAATATTTGCTTGCTCTACTTAGTCTTTCCACCGTCTTCGCTTCCCTATGTACTTCACAACGTATACAAGGCCCAATAAAACCGGTACCTCTATTAACGGCCCCACAGTCGCGGCCAGGGCTTGATCGCTATTTGCTCCATATATCGCAACAGCGACAGCAATAGCAAGCTCGAAATTGTTGCTAGCAGCAGTGAAGCTCTGTGTAGCAGCCAGCTTGTAGCCGAATCCTAGCTTATGCGTGATAAGCAGAGTCAGGAAGAAGATGACTGCAAAGTACACTATTAAAGGCGCAGCGACTCGAACGACGGAGACGATTTGATGAACGACTCGACGACCCTGGGAAGCGAAGAGGACTAGGATGGTGAACAGGAGTCCAATCAGAGACCATGGAGATAGCCATTTGATGAACACCTCGTTGTACCATCTTAGACCGGCAATTTTGCGAATAATGTACCGGGTTACGATTGCTGCCCCGAGAGGGATACCGAGGAAGACTGCGACGCTCTTGGCGACGGTGGAATATTCGATGGACATGGTGCCTTCAGCGCGGCTGATGACCTTTATGAAGAGAAGGGCGAGGGGTGCATAGAGCACCATTTGGAGGATGGAGTTGATGGCCACGAGAATGGCGCAGTACTGACTATCGCCTCCTGCGAGACCCGTCCAGATGAGAACCTGGATATGAAGTTAGATGATAGAGTTGGGCCGGAACGGTTGGGCAAGAAGACTTGCCATGGCAATGCATCTTGCAAGTCCCACCAGGATGAGGCCCTCACGAAGTTCCTCCTTGTCCGGAAGAAAAGCCCATGATAACCCCAACTATACAATGATTAGCAGTGGCCCCATAGCATTGTGACACGGTTGAGGAGGTACTGCATACCATGAGGAGAGGAGCAATGATCCAGTTCGCTATTATACTGAATCCTATCTGGACCCAGATATCCCGTTCTCTGAAAACATGATGCAGAGTCTCAAACTTGACTTTGCATAGGATAGGATACATCATAACCAGCAATCCAACAGCTACGCATACATCAATATCCTGCAAACTTAATTCAAAAGGACCAAGAGCAACTTACCTATCGGCACAGACACCCCTACGAATGTACCCTTTTGCAAAGCAGGGCCGGTATTAGGCACAAAGTTGCCCAATATGATCCCGATAGCCATGGCCAGAAAGATCCATACGGCAAGGAAGCGATCCAACCACCCGAGACCTTTGAATGCAGACGTTTTGGATTCTTCAACATGTTCTTCTGTAGGCTGTTGCTTTTCGATATCTGAAGTGGTTGGAGAGACATTGGCTTGAGCATCTGGAGGACTGGTCTCCATCCCATCACAAGGGAGGACGTTTGGCATGTTGACTACCACTTAGTGGACTTGTAGAATTCCGTATGCATGAAACAGAAAATAAAGTAAAAACTCTTGCTGGTCCTGGTAAAGGAGGAGCTGCAGAGAAACAAGCGCTGGAATTGATTTGGAAATCCATCTTGATGCCCGCTTGGGAATGAGGACTTATATAGGACTCGCCTTGTCTGGGCAAAGACTTTGGGGAAATATCGAAGTCAACTCGCCCGCGCTGCAAAAGGGCGACCGGGGTAGCTCTGGCCAATGGGGAGCTCCCGGTGACATTCTCGTTGATGCCTTACCAGGCCACAATATCAGGTTTTCCAGACCGCATGATAAACTCTTGACTTCGATAGAAGCAGTGACATGTCTCTTGGAAGCATTATAAATCTCAGCCAAGCAAATAATAGGCAGAATAGCCAATAGTGATTCCCTTGTGTCAATTAATTCAATCTTTTTTTGCCCCTGTGAACCTCATCCTCTTCTTCCAGTTTCCCTTTGCCTCCTCCCTACCTCTCTTCACTTCTATTCTTTCTACACAAGCTCCAAAACTGCCTATACATGATTTCCAATCCCTGGATTCCAGACTTTATACAATATTCCAGAATTCCAGAACCCCAAGCACATCATATGCTGTCTGGATTTGCCATGAAAGATCTAGCTTGGCCAAGACGCCAACCCCCTAATCCGAGACGGACTTTTCTTTTGTGGCTGTAGAGACTTTTGAAGAAACCCCTTCTGTACTTGAAGGATTTCGTACGGTCTGGTCTTGGAATAACTGATCATCAGGTATGTCTTCTATTTACCTGAGAGCACAGCCCTCCTAAATATCAGGACATCTAGGACTTAAACAAGCCCCTTCCAGCCCAGATCCTCTCTCTCACATAACCCAAGCAGTTCACTATATTCGCCCTGTTGCGAGAAGGTGGAGTAAATCTGCGACCGCGACCCATCCTCCTTCGTACAGCGTGGGATTCAGCTCGATGTTAAATGCTTCCTCTTAAAGAGCGCGGTTCGTGAACAGTAGGATGCTTCGACGATCATGTCGAAGAGCGAGTCGACTCCGAATACCTGAAGGGGGCATTGCTAGCTGAGGCTCACGCTGGAGACAAGATCATCGGACTACTACCAGCAGGAGACACGAACACAACGGAGGAAGCATCTTGCTACTCCGACATCTAATTGTTTTGTCGATATTGTAACATTACTCTATTCGTGGCTCATAAGCGTTCGAAACCCGGTCATGATTTCCAAGGATATGTTCATAACTTCGAGACGATATGCATCATTCATCACTGTCGTCTTCTACAACTCTCCTTCTCTTGGTCCTGCGATCCGATATTGGCCTCTCAGTGTCGTCGGAATCCTCCACTAGAACTCGAGACGAAGCCTTTGTCTTTCCGCTGAGTATTTCCGCTATATCAGGCATATCGTCATTTGTATCCTGGGTAGCCGTAAGCTGAGTATGCTCGTAGGGCTGCTGCACCGAACTGGATGGCGGCAGGGACGATAGCGTAGCTGGAAACTTTCTCGTGGCGACGGGAGATGAAGAACTAGCCAAGAAATCTTTTAGACTTCCAAGATCTGATTCATCTTCCGAAGGCTGTTCGCTTCTTGAGAGATCATCGCCTTCACCCTCGCTTTCAATAAAAGTCGAACGGTGCCCGATCTCATCCTCTTCACTCTCGCATTCGTCTGCTGAAATCGAGACTGCTCGCCTTTTAGTTTTCTGACGCTTCGCTGTTTTAGTGGATGTCCGCTCAATATCGCTTTCATCATCTGAAATAGCCCAGGCTCGTCTCTGAGGCTGTTTCTGCTTGGCAGGTGCAGCTCTTTCTGTATGATTAGAAGCATCGACGGCATCATTTTCATCTTCCACCAGTGACGGTACTGTCCAAGATATACCAATTGGCTCTGTGTCCCCGAAAGGCTTCACGTAGCGATCCTCAAAAGTTTGGGAGTTGGCTAGTGTTTTGAAGATGCGGACGCATTTCTTAGTAAACTCCCCATGAGGAACGTTGACCGTGGGAAGAAGTGATCGCTGAGCTGCTGTCTGAGATGTCATACTGGGCATCTCTACTTCCTGCAAGTCATTTCCGACAACGTTCTGAAAACGCCTCTCCAGCTCTTTCACCTCCATTGGCCCAAGCAGGACAGATTCAAGGGTAGGAATTGGTTCTAATTCAACCTCACTGTCTTTCTTGGACTTCACGGTAATCCCTAGATCGTCCAAACTTCTATCCCCTGTGAACTTCGATGCAGTTAGAAAACCCGTTTCCACCCCATCTGGCATGTGAAACTTTTTGGCCGGCTTCTTTCTGGGTTTAGTGGGCTTCCGTCGCTTGGGTTCAGGCATCGATGTGTCTTGCGTGTTTTCGACTGGAATCTGGATCATGCGTTTATCGACCACTGGGGTGCAGTCTCGCGGGATTATCCGTGCAGAAAGATCGTGTCGAAAATTAAAACGATCTCCGCTGCTTATCATCTTCTGCATTTGCTCGTAGTTGTCCTTGGATTTCATATAACTTTCTTCTTCCTTGCCTCGCATCAAGAGTAACACAATTTTCCCAGCCCTCTTCCTTCCCGTTCGGCCCATCCGTTGTAGCATGCGAATTGGGGAGGTTGAAGCATCATAACACACAATTAGATCAACCTGCCCAATATCCAAGCCCTCCTCACCGATCGAGGTAGCAACAATGACATTGAAGTGCCCAGCCTTAAATTTTCTGATAGTTTCAAGTTGTTTCGCCTGGTTCATGCCCTCAGAGCGCTTCGAGTCTGCCTGCCCAACAAATACTGAGGCCCTAATCATTGGGCCATGCCTATTGAGAACTCGAACTATATCCTCGGCGCTCTCTCTGAATTCAGAGAAGACAATGACTCGAGTGCTTGATGGCGGAGCACCTTCTGGCAGTCTTCCTTCACCAGCATCAAGGAAGTGGTTCAGTATTGTATCGCAAAGATATGTGAGCTTCGGGTGGCCAATAAAATCCGGTTTGCTTAACCATGTTTGGATTCTATCCATCATCTTCTTGAAATCGGGGCTTTGAACGATCTGTGTCCTATACTTTCCTCCTTTATTTCCGCCTTCTACCTCTTGTCGAAAATCCTGGATCGTAGAATAGAATGGCCCAATCCCATGGAAATTGAGCAATTTAATGCCGTGTGCTACACTGGCAAGAATAGTAAACAAGCTATTCATCATGCCTTTGACTGCAAAATTGGCCCTCTTGCCGGCATCAGACATGAACCATGCCTTCTTGGCTTTGATTAATCCGTACGCTGTCAGAGACATCGGATCTTTGTTCCAATAGGCGTTTTGGCTACATAGTTGGTTCACCAGTGGCTGCAGTGCCTTGGAGAATAATTCCTTCACCATGATGATTTCATCTGATGGGTCGAGGAGAATCGCATCTATATCTCGTTGGTGCACAAACTGCCGTATGTCGATAGAGTCCTCGGTTCGAATCTCCACTTTGGCTATTTCCAGGCCGTCTATTACCTCCTGGACTGCTTCCACACTCGAGCCAGGTGTGGCAGTTAACGCAAGTATGCGAAAGCTTTGGTTGAATCTGCGTATGAATTGCACAACCTTGACGTAGGCGTATTCACCGGTAGCTCTGTGGGCTTCATCAACAACAAGAAGCACAATCTTCTTGGGATCAGCAATGCCAGACGATAAGTCATTGATGAGAGTTTGTGGCGTCATGAAGAAGACTCGCTTTGCCTCCCATTCCTCAGCTCTTAAAGCCGGAGCCTGGTCGCCAGTAAGCATGGTTGTCGCTGACCGTGGTAGACCCACGATATTGAAACAAGCGTCAACTTGTTGCGCTACTAAAGGTTTTGTTGGAGCCACGAAAACAATTTGAGCATCTTTGGTCCAGCGAAAATAATTGAGCATGATTGTGGCAGCAATGAACGTTTTCCCAAGTCCAGTTGGAAGAGCGACAAGTAGGTTATTGAAAAGCCCATTCTTGACAATGGTGTACTGGTAGTCACGTATCGTGCCAAGATTCGTAGGATAGACCCACGTCTTCAAAGCTTCTTGGTCTAGAACATGATGTGTGGGAGGTTCAGGGGGTTTATCTGCTTTGAAATTGTATCCCTTCTTTGCCTGCGATGCAGAAGGTGCCTCTTGCGCTCGACCTCCGAAAAGAGTCGTCTGACGAAGGCCATTTTGGGGAGCTACAAGGCGCGTTTGAGTAAATGATGAGGAAAGTGATTGGGGAGGTGGACTTGGAGATGAGAAGGCATCAGAGGGCAGGCCTTCTAACTCGCGGGAGAGGTCTTCGTCTTGTGAGAGGCCGCCAATTCGTCTGACTGGCGGATTGGATCCAGAAGCTTTCGGCGTAGATGTAGCGCTTCCAGGATTTGTGGAGAGGAATGGCGATTTAGGAACGACTTGGGATTTGGGAGGTTCAGGTCTTGGCCTCTTAAAGATCGGGCCGCTGATTCTGTAGGGGCTCGAATCCGGAAGACCTTCTGCTTGTGTGGCCCCAATAATCTGAACTGGCGGTACCTCCCTCACGCTGTTGTGGATCTTGTATTTCCTCTTCCTGGATGATTCCTTCACGACTTCGTCATCGCCAGATACGCCACTCTCTCTTCGGGGTATGCGTCGTCTGCAATCTTCGATATCGTCGTCATCGCCATGATGTGCCGGCAGAGTTTGAGAAGGCTGGCTGAAAATTTCGATCAGATCTTCATCTGCGATCTCACCGTAGTCCTCCTCATCAGTGGCCGGCATCCTTGACTTACATTATTGTCGAGTCGTCGTCCAGTCGCGTATCACGATGTTCAAGTTAAGCGCGTCGGGTTCTTATCTGGGTAGTTTGACGCGTAACCCACGTGACTTGCCATTAAGATACCTAGGTAGGTACGAACCAAAGTCCCTAGATATACGGCTGAGAAGTAGGTTTGAAAAGGGCTCAACTGATCAAATGTCCTGAAGACTTTAGAACCAAGGAAGCATCACTAGTCAGTGTCTATATCGCTCATATTTTCAATGATTTAACTACGCATACATTATTGTACTAGGATGCAATAGCTCGCTTCGCTCGCGGAAATACAATGCTTAGTCATAGGGGCAGAAGCCAAGTCTACCCTATACTAGAAAATAGACCGATGTTTTGCCGAAAAACAGGGATAAAACCCCCTGTAAAACATAGGTATTTCTCTTAATTCTTATTAGTTCGCTACCCTATTCGCCGCCTTAGGCCTCTACACGCGCTGTACGCGTTCTCTTACCTACCTACCTACCTATATTCTTATTCTTTATTTAACGCGTATCCTCCCTCTTACCTCTTCCTTACTCTATACGGATCCTTCTGTTTTGTCTGTTTTAATCCGCTCTCTACCTACTACTTAGCTGTTCTACTTTAATTCGGCGGCCTCTAACGCGATAGAATCCCTTACGCTATCCCCTACGCTATCCCTTACGCTATCCCTTACGCTATCCCTTACGCTATCCTCTCTTATTTAGTACTAGACTTATAACAAGCTCTGTCCTACTATCGACTTTACTATTAATAAGAACAGGGCCTATTACAAGAAGTGTTTTTAGTATAAGGTATGTAGTTATAGCTTTTTATAGTAAAGCTAACCTTTTTATTACTATATAGGATCGCGTAGAGTAGACTATACTTAAAGATCTTAATCTTAATACTAACAGGGCGCGCCTAACCTGTTAAACCGCTACTTAGCTAGCCTCTAAGGCCGAGCTTATAAGTGCCCTTACTCTAAAACAAGGACGCTACTACTAGGGCACTATAATACACTTACCTATAGTGTCTATACCTCTATAGCCGCCTAGACGTTCTCTTAGTATAGACGTACCTATACCTCTACGCCCCTCTAGACGCCCTTATATAGACGTGCCTATACCTTTATAGTAGTAAGGCCGCCCTTACTAAGATCTTATAGACGCTACTCTAACCTATAGAGGTTTTATAGTATATAAAGACCTTATTTCTAGACCGCTTTTAAGTCTACAAAAGGCTGTTATAATAGATAACCTAGAATTACGGCTTTTTATACAATCCTCTAAGTTCTACGACCTAAACTTTACGCTACTATCTATCTCTAAGCTCTATAATCTATACTAGTTTTACGATCCCTAACTCTCTCCTAAACTCTTAGATCCTTTTCTCTCTCCTAAACTCTCGGATCCTTTTTTAACCTTATAAGCCTTAGTTATATAGCCCTTATAATAGTCTAGTAGTAGTCTACAACCCTCTATAGCTAGAGATAATCCTGTGCCTAGTAGACCTAGTAGACCTAGTAGACCTAGTAGACGATACCTAGTAGCGTTCTTATCTAGCTTTAACATTAGGGCTAAGGCCTATAGTTTAGGCTATATAATACAAGTCTGTTATTACTACTATACTTTATAGTAGGTTAAGAAGGGTATGTTATGTTACTTTAATAAGGAAGTAGATCTTTTACTTATTACTAACCTACTACGCTTTTTATAGAGGCTCTTAGATAAGAGAGATACTTATAGTATAGACTTTCTAAGAAGTATATAAAAGTATAACTTAGCGCTTATACTTACGTCTTATAATTTTACGTAAGATACTTGTTTTAATACATTATAAGGTATCTACGTCTTCTTAATCTATAGTAAGCTCTACTACCTCTAAGGGCCTCTAGACACACTACTAGGCTAAACCCCTTTCTTTACCTAGCTGTTTATTTACGACCTAGATTATACTAACTCTATTTAGTTATAGACGTTTATAGGTTTAAACCCTAGAGTCTTTTATAAGCTTTTATAATAGCTTTATAATAATAATTGTTTTATAAAGGTATATAAGACAGCTTATAAGCGGCTCTATAAATAAGAAGGTAAACAAGAAGGCGTTTTCTAGATACTATTAAATCTATAAATATAGCTAGTTCTAGAGTAAGGTACAGATTATCGTAAGTATAACCTACTTATAACTAGTAATAAGCTCGTAGCCGTTATTACGTACAAAACAACAGAAGTAACGTACTATAATATTGTTCTTATAGTCTATAACCTAAGTACAAATAAGCGCCTTCTTAAGTAGATTAATCTTACGACTATAGCGTATATGCCTCTTTACTATATACTTCTATTTTTATATAAGGACTATAGCTAGTACTATAGGTTAACTCTTTATAACTAGAACAGTACCTGTTAGTAGACTTATCTATAGTAGTACTAGTTCTATTAGTACTGTCTTATAGCCTATAAAGGCTAGTTTTTAATCCTTTACTACTCTAGACGCTTATTCTAGTAATATTGTATTAATAGTTATATCTATACTAAGTATACTACTCTTAACTAGATTAAGTAGAACTAAGATAAGATATAGGCCGATCTCTACTAGGGCTTAGTAGATATAATAACCTATAAGGATTATGTTAACCTTAAAGAGCTTAGCCGTAAGGTAATTGTCCTTTTAGCCTCTTATATAAGAGGTAATAAGAGTATATAACAGTAGTATTAGGACTTAATAGCTATCGTCTATTACTTTAGTAAGCTAACCCTTTTTATTACCTTTATAGCTAACCTAAACTAGCCGGAGATTAGGGATTAGCTATTACCGGGCTAGACAGCTAGTAATTAGCCTAATATAGTAGTCTACGTCTTCTACTAAAAGGTTAACGAGCTACTAAAAGACGTCTATAAGGGTATTTTTAGGCTATATAGTACTTACGTTTATATAATTAAGTACTAGAAACGCGGCCTACTATATATACACTTATTAGTATTCCTTTAAGTAGACTTAGATTACCTTATACCTAACTAGATTAATAAAATCGTTTATACTAAGCTTTTGCCTTATTTATAAGACCTGTTAAAAGAGTTAGTAAGAGTCGTTATAGAACAGATAACCTATAGCCCTTATAAGGATAACGACCCTAACCGTCCTTATATATAGAGTAAGACGCCTAACGGCCTAAAAACGTACTTAAAACTCTTTCTTAAGGCCTTTATAGAATAGACGATTGTCTAAGAGAATTCGTACCCTAAATACTAACACTAAGACAATAATGTCAGGTGTATTTCTACGGAGTGGAAGAGGCAAGAGTCGATGGACAGTCGTAGTATATTCGAAGGTATATCGCTGCTTTAACTATAGACTGATCTCTAAACCCCCCTTCTTTCCCCTCCCTACCCTCTATTCTTATGCTCCTTGATGCCCACTATTACCTCGGTCGTAGCACGCAGTTACCCCGCACTTGATTTCTAAGCCATTGTAGTCTTACGTGTTAGCGCACCTGACAAATAAGTACAAGTTTATAGTCCTTAAACTAGGCTACCTTAGCTAGGTAATAACCTATAACAATCGTTAAGTAGTTCCTTATAACCTGTACTTACTT